CCGGGGATTCGAAACCACGCCAGTCGACTCAATGACAGACTTTAGGATACAGCGCGCGCACGCTAACCATTCAGCCATCCAACCCCCCAAACTACAAAGAAGTAGGTTATGATGCGCTTTTAAACTATCGTCCATGGTCTTCACAAACATCCGTCAGTCCACTCACGTTTTCACAAAAATGTTATATTATATTGAGTTTTTATCGAAATTCGACACACTTCCGCGATTATTTACTGTGTTATTGCACTTATCTAAAAAATAAAAAAAGAGTGTAGTGAAAAATGTTTTTCGAAACTTGGTTGTTGGTGTCATCTTATTCGTAAGGATGAATCCTAACGAAAATCGGTGAATGTCGGCGATCTACAGAGTCATTGCATTTGCCTAAAAGAAACAGGATCACTGTCCTTACCTCAAAAACACTGTTAGTGCCTTACACAAGAGAAAAGTCGCCAATACATTTTCGGAACCAACAATTATTGCATAAATGCTGCATAAATCCAAAAACGATTAAAGATAAGTTATTTTTAAATGTATAGTTTTAAAACTAAACTTACGTACCAGTAGTGAATTTTTAGGAGCATACTGACGAGCCATCTAAGAAATTTTAAGCTATTATTAACCCATTTATGTCTGTGGCTAAATCCATGCATGCTCCATAAAAAAAAACCTATTTTATAAACAATACGGATCGGAAATCATGATTTACTGTTACAAGTTCGATGACTTCGGTTGGATGAAGAACCTTTTTGAAATTTTTATACGCCCACAGTTTTATGTGGACATATATTGTCATCGCCCCTGTCCGGACGTGCGTCCGTCCACAATTTGTTTGTGGACATTCTACAGTCACAATTCTTATCCGATTTTGACGAAACTTGAAATATAGGTTTATCTCCAAAAGATCTCGGTTTCGATATTGACATATATCGGATCGAACCTTCATGGATTATGACCCCTGATTGTACGAAAAGTCAGGTTTTTAGCTTGTGGACACTCTAGAGGTCACAATTTTCATCCGATTTTGATGAAACTTGAAATACATGTTCATAACCCAACGATCTTGGTTCCTTTCGATATTTGCGCATATCGGAACGTAACTTCCTGAATTATGGCCCTTGATTGTACGATAAATCATCTTTTTAGCTTGTGGTCCCTCTAGAGGTAACAATTATCATCTGATTTAAAAAACCCAAAAACGTTTGAATACATCACTGTTACACCCTTATGATAGTTGAGTTCGAATTTCGTGAAAATCGGACCAAAACTGCCGTACAAAATGGCAGCCCCTTGTACGCAAATAGTGTAAAAGTATGCAATACCGGTACCAAGGTTGTGGACTCTCTAGAAGTCACAATTTTTATCCGATTAGGATCGTAACTTCCTGAATTATGGCCCTTGATTGTACGAAAAATCATCTTTTTAGCTTGTAGTTCCTCTAGAGTTCACAATTGTCATCTGATTTTTTAAAATAAAAAACGTTTGAATACATCACCGTTATACTCTAATAATAGCCGAGTTCGAATTTCGTGAAAATCTTGCCTGGCAACCGCAGGTTAAAATATGATTCACACCTGTCATGAGTAACACCTGCTGCGCTGACTGGTAAGAGTGTCTAGTTGTTCGGACGGGTCATGTTATCGAGGTCCAGTATACTTAAAGAAACAGATTGAGCGGAAACAGTATTGTATCTTCAAAAATATTTTAATTTGATTTGATTTAAGATATGTTTTCTCTTCTTTCAGATTCGTTAAGCTAAGACCCCGGTGCCTTCAAAGAAATCCAGAAAATGGTGTGCGGTTTCGAAGATTTCAGACACGTTATTACGTTATGATTTTAGGTGTTTTATTTCTGTAAGGGTGATGTTGTCCATGATATTTAAGGTTATTCTATACGGATCGGCTTCCATTGCTCAAATTACTAATAAACAAATCATATAACGGCCTTTAATGGGATAGTATTCCGTTGTTCGAGACTAGTTGGAATTTTGCGTAAAAAGAAGTCGGTTAAAGCCTTTAATGGCTCGTTGTGTAAATATAATGATAGAAGGGGGTGGGAAGGTGAATTGGAAAGATGGACAGACTCATGTTTTTCATCATAGATTGATGTTGAATGTATTATTATTTTTGATATTATGTCCAAATCAGTTCATACCATATAAATAATAATGTGATAGTCCAAATGTTTGTATTTTATTTTAGTGACAACGTTCTTGTTTATTTATTGTTATGTACATCCAGGTTGGTGCCAACATCCATTAATTTATGTGATTTCGTTTCTTTGTATGATTATTATAATGAAACTGATTTTGTTAAAATAGATTTTGACACATTCGAATTGAACTCTCTTGTTATACACAAATGCGGATGTATATTGTCATCAATTATTCCTGATATCGTCCTTATTACTATTTTATTACTATATAAATAAGCTTTGGAAAATTAGGATATAAGGCAGGCTACTCCATTTAAAATACATTTACTGAGAATGGTGATAGATATATTGCAACAAAAAGTTCATTCAGGATTGCATGAATACAAATTCAGTCATGTGGGATCAGCACGGGCAAATGCCGGTCCCAAATTTTCAACGATCGCGATAATCGGGTAGACGGGTGGCGAAGCAACAGGTTGACTGGCTAACCTGGAGGTCCCGTGGGCGATTCCGGCGGAGAAAGTTCGTCGTGATTTCACCTTGTCAGTGCTAATATGACGGCGGGCTTTCTCGGATTCTGGCAGGCCACTTATTGGGGAAAATTGGTGTATTAAAAACAAGTCACCTTCGCGTCGTGGAGCCCCTGTCCGACCTCGTTTCGATTGAGGCTCTCGTCACCGTCAGGGTATCCTAACCCCGCTAGATAATCGGAGCCTAGTCCAGGCCTGTAGAACCCTAAGATGATGGTATGCGCCCGTGTCGCTCCGCTGACAGTGATTATGCACGCGGTTAACGATTGCTCTAGGAAGGCTGACTGGTATCCGATCTTTAAAATGGAAACTGGAAGCGAAACTTTTACTTTCGTCTTTGTTTTATTAGCCGCTAAAAATCTCAATTTTTTTTAAATATATTTTTGCAATGTGTTTTTTGCAAAGTGACCCCCAATTACCCCAGATATATGCCAAAAATGACGCTAACGCTAGAGACCATGTATCTTTCTAAAAAATTTCGAGCTTGGGAGAGAGAGAGCCCCCCCCCCCCCCCACCTCGCTTAGTTGTTTGTCCCATGGCCCGGAGGTCCCTGTCGCTGGCCCTGCTTTGGTGACCTTTATATCAATGCACAACTCTTAATTTTGACCGAGTTCTTGCTTTATTTGTCCTGTTGGAGCAGAAGAGTAGGACGTTAAAACCCCGCATTTAATTTTCTTTACTTGTTTAACAGGTTTCGCTGAAATAAGTTATAATTCACATGAACCGGTGCGAGACTCTAAATTTAGTTAGAGACTTAGCTACTTTAATTAGAACCAAAGTTATCGTGTCCCAAAACATCAACCAATCAAATTGCTTATCTCTGCTTACGCTAAGCAGCATATGCTTATCTTCGAACACCATCAAGGCATTCACCTAATGAACGCCTACACCAAGTTTGAAAATTCTACCTCAATTAGAAAGAGAGTTATTGTATTCCAAAGTCTCGAACAGTCAATTTGCTAATCAAACTTAGTCTAGATATTGATCTAATGAAACTATACACGAAGTTAAATCACCCTCACTTAAACATGTATTATGCAGGAGCAAAATCTGATTATTGCAAGTCTTAATTTAGGCTTCAGATGTTATAGAAATTATAAATTAGATCTTTATTTAAACAACAAGCCCAAAATCAACTCTGTAGACCCACGGATGGCTCGGCTACAGCTCGGATTTAAATAGGATTTCACTTATTAATTAATTCAAATATGGCGCATCCTGATGAGAATACGTCAGTTAGATCGAGGCTAAATGATAGAGTGTACTTAGCGAGGCCGCTGTAGAGCGTTTCCGCATGCCATTGAAAACTTTACTTGATAATCGAGATATGTAGGTGGTGTCAATCAAACGATCGGCCAAGGTGACGGCACATTTCACTACCATTTCTAGTCAAATATTACAACGATGATAACTATGTTCAGAATAAAGTAATTTGACTGAAATTTTCAATATATTCTTCTATCATCATCTACTTTTGAACTGTTATAGCAAGAATGGCCAATTCTCTATAAAAATCTCCCATAATGTATCTTTAATTAGTATTAAAGTTATCGGGTCCTAAAGCATCAACCAATCAAAGTACTTACCTCTGCTTACCCTAAGCAGAAAATGCTCATCTTCGAACTCCATCAAGGTATACACCTAGTAAACAACTACACCAAGTTTGAACATTCTAGCTCAATTAGGAGAGTTATTGTGTCCCAAAACGTGTGACGGACAGGCAGACGCATTTTAATACTATAGTATGCTGCTTTCTTCGATAAGTGGGGGACAAAAAAATAGATAATGCAAAGGAGCTATGCTGAAAATGTCAGTCAAATTATTTCACTCTGAGCCGAGAAATCCCCGTTTTAATAACACTGTAGCCTTGATTGTCATTGTTACACGTACCTTATTATAATAAACAAAATCGGATTCAAATCTGTTGAAAATCGGACCCATCAGATGGCATTGAGAGTTGATTATGGTCTTGTCAGGTTAATAAATGACTATATTAATAGTTTATATAACATTTAAGGCCTGAAGCTGTCATCTTTTACAGAGTTATTGGAAGACTTTCGTAATCCTCTGTGAAACAGACTGATCTACACTGGCACATGTCAATATATTGATTCCAGGAGGTACATTTAATCACAGGTTTTTCTCTATTCTGGAACTGACTGTACTGAAAATGGTAATTTTCAGCCCTGGACTAACATCCTGTAAAATTTTCTTTATTTTAAAATTATAAACAGAGGGTTTTAACAATTAGATCCATGGCTTATATGAACCATATACCGGTACATGTAATACATTTTGAATTTAAACATAACCCAGAATGATCATAAATATATTTTAATCTCTCACTAAAAAGAAACACAATATTTACTTTTTAACACAGGACTGTACATATTTTTACAATATATCTCATATCCATCAACAAGTCTCCTAAGAAGTTCATTTTGAACAATGATAATAATATAATGTACATAATTTATATTTTCTTTTTTCTCCTTAACTTAGCTCTTCTCAGTAAATTATCTCGTAATAATACCTGTTTTTCCCTGAAAGAACGCTTATTTCTTTTCTGGGTTGCTTTTGGTCTCAACATAAGAAAATTTTTGTTTTTACGTTTCTCTTTATTGGTTGTGCTGGCAAATGGATCTGATCGTTCCCGATGATAAGATTGCTTTTCTCTACTTTCTTTCTCTGCCTGAAATTTAAATAAGTTAACAGAATTTTTTAAAATAAACATTCACAAACATAATCAAAAACACATGTAACATTCTGAGAATCCTTCACAGGTTTATATTCTGCATTTACATTAACCTATGTCATGTATATTTGACTATCTTTCAAACTAACTTACCTTGTGAGCAGCCATCTTAGATTCTTTATCACTCTTGTGTTTTTTATCAATTGATTCTATGTTTGACAAATGAGGTAATTCTCCTCGAGAAATTTGGTCAAACCTTCTCTTTTTACCTCTTGGTCTATCGTGGAGCTGTTTTGCTAACTGTCTCTTCTGGATTCTTCTGAACTCAGCTTGTGTTAGAATACGAGTTGAAAGAATTTCCTGTGCTTTTTTTATTCTTTCAGCTTCATCTAGTTCTTCCTCAGATTCATCACCGCTTTCAGATTCTGATCCTGATGCTTTAAGCTCAGCATCATGATGAACGTCGATCCATTCTCCTTCACTGTCGTCTTCATCTTCACATTCCTCCCATTCATCATTTTCTTCATCCCCATCTTCTTCAACATCTTTTAACAAACTCAATGCTTCTGCTCCGGGAATATAATTAAGAGCATTTACTTCACCATACTGACTAGTAATCAGTTCTCTCTGGGCCTCTGTTGGTTTACCTCGGTCTTTCCGTCTCAACTTATCTGGATCTGTTTCTCGGAAAAAATGAAGAAGTGATCTAGCAGCTGTGATAACAGACTTTACACGATGTGATTTATATTGAACCAAATCCTGAAGAAGGTCATCTCCCATTGCTAAAGGGCACCGGGCACAAATTTCTCTAGTTGCATTCAAACCAACAGCCATAGCATCTGTGACATTTCTTTCTGTGATGAAATTATTCGCAATGGTTTTCAGCACATCTTCCATTAAATCTGGAGGAACTAATGGATGACTAGCTTGGGCAGCAAATAAAAGTAGCTTTGTGACTTCTTTTTGCCTAGGTTGCAAAAATTTCTGAAGGAAGGGATAAAAATTACACAGAATTAATTGATGTATGCCTATCAGACGAGAGATGAGGTCCATCATCATAAGCTTTACCTCAAAGCGTTCATTAGATGTTTGAAGTTTCTGGAATAGTTTTTCACAGAATTCCTGAGGATCATGCAGCAAATGAAGAGCTGAAAAATTAAAGTTTGGTGGTTTCTTTCCATGTCGAACTTTTTTGACCATTTTAAGCTCTTTATCCATTTTTCTTATTCTTTTTCTTGTCTTTTTACCAATTTTAAGATTTACTTTAGCCTTTTTTATTTGCTTAGTAGGTTCTTTCTGTTCATTATCACTGTCATAGTCATCCTCCTCCTCATCTGACTCTTCATTATGACCTAAGAAAAATTTCATTGCTGCAACAAGAACTTTAGTTACTTTAGAGAAACAAGCTGTCGAAATAACATTAACAACTTTGGCATCATTCCAGATATTACGTCTGTATAAATCAATCATGACATCGAGTGACATTTTAGCTGCTGTATGGTTATTATCTCTTAACATGGTGTACATGAAATTCTGAAGTGTTGAATTTAACTTAGCATCTTTGTGTTTAGCATTTACATTTTTAATATCTGATATTATGTAATTAAAAAGAATTTTTCTTAATAATTTATCTTGGCATCGAAAGAGTTTGAAAAATAACTCAAGTACACTAGTGGCAGGGATTAAGTTCTTGTTTCTCAGTAGAATCAGAGCTTTCACAAGTGTCATTCTCATTGTGGGATCAAGAACAGTTCCATGTGTCTGAAGAATGTCACATAGTTCCTGTGGGTATGTAGCAAGTTCCTCTCTGTAGCACTGGGCAATCTGAGCTATGAATGTCACAAGTTCGTTCAGAGTCCGGATAAATTTAGATGGTTTGAGACGAAACACCTCCAAATGTGATTGATAATGACGATATTGTTGCAGAAATTCTTCTCTATAAGAAGCCCCATCTCGTTTGATTAAATTCTGTAACTGGGGTAAGTTGTCCGGTAATTTGTTATTTCTGCTTTTCTGTGACATCTTGGATTTAATGACAATCAATATCCAATCTTTGATTTCACATCAAACCGATATTTCGACAATTATTTTGACCAGATTTTCAGGTGGAAAATGGGTCTACATTTTAACACGTGCTTAATGTTTTTGATTACAACTTCCGGTTAGAAAATCTGGAGTGCGTTCCCCTTTGTTGACATATTTAGTAGCCAATCACTGCCATCGGTTGTAATATTTATGTCCAATCACAGAAAACGTGTTAAGATACTTAGGCTTCAGGCATAGCAACACCCAAACATCACAACATTATTCACAAAAACTGAAAGCAGAAGCAGAAAAGTAACGTTTTGAGATGGATCAGACAAAAAGACCTTTGTTAATACCTCCAGAATTCGCAAATTATGCAGAACACCATGGCGTTTTCGACATGTATAAGGTAACTAAATTTTAACATTGACCAGGAATCACGGCCTACACAGTACAGCACCGGCGGTACGAAAATATTTTTTTTTAATAAAGTAGGCCTAATTTAGTAATACTAATAAGGCAGGCCTACAGTCTGAACCATCATCGTAAAATTTAAACGGATTTCTTCGATTATGAACAAACTACTTAACTTTGGTTATTATAAACTTACCTGTGTGTTTGAAATCACCTCCCGTTAAATAAAATCCATTCTGTGAATTGATTAAATATTCCAATGAATGTATAAAAACTTTAAAATGTTCTCTCTTGCAAATTTGACGTATTTACTTGTATTTTTGACTGAGTTCAAGACAACATAGCTTTCGTCACGTGTTGCATGAAACCAGTGAAGCTGGTGCGAGGGTGGTTTAATTATCTTTGACAGATATTTTGACAACCATGCGTTGCAATTAAAACAAAGTGACATCGTTTTGATCCTTTGATTTTTGGCATCGAAAAATATCGACTGAAGACAATTACAAGTTTTCAAGTGTATCGTCAATTTGATATCATTCTTTCAATCGTTTAATGACATCTATAAGCTCATTGCGGCAGCCCTGAAAGTGCCTTTTGGGTGGGTTTATAATGCTAAAAAAATGTAGGACCTCGTAAGAAGCGCACCATCACTATGTTATATATCATTAAAGATATTCATAGGTAAAATCTAAGCCCGTTAAACAAATGATTGTTTTTGTGCCACATTTGTGTTCAAAAGAAAATTCATCCACCCCCTACTCTCTAATCAAAAATATGATTAAAACAAAATACCGGTATTTCAAAAGGTATAGCTATAAACTTTGCAGAGATTTTACTAGAATGTAAAAGATGGTAACAAGATAAAGGAATATGGACTGTTATGTATGTGAACACCCAAACTCAATACCAAGCCGAGACTTGTAGCTTATTCTTACTCAAAACTTTAATCGTCGTAAAATTACTGCAAACCATGGCATGCTGTAAGCCCTTTAATAATACGAAGTGATCTCTCCCGAAGAGTGACATAATCAGCTTCCATTTTAGTATGTCAGAAGTTGGTGGGAATTCAATTTTTCAAAAGAGAACTTTTTACTCGTTGGGATATTGAATTGTGCAGTGGATTTTATTTAACGGGAGGTGATTTCAAACACACAGGTAAGTTTATAATATGGTAACCAAAGTTAAGTAGTTTGTTCATAGTTGAAGAAATCGGTTTAAAATTTACGATGGTTCAGACAGTAAGTGTAACACACACTATAAATTTACCATCCATAACTGAAATTAATAAATTAGAACCTTAATAAACGAAAGTTAAAAGACCTAATTTGTAAGAATGATTTTACATTTTTTAGCTCTTCTTTGGCTTTGTACCGGTGCACATAAGTAGACTGCAGTCTTGTGGATTGATATGATAGTTTCTGTGCATGATTTGGAAACAATGTTGGATTCAATCAGATTAAAAACAGGCCTATCAAACAAAGATTATGAATTTTGACCATAACCCATTGATCATTATATTGTTTGCAGAGCTTAGAATTAGATTCTCAATGTTGACAAATTTATACTATAAAGCTTATTCCTTTTATAGACCCAACTTCGCAATGTTTTTGTTTGCAAGGGATTCCTAAAAATACGCTCAGCAACTTTATGGAATTTCAAGCTATTCTTCAGTTTCATATTATTATGACTGAGTAAGCTTTCCAGAATCCAGATTTTAATTACTTTATATTATGAATATGATTAGACCTAAATCCTAATAATATATCTACTTTTATTAAGTCTTATAATTACACACTCTTGTTGATTATATCTTCAGAGATTATTAGAGCAGCTGATTATTACCAAACCAGCAGACCCTGTAGCTTATCTCATTGATCTGTTAAAGAGAGAAAATGATGATGGTAATTATACAAATAATATAAGCTTATTGAAAGTACATTGTACATTGCAGTAACCCTCCATACTATAAGTAAATAATAACGATTTCCAATATTTTTCTTCAAGCTTAAAACTAAGCTAACATATTTTTGTTCTTTTACAAGTTAACTTTATCGGTACTTTAAACCAGCTAGATGAGATACTATACGAACATGCCATTTCTTATAGTTTAATAATCATTTTTTTTTTAACATTTTCAGTACCACAAATTGTTATTCTTGGTCCACCAGCAGCTGGGAAGAGATCAATTGCTAAACTCATTTGTGCAAAGACTCGTGCAGCTCACTTGACCATGGAGAACCTGATAGGTGATGCAGAACTTGACTTGAGAGAAAAGGCTGAAGATTGTATTAACAGTCAAAAAGTAGGCCTATGTTATGTTTACATTGATACTCATTATCTCTGACATCACATTTAGTTACTATTGATTTGGCAAATCCTTTATTGAATTGCACATATTTTTCCGTAGATAAAACATAAATGCGTTTTTTAAAAAGTATGTCCTGCATGTTTTTCGTCCAGGTTTCCACTTGGTTGTTAGATGTGTGCAGTTCCCCTGCACTTACTTGGAGACAATTATAGAAGTAGTGAATATTTTTATCGAACGTTACATAATGATAAATGTCTGACAAATAAGTAACAATAGATGAAAGAGCCACAGAAAATGCTTTAGGCATTCGAGCAAGGACAAATAGTGCACTACCAGTGTATGTGTTATGTCTGAACGGATCATAAATATTATTTTTTTTATATCACTGGAAACTGAGAAGGCCTACAATAAAATGATTTGCTTCTTAAATTTGGCTTTGTATATCTAGGCTAATTTATTGTTATTGATTAAACATGCATTATGCAAGAGCAAAATCTGCTTATTACAAGTCTTTCTTTAGGCCTGAAATGTTATCTATATTATCAATTAGACATTAATTAACTTATCCAGACCATAATAAACTCTCGATGTCAAGGCTAGCCTTCGATGTTGGCTGGATTAGATTCCGATATGTCGCTAACGGCCGTTGATAATTAAATCAGAAAAAGTGGATAATCGAGACTATGCTGTTTACCGGTATATTAATGATTTTAGTAATGATGACCGAGACTATGCAAAAATTTCACCCGCTTCTTTCTCGGCTCATAGTGGATCAATTTGACTGAAATTTTCAGCAAATTACCTTTACACTATCTAGTTTTTAACTAGTATTATAGCGAGAACTGCCATCTCTTTATCTTATCTCCCATAATGTATCTTTAATTTAATTTCAGGCGGTTCCAACAGAGTTGTGGTCAAAGATAATAGAACAACGTATGCAGTTATTTGATTGTGTGAAAAAGGGATGGGTGATGGAAGGTTTTCCCCAAACTAGAGAACAAGCATTAGCATTACAAGAGAAGGGAATCTATCCCAAACATTGTGGTAAATATTAAACTATATTTGACATTGAGCTTTTAATACATAGTAAAGCTCACTTTACACTTTTTTTGGGTGTTTAACTTTAACTGGTGGAACTAGCTGGGGTTAGAATGGAGGTCACTTGAAGATGTACCCACTATGAACATGTGACAGTTGAGATTTAAGAAGGGATAACACTGCTGCCTCAGTGCCTGTGCAAAAATATTTTCCACCAGCAATGCACACATAAACCATAGTAAAAATAAAATAAGTGATAAAATATTGTTTATTAATCTTTAAATGACTAAATTATAACCCCATTCCTTTCTTTTCAAAATTTAATATTAATGTTTTCTCTTCTTGTAGCATATGACTATGGTAGTCAACAAGTCATCCAAATTCTCTGTTATCCTTTTATTTTTGAAGCATGTATATAATAGTTTATGAACTTCTTGCACAAGTACATAATAATACACAAGCAATCCATAATTCTGTTAAAGGCTCAATACCACTCTTGTTGTAACTGAATAATATGTCCCAATCTTTATTCTGGTCAACAAATTGTTACTATTTTACAATATTCCAATTAATTGATGATACAAATTTCATCTTAACACACCTAATTTAAAAAATTGGAAAAATTCAACTAAATGATTTGAAAAGCCTGACGTAAAGCTTTTCAAATGTGACTTGGATTTAAAAATATTTTTGAACCCTCTGGACAAGTAAAATAGGATTTAATGGATAATTTACACAACAGGTAAGACACTAACACATCTAGTAATTAGAATAAGGCTATTTTTTATTTTCTGGAGCTCACGAAATCTGAGGCAGAAACAGTTGCTAGCTACCACTCATTATTGAATTCTGTAAGTCTGTCTTTTTTAGTTTTACTTTTTAATTACTCTCTATTTTAGTTGTACTGGAGTCTCCTGATACAGTATTAATCGAAAGAGCTTCTGGTAAAAGAATTGACCCTAAAACAGGAGGTAAATAAAAACAACAGTATTGTGAGAAAATGAAATAAATTATTTTAGGAACATATAATTGACAAATATATCTTTATCTCTCAAACATTATAATTTGATATTTAACATTTAGGGGCTAGAATTATGACCATTAATAATAGTTCTGTTCTATCAACTGTACTATGAGAGAGAAATACTAGGAGGATAGCTAAGAAACAGTCATTTTTTTTTTTAAAACATACTAATTACTATTCGAATTAACTCTTGTTTTATTTAGATGTGTATCATACAACCTTTAATTGGCCAAGTAATGCAGAGATTCAATCAAGATTAGAAGAGGCTACTGGTTGTACAGAAGAAGAAATGATAACTAAACTTATAGTCTATCATCGGCATATTGATGCTATTCTACGTTGTTATGATAAAGTTTTAAAGAAAGTCAATGCAGATCAACCTAAAGCAGATGTTTTTGCACAAGGTAGGTTAATTTTGTATACCGAATAATCTTACCGATTTTGTTCATAATAATATTAGCTTTTAAATAGCCATACTATAAATCAAGGGCTTATTTAATTGTTGATTTTATATCAATACTGGTACTGCCTATAATAATCTTACAGAACCAAATTAATGTCAGCAATATTACTAATGTAATCTGGGCTTCTGTTGCACAAACAATAGAAATGGTTATAAGCATTACTCACTGTGACAAGATGGGGTTATCTTTGCTAGCATCTGGTTTGATTAAAAACACTGGGCCCGTTATCCTTTGTATGTGAAAAGTTATCCTTTGTATGTTTTCACGACTCGTTGCAGTCATCTCAAGGTTTCTGTGTGCAGTATCTGTGTTTATGCTGCTAACAGGGTAATAAAGCCATTGTTACATATATTTCAGTGTTTACATTTGTCTGTAGTCAACTACGATCTAATACCCCCCACACACCTCGAGTTGTTCTTCTTGGACCTACTGGAAGTGGAAAAGCAGTACAAGCTGCATTATTGGCATCTAAATATAATCTTGTAAATGGTAAGTATCTCTTTAGTACTAACATAGATTCTGGCATAGTCTTTATATTTTACTTTGTAACAAATATATGAAAGCTTAGTTCACCTTATGTATCTCTTGATACACTTTGAATGGAAAACAAAATCCAGTTTTACAGATGGATTCTTTAAAATTTGGGAAAATCTTCTATGTTGAAAGTGTTTCAATAGCTTTTTTCCTGGTAATGAGAATAAATTTATTATTTAAGTTTCATGTGGGCAACTCATAAAACAGGCCATAGCTGATGAAACAAAAACAGGACAGGCAGCTAAAAGTTATGTCCAGAAAAAAATTATGGGTAAGATAATATTAGTTACTAATTTTATGTAGAAAATTAGTTACTGTAACTAATTTCCTAGTTTGCTTGAAAGTTAAAAGAATCAGAAATATCAGTAAATATACATCTACATTATATTAGTTTTTGAGGTGATTAGAACAGTTTTTCCAGAAGACTGTTATTCTGATTTTTCTTTTAATAAATATTCATTTTACTTCCAGTTCCAGACAGTCTGGTATTAAATATATTAAAAGATAGACTAGGTCAATTAGACTGTGTCACAAGAGGTTGGGTGTTACATGGTTATCCAGTTACCCGAGAACAAGCTGAACAATTAGAAAAAGAGGGATTAGTGCCTAACAGGTTTGTAATATTTGTCACTCTTTTCGTATGCCCATGTACTGTTTTAGATATTACATCAAGGGTTATTGCCCTATATCTTTAAAAGGTTTAAATGGCATATGGCTCTATTTTTTGGAACCATAAATGTTTCTAGAAGGACATATTAATGTAATATGAGTGTATGTAAAGTGATATATATTCAGTCTTTTTTTTAAAAATTTTAATTTCTAATTAATTATGTTCAGTGAAATACGTGAACAGTCCAAACTGAACGACAGTCATACACACCTGCTTCGTCCGTTCTAAACATTTTTATTATTATCATTTGTGAATCAGCCATTACTATTTACTGTCGCACTGTAATTTTGGATATGTTTTTCCGTGTTCAATGATTTTGAATCTGAAACGATATGGTACACAAAATGTTAATTGTGTTTTAAATATTGGATATTAGGATCCCACATTTTCACGGCAACATAACATCAATATGGATTGAAATGGACCAATATTAAATTCTAATTTGTGTTTTTAATTTCAAATATTATAGAAAATATTTAGTTAGAGACTTAGCTCCTGTTAAATTGCTGAGTCACTAGTTCCAAAACTAAAGCCCTGAGTTTTCTGTGCTTGTATTGATTATTAATGTCTTTTCCAGAACATTTTTCCTGGACGTACCTAATGATTCTGTATTAGAAAGATTAACACAGAGATATACAGATCCTATCACTGGCGAACGTTATCATTTACTATACAATCCACCTAGAACACAAGATGTCAAGGACCGATTACAACGACACGGCAAAGATAATGATGATGATGTCAGAAAACGTTTAGCTCAGTACCATGCTTACGCAGAAGAATTGAGTGACTTTTATGTGGACGGACAACATATCAACGCAGATCAAGATCCACACACTGTGTTTGAAACGTTAGAAAGTATGATTGTTGAGCCATTACCTAAGAGACTTCAATAATACTCACATCAGCCTTATTATGAATCTTACAGCAAACTAATTGACCTTCTAAAAGAATATGAAGAGTTTTCTTTCATTTTATTTTATATATCGGCATTTAAATTTTAAGCAGAAATATTGTATTATATGAAATCAGCATTGGATTTTTAAGCAGAAATATTGTACATATTCGACATTGTCATCTTATAAAGGCAACACTAGATATGTATTTAAAATATTTTATTGTCTATTGATGATACAGTATTTAATTTATATCTTGTGGTTTGTAAATATAAACATATTTATTCTTTTATGGTGTGTAAGTACCAACAATTATAATAAAATGTATTAAATAGAATATAAATCTTTTTATTATAAGTTAAAATCCAAATAAAATAGACACTGTACAGGTATATGTATGTATACCAATAAAAAATGACCAAATGGGGAATAAATTTTCAAAATTGTGTTAAACTTTTACCTGAGTATGGTAATAGAATAATTTATTAATTCAAAATGTGCAATTAAGACAATAATGTTAAAAAGAAAAAAAAAATACTAATATAGGAATATGTAGATATGCTGCAAGTATCAATTATAACAATTACATGAATTATGTTCATTTTTGAGATCAGACATATTCAATACACATATGGTACTGAATTGCAGTACCATAATTATTTATACCCTCAAAACATGCAAAGTGATCTTTAAACAGGTCACATTTCTGTGGAATACAATTACTGCTTATTACTGAGCGACACTTGATGAAGACTTCTGAGCTAGCAAGCATTTGAATGTGATATTTTTTTATCTTGCTTACGAGCATTGTTTTGTTTCGGACACTTTCTATTTATAGTCTATCAGCCAATTGTTTGTTTTGTAAATTTCAAACAAAAACTGTCAGATATGCAATGCTTGCTTTGTTGTCATGGAGGCTGTTACAGTAATAGAAGTGGACCTGGAGTTACAACCCCCTGATTTACCTCACATCTTTAGAAATAGTCATTATTGGATTAACATTGTGCTTATCGATGCAGTACTGTATATTTATGTGCTTCTGTCAGCTTCACCGAGTTCAGTCTTTAACCTATCAGGAACCGTTGAAACAATGGTCATTAATAAGATAACCAGCTAATCAGAGGCCTGGATATTTGACAATATTATTATTGGGTAAATGGTTTCTTACTTACAAGTTAAGATTATAAAATGTCACAAATTTTATACGAATTCAATCTGCATTTATGTTGATCATCTTCGGGTCGCATTGATCTCTTGTAATACAGCATACAAACAAGTCTTGACATGATATGCAAGTTATACAGAAGGATCTATCAGATTGCATACAGGAACAGTTAATAATCCAGTTCCCACAGAAGTCCTATTATATAACATAACCAACATTTTATCAAATTTCCTGGACATCTTTGTCATTATATGTTTATTTTTAACCATCAGGTTATCCATACAGAGGTAGTGTGTTCTTTAGTTTGCTTTTCAGTTACTTGAATCACTTGAATCCATTGAATTCAATTCCTTTCGTAATTTTCTGACATCTGCTGCTGTTTGGAATTCTCTTTTAAAACCACGGGTCATTCCACGACATGAGGTAAGGTTCACAGAGGTTAAGTCTTGACATTTGTTCAATACAAGACTGAAACATACAAACAAATCCATAATCATTGCCATTTAAAAATATTTATTCATTTTTCAATTGTTAGGGTTACCAGCAGAGAGAGAAATGTGGTTCAACAACTACTTAACACAAACCAGGTCATTTTAGAAAAACATGTTTCCTTTCAATAAGTTTCTTGTTTGCATCAATCTTTATAAGTGACACTCCCAACCCTTTATGATTTTAGGCAGGTAACCCTATTCAATGTGACATTTAATCAACAAACCTCATAATCAAAAGCAGATGCATTAAACCGCCCAGCAATCCAATCCCTCTTGTATCAGTACAGTCCAGAGAAGTTTTGATGCATAACGTAAGTTTTTATGCAGAGGGGGACCGTTATTGTTAAGATTTTTGTTTGAGTGAAAAGAAGTTAACTTTTTTTTTTCATTTGTCTTACAAGCATGATTTATTCCTTTTGTATCAGTACAGTCCAGAGAACTTTTGATGCATAGAGTGACTGTTCAGATTTTTGTTCTAGTGAAAACAAGTTAACTTTTTTTCATTTGTCTAACAAGCATGATTTATTGAACTTTCAGCAAAAAGTGAGCAGTGCTACAATTGAAATTTTTACCTTACTGTTTCTTGTGTCACATTTGTTCCTGCCAAGTTGAGGCTGGATAATGGGCAATGATCGGTCATATTAACCAGTCCTTTGAAGGCATGATTTAAATCTTCTTCCCGTAAAGTACTCCACGATAAGTCTAATTCTAAAAGACTTCTTCTCCACTGCAAAGGAAAAGCAAAGATTTGTTCAACTGGTGGGTATTTTATAGATCACTGAACAAATAAAGCAAATACATTTAACTGTGACAAGATCCAATTGGTTTCCAAAATCAACATTTAAAGTTTTATTTGATACAAGTTTGGAGCAAGTATATCTACACAGATTTATAAATGGAAGTTTAGTTCTTTATTTCAATTTCATTACTATACATAAATACACAGATGTACAACAGTACTTACCTTCGTCAACAATAATGCCAGCCGTTGATATTGAGAACCATCCCTTTGTGTAGCTGTATTCGAGGCATGTAGAGACTGTACATTATTACTGTCTATATTACACAAGTTATAACAATCTATATTATCATTACCTCGTAGATCTAATAACTTTAAATCAGGTGAATCATGTAGAATCCTAAAATATAAATGTACTCTTTCAACACTTGTACCTTAATGGATCATTACTCAAATCTGACTCCTTAAACATGCATTATGCAAGAGCTAAATCTGCCTATTGCAGGTCTTTCTTTAGGCCTGAAATGTTTTCTAAAGTATTAATTAGTCATTAATTAACTGATCCAGGCCTTAATCAACTCTCGATGGCATCAGATTTCTCCGATATTAAATAGATTAGAATGGTTCAGCGATACTTAGATTTAATCAAATATGGAGGACCAAGACTTAGCTTCGATCAAACAGTACGGTGGTTGAAATTATTGCACACGTCTATCAAACCTTCAAAGGCTAATATCTTCGCTTGCAATAGAGTAATTTGAATGAAATTTTCAAATTATTCATTTTACATCATCTACTTTCGAACTATTATAGCAAGAATGGCTAGTTTAGTTCTTTATCTAAATCTTACATAATGTATCTTTAATTTTGTCAACTGACTTTACACCCATTGCTTTCTAACAAATTACCCTTCAGAATATTATTTATTGAACATACACTAGAGCTTCATATATCCCTAGTTATTCCGAGTCCCCTTTATATCGGACTGAAGAGCTTTGTTATAATGCTGTCATTAGGGTTCACTTTTGTATATCTTAAGTCCCCTATATATCAGACTGAAGGGCCTTGTTATGTAGTCACAGATTTATTGCAATTCTACACATAAATTAAGAACAAAATATTTTCATCACTATCACATGGGGAAAATTAAAATCGATATACCTTGTAACAAGATCTAAATTAAGACAAGATCTTGGTTGATCTCCTGGTTTATTGTATGCTACACTTAACTGTTCTAACTTGGGAAACGATGATAATCCAGGTTCCTAGTGAAAAATTAAAAGATTATAGCATACCCTTAAAATTGAAAATGACATCTATAAAAAATGGCTCAATATAGTCAATAAATAATCTTTTTTTTTTTCCTTCAAATATTAACCTTATACCATCTACATTTGATTTGAATTACAGAATCGATTTTTAAGATTGCTGAAAATATTTAAACCAGACTGACGTCTGATAGAAGTCACTAAGTAGGCACTTTGGAGTGCAGACACAATGGCAAAGAACACTAGCTACAAACCTGTGAAACTCCAATTCTGGAATTGGCTAGTCCTAAGATTTGTAAATTGGGACAAGAATTCTGGAATTTTTTCACATTGACCAAAACGATATCAGTGGAAAATAAGCAATTAGAAATATCCAACATTTCTAGCTGTGGACAGTGACTCTGAAATAGTTAACAATTAGAAGAATTTTAAATCCAGATCTTACATATATTTTTATATGATTTTTTTGTGACTCAAAATATTTTATAGCGAAATGAAACATACTGACTAATCAAACTTCTTTTGATAATGCTGTAAGGTGGAAATTTTTTAAAAGGATAAAGTTCAGACCTACAACTGAATTTTTAAAAAATGCATTATGTGAGATTAGACAAAAAGTTGACAATTCTCAAAATAATTGTTAAAAAATAGATAATATAAATAGAATATGCTCAAAATTTCAATCAAATTGCCCAAACTTTCTGAGATATTAGCTTTTAGGCTAGCCTCGATAATCCTTACTAAAGCTGGTACAATAAAAAACAAAGTCTCAATTATCCATTTTTACTTTTAATTATTTTTCAAAAAATGTATTTCAATCTGCTAAATATCACAGGGTAGTGATGGCATCAAGAGTTGATTATGGTCTGGATAAGTTAATTAATGTCTAATTAACAATTTAGATAACATTTCAGGCCTAAAGAAAGACCTGCAATAGGCAGATTTAGCTCTTGCATAATGTATGTTTAAAGAAAGTTTAAAATTTAATTACTTACTAAAATCAAATTAAATACGGAATTGAAAGACTTATAGGTATTGCCTCCCATAGTAAGTTGTTTAAGATAAAGGCCATGTTTAGGTAACAAAACTTTTAAACTCTGTAAACATACAGCATCTACCTGAGAAAAACAACACCATTATTGCATGAAAGATCAAAACAGTTACAAGCTACAAAATTGTACATGACACATCTGTAAAGATCTGTTTATTCCTTAGGACAGGTTCCAGCCAGCAAAACATACAACCACGGCAGCTAAGTTGTACGATCAGTCAACAAGGGTTGTCTCATATTTATTGTTTTTGTGGGTAATGGCAGCATTTGGAAGACACTCATATCAATTTCTGACAGATTAGATGATAATTTTTATCATTTGAGTGTTCACAAGTTTCTACAAAGTGAAAAAAGGGCCACAACTCTAAGAACTAATTGAAATTGTTGAAATTCAATAGAGGTCTCTGTTTTACTAATGTAAATACTGGTAATATAAACAAGTCAACAGTGCACTTAGTCAAGGTATTGGTATAATGAATTTATTGCTTATCTCTGCTTAGCCTTAGTGGCAAATCGGTGATCGAACACTGTCAAGGCATTCTCCTAATAAATACCTACACCAAGTTTGAACATTCTACCTCAGTTAGAAGGAGAATTATTGAGTTCCAAAGTCTCGACCAATCAGATTGAAGTATCTTCTTAGTCTAAGCAGAAAAGCTCATTATCAAACTTAGTAATGAAACTATACACAAAGTTTCACATAGAATCAAAGACTCCACTAATCAAATTGCTTATCACTCTGCTTACCATGAGCAGAAATTGGCCATTATCGAACTCAGTCAAGGTACTAGAACCCAAGTTATCGTGTCCAAAAGCATTAACCAATCAAATTGTTTACCCATGCTTAGCCTAAGCAGAAAGTGCTCATCTTCGAACTCCATCGAGGCATTCACATAATAAACACCTACACCAAGTTTGAACATTCCAGCTCAATTAAAAGCCGAGTTAAAGTGTCCCAAAAAGTGTGCCGTTCGGCCGGACAGACAGACAGGTGACAATAAATTTTATGCAAATCAGATGATAATGATAATTTTTGTCATTTAAGTTCAAGCATTCACAAGGTCCTTGTGAAATGGTTGAAATTCGTTAGGCTTCTCTGTTTTATTAAGATAAATGATTCATGTTAATTTCATACAATTGGATGATAACTTTTTGTCGTTTGAGTGTTCACAAGGTTCTACAAAGTGAAACAAGGCAAATAAATAATTAACCGAAATTTTCTAAATTCGATAGACTTCTTCATTTTTACATTGAACTCTTAGCCATATTATTCTGAACATATATTTTAATTAAGATTTGATTAATAAGAGCCCTCAACATAGGCAAATATTTAATCTTATTTCAATTTATTAATCGAAAGTAAAACTACTTATCAAATGAGGCTTAAAAAGTATTAAAAAAAAATACCTTTACTTACAGGTGTAAAAGATAGATCAAGTGATGTTAATTGATGACAATTTTCAGCTATTGTTACAATTGTCTCTGTGGTTACTTTACAATATGATATATTTATAACTTTTAACTGTGAACAGGTTTCTGTTAATAGCTACAAAACATAAATATCCAACTAATATTTCTTTCTCAAAATGCATAGTTCATTTTTTCATAATCTAGATTTAAATCTAAATTCGTTTTGTACAATGCAAAGAGTACTGTAGTAGTTGAGCGATTAGGTTACTGGACTCGCAACTTGATTGTCCAGACTTTAAATCCTGGCATAGGCTGAAATAACTTTCAGGTTTAAACTTGTCGGTGGTAGCAGCTGTAGTCCAACAGGCAAAGTGTTGCTTAGATGTTTCAATGATACAAAAATCTAAAGTTCAACTCTGCACACAATGGCATACTAGTATAAGTAAAAGAACTCCTAAAACTGGATAAAGTCAGAACCCCATTGTTAGATAAATTATCCTCTTTATTGCTAAACTACACATGACACATGAGAGAGAGAGAGAGAGAGAGAGAGAGTTGAGGGCCCACTCTACACAAATTAGGACATTTTACACAAATTAGGATATTTCGAGACTAACATATGGTTCAATTTTATCTAATTTCAATAATTCGTTTGCACATAGGGATCTTTAGCAGTGGAGGAAACCAAAGGATCTGGGGAAAACCCACGAGGTTGGACAGGTGACCCTACTCCTTGTCACATACAACCGGTGATGACTATAAGAAAGTATCTGTGTTTGCACAACTCAGAACACTCAAAATTCCAGGAGTTTTCCAGGAGTTATTTACCAGATTCCAGGAGTCTCTGTATAGAATTCTGCATAATAATGTATTTTTTTTACGCTTGAAGAACATTTACGGCGACAAAGTAGTGAACTTTCGAAGAAACATTTGATGACTACGTTCAGTTTTATATCTTAAAATATATACATGTATAGCGAAACCACAAATATTAATTTTCCATGAGTTTCAAGGAGTAATCTTGTTTTTCCAGTACTGGAAATCACATTTTCATTTTTCCATGTGTTTCAAGGAGTGTGCGTACCTGGAGTATTGCTTTAATGGCTAAGGTATTGCATTAATAATACCTTATACTCCATTCCTTAGCTTTCCGGGAGGTCATTCCAAAGCTGATTTTAGCTCTTAACTGATAAATCTTTTTGAACTGCCCATTTGCATTTCAGGTTGTGCATCGTTAAAATTAAAAAAAACAACAAAAAACCTTTATGTTGCTGTTGACGAAAAATTTTGATGCAGATAAGTTGACATCCCTGCAGTGGGTCAATCTGTTTTCACATAACCATTTTAATACCCTTTCACTCATCTTAATCCAACCAAAAGACAAATCCACTTTTCTCCATAATGTGGGATCACAAGCAACATTTCTCCATGTTCTGCAAACTTTTGATGCTCTGGAAATATATACATGTTTTACATGGCAAATGTTATGAACGAATTGAGGATTTTTCTAGAATTCTTATACTATTTATATCAAGAGGTGGTAGTAGTGGTTGAATTGTCTGAAGTGAGAAAGAGAGAGAGAGAGAGAGAGAGAGAGAGGGGAATGGGTTTATCGTCCACTTGACACAAACTTGGTCATTTCGGAACTAACATATGGTTAAATTTTATTTCAGTAATTTGCTTGTGCGTATGGGTGTTTAGCAGTATGGGTAAACAAGAGGACCCAGAAAGAACCCACGAGATTGGATAGGCGACTTGAGTTTGATCCCACCAATTTATATGGAGACAAGGAGTAGGGTTGTCTGCTAATGAGGTTTTCTCCATGTTAAAGAGCAATAGATTTGTTATCATAAGTGGGTGTTACACCATTTCTCAACCTTACCTTACAAGGAATGGGAGAGTACCCTGACTATTTACTAATTCTTGAAATACTTTCAGTAAAATTTCTTCTGGTAACTGTAAGCTAACTCCACTTCTTTCAGTTGACTTCTCAACAATTGATTCTTTAGGTTTTTGTTCCTTGGAATTTTTTATGCGTTTCCTTCTATTAACTTTCCTGAAATACAACATGAATATAACCTATTTATTTTTGCTACATAACTGCTTTAGATTCTCATTGGTAGTCTCTATTTGAATTCAATTTTTGGCATTTCATTACTGTATTGTTATAAAGGACTTTGCATATTATGCAGTATTAAATAATGGTACTTGCAAGGGTTTTTCTCCATCATCTCATATTACCTTTTGGTATTAGATATTTCCTCATCAGAAGGGATATAATCTGAATCTTCTGAATCAGAGCTCCATTCTTCACCTTGACGTACATTAAAAGAAAATAGCATCGGTCTCTTAGGAACACCAAGTATCCCTTTCTCTGTTTTTCTCTTTCTTTTCTTAGAATCTATCATAAAACAAAAATAATGGTTGTAAGTGACTGCTTTTCGTCCTAACATGATCTGATTATTACATACTAACAGTGCTATTTAATAACTAAAATGACGGATGTTTCAAGAGTTTAACCTAACTATCCCCACATCTGATTGATAAGGGATTATGAGGTTACTGGACAGTAGAGGGGGGGGGGGGAGAGAGAGAAATGAGGTTTAACGTCCACTCGACACAAACTAGGTCATTTCGGGACCAACACATGGTTAAATTTGCTTGTGCGTATGAGTGTGTAGCAGTACGGGTAAAAAAGCTCACCCAGAAAAAAAACAATCATTATTTCAATCATTCGCTTGCGCGTAGGGGTCTTTAGCAGTGGGAGGAAACCGGAGGACCCGAAGAAAACCCACAAGGTTGGACAGTTGACCCTACTCCTTGTCACGTACAACCAGGGAATCGAAACCCTGGCAATTGACTCAATGACAGACCATATGATACAGTGCGCACGTGCTAACCATTCGGCCATCCAACCCTCCCTGTGGGTGTAGGCCAAGAACACACTAATCATTTGGAAGGTTGGCACTGTAAACTGAAGAAGCTTGGTCAGGGCCATCCAAATATATACAAGTTCCTAGACTTGATTAAGACCGAACACGAAGATATTAAACTAACCATCAGATAACTAGAATCTGGGGGCAGACTTGCTCCCAAAAGAAGAAAGTGCCGCCACCTTGATAGAGAATCGTAGAAGAGAATACCTTATTAATCACTGGTGCCAAGACACCCACTGAATACCTCAACACTGTTATGAAATTTGTTGGAATGTAAATTGTCATGTTTATCAAACTGTTAATAAATATTTATACTATAAAAATGTATTTGTTTATTTATTTATATATTTACTCATTTTAATATATGCACTTACTTATTATATATATTACTTATTATATATTTATACATTATTGAAATTTATTTATTCAATCTAACAATGCACTTATTACTTATTTATTATATTATATATGTATTTATTTGTATATTATTAAAATTCTGGAAATGGTTTAATATAAGAATCCATATTATATGTACTTTTTACATGTAGTCTTTTTCACTAAATACTGTTTAAATCATTTTGTTGAAGTGTCACAAACTTGTTACAGACTATATTTTACCCCCCCTTTGTTAATTAATTAGCCTTTTAAACAAAGTTTATAATAATATGCAGCTATATTGTTCTTAAAGGCTCAATACCACTCTTGTTGTAACAGAATAATATGTCCCAATCTTTATTCTGGACAACAAATGTTACTATTTTAGAATATTTCAATTAATTGATGATACAAATTTCATCTTAACACACCTTATTTAAAAATTTTGAAAAATTCAACATAATGGTTTGAAATGTCTAACGTAAACCTTTTCAAATGAAACTTTGATTTAAAAATATTTTCGAACCCTCTGGACAAGTAAAATAGGATGTAATGGATAATTTACACAACAGGTAGGACACTTAAAAATCTAGTACTTAGATAGAGATATTATTTATTTTCTGGAGCTTTCAAGCCAGCAAGAGTGTTATTGTCTCTTTAAATTTTAAGCTTTTCTCTAGGTCTTGCAAATAAAGTTAACTGATCTGAGATATTATTTCTGTGTATAAATAATGCAATATATCAATATTCTCACATTGTTGGATAAAAGGAATAAGAATCAAAGAAACATATATTATATAAAACATTTTTGTTGTGAATAATATTGAATAGTCTTTTAATTTAGTTATGAAGCGAATTAGTAAAGGAAAATATTGGTCAGAGTAGTCTACATGTATCAACCGTCCGACTAGTTTTTGTCCGAGTTGTCTGGTTACCCTAATTTTGTCCTGTTTGAAACAACTACTTAATTATGGTTAATTCCATATTTGATGTTACTCCCATTCAAGATGCTATCCTAAACCCAGTCCTAAATAAAAGTCGCGTATGTTTGGCACATGAGTAAAGTCCAGTAGAATAAGACAGTCGAAAAAAACAGTTGATGGCCGATTAAAATTAAGTTTGTAATGAATGTAATTTAAAGAAAAAATGCACTAATTCAAATATCGTTTATCATGGTTTCTGTCTATTTTTTATTTTCCCTAATGTTCAAATTTGATTGTTAAAATCAAAACTTTATTATTGTTTTTTCATTCAATACCCTAAAACAACTTATGCAGACCTCTCTTTGTGAGTAAGGTCATCAATTAGGGTTAAAGGTGAATGACAGAAATAAATGGCAGGACTAAATACCTTCTTTTTAGTCTGTGTCCGATGCATAAAACTGATGACAGCATAGTATCTAGTTGCTTCGGAATAAAAACAACAATGTGGGGGTATTTATAGAGCACTAAGCTACATGTTGTTATCTTAGTTACTGCCACCGCTGCTTACTAAGTCTAAAGTCATGCTTTACGTTTTTCCTCATCATATTGAGCGACTGGTTAAATTTATTCAACTGGATTATTTGACAGGTTTATACGACTGGATCATTTGACTGAATTATGAACTGATTTTATCATCTTAGATATTTGACTGGTTTTATTGTCTGAGATATTTGACCGTTTTTATTGTCTGGATGAGACTACAAAGTAGTAGGCCAACATTCCTACAAGAAAACGCCTTGTCCAATACCTATACCACATCCACCCACCATTTGGGCCTCTATTATCTTAGTTCACTCCAATCAATGTTGATTTAAATTGACAAATAAGTCGTGTTTGCAATGTCGAAGACTGTGGGTGATACTGAGCTAAATCTTGGCTACTTTAAGATACGGTACCACCACTACTGGCACTGGCACCAGACTTGTGTACGTCCATTTCTTACCCGAACTTTGACCAGGTCGTTTTCTTTCTGCCATCCTAAATATTACGGAATCACATTAGCTAGATCTTCATTCCGTTCAGTTCAATATCAAAGACGAGTTGCACAAACTTTGTTATATACCGGTACTTCAGATTCAGCGTTTTCTGTCAATAAATCTGACATTGAATTGTTATGTTTTGTTTTGTTTTCATGCATTGCGCCATTTCCTGTAAGCATCGCTTTCGTTGTTTTCAAACACTAGAGAAAAGCTTGCTAAAAATGAGTTACCCCCCTTTAATGAAAGTGCCCTCTTTCATTAAAACGGCATTAGGTTAGGGTTGTAAACAAAAAAAAACAAACAAAAAAAACCCAAATAAATTAACGATCTACCCTCTAAATAAGAATTCCTAATAAATGCACAAGATTATTATCAAACCGGTACTATTTCCCTTGAAACTATTTCAAGCATCATCTGAAACTTCTACAAACAATTGAAATATTGATATTATCAATATAGGTACAAATGTAGGTATCTTTTTTTCGGGGGGTGGGGGGTGAATCACCAATAATCTAGGTAGGTATGGGGGAGATGATTTCCAATCTAGGTAGGTATTGGAGGGATGATTACCAATCAAGGTAGGTATGGGTTATGATTATCAATCTAGGTAGATATGGGGGAGATGGGTGTGCGTGTGTGTGAGTTCGCAAAATAATTTTTTCAATCCATAAACACATTTTTTTCAGCAAAATATGTGATCTAAAATTATAAAATATTAATACTGAGCAAAACTTAAAATTACCAATATTAGATTCGGGATTTCTTTTATATGCACAGTGTTTTGGCTATCATTATGGTCTTGAGGGAATAAGAAAATGTAATAAAGACTAAATATCTAAGTACATGTATTTATTCAATATCATTTATTATTTGGTAATATTTCATTACTGTATATACATGTGTGCGTTTTTACTAGTACAAAAAAGTTTGGTCTATGTTTGCATAACAAATACATGTACATTTATTGGTGTATGCGGCCTATCCTTTACATTGTAAAATGATATTTTTGTTGTATTTTAAATCATTATAGCACAAATTTGTTTTAGATTTATTTGTAACTCTATAGATTTTAGAACTTAGTTCTTTGTTAATAAAATAATAAATGTAACATAGCAAAAAATAGCATTACACAAAAATATAGATAACAAGCTTCTTAAGCACATACAAGTGCTTCTTAAGCACATACAAGTGCTTCTTAAGCACATACAAATAACATAAAACATTAAATAATTATAAAATTTAATAATATCTTATGTCATTTCAACAATAACAAAATCCTTGTATACCATAATAAAAAAAAAAATATGTTACATTTTACTGTAATTTTTCAAGTTAGCTGCAGCTGGGGCATCTAACATCCAAATTACCTCCCCTTGTTCTGGCTTTACTCTTGATGCAGGTAAAGGTTTCTCCTCATTTCCTTCCAAAACACGCTGAAAAATTAAGATAGTTATAAGTAAACAGAATATTAACAACTTTACGGATACATTAAGAAAGTAACTACATCTTTAATATTTCAACCTCAACGTTAATATGATGAGTGACATTGAATGGGTACGTTTCAAATCTTTATCATAAACAGGATTAACACTCATTAAAGTCAAATAAACATAGATTTATGCAAATGGAGAATACAATTTGCAAGTAAATTTTATAAATTGTACAGGCTTATTAAATGACCATGATGTTATACTTTACCTTCAGTATTTCAGCTTTCCCTGCTCCACAGGAAGCAAAAACAGCACATCTACATTTATTAATAACAGGATAGGTCATTGTAACTCGACACGGTGGTGGTTTTGGTGAATCAGATATTGGTGCCACTATTTTCTCTGTTTCCTGTAATAGATACAATGCAACATTTGGTAATACAATGTGAGGTTTTTTTTACTTTTTCTATGTTAAAAACAATCCTTAGAGGTTCTCTTCCATGCAAATTGATCTAATGAGCTAAATAGGCTGAATATAATATATCAAACAGTACATGATGGCATGCACACACAAAATCAAACCAGATTGAGGGTAGAGATAAAAGAAGCAATCAAGTTATACAAGCCTGACATCAGAGAATATGTGTAGTTCTCAACCTGTGTCACTAACATAACCATACCAAATGCCAGAATATCAATATATTTGGCAGCAATTTATATTCAAAGTAGGTATTTTATTACTAATTTCTGGTCTCTCGGCATGTAGATGTAAACAGATGCTAAATGTAAATGATTTTGGAATAAGAATGTTTAAAAATAAGTTTTGCAAAGAATCACATTTCAGAGCAGAAATAATGAAAGAATAAAATTGGGGTTAACGTACTGCTTTACTGCAACAGCAGAAATAACAATACTGAAATGTTTTATTTTCTAAAAATCTGAACGAAAGTACAGATTAAAAATAAAAATAATCTAATTCTACCTGTAACAGAGGATGGTCAGGGAAGAGAGAACAGGTATGTCCATCAGGACCCATTCCTAATACCAACACATCAAAAACTGGTAGATCTGTTGTTGCAAACACTGTGCTGATTTTTTTAGCATAATCTACTGCACACTCTTCAACTAAAATTGTCAAAATAAGTTAAAAAAAAAATGTGGTATAGGTAGTTTAAAAAAGTATTTTTATTAAAGAGAAGATGAATATTTATAGTTTGTAAATAATATCTTTTGTTTTAATTGTATTTCTGAAGACTAGCCAGATTCTTGAGGTTTGAACTTTGAAGTCCCAAGAAAAACGGAAAAGATCTTTATCTTTATAAGTATTTCTCATTATCCCAATACACCAAATGATTGAAAATAAATTAGATAAATAAAATGGCTATGGCTTAGCATGGAAATAAATCAGACATGAAATAGGAGTCAATGCCCTACTCCTTTGCACCAACAAGACCAAGAAAACATGGTTCTTTGGGGGAACATGACAAATATAATCAGTTTACTTCAACTGAATGTGTTACATATATCTTCAGTTATATTTTCCTTATAAAAATAGAAATGAAAATGTCTTGATTCCCAGAGAAAGATGAACAAAATATATATAGAAGTATACCTGGAAGATCTGGATTTATAGGGTATATATTCTCTGGTGGAAAATTTATTTTGGATAATAGATTGTTTTTATAAACACTGTAGGTACATTCTGGATTTGTAAAAGGCACATGACGTTCATCACAAAAAAATATTCTCCATTTCGACCAATTAGTTTCAGCCTTCTCTAAGCCATCACATAAAAATTTAGCTGCACTTCCCCCTATCAAAAAAAGATTTGTAAATTATATCATACAGATACAGCATCACACAATATAGCTAGGCATTAAAAATCAGGTCCTTACTGAGAATAGTTAATATAAAAAATAAAACAAGCCAACAGTGAGGTGGATGTCCCCTGCCAAAATCCTGAAATAAATAGATGACACGTATTAATTAATTGCAAATTGATCTTTTTCAAAAGTATTGGGCAATCAAACTGATTATCAACTATACACTAAGTTTCATCACTCTCTATCAGAAAATTCTCATTAAACTTAGTCACGGTAATGATATAATGAACCTATACTCGGAGTGTCATAGCTCTCACTTAATTATAACTACGTTATCGTGTCAAAAAGCATTAACGAACGTCTACACCAAGTTTGAACATTCTACCTCAATTAGAAGGAGAGTTTTTGTGTTTCAAAGTCTCGACCAATCAAATTGCATATCGCTCTGCTTACCCTAAGCAGAAAATGCTTATTTATGGAACTTACTCAAGGTATTGATGTGATAAAACTATACACCAAATGTCCTCACTCTCACTTAATTAGAACTAAAGTTATCGTGTCCCAAAGCATCAACCAATCAAACACCTACACCAAGTTTGAACAGTCTGGCTTAATTAGAGGAAAGTTATTGTGTTCCAAAGTCTCTGCCAATCAAATTGGTTATTGCTCTGCTTACCCTGAACAGAAAATGCTCATTATCGAACTTAGTCACGAAGAATGGTGGAAATTACTAATGTTGAAATTTACCTTTTGCAGGTAATATAGACATTAGGGTTCGGGTTATACTTTTGGAAAGGATATGTTGACATTATTACTTGCATTATTTAAAAAAAAATTGATGCTTTTCTGGTGACCTTTAACGTCTTGCAATTCAGTATGAAAATTGTCAGGTGATACATCGATTCAGTGATATAAGGTGCCAGCACTATATTGTACTATGTTTTTATGGGTGATTATTATGGTTGACCAGATAATTTCTTGAATGAATGGGATTCTGGGAGTCACATCAAACCAGATTGCTGTTTTATGAAAGCCAAAGGCACACAGGTCTAATGTATTAGGCTAAATACAAAGTAAAGTTCTGATTGTGTAGTAGTTACTTTAGTAACGAAGTCTTAGAGACCCCTAGTACTCTCTCTTCATTACTGGCGCTTCCTAATGACAACTAATATGAAAATGAGGCTTTCACCGCACATCTCGGTTCTAAGACTATTTTGGAATCCTTACTGTCTGTTTTTCACTGTGGTTCTTCTTTGTTCGCCAAAGGGAATCATTTCTTGCCACATCCGACACAAAATTTATAATAATCCAACACTATTTTCATGTAGAATTTAGCGATCCAAAAACACAATCAAAATTCATAAAAAAAATTGGTGTGGATTCCAAAATAGCCTTAGAACCAAGATGGGGGGAAAGCCGTATTTTCATATTAGTTGTCATAGGATGCGCCAGTAACGAAGAGAGAGCACTAGCCTCTAGGGCCTACTTAGTACTAGATGGGGATGCTCGATTCACAGTCAGGAAGGTCCCGAATTGACAGAATTGCAATCGAGTGACACGGAATCCAGCCCTGTCACAGTTCTGTCAGTCCCAACGACGGAGGTGGTGTGAGTAGAATTGTGACGTAATTAAACACGACGAACAGGTTTCGGATGCATGCTTGGATGAGATATTTATATATCCAGTCGACGCATGCATTGTAGCCCGAAGTACCCATTTTCACTCGATTGTCACTATTTTTGGGATTGAGAGATTTCAATTCCGGAACGTTCAATCGAGTACGCCCCTGGTAGGGGTCTCTCTTCCCTAAGCCTAACTTATAAGTTATTACTAAAATAGTCACAGTGGTCAGCTTAGTGCTTGCATCATTTATAGTCAAATGTTTCTAACTGAAATCACAGAACATGCAATTACCAGATACACCTATAAAAAATTGACCCCTAGAGTTGATTGCGTCCTTAGCTTTGCGAATAACTAAGGAACACAAATTGTCTGCGACGTTTTTATCAGAATCAAAAACTTGCACCGTGGGGGCAGCCATATTGGAAATACTCTCCGCTTCTTACAAAACAATAAATACATTTTATATATCAAGGAAATGATTTCAACAAAGTATTGAAATTTTCTGTTAGATATCTGTTATTTTTCAACACACTTCTGTGGTGATTGTATGTGCGATCTCTTAAATAATCAGATGGAAAACAAATATAGCTGTAAAGAGTTTATTTGGAGAATACTTTTCGTGTGCTGTACATAGAGATCAGTGGTACTGTATAATAAGCCTTTATCGTCCAGACCCTCGATGCAATGCCATTTCGATTTAATGTCTTTTATTTATTAAAAGGATGTGATTCTTGTTTTCAAATGATAATTAAAGTGAAACAAAATCAAACGTGGATATGGATAAATTGACTAAATTTGAACCAATTAAAGACAGTGAACTAAGTAGTAATAGCCGGCCACGCTGTGACCGACTTTTCACAGTGTGAGTGTGATGACAGAAACATTGAGCGACTGGACAACCAAAAATATGTTAACCCAAATCACCAGCAATGGCGGATGTACTGACTATTTTGAGACAGTATAATGTCAACAAAAAAGACATCACGGAGAAAGATGACCAAGTTATATTTGGTGAATTTGCGTGGCAAAAAAACGTAAAGACCAATTATGTCGTGTGGGGGTAAGTATTGGAATGTATTTTATGGAAAAGTGTGAAAAATAGCGTGGAGTGCAGGCTACGTTTTTACTTCCATTTTATCAAGTTCGATAACTCCCGAGAACTGTGGTCTTTATCATTTATAGTAACATGGGGTTAAACGTCCCACTGTTCTGCACCGACTGGTCGACATGTCATAATAGGGGGTCCTTTCGGATGGCGATACGTTCATTACATGTATGTACAGAATATTTGGTTTCCCAGTGAATAAGCAATGAGCAGAATCGCTAATTTTGAACCTAGAAATTGACACAAATGGGTCGCAACACATATAATGAATATACATGTAAGTGTATACAAACTGATTTACATTCAATCGTTTCTGTTTTTACTGTAATTTCAAATCAGTTATGTTTGGCGAACTGCGCCAGAAGTCTCAATCAATTTGTGGTTTCAATGTCAAAGACTTTGATGATTGAGTTAGATATTTAGCTACTTTAAACTTACTGGACGTGTCACGAATAATCAGCAAGCTTGTATATTTATGATTGAACAAAATTGCCTTTAAATGTAAGCTTACTACTTACTTAGATTGTGTCTTAATTCTCACAACGGTACGACTGTTATAGTTTACATGTAGCTGACAAGTCAATGAATGAACAGGTAATAATCAACTCCTGTAATTAGCATACATGTACATGTAGGTGCCATTTTCGAACGACATTACATTAGGAATAAGATTAAAACGTAATCAGCTAGATTGAGTAGTCAATCAAGTTTGTGTTTATAACACTGTAGTTGACTTGATCCTGTCTATTATTAAAGATAATTAAGATTAGTAAAGACATGGTTAAGCTAATACTCTCATTATGTACATTATAATGTTTTTGGGTTGGTTTACTTCTTGATGTCCGATGGGCCTATTTGCTGTCGGTCAGATATTGGACAATCCCAATCGACATATCTGCCAAATACATACAAAAAGAATCATTGCTATACACTGTTTGTGTAGTAATAAGTAATATATTTATTATGACAAAAATTATTTTTTAGTAAAGGAGATGTGATTGAAATTCTTAGAACAAACGTAAAAAGAAATAAAGAATGTATTTTGTGCTATGAATCTTTTAATCATTAATGAAAAGATGTCACTTATTTGCTTTATAAAATAATGTATTTTAGGACTGGCAAGGATGGTATACCAAAAGAATATTACACACTAGATTCAATCCTGTTCCTCTTGAAAAATGTTCACCTTCAGCATTTTATGTATGTCAAGGAGGCTGTGGTTAGTATAACTGCATTGTATTTAATTTTCTTGAAATCTAGAGATCTTTAAATTAAGAGGAATAAGATGTCTTAAATTTAGTTGTTTGATGTTTTTAAAATCTTAACATCATTGATAATTAAAGATACATTATGTAAGATTTAGATAGAGCTGGTCAGTCTTGCTATGATAGTTCAATAATAGATAATGCAAAATGAATATATTCAAAATTTCATTTAATTTACTTATTCTGAGCAAAGATATGCGCCTTTGAAGGTTTGACAAGATGTGTGCACTGATTGTAACCACCGTATTGGTTGTTCAAGGCTAAACCTCGCTTGTCGCTTCACCATTTTGATATGCCCACATTGAAATGTGGTTATATATTGTCGTCGCTGCATCTGTCGGTCCAGCAACCACAGTTGCTTGAGGAAGCTCTAGAGGCTAAAGTTAATATCCGATTGACTTTAAATTGATACACAGTGTTTAAGGTAATCAGACGAAGAAGCCTATTGATTTTCACCAATTTCCGATAATTACTGCCAGAGTTATGGTCCTTGATCACTTTGAGAAATCTGGCGGGTTGGATGGCCGAATGGTTAGCACTAATGTGTTGTATCATAGAGTCTGTCATTAAGTCAGCTGGCATTTTTTCGATTCCCCGGTAATACGTGACAAGGAGTAGGGTCGCCTCTCCAACCTCGTGTGTTCTCTCCGGTGTCCTTCTTCCCACTGCTAAAGACTCCTAAGTGCAGCGAATTATTGAAATAAAATTGAACCATATGTTAGTCCCGAAATGACCTAGTTTGTGTCAAGTAGACGTCAAACTCCATTTCTCCCTCTCTTGACGAGTTGTTAGTCTTAATCAGATTTTGGTGTATTATAAATGTTTCATTACTGACAAAATTAAAAATATCTGACAACTCTTGTTGACTGCACGGGCGATTTAGCTGCTGTGGGCATATGTTTCATTACCTGGCACAACCTATCTTTAAAGTAAATCATTAAATAGCTCATCTGTTCTAATCTACTTAAAATCGGACCCATTTGATGGCATCGAGAGTTGATTATGATCTTGTCATGTTAATAAATGTCTAATTAATAGTTTACTTAACATTTAAAGCCCAAAGAAATAGGCACATAGGCAGATTTACTCTTGCATAATGGCTGTTTAAATATATTTTGTTTCCTACTTTTGTATTAAATTTCATTTTTTCAGGCAAACAATTTACATGTTGTTCGTCGTCCAGATAGAAAAGATCTGTTGGCCTACTTGAATGGAGAAATAGCTACTTCAGCTAATATTGATAAGAGTGCTCCATTAGAGATCTCACAAAGACCCATACAAGGTAATAAAAAAAAAAATGTATCTAGACAGAGTACGTTCATAATGTCATTAGCTAAAATTTGTGATTTTGATTGTTTTGTATTGTCTCCTGGCTTTCGAAGAAAGTGGGGCACTATTAAAATGGGTTTGTTCCATTAAAACATAAATGTGGCAGTAATAAATGAATTAGTGTCATCAACCTCACTTTTGTAAACTTAAACATGAGCGCTGCATCATGACAGATCAATTAATTTTGAATTGCTTCTAATCTGTTTTGATATTTTATGAAAAAAATAGCTACTCAGAATCACTAAAGTATTCTATTTTAAATCGATCTGATTAAGTAAATATTTATTTTTTAGTTAAAAGATCAGCAGAAGAACAAGGAGGAGAAAGTGATAAAAAGAAAAGTCGTTTGGAGGTTAGTTAAAATACAGATCCTGTGCTGTTGTGACTGGATACTCTTGTCAGGAACAAAAGGAAATTTCCCTTTAGCAAAGTTAGCAAAAAGTATTTGATATCACGACAACACATAAGAAATCAATCTTAATGTCCCCAGCCCACTATATATTTACATTAATGTTCGCATAACTGACCAGAAATTTTTCGAGTAAAAAAATGTATTGTATAATTTATTTCTAGGAAGAACAAGTGCAACAGGCTAAAAGAAACTGGATAACCAGGATTGATAGATCTCGTGCTATGTCAGGAATTTCAGGACATGGGTTTGTGTTTTGCTCATATTTTCTTTTATACGCCCACATTTTCATGCCGTCGCCCCATCTGTCCGGATGTCCAAGGACACTCTACAGGTCACAATTTTTATCCGATTTTGACGAAACTCGAAATTTATGTCCATCTCCCAAAGATCTTGGTTTCTGATGCTATTAGCATGTATCGCGTTTTTATAGGTCACAATTATTATCCGATTTAAGAAAAAACGTTGAATATATCACCGTTACACCGTAATGTCGACAAATCTGCCGGACAAATTGGTATATCAAGGTTGTTGACCCTCTAGAGGTCACAATGGATTGTACATAAATCATGTCACAATTTTTATCTGATTTAAAAAAACATTTGAATATATCACCATTTTAATAAAACTTGAAATGTATGTTTATAACCCAAAGATCTTGGTTCCTTTCGATATTCGCGCATGTCAGACTGTAACTTCCTGGATTTATGGCCCCTGATTGTACGTAAAATCGTGTGTTTTTTAGCTAGCGATCACAATTTTTATCTGATTTTATAAACCGTTTAAATATGTCAGTATTCCACCATAATGAAGGCTAGCCTCGATCATCATTACTACAATAAAAATCGGTACAATAAAAAAAGAAGTCTTGATTATCCATTTTTATGTTTAATTATTTTTCAAAAAATATATTCCAATCCACTAAATATTGCAGGCTGGCGATGGCATCGAGAGGTGATTATGGTCTGGATAAGTTAATTAATGTCTAATTAATAATTTAGGTACCATTTCAGGCCTAAAGAAAGACCTGCAGTAAGCAGAATTAGCTCTTGCATGATGTATGTTTAATTAAATGCTACATCATCAATTTTAGTACATTTTAGCCGCAGATATTGTCCGAAAAATGCACATCAAATGGGATAATTATTAGTATATAATTACCATGATTTTCAGTTCCTCATCTTTACATGAAGCTTTACCATTAGAAAAGATTGCAGCTCTGAAGGCTAAAGTTTTAGCCATTAAAAGAACTAAGATTAAAGGTGATGATGATGTACAACCAGGTGCTCTAGAACAGAGAAGTTTTGTAGATGCAGAAGTTGATGTTACTAGAGATATTGTCAGTAGAGAAAGATTATGGAGAACAAGAACTACTATTTTACAGAGTGCTGGCAAGGTTTGTTTTACACAAAAGTAGATTAAAAATGTTCAGCATTGTTAGCAATGTGAACTCCCCCTCCAAGAGAAGTGATATCAGGTATCTGGACAATGAATACACTCTGCCTCATTCATGATACCTCATACCTGTTATAGACGATTGGATCAATAGTTTGAATCTGGACTTCACTCAACACAAACTAGGACATTTTGGGACTAACATACAGTGCCCTTTTATTTCAATAGTTATCTTATACGTAGGACGGTGCAATTTTATTTTAATAATTATCTTGCGCGTAGGGGTCTTTACTAGTGGGAGGAAACTGGGGACTGGGAGAAAACCCACAAGGCTAGATAGACTACCCTACGTTTCATGTACAAGTGTTATTCCTTTACTAATTTGAAAGTTGGATAATTTTTTGTGTTTAATGAAATAAGCTATAAAAGTAATGATCTTTAACATCAGGTTTTTTTTTTAGTTTTTTGTAATAAATTGATGTTGGTATTGGTGTAATACTATACAAGGATGGATAACTTTATTAAATAAAGCAGTATCACATCTTTGTTTATTATTTTACTTTGATAGCCTGTAATTCTAACTTTAAAATTATCTTTTGTCTCATTTATTTCAGCAATTTGCCAAGAATGTGTTCAGTATTTTGCAATCAATAAAAGCTAGAGAAGAAGGTAGCCATCGTCATAGCCATAGTCATCATAGTTCATCTGTCCAATCAACTACACCAGCCATGGTAAGATAACAGCTCTAGTCTGTTTTGTCCTAGAATTTATTTCTCTTTTTTCCTGGAAAAAAAAAAATTGGCTAAAGTTATCAATTAACATTCTAAACTTTTTGAAACCATTGATATTTTGATTTTGATTTCTTAAAGATACATTATGGGAGATAAGATAAAGAGATGGCAGTTCTCGCTATAATAGTTAAAAACTAGATAGTGTAAAGGTAATTTGCTGAAAATTTCAGTCAAATTGATCCACTATGAGCCGAGAAAGAAGCTGGTGAAATTTTTGCATAGTCTCGGTTATCATTACTAAAATCATTAATATAAACAGCATAGTCTCGATTATCCACTTTTTCTGATTTAATTATCTTTGGCTGTTAGCGGCATATAGGAATCTAATCCAGCCTACATCGAAGGCTAGCCTTGACATCGAGAGTTTATTATGGTCTGGATAAGTTAATTAATGTCTAATTGATAATTTAGATAACATTTCAGGCCTAAAGAAAGACTTGTAATAAGCAGATTTTGCTCTTGCATAATGCATGTTTAATTAGATGTTAAATAATCAATATGAGTACATTTTTGCATGGATTAATCTGTGAAAAATTAGATATTGTCTTAACAATTTATTGTTTACATAAAGTGTTTTTTGAGAAAAAAAAAAGATTCTGGTCTCTGGCCCTAATTGGGTGTGTTGGAAATAAATGTAAAACAAAGTATAATTTTCATTGCATATGTACCAAAAAGTAATTGTATTATACATATCTAATTTCTGCTATGTTATATTATAGACACAACCTAAACCTCAACCATCGGCTGGTTATAACAGATATGATCAGGAAAGATTCAGAAAAGATGGTGAGATTTGTTATATTAAACATTTGTTCTTTCTAGTGTTAACAATCAAATACATAGGAAAGTTTTTCTAAATTCTTCTAAAAAGAGCTATAAAATAAGAAACTAATGCATCACGAAATATATGTGTATTGAAGCTGTACCCTACTACTTTATTACAAAGTGAATGAAGTCGAGGTGAGTCGGTGAAAATTGCAATGGCCCATTAACCATTTATTCTTGTCTAAAATTAAACATTCTAACAGAATTAGCATACTTATAAGTTATAACTGTTTTAATAAAATGAATGTATTACATTCTTTTTCAGAAACGGAGGGTTTTAAAATTGATACTATGGGAACTTACCATGGTCTTACACTCAAATCAGTAACAGAAGGTGCTTCAGCTCCTAAACTCCCTCAAGTTTCTCAAAATAATCCTCAGTCATTTTCACAACAATCTCGTCCTATATCACAAGCTCGACCACCACCCAATCAGAAAAAAGGTAAGCTATAGAAAAATATTAACTGATTGTACTCTAATATAGTTACTCATGTTCACAGAACTGTATACAAAATTAATACATCAGCATTCAACCAGATTTGAAAGTCATGATAGCTCAGTGAATAGGGCTCTGGCTCACTAACCTGGAGGTCCCTGAAGTTTGATCCCAGTGTTGGCAGAGAAAGTTTCTATGGATTTTCTGGTATGGTTTCGCCGTATGTCAGTGTTGCAGGACTGAGGGCCTGGTCTGGTCGTTCTGATGATCAGAAAAAACAAGGTCTCAGGTACACATTGGCATGCAAGTAAATGAACTCAAAATGAGAGTAAGCTATAACACTGCTGTCTGTGCAAAAGTTCCCTAATAGCACACTACATGATGTATACCTATCTTCAGCCTGGATGGAGAGGAAGAAATGTTTTATTGTGTAGAACTAGAAATTATTACAGTGCTCTCACAAATATGATTAAAACATGATCACTGTTTTTATAGATTGTTTATAATGTATAATTTATTTCAGGGTCAAAAACACCTATTATTATCATACCAGCAGCAGGCACATCTCTTATTACCATGTATAATGCCAAAGATATTTTACAGGATTTTAAGTAAGTAGCTTAAATTGAATTAGTAACAGACAACTATATGTCTACTTTTTACCGTCATTAAAAATGGTAGTAAAAAGATACAGTCACAATGTTCATCTCAACACCTTCCACGTATGCTCATAACCATATAAAGCATAAGGGGGTTGGGTGGCCGAATGGTTTAGTGGATGTTAAAACCCATTTCTCTCTCATACTAAGCATGTGTATGGATTTCAAAATGACCTTCAAGATGTTGAAATAAAACAATACCACATGGTAATCCCATTTTTTTTTTTTCTTCGTCTTTCCAAGAAAGCAGGGGACTATTAAAATGGGTTTGTCTGTCCGTCACACTTTTTGGGGCAGGATAACTTGGTGTAGTATTCATTAGGTCAATGCCTTGATGGAGTTCGAAGATGAGAATTTTCTGATTAGGGTAAGACAAAATAAGCAATTTGATTGGTTGATGCTTTGGGACACCATAACTTTGGTTTTAATTAAGTGAGTGTTATGAAACTCCGAGCATAAATTCATTATACAATTACCTTGACTAAGTTCAATGATGAGAATTTTCTGCTTAGGCTAATGATTGATAAGCAATTTGATTGGTCAAGACTTTGGTACATAACAACTCTGCTTTTAATTGAGGTAGAATGTTTAAACTTGATGTAGATGTTCATTAGGTGAATGTCTTGACGGAGTTCAAAGATTAACATTTTGAGTTAAAATTAAGCAGAGCTAAGCAATTTCATTGGTCGATGCTTTGGGACAAGATAACTTTGATTCTATCTGGTAGAGATTGATGAAACTTAAGTGTATAGTTGATAATCAGTTTGATTGATTGATACATTTGAAATGTGTCATCTATTTATTTTGGGATTTCGGCAGGGAACATCAGCCTCACTGTTGGCTTGTTTTCTCTGCAATGTAAAAGAACCTATGGTCAGAATATTGTTGACTGCATACTATTTTACTGTTTTTCTATTTATAGATTTGTAAGTACTGAAGAAAAGAAGTCCCAGGGTACCAAGAGAGATAATGAAGTATTAATACAGAGAAGGAAACCAGGGGGATTAACTGTACCCTACAGAATTATAGATAATCCTTTAAAACTCACACCTGATGATTGGGATCGTGTGGTAGCTGTATTTGCACAGGGACCTGCATGGCAGTTTAAGGGATGGCCATGGAATGGTAATCCTGTAGATATATTTTCAAAAAGTAAGTGGAAAATTATTCACTTATATTATGGAAATTATAAAACGACTTATAATAATATGATCTATTTCTAAATTGAGAAAGTTTTTTTTAAAATAAAATTCCTGTAGAAAGTTGTACTTGTCGACACCTCAGTAAAATCATAACTCTTTTAGAAGGGAAAGTCAGAAAGGAAACTTGAGGGATTAATTTTCTTCTTTGTTCTTCTCGGTTCCAAGTGAAACAGATACAGTACAAAGCTAATTTCTTCATTTCTCCTCTTGATGTACCAGAATTCAGGTTTCTGAATTGTTCTCGCTTTTGTTGCATAGTGGGTTCCACTTCAATGCATGTGTGATGCTTGGTGTGCAAAGGACTGAAAACATACATTGAATGTCATTAAATAATCATTAATCGATCATTTTTTTTGTATTTTTCAGTAAAAGCTTTTCATTTGAAGTGGTCAGAAACACCATTAGAAGCAAATGTTAAGAAGTGGGCTGTACATGTCATTGGTTTAGATAGAAATAAACGACATCTTGACAGAGCTTCAGTCAATGGTTTCTGGGAAATATTAGACAGGTATAGTTTATTTGAACTCTGCACATACAGGTGTTTTCTACATTGGTTCTATATTATAACATGATTTATCTTATACATAGTACCAAATAAAATAAGAACTGAAGATAAAATGAAATAGGGTTTAATGTCATACTGTTGTGCTCCAACTGGACGTACACCATACAGTATGCTATGAGGCAAATTTTACCCAGACAGCAGCGCTATGGCCTTGTGTTCTATTGAATTCTAACTGCCAAGGTATCTTTTAAGTGCATGCCAATCTGTATACAGGACGTTGGTTTTTCATCCCATCTGAACGACTATACGTTGTCACTTGCGAGGCCAACACCACTGACAAAGTGGGTACCATGCTGGAAAAGGCTGATGAACTTTCTCGTCCAACAACGAGGGGGAGCCACGGTGGCTAACTGGGTAAGGCGCTGGCTCGCTAGTCTGGAGGTTGCGTGTTCGATCCCTGCATTGGCCGAGAAGGTTCATCGGGATTTTCCAACGTGGTTTCCCATTGTCAGTGGTGCAGGACGGAGGGCCTGACAAGAACAGCTGTCCAATCGTTCGGATGTAACGAAAAACCGAGGTCCCGTATATACATTGGCGTGCACGTAAAAGATCCCTTGGCTGCCCAAGAAATTTTCCCTCATAGCACACTGTATGATATATGCCCGTCTTCATTAGCCCAGTATAGGAGGACGTTAAACCACATTTCATTTCATTTCCAACACCAAGGTTGAACACAGGACCTCCAGGTTAGCGAACCAACGCCTTACTTGCTTAGCAGTTGGAATTCAATAAAAGAGTGCTGCTGCCCAGGCAAAATTTCCCTCATAACAAACTGTATGGTATATGCCCATCTTCATTAGCCCAGTAAACCCCATTTCATTTCATTTCATTTCCAACACCGAGGTTGAACCACGGTCCTCCAGGTTAGCGAACCGCCTTACTTGATGAGCCATTGCAGCTCTAAAATTGAGACGTAAAACACAATGTAGAAGACCATCTACTGGAATTATATATGTGACTTGACAGCAAACGTATTATCATTACCTGTGGCTGTTCCGTTCGAGTCCACTGGTGTGTTTTCGTTTCCCCGGTTGTATGTGACAAGGAGTAGGGTCGCCTGTCCAACATCGTGGGGTTTTTCCAGGTCCTTCAACATCCTTCCACTGATGCTAAAAAATCCTATGCACAAGCAAATTTTTGAAATAAAATAGAACCATTTGTTAGTCCCAAAATGACCTAGTTTGTGTCAGGTGGACTTAAACTTCTCTCTCTCGCTCCCCCCCCCCCTCTCTGTTTAAAATTAGATGACAGTCTATTTTGCTCTATATCCAACATGTACACTACAGTCCATGATCTAACATCTCTGTGTTTGGAGAATTGTCTGCCCCTGAGAAATAAATGGCCCAAAACATTTAAAATTTTATCAATATTTGATAATATCTATTCTTAGTGACTTTTTTAATGATACATATTAGTAAATGTCTTAAAGATTAACCATATATGCATGAACACAAATAATAAATTTGAGATACATTTCTCTTAACCAAGAGATTTGTCAAACAAATTTCATATTGGCTAATAATTAATTGGTAGGCAATGTAATACATTGTTTAATACAAAGAATATATCTGATTCCTCACTTTGAGTGTGTAAGATCAAGCCCTATTGCTCGCCTTTAAACTGATGAGCTGAATATATTGATATATAATTTGACAAATCACAAAAATGGAAAACCACATAAAGATAATTGTTCAGATTTTAACAATGCTTTTTTGTTCGTATTTTTCAGATATATGTTAACAGCTAAACCTCATCTCAGGTTTTAGATGTAGTTCCTTGTAAATGTGACTGTTATTGTGTGTTATTACATACATTAGACAATAGTTTGTGGACAATTGATAATAATAAATATCTAGCCACAAACAATATGTGAAATATAGATGTATATAAAATATATCAGACAATTTGTATATATTTCTAACTTACGTCTATATAAACGCTAAATGAAACTAAATTGGAATCTATTTTGAATGCCTGTTCTAATGGCATGGTGTTCTTATCTAAAGTTTATATGTGCAAGATATGAAAACAAGATGAAATTCAACAATATGAATCCTGAGAAATTTATTTCAAGATTATAAACTAGGATACAGGTAGTGGAAAGAGTAACAGCTACTGGACAAGCTGATTGATCTGGCTGACTATCTAATCACAAACTTCTGCAGTTGGAAAGAGTAGACATAAGTAGAAGATTGAGTAGAATAAAGTGGGAATTTAGTTCATAAGATTTCTTTAATAATTAAATTGCAATTTTATTCTACCTAAGTCTGTTTGTATTTCTGTGCAGCAGGGACCACTCAATCTTCAGATTATAAACTACTTACTATGATTATTTTAGTAATGTAACTAGTATTACGTTTAAAACTTGCTAACTTATATTTAGTTGTATAATGTATATTGACACAATAATATAATTAAATGTTCTGTTCACTTATCTTATACAGGACATTTTTTTTTTGGAGGGGGGGGGGGGGCGGGTGGTGACTGCAAAGACATTAACTTCTTTTTTGGAACTAGATTAAAATTACAAAATTTGTATAAAGACTGGTATTATTGTAATTAATATGCAGCTACACATTTAATTTTACCATACCATTTACCAATGTAATGCTATATCATCACTTTATGTTCCCACGGCTTACCATAAATCACATATATCGTATCACCCAGCTATTCTTCTACAAAACAAGTCTCATAGGTGAATTGTGAATATGACTTTAAATGTACAAAATGTGTTCCTGTAACTTGAGTAATAAAATAATTCATTACACTGGAAAATAAATGCTGATATCATCCTAGTAATATGTTATGATAGAAATACCAACACTGAAAACTCATCTGATCTGTCCACAATAAGTTGTTTATGATATATAATTGAAATATCTTAGCATGTGTACCTGAGAGAAATATATTTTTCTAAATGCAGCTATGTTTTCTCCATTATAGTATACCTGGTTTTGCATTAAACATTAATTTTCATACCTATAAATATTGAATGTTTACATCTATATCCACACTATGAGAAAATTAATATTCATCCTGCAAATATTTTAAAATCAATCTGCATTCATATCTAACAACATTGGTTTAATTTTCAATCGTACTTTTTGGAACATAGTAACTTTCTTCTCATTGAGGTAAAATGTTCAAACTTGGTTGAGATGTTTGGCAAGTTAATGTCTTGACTGAGTTTGGTGTGTATTTTCTTTTTATTTGGTTAGACACTTTAGAACACAATAACTCGACTGCTTTAAATTGAGGTAAAATGATGTAGGTGTTCATTACATTAGGAGTATATCTTGAGTTCAATGATGAACATTTTCCGCTGAGGCTAGTAGAGATCAGCAATTTGATTTGTCTATGCTTTGGAACACGATAACTTTGATTGTAATAAAGTGATTGGTGCAAGTATCTGACTGAATATGGATTTATTTTTATGATTAATATGCAATTGATAGATATGTAAATTCTAGCGAGGTTTATATCATAATTGAAATGTGTTGTTAAAAGTCATAAAACCATATTGATGACCATCAAAGTAATGCATATTATAATCTAGAAATTTGGGTTGTATGAAATGAATGATTTATAAAGAATATTTGATACCAGGTGTAAATATCACAATGTAAATATGTAATATTAAAATATGATAAATTAAAAAAAAATAAAGATGGATTGCTGTTAGAGTTGTCTGAAATATTTCTTGTTTAATGTTAAGTCTCCCAATTTTGTTTACCTGGCACTAGAACAGGGAATTAGGATGACAGCCGCAACTTACCTCTTTTGCTCCCACCTTTCCTAATTTTTAAGAGGTCATTAGCTCTTCCAAGCATAATAACTAGGACGGTCTCCAACAATGCAATACATGTAACATGTACGTTGTAATCCCTTTATTTGAAATAAAGTTAGCAGCGCTCATTTTTAAGGGTACCAATGTTCCCGGCCAACTTACCAGATGGGGACCCCTGACTTCCTTTATGAAATTACTTTTGTGAATTACAAAAAAAAACAGAGTATAAGAACGTTTGAAAAAAAAAAGTCACCAACATTCACTAAACTAAAGGTCAGTCGGTGTTTGATCCTACAGTATGGCTTATGCTTGTTTTCATCAGACCAGGACGTCCAAAAAGGTAGGCCATTAAACCCCATGCCATTTTTGAAACAATTATGGTTTAATATAATATCATTCATTTTAGTTCACTTTTTTATGTTATGAAAAGTTCAAAATCTTATACACCTATTTAGAGATGTTTCATCAAGCTCTAAGAAAATCACGATTTCAATCAACGTGAACTCATTTCCCGCCACAAATCAAAACAGTTGTCCAGGGGCATCATAAACACTAAATTTAGATATGGACAGTCCAATAAATTATGTTTTATTAATATATAACATGCTCATCATATACTATTCAAAAAAAGTAATGGATATTTGATTTTGTGGGCATAATACTAAAATATGCAAATGACTACGAAAAAAGTCACTATAGAACCTAACAGAAGAAACATTTCCAGTTACATGTGACGCCCAAACGCACCAATAGCTACCGCATGGAATGCAGGTGATGCTTGGGATCATCATGGGGGTCCAACCCAAGATTTGCACGACTCTGACTTTGAATGTTACAGTCATTGTGGCATTGAATTCCAGGGTGGAAACATCAGTTTAATTGTTTTAGTGACCAGAAAACAAATTTTGATATGCGTCGGCTTACCCAAAATGAAAGGTTACGTGCCCTTGGCATGCTACAGATCGGCACAACACAGGCGGTTGTGGCGCGGACGATGAATGTTTCTCAGTCTGTCATAAGCAGGCTATGGTCCAGATACCGTGATACACAATCTGTACAGGACAGACCACGCTCAGGTCGACCAAGGGCGACAACTCAAGCCCAGGATCGATTTATCCGTACCTTGGCCTTGAGAAATCGTGTCATCACAGCAAATCAGATCAGCGCTCGTCTTCAAACAGACACTGGTGTGAGAGTGAGTGGCCAGACGATTCGGAATCGACTGCATAGGGGTCACCTTCGCGCCCGACGTCCTCGCGTGATCCCTTGTTTGAGAGATCATCACATTCAGGCAAGACGTCGTTGGTGTAGGGATCGTCAACACTGGGATAATCGACGCTGGAGCAATGTGATGTTTTCAGATGAGTCAAGGTTCACTGTTGATTTTTTGGACAGACGTAGGAGGGTGTGGCGTCGTCGAAACGAGCGCTTCCAAGACAATAACGTCATGAGACATGATCGATTTGGGGGTGGTTCTGTTATGGTGTGGGGAGGCATCACTGTTGCTGGAAGAACGGCTTTACATGTTGTTGCAGGGCGTGTTACACTCCAGTACTACCGGGACAACATCTTGGCAGTCCATGTTGTGCCATTCGCACGACGTCATGGCCGTCGTTTCATCTTCCAGGATGACAACGCAAGATGTCACAGGGCCAGGATCGTTACAGGTTACCTCCAACAACAGAACATCACCACATTACCTTGGCCAGCACTGAGTCCCGACCTCTCCCCCATCGAGCATGTCTGGGACATGCTTGGACAGAGGTTACGTCAACGTCAACAACGTCCTACCAATGTCCAAGAACTTGCTGCTGCGTTGCAACAGGAATGGGACAATCTGGACCAAAATGACCTTAGACGTCTCATTAGGAGTATGCCACGTCGGATCAATGCTTGTTTGGCAAACAGAGGAGGATTTACCCGTTACTGACTTGGTTGTGATGCTGTGGTAACTTTGCTGTTTGACCCCGGGTATCATTTTACCCTTATAATGGTCAGTCTGTGCCTTACTTAGTCTAACGATCATTTGGAATAAATCGATGAATGTGAACTTCATTTCATTTTGTCATTTATTTCTTCGTCAGTTTCATTAGGTGACTTTAATAACACTTAAAAATCAAATATCCCCTACTTTTTTTGAATAGTATATATGTCAACATAATCACATTTTCCCCCAATTGTAGAATTGCCCCCTCTCCCCCTCTCACATATCTTGAAAACGCGATCCCAAACGCCTGATCACCACCGAAATTCGGAACCTCCGCCAAAAACTCGTCTAGAAAAACTGGTCTCATAAATTGACAGCTCCGGTGGCGTTCCACTGTATTGATCAGTGTATGTGTATGTGGGTCTACCCCCCAGCCCCCCAATTGTTTTTCTTGGAGGTCTGAATATACTTGGCCCCCCCAAAAATTTACATAGTAGGCCCTAACTCCTATTTATTTACAATAATTATTAGGATTAGTTAAGATTCTATGTGTATAAAACAATGTACAAACAGGGGCAGATCCAGGAATTTTTGCAGGAGGGGGTTTGCCAGGTTCCTGAGACAATGTATCTCCCCCCCCCCCTCACGCATTGCCTCTATCATCATTATGGCGTATATACACACACATTGAGCTTTTTAAACAGGGAAATTCAACATCTCGTTTGACGTCAATTTTTATTATGAATTAATACAATGACATTGTGATTCAATTTCATGGGTGCAAAGCATCAATTGTGATATCACATAATGTCTATATCATTATCTCGCGCTTTGAGTGCCCATCCTGTCCCACATCTGACGATAAAGGATAAAGCACACGGTAGAGAAACTTTTCTCTTTAAAAGTTTTCATGTACAAAATAAAATTTATGTAGCTGAGCGGGGGGGGGGGGGGGGGGGGTCGACCCCCCAACCCCCCCCCCCCCTGGATCTGCCCCTGACAAATTAAAACACTTAAATGTTTACTTTTTGAAATCCATTTATAATACTTTCTTGTAAATGTCAATGTGTACATGTATATAGTATTGTGGTTAACAAGGTGATTGTCAAATATGCATCCTCATAAACTAAATGTGATCAAGTTTAAATTTGTTTCATATTTGGATCCTCCTCATAAAAATTCCCCTGTCGTGTTGTTCATAACTCAAGTGTAACATTCATTATGTAAAAGTCATGAAAAAAATATTAATACGGAACCCCCTGACTTAAACATGATAAACATTAAATTGTATTGGTGTGCCGTAAAATATGCCAAAACACTAAACAGTGTTTACAGGGGACCCTCCCACAATCTCACTTACGCGCTACATCGGCTGCGCAGCGGCGCAGCCTCGTTCATCCGGCGTCACAGATTGTCAACATTTTATATAATTTCATTTGCGGACCCCCCCCCCCCCCCCCCAATACGGCTACGCCTCTTGACATGGCCGAGAAAAACTGGCCGATTTATTAAGTGGAACAAGCCTTTCAAGGGGGGTGACTGATACGAGTGCAAGCTGACGTTGAACTAGTTTTAACTTTAAGTGTACCGGTATACAGTGTCAGACAGTAGTTAGGAAGCCCGCAGAGACAAATATTGCTGAGATACTTTTATACCACTTTCTATTTTAACAATATAAACTCCAGTGTCGGTAAATATAACGGTATATATTATTGTCATTTGTGAATTAAAAGCATATATACGGCCATGGCTTATTATTTCGGATACATTAATTACTTTGTGTGTTAGCAGATATGTTTATATTATTGATTATTTTATTTCGTTAAATACATGTAGATTAAATAGAACAACAGTATCTGTATAAAATCATGGGCCTTATAAAATCATTTATTATAAGGTCCATGATAAAATCAAGTTAACAATGCCAAATTGTTCAGTCCCTCCTGCATCATAGTGAACCCTGAGTTCATTACAAGTGGGGGGGGGTTGGATGGATGAATGGTTAGCGTGCGCGTGCTGTATCATAAAGTCTGTCATTGAGTCGACTGGCGTGGTTTCGAATCCCCGGTTGTACGTGACAAGGAGTAGGGTCGCCTGTCCAACCTCGTGGGTTTTCTCCGGGTCCTCCGGTTTCCTCCCACTGCTAAAGACCCCTACGCGCAAGCGAATTATAGAAATAAAATTAGTCCCGAAATGACCTAGTTTGTGTCGAGTGGACGTTAAACCCCATTTCTCTCTCTCTCATTACAAGTGCAAATGTAAATGTACATCTCATATCTCTACTCTTTCTGTAATTTTCATCCACCTTTTATATGTTTTCCATTCATTTTTACACATTTTTTATTTACTTTTTATCTATTTTTTCATGCATAATATGTATTATTTATCTATCTATCTATCTATCTATCTACAGTTACAATATTCATAAATAATCGGGGGAGTGTTGACTTTAAATGGACAATAACACTCTTGCTGGCTTGAAAGCTCCAGAAAATAAATAATATCTCTATCTAAGTACTAGATGTTTAAGTGTCCTACCTGTTGTGTAAATTATCCATTACATCCTATTTTACTTGTCCAGAGGGTTCGAAAATATTTTTAAATTGAAGTTTACGTTAGACGTTTCAAACCATATGTTGAATTTTTCAAAATTTTTAAATAAGGTGTGTTAAGATAAAATTTGTATCATCAATTAATTGAAATATTCTAAAATAGTACAATTTGTTGACCAGAATAAAGATTGGGACATATTATTCAGTTACAACAAGAGTGGTATTGAGCCTTTAATCAGCTGTTACCTTGGTTCACTCATGTGATAAACAGGGGAGTTTACAGCTCATAAACTACTGGTCTGGTGTGTGTGTGTGTGTATTTTTTGTTTCCCAGTAAGTGCTATGTTTGATATTCACTTTCTTTAATTATAGGTATGGATTTAACAGAATTAGAAAATGTAGAATTTGGCTCAGCTATCAGAGAGAAAGAATTTTTACTTCGTGAGAAGTCTGTTCACTTAAATAATGGTTCATATGGAACAGTTCCCAGGAGAGTTTTTGACAGACGGATAAAGTATTTTTCTTTTCTTTATTACGATTTATTTCTGAATTAGTTTTAGATTGCAGAGATCTAGTTTTCAATTTTCCTCTTCACATTTTGGCCAAATCCAGAAGTAGTTTATGTTGAGAAGTAGTTATAATAAAGACCAACGGAACGATTTGACAGTGATATTAATCAAAAGTTTTATTATTATCTTTCTGGTTGACAAGAAATAACCTTCAATATTCTCTGCCCCTACCCCCGGTCTAAGAGACTTGATGATCCGTAACCTAAACCATTCTTGACTGATGCTATTGCACTTTAGATTATTTCACATCTAATACTAGGCTCCAACTGTCAGGTCAGTCGTAGCAATCGTGTTGATTGTAGCATATTGTGGGAAACAAGCATTTACATTACATATTTACTCTTCAGTTGGATCCACCACATATTATTTACCGGTACATTAATTCATTTTACTATTAGAATAGTATTAAAGGAAGTTCCTATCTTCACACCGTAGGCCCCCCCCACCCCCTACATATGATTTTAAAGTTAATAACCCATTATTTCCAATGTTACCTGGGATGTTCTTTAGCCACAATCAATTTGATTTAATATAAAAGCACTCTTAGTGTTTTTGGACTCCCCAAGGTTCTGACCCCCCCTTATGCAGTTATCAAGCACTGGGGCTCTTAAAGGTATAGACAGAGGGTTTTTGAACGATTTAAAATTCTTGTGTGAAAATTTAGATTTTAATTAGGTGCATATCATTTTACTTTCTATTTGCCTTTTTATTATATATAAGATAATTGCTCAACAGTGTATTTAATTATAGATACTGCCTTGAGCTTGAAAGTCATCCCGATAATTGGTTTAGAAACAACTTGCGTAAATATTGGCTGGAATCAAAGGAAGCAATTTGTAAATTTGTAAATGTAAAAGATACTGACTGTTTGGTCTTTGTTCCAAATGCTACAACAGGTAATGTAAACACACTGTTTTATAATATCTGTCATAATTTTTACTTTGATGCAGACCATGGTGCAATTATCTCTTTGATCTCCATGATTTTTATTTTAGACAATATGATAAAAACCTCCATGCATATTTGTTTGCTGTCCTAATCCAGAATAGGTCCTTTTTAAACGTTCTTTAAACACTGGCTGAAACTCTTCAAAGTTCGGATTGTTGAATATATTATCCTACTTTCTTTATTTGTCAAGCAAATGGCTCTCATTTTTAGGAACCTCAATGACAAATCTTCTCAACCAAAATGTTAAAATCTTATCAAAAATATCTTCAATATTCTCTCCAGAGATCTTTCTCCCTTGATTTTCTTAGGCTGATTCTCCAAATTCATCAGGTATTAAATGTGTTGAGTACAACTGTAAGTTATCTAATTCTTTTGACAGGGATCAACAGTGTACTGAAAAGTTTAAAGTATGAAAACGAGATAATTCTAGGTACTAATGAAACCTATCAAGCTGTTCAAAATACCATCAAATTTATAGGTGATACTGTTCCTGGTAAGTAGTGTCTTTCTGTCAGGAATTCATTAGTTGCTAAGCTCAAACTAAAAATATTTAATTAAGTATATAAGAAATGATATGATGTTTAAAGTCTTTGTCATCACAATTCGGTATATTTCATTTCTATGGTTAGGCTACAGGGAGAATTTTGTGCCCAGACAGCAGCATCTCCATCTGTTACAGTTTCTTATACATGCACTGCAATGTGTACATGGGTGGACCTTGTTTTTTGTGCCATCCGAATTACTAGGCACACTTTCAATTAAGAACCGGTCTCTTATCACCCCACATGGGTATTGCAACCCAGGATATTCTGGTCTAGAGGTCCCAGGCATTAGATGAATGAAGGAATAGGTTATAATAGCAGTTGCCAGATTTCAGAGGAAAATAAGTAATATACAGAGGTATCAATATTATATACCCTGTCCTTATATTTTATCTGTCCATAGGGCTGATCCTATGGTATCTTAAACAAACAATACGTATTTAAGCCTAAAAGGCTAATACACGATAAACAGTAGACTTACTAAAATGCATAATAGTCAGATTGTTATTAAATTGATATGTACTTTATTTTATTGTATGAAAATTGTTATTATACGCCCACATTTTCATGTAGATGTATACTGGCGTTGCCCCTGTGCGTCCAGACACTCTATAGGTCACAATTCTTATCTGATTTTGACGAAACTTGAAATATATACGTTTATCTCCAAAAGACCTTGGTTCCTTTCAATATTGACATTATCGCATCGAAACTTCATACATTATGGCCAATGATTGTACGCAAAATAACGTTTTTAGCTTGTGGACACTCTAGAGGTCACAATTTTTATCCGATTTAGATGAAACTTGAAATGTATATTTATAACCCAAAGATCTCAGTTTCTTTTGATATTCGCGCAACTGCAATTTCCTGGATTATAGACCCTCTAGATGTCACAATTTTTATCTGTATTTAAAAAACTGTAAATATATTACCGTTACACCCCAATGACAGAAACTACCTGAAAAATGGCCACTACTTGTTCACAAATATTGTAAAAGTATGTAATACCAAGGTTGTGGACCCTCTAGAAGTCACAGTTTTTATCAGATTTTGATGAAACTTAAAATATATGTTTATGTCCTGAAGATCTCGGTTCTGGTAGATATTCACGCATAGTCGCATATCGAACTGTAACTTCCTAGATTATGGCCTCATCTCAGCTCATCTCTTGCAAAATGTGGACGTATCTTGCATGCCAACCGCTTGTTTTTGTTACAATAACAGGAGCAGTACCACAGTTTATAGATATCCAGCTTCCAATTACCTCTAAGCAACAAATTGTGGATCTTTATGAAGATTTCCTACAGAAAAATAAAAATGTTAAAATAGCTGTCATTGGTATGCATTATGAATATCTTTATAATAATGGGTTGTTTGATTTTATATCTTAAAAAATTACCACTAGTGGTGATTAAATGTGGAACCAGAAGCATTAATGTTTACATATGTTATAATAACAAGTTCAATGTGAGCAAAGATTTAAGAAAACCTTATTATATTACAGTATGTTATTTGTTTTATGAAAATAGCACATTGAAACATGCTTCTAATGCATTCTCAGGGTGCATATCATGACCAGGGCTGTAACTAGCTCAGAGCATCAGGGGGGCAGGTAGTGTTCTCGGGGGTGCTGTAAAATTGACGGACAATGAATGCATATTTTTTTTTTATGGTCGACAATTTTTTCACAGGTGGGCAAAGCCGCTCCTCCCCCCCCCCCAACCGTAGTTACGGGCCTGATCCTGACTTTACAACACCACTGAAAATTACAATATGCCTGTAAAAGAGGTCAGAGTAGGTGCCTCCCCAATGAGACCAAGTAAGCACCCCTAAGTTTCACAAAAAAATAATAACCAAATCAATAACAATTATAATATGACATGAACTTTATGTCAGCTTGTGTAAAACTGTTTTCCAAGGAGATAACAATTATATAGGCAATATGAGTAATTTTACAGCGACACGCATATGTGAATTGGGATTGTGAATGGCGACCTAGATTTGTACTCCCCACCGGCCCCTCCCTATTCACAGCTTCTAAATCTCCTACTGGCTGTAATAAATACTAAAGGACAAGAATTAGTAATAATATGGACAACAAAGCTGCTAGTGAACTAACTAACTACTAATCTATACATTTTCTTTTACAGATGCAATTACTAGTCCCAGTTCTATTTTATTACCAATGAAAGAAATTATAAATGTCTGTAGAAAACATGGTGTTTTGTCCCTGATTGATGGAGCACATGCGCCTGGACAAATTCCACTTGACTTGGATGAGCTAGGTGCTGACTTCTTTGTAGGTAAGTTGTGGTTAAGATATATTCAAAAATTCAAATATGTGTTTCTATTGTTTTTGTTTTTTATAAAAAAAACCATGAATAAATCAAACATCTAAATACTGGTGGCTAATTGCAATTATGAACACTATGTTGTAAATTGTGTCTTTTGTAGAGATGCACCTTGATATTATATGAGATGTAGCTTCTGTGGGCAAGAAAAAATGTGAAACGAGCAATTACATTGCTAAAGAATGCTTCTAAATATAACTGACACACATATTTTTAATTATATACTAGTATATAGATTTATTTTAGAAAAAAGGGTAGGTGCTAGCTTGCTAACCTGGAGGTACCATGTTCGATCCTGGGGTTGGCCGAGAGAAAGTTCCTCTGGATTTTCTGGCGCGGTCTCCCCATGTCAGTTGTGCAGGATGTCTTTCGAGGGGAAAAAATTCAAAGGGCCCATGTACACATTGGCCCAGTCGGAGCAGAACAGTAGGACATTAAACCTCCATTTCATTTCATTTAATGTAGGAAATTTACACAAGTGGTTATTTGCACCAAGAGGATGTGCAATATTATATTCAGCTAAAGAACATATATCCAGGCTACATTCCTTATCAACCTCTTGGAATTTAAACAAAGGATTTGATCTTGAGTTTCGGGATAATGGAACACGCGACCACTCCCCATTTACCTGTGCGGCTTCAGCTGTACAATTCTACCAACAGATTGGTGGTATGGTAAGATAGATAGCATAAAATTTAAATTCATGTTAGTAAAGGTTAATATTAATAAATTTACTCTTGGTATTTCAGTTTCTATATATTGAGTAAAGGATACTTACTTTATATTTGATAACAAATAATTAATACATATTTGATAACAAATAATTAATACATATTTGATAACAAATAATTAATACATATTTGATAACAAATAATTAATACATATTTGATAACAAATAATCAATTTATATTTCATAACAGATAATTAATTAACTTATATTTGATGACAGAAAAATAATTTATATTTGATATATATATACAATATACAGCCACATAGAAATATAGGCATATAAAAATGCAATAAAGATAATTTATGTCCTGTGGCAGTTTGACGTTGGAAAAGACATCTTCATTTGTTCTTATGTTTCTCGTTTTTATTTCTTTTAGTCCCAAATCAGTAAATACAATCGTGAGTTGGTACGTGAAGGAAGGGAATATTTGTTAAAACTGTGGGGAGCTGAGAGACAAGCTATACCTGAAGATATGGAGTCACCATTCTTATTAAATATAAAACTACCACCTCTTAAAGATTACATTATATCTGATGTAAGTGAAACAAGATTTATAAGATTATGTTTTGTTACTAATGTATATAACATTTGTTCTGTTGAAAAGGTTGGATTATTTTCAACTCAAACAGGAGCATCTAGTCACATGCTAGTACTTTCAAAGTTGTGTGAATTCTTCTCTGTTGTGACTCATTCTTTTATCATTTTAGAACAATATTTATTTCTTTGACTACCAAGAGAAATGAAATGGGTTGACATTTATATTATGGCGTGTTTTTTTCAATTTATCTCATCTTATCAGCTTATTGGAATATTGGTTGCAATAACTCGATGAAATAAACACAATGTTATTTGTTTTAAAAAAAAAAGAGAAAGGTTCAATTTCTGTATATTAAACACAAGCTAAAATTTGATTTCAGGCTTCGACTATGAAGTTAGCATTGGATATTTTGGAAAAATATGACATTATGTCTATATTTATCAGTTACCAAGGCAACAATTATTGCCGTTTGAGTTGTCAAGTTTACAACACTATGGATGACTACAAAAAACTTGGAGAAGCTGTGAAAGATATGATCAAAACATAATCTAGTTAAAAATACAGAAAGAATATCTAATTTGTAACATGGAATACAAATTTATAACGTAAAACTTTTTGTGATATTTATTTCAGAAATCAGCATTACAATTAAAATTGGATATTTTGGCAAAGCATGATGTCATGTCTTACTTTAGCAGTTACCAAGGCAACATTTATTGTCGTTTGAGTTGTCAAGTTTACAACATTATGGATGACTACATAAAATTTGGAGATGTTGTAAAAGATTTAATCAAGAAAAATAATTAAAACAATTAATTCTTGTTTCTGTGACTTTATATATTTAATGTAAATTTTACAAATCTTTTTTTACCAATTGTAGATGTCTATGCTAAGTTTGTGTACAGATCTATATAGTAAAAATGAAATTCTGTTCATATTTGGGGGCAACTATATTATATTTTTTAATAAATTGATTTATCCACCTTTGTTTATTTGTGTATTATTCTGATGTTATACATAATATTGGTAATATATATGACATTAAGACTTGGGGGCTGAGGTAAAGGAACTGGACTCTCAGCATGAGCTGAAAAGAATCTCAAGCATGGTTCCCACTGACAACTATAAGGTTGCCTAGTCGTTTTGATGGAATAAAGACGGGGTGTACACAAAAAATACCCCTGAAAGTTAGAATTTGAGTAAGCTGAAATGACCCTGACCAGGCAAAATTATTCTCTGCAGTGCATGTAGGCACCAGGTATAGTTTTGATGAGAGATTAACCTCCATTTATTATTACGGAGAGATATTGAAATGGGATCACCCCGTCCGTATGTGTGTCTGTCCGTCCCGATATTTAGTTTCCGGAGCATATCTCATAAACCGTTCAAGATATCTTTCTGAAACTTTGTACACACATCAACCTTTTACAGTAGTTGGAATTTCTGGGATTTATATTTTTTGTGTTTCCATGGAAACAAATTTCTCTGTTGAATGATTTTTGAATTTTTACTTCACATTTGACTTAGTTTTTGGTATATAATTATTATTCTAGAGCATATATCAGAAACTGCTCAAGATACCTTTATAACACTTTGACATTCATCTACCTATTATTTTAATTTTTGATTTTGTTTCCGAAGTATATTTCATTATCTGTTCAAGAAATCTTTTTGAAACATTGTACAAACATCAAACTTTTATAGTATTTTATTTTCTGATGTATAAGGGCTTAAGCTTATTGTTTAACATACAGCAGCTGATTGAGGTAGTCATAGATTGTTGTGCAAACATTACAGGGAGTAGCGACCCTGGCTTGCCTTGCCCAGCTACTGTGATCAGGGTATGAATCTTCTAACTAGTCCCATTGATATTCCAAGGAATTGTTTTTCCTTATGTCTTCCAAAGTGGGATGTTGATGACTAGTCATCTTGTTTTCTTTGATTTAAATCCCCATTTATGTAGGCACATTATTTATAAGTTGAAATAAATTGAAGTTGAATACAATAGTCAATAATATATTTGTATTATTGACTATTGACTAAATACTTTACAAATGAAAAAAGTGTCATAGCTGCATTTCAAATGAAGCTTTTAAAAAAATATGAGGGAACTGTTTGGTGCACATGTAGACTAAAGGGGGATAACTTGTTACAGTAAGCACTCTCCAACGGATGAGGAAATGTTGGTGTTGTTAGTTGATAAACATGTGGAATAATGTGAATGTCAAAAGAAGTTATAGATCCATGATTTAATCTATATATGACTGACAATAAATGATATGAAGGCAGAGTAACTATAGACGAGAAATGTAGCATTTGTACACGTATGTAAGCCTTTTAATGATTTATATAAACAGAAATGATTTCACCGACTGTGTCGGATATTAAAGGGACAATAACACTCTTGCTGGCTTGACAGCTCCAGTAAATAACTATTAGCCTTATTTTAAGTATTAGATGTTTAAGTGTCCTACCTGTTGTGTAAATTATCCGTTACATCCTATTTTACTTGTCCAGAGGGTTCGAAAATATTTTTAAATCCAAGTCACATTATTTGAAAAGGTTTACGTTATAGGCTTTTCCAATTTTTTAAATTAGGTGTGTTAAGATGAAATTTGTATCATCAATTAATTGGAATACTGTAAAATAGTACAATTTGTTGACTAGAATAAAGATTGGGGCATATTATTCTGTTACAACAAGAGTGGTATTGAGCCTTTAATGATGATTAAATGCTTATTATTATACATTTACCGGTATAAATAATTACACAATCACAGCCCAACTCTATCCTACAAAATTTTTCAAACAGTGTATAATATGTAAGAAGGTACCACTTGTCAGGACAGGAATCTTGACTGAATAGTCTAGCATCAGACTAACTTACAATAATACCCTATAGGAAGTGATTAAATCAATGAAACATTGGACATCATATTCTTACAAAATATCAAAAATAAATACAATCTCCAAATCTTCTGTAAAATATGGCTTTCAGGACATTATTACAGACTGCTTCCTTGTTTGTAAAAATAGTTCTACACGCATAATTACATCATAAACAAATAAGGAAGTCTTAGGAGATATCATCCTGAAAATTAAGTCAGAATTCCTAATAATTGTCAAGTTTATCTGAATTCTATGATCATTTGGAATTTGAATTTTGTTTTAAAAATATCCCTATGGAAAAGCACATGAATGTCAAAATCTATCTTATTACTTCTGCCACCCCAGTCTGACTGTCCATCTGTCATTCTGAGAATTAGGTGAAAGAAAAAATTATAAAAAAGAAAGAAGATATTATTTAAACCTACTTTATTGTCGCCAACCTAGCTGACTTTTCCATCCGACATCCACATTTCCTTGTTGGGCAGTCTTAGAGGCTAAACTTATCATCCAATTGACATTAATTTTATGCTGTCGTGTGTTTATATCCATGAGACGAAGAATCACATCTATTGTCATTGATTTCCAATTATTAATTGTAGAGTTATCGCTCTTTGAAAAATCTTATGAACTCGCTAGAAAATTCAATCTCCTTACTTTATAGGGTGTATGTTTTGCTGTCTGGTAACCTATCTTGTTTTTTGTATTTTTTTTTACAGGATATTGATAGAGAAATTGGGGAAATAGACAATGTGAAAAATTACAGTGATTCTTTTCCACTGAATAAAATACATACATTTCACAAATCATGCATAAAGTTGACATATTGAGGATTTCAGGAATTGTATTCTCTAGACAATCTTATAGTAAATATGTATATTCAAGAACAATTCACAAAAACCAGTCTACTAAACAGAAAAATTTAAGACCAATAAAGGCAATTAGAAATTACAGTTCAAATATTAGGAAAAGATCAGCTTTGTTTCTTAGTGATGCTAATCCAACTGAAGACTCAATTGTGAAGGTTGATATTAACTTAAAAGAAATTTTATCATCACCTTCACAAATCAAAGAAAATCTTGCTGCTCGAAAAATTGATTTGAACATCTCTGAATTGGTGAGTCTTTTTTTATTGGTAATTTGGTGAAGTTTGTGAAACATTCGGGTTGTGCATATGGTATACATGTATAGTTGTAGCATATTCTCAATATATATGATAATTTAGTAGGCTATTGTAATGTAAATGTTAATTAATAAACAATAACTTGAGATAATGTAAACATCATAGTATTGACTTTAGTCATTATTTTGTTTATTTGGATTACGACTTGGTGGAATATCAGTTAATAATTAATTTTCACAGCTAGATGATTGCGAAAAAATGAAGATAATAGCAAAAAAGAAGCTAGATATAGAACAAGAAAGAAGAGATATAACTATTAGAGTTGGTGCTTTATCAAAAGTTAAGGTAAAAACATATACAGTAAACCTCGCATAAGTCGGATTCTTATAAGTCGGATCTTCGCTCAACTTGGTTAAAATCGTTTGGACCCTTTGATCCTGCACGACTTTCTTATTAAATTTCTGCGCTTAACTCAGATAAAATTGGTTAGTCCACTTAGATCCCACTTATGTGAAGTTTACTGTATTAAAATTTAGTTAATGACTGCACCTAAAAAGTTCATTTAATAAGAAATCCATTTATGACGTGAACTTACCCATTCCACCAATTTGCATAATTTTACTCTTTTGTTTACGCCCACATTGAATTGTTGTCATATATTGTTATTGACCCCATCTGTCTGTCATCTTTATATAATCTAATGTTTACCTTAGTGAGACAAAGAATAGCAATTTCTAATAACTTTCTGAGTTATTGTCATGGAACTTTGTAGAATCCTGCTTGGAATTTATGTGCATTTTTATACGCCCACATTGAAATGTGGTCGTATATTGTCGTCGCCCCCGTCAGTCCGTGTCCACAATTGATTGTGGACGCTCTAGAGGCTAAAATTAATATCTGATTGACTTTAAATTTATACACAGTGTTTAAGGTCATGAGACGAAGAATCCTATTGATTTTCAGCGAATTCCGATCATTACTGCCAGAGTTATGGCCCTTGATCACTTCAAAAAATCTTGTGGACGGTCTAGAGGTCAAAGTTAATATCCGATTGACTTCAAATTTATACACAATGTTTAAGGTCGTGAGACAAAGGTCCCTATTGATTTTCACCGATTTCCGATAATTACTGCCAGAGTTATGGGCCTTGATCACTTCAAAAAATCTTGTGGACGCTCTAGAGGTCAAAGTTAATATCTGATTGGCTTCAGATTTATACACAGTGTTTAAGGTCATGAGATGAAGAAGCCTATTGAGTTTCAGTGATTTCCAATAAATACTGCCAGAGTTATGGCCCTTGATCACTTTGAAAAATCTTGTGGACGCTCTAGAGGCTAAAGTTAATATCCGATTGACTTTAAATTTATGCACAGTGTTTAAGGTCATGAGACAAAAAAGCCTATTGATTTTCAGCGATTTCAGATAATTACTGCCAGAGTTATGGCCCTTGATCACTTTGAAAAATCTTGTGGACGCTCTAAAGGCTAAAGTTAATATCCGATTGACTTTAAATTTATGCACAGTGTTTAAGGTCATGAGACGAAAAAGCCTATTGATTTTCAGCGATTTCCGATAATAACTGCCAGAGTTATGGCCCTTGATCACTTTGAAAAATCTTGTGGACGCTCTAGAGGCTAAAGTTAATATCCGATTGACTTTAAATTTATACACAGTGTTTGAGGTCATGAGATGAAGAATCATATTGATTTTCAACGATATCGGATAATTTCTACCATAGTTATGGCTCTTGATCACTTTGAAAAATCTTGTGACGCTCTAGAGGCTAAAGTTATCATCCGATTGACTTCAGATTGGTACACAGAGTTTAAGGTCTTGAGACGAACAAGTATATTGATTTTCAATGAATCTTTATGACTTGAACAGCTAAATTCATGATGTTAAAAGTTTTGTATACTAAACATGGGACAGACAGAACTTTATAAAAACGAAACAAATTCTAATGGTTTTCTGATAATTACTTAATGAGTTGTTACTCTTAATCAGATTTTAATGTATTATAAATGTTTCATTACCGAAAAAAGTAAAAATATGCGACAACTCTTGTTGACTGCCCGGACGATATAGCTGTTGTGGGCGTATGTTTCGTTGCCTGGCAACCTATCTTTGAGATTAGTGAAATGAAGAAGCCATCACTAATTACATCTAGAGTTATGTTCCCTTTTCACTGTAGAACCCGACGAAGGCTCTTTAGCTACCAGTTTAATATTACACCAATATTTTGTTCTTGATTTCAGCTAAATGATGATTTGAGAAGGTCAAAAGAAATTCTTATACAAAGAGGAAAGGAAGTAAAGCAGTTATCAAAACAAATACAAGTATAGCTTTCAAATTTTATATTGTGTAAATTAAATATTTCTGATCTCGGTATGAAATAGAAATATCTGACATGCCAGGGTTGAAAAGAATAACTTTTAGTAAAAATTGAAATTGAGATGGTATAGATGGAAGTTATTGCCCCTGAAAATTTTATCACAAAGTTATAAAGTCAATTCAGAGCCAATTTTATAACAGCGTATTTCACACATCCTGTCTTCATTGGCCCTGTTGGTGCAGAATTGTTGGACGTTAAACCCATTTAATTTTTTCACACATGTACGCTTGTTTTCATTTGTTTGGCACTAGTTTACGAACACTCTTAATAAATTAGTCACGTATCGTTCAAGTGACCTAATTCTACAAATGCTGTAACAGCACCACAGTAATATCATGGCTCGAATTGAAATTTAAACATTGAAAAAATTAAGAACCATGTCCAAAAATAAAGTTTATACGAAGTCATGCTTGGATATTCAATTTATTACAGATATTTTATAATCTGAATTCTACACATTTCTCAACGGAAAAGTCATTAGCCTTTATATTACATTTAAAGCATGATTTTGGATGAATGTTTTAGTTGACTGACTCAATGTCAATTCGGTTATGGAAATGCATGAATTTTCAAGTTGCAGACCTAAAGCAGATTCGGGTGATTCACAAGAATTTTTAGTCCTGCCGATGTTGAAGAAATAAAACTGTTTTATATTACGATATTCATATGGATCAAAATAACAATTTAAATGTGTTTGTGTACATGTACCTACTTGTATGGATGATGTGTGACGTGGAAAATTATGTGTAACAGATTAGATACTGAGGCGACAAGTATGATAAAAGCGACAGGTAGCTTTTTTTAACAGTTCAATGCCTGATAGTTGAGAATATGTTTCAAATTATATTCATTATATCTTGTAGAAGCAATCGTGGGACGTAGAAGAAAGAGTTATTTTACAGAGTTTACAGATACCAAATAAATTACATCTTAATACAGTAAGTAGGAATTTATAATTCGCTCATTGAATAGATAGAAACGAAATACAATAAACTTCTGCTCAGTTTTTCTGCAATCTATACTAAATTTGATTTTAAAATTTGACTCTTAAAATTTTAAGAAAATGTGAGATAAGCCCTCAGTTGTTTAACAGTTCTTGGAATATTTTATTCAGTTTAACCTTTATTTTATTTTCAAGCCAAAGGAAAATAAGGTGTTGAGATCCAGTGGGAAAATAGAAGGTAACTGAACATTTCATTTTGTTTTACTTTCTGAAACATTTAGATTCTTTTAATGTCATATGGTTTTTGGTGATGTTCTTCTGTAAATATTATTTAAAATCTTAAAGAACACATAAAACAAATGAATTAGTTTTCGGTGTATTATTACATCAAAACTTCAATCAGTTACCATTTGCATGCATTTACTTTATGTGACCTCTTCTTATACTTAGATAAATCTGTGGGCAATCCAAAAAGTAATATTTTACATAATTGTTTTATTATTATTTTAAGATTGTCCCGCAAGTACAAGTCATATACAGATTGGGAAAGAAAAACAGTTAATAAAATTTAGGTAACAGAAAGATATTGTAAATTTAATTTTTCATAGATTTGTTGTATTAAAGTTCGGGGGGTTGGATGGCCGAATGGTTAGCACGCGTGCGCTGTATCATACGGTCTGTCATTCCCCGGTTGTACGTGACAAGGAGTAGGGTCGCCTGTCCAACCTCGTTGGTTTTCTCCGGGTCCTCCGGTTTCCTCCCACTGCTAAAGACCCCTACGCGCAAGCGAATGATTAAAATAAAATTGAACCATGTGTTAGTCCCGAAATGACCTAGTTTGTGTCGAGTGGACGTTAAACCCCATTTCTCTCTCTCTCTGTACTAAAGTTTGGAACAAACTATGATATATAAAGAAAAAGAGCAACAGATTTTCATTGATGTTCAACGCCACTGAATTACTAGATATCTATTTCACTGTGCTATGGTTCAATACAAGACAGGTCTAACACAGCAGCAATTATGTACTTAAAATTCCTTTACAATTTTTCTCCACAAAAATGGTGTAACATTGTTAGCGTATTCTTTTTTTGTATACGCCCAGTATAAGCACCTTTCTGTGTTTAAGTACATTTTACCCAGTCTGTAAATATATAACAGAAGTTAAGTAGTTCTTGTTCTATGTATATATCTACCGGTAGGTGCGTTTTTTTTTGTTTTTCAGTAACATTGGTCCAAAGGCGTATTATTTAAAAGATGAATTGGCTGATTTAGAACGTAAATTAATCATTTCAGCCAAAAACTATCTGAAACATGCTAAATTATCTCCCTTTACAACTCCAGATATTTTTCGATCTGTTGTCATGGTGAGTTAGAAACCCTTGTTTTTATCTTGCTTCTGTTTGATAGTATTATTTTTGTCAGTGATTTGACATAAGGATTATTGTCTCTTGTTTTACATTCTTGAGTAACAAACATCTGTTTTTGTTTTCTCGATTTTGTTCCCATGTATTTTTTTCTAAGAAGAATGTGTAAATCTGTCATTATGTGGTGTGTTATTACTTGTATATTTTAAACAGCCAATGAACATACAGTACTTTTAGTCATGCAAATAACTTAGATCTTATATGTAGTGCAGTAAATCAGAACCATAAAAATGAATCAAGTTAAAGGTATAATTTTAATGAGATTGGGTTAGGAGAGTGCTCTCTTTTAACAATTTTTGCAAAAAATATATATCTGTCTTTTTAGATAGAATTTATAAGCTAATTTGTTTTTTTAGGAAGGAAGTGGAGTAAATGTAGCTGATGAAAGACAAGTTTTAACATTACAATCAGATGAAGATAATATTAACTTACAGTTATTAGATGACTTTCATATTGTAGGAACATCAATCTACTCATTTGTTGGTACATATGCATTTATTTATACAATGTAAATAACATACACAGACACATCCGTTTTTGTAGCTGATACTTTGTCCTTTGGACACTGCTCTCACTTGTAGAATATCCTGGGTTAGAAACTCATCATAAACTGAATGAAACTATCACAATTTTTAAAGCATTGTTCCGTTTTGACAGGTACCTAATGATTGGCAAGACTGAAGAGAAATGGGTGACTAGTCATTTGGATTGGACAATTTAGCAATGCCTGAGTAGGGTGCCCAAAAATTGCTGCCACCTTGACAAAAGATTTTCCTTGCATTGCATATGTGAGCATAGAAATGAGAATGACCATTTTTGTCTCAGAATGACCAAAGTATTTTTTTAACAAGACATTGTCATTCCTGATGGTGTTACTGTATTTTATATCAGATATTAAGTTTTGATTTAATTGATCATCCAAATAGTTTTGTTTGTGTACCATGTGATGTTAGGTTGTTATATTAACGATTCAATTTTTAGGTTACCTTACCAAAGTGAAAGTTAGACCATCTAGTCTTCCCCTAAAATATTTTTCAATAGGAAGGCACTATTGTCCAGGAGAAAGTTTACCAGGATTATATGGCGTTCTTCAGACAACAAATGTAAGTACATTGTACAATAATTGTACTTATAACGATTTCTGATCTTTAAAGTTCAGTACATGTGTATCATGAAGCTTTTCTTTGACTCATTATGCAAGGCCAGACTCCACTTGTTTAGATCAGCAATATGGAGACTAAATCAGTCCAAAAAAGGTTCCATTCTGTTCAATATGTACAAAGATATAAATGGAATATTTGTCCACATTTGGCATCCATTTATACCCCCCCCCCCAACTCTTTTGATATACCAATTTGTGATCCAGTTAAATCCAAGCCAGACGATTATCTACCATAGATATTTTGATCTATTTTTCTTAATTGAATATTAAATAATCAATTTGAGTACATTTTAGCATGAATTTAGCTGTAAAAAATTAGAAATATGATCAGTGAATATAATGTAAATTTTGAATGTTTTAATAATAAGGTCTATTTAACATAAAATGCAGGCTGCAATATTTGGTGGTTGTTTATCAGAGAATTCAGCGCATGAGTTATTAGATGAATATACAGATTTAATATGGTCCTATTTATCTCTACTGAATATTCCTATTAGGTAAGATTTATATCCTTTACTAGTTGGAAGCAAAGGTGGCTTCGGGTTCGCTCCCAGTGTGAGTGGAGAAAGTTCCTCAGGATTTCCCCACACTGTTTCCCCAAGTCAGTGGTGCAGAACGATGGGATGAAAAACTGAGGTAACGTGTATACATTGGCATGCACGTTAAAGAACCCTTGACAGTTGGAATTTGAAATAAGAGTAGGCTGTTTATTGTGTTTTAGTTATTTTGTGACCTGATCTATAGTTTCGAGATATCAATATTATCTCCAAGGTGAATATAAGGCCAGGACAGCCTATCAAAATATTGAATTATTGGCATAGGTATGATAATATTTTCAGCTCAGCTGAAATTTTGGATTTGATGTTTCTAAGGTATGCAATTCATTTACAAAATGGGAAATCTATCCACTAGTCACAAGAAATATTTTTATGTTTTATAACTGTTTATAAGTCATCTCATGCAGGGGCCGAGCTAGTATGAAACTAAAGAGGGGCCACAGAAACAACTTCAGATTGCTATAGAATTTATATCTACTGTAGTGGCAGGATCATTTCTGGGGAAATAGCTACTGTACCATTAATTTATTTCACCATTTATCATGGATATAAATGTACATGTATGTAACATTTCCCTAAATTTCATACCATCATTGCTATTTTATTAACAGGATGGTCCGTCTTGGTGCTCCAAACATATCTCCAGCAGAAAGTCTGAAATATGTGTTTGAGATCTGGTCACCATCTTTACAACAGTTTATACAAGTAAGATAATACAAGTAGTTACAAATCATTTTAATTGTTTTTTTTTTAATAATTTTTTAAGCCATTTAGTGGAATGTAATATATTTCCGATGCAACACCATTATTTTTGGATTTGAGCACCAGAAAATGAGGGATGGAATATCAAGAAAATAATTGTTTTGTTCACTTTTAAACATTGAACTAAAAGTAACAGTAACAAATGGTTTAATTTTGTCAAATAGGATGATTTGGGACCTACTACATTCCTTTTCTTGATCATTTCATTACAAAGACCTATGATACATTTTGTTCTGGTATTTGTGTCACATGTGGATATAATATATTTACAACTTTCTTATTAAGGTATGAATGATTAATTTATGTGGTTTTTTTGTTGTTTTTTTGATAATGTTAATCAATTGAAGGTATTAATGTTTATCAATTTAGGTTTCAACATTGTCTATGTTTGGGGATTTTATAAGTCGCAGATTGATGTGTTTCCAAGACAACAAGGAAACTAAATACATTCATATGGTAAGTTCAAAATCTTCAATAATATATTATTACATGTAGCTGAGAAATGATTTGTTTTATTATCTTTGATTCTTTATTATAAATTTGTATATTTTCAGATGGGTGGCGATATGTTGAACATTACTAGACTTCTAGCTCTTATTCTCGAATATAATTTATTAGATGATAGAAAGTTGAGCTCTGTTTTAGAAATTCAACATGGATGATTATTATTATTTGTAGAATCAGAAAAGAATTAAACAGAATTTCTGCATTTAGAAGAAATGGAAGGCGATTTTGTGGATTTAATTGAAAGTAATACAGTTGTTCACTAGACTCTAGTGAGGATGCTATAATAAAGTAAACTGATAGTTATTTTAGTTTCTTGTCAATGCTAGAAACGAAAAATAGTATAGTGCAATGTTTAAATTAATCTATTCCTTCTAGTTTTATTAGAAATAAAGCATATTATTAATATTTAGGGGGGAAAATTATTAATAGTTTTAATTAATGCATTTTTATACATCCATGTTGTCATCTGTCAGTCATCAATAATTTCTTATTAGCTTGATAAAATAAGTACTGGGTTTTCCTTAAGTATGTGTTATACTTTCTTGTAACACTCTGCAGACTAGTCAAAGCAAACAAAAAATAACCTTTTCTTGTGATCTTTAATATTTTTTTCTTCAAGCAAATCAATAATACATTAATGCATTGTGCTAAAAATAAAATTAAATCTATGTTTCAACAAAAAATTCAGATATTGATGCATAGTGACCTTTATTTAAATATATCACATTGGTTTGATAATAGTAAGTTCTTGTTTAAATAAGTTATGTTGATTGTTCTACAGAAAACAATATAGATCTGTTTCACATAGCTTTATCACTATGTTAATATAAGTGTTATTTGAAATAATCTTATAAAATGATAAATTTATTAACAGGTTCTTATCTATATTTTAATATATGTAATATTTCCTTATATTTATATTATGTAGAAATAAACTGTCTGGAAATAAATTAAGTGAGTTAACATTTCATGTCTTACATTTAGTCAATAAGGAACATGTCAAACTTTTCATATCAAAATTAAATGAACAGGGCCTATGTGATTTATGTCAAATATTGAACATTAAGTTACTTTATCTATATTATTTGTCAGTCTAGAAGGTTTAATATTTGTAAATATATAATATCTGTAAACAGATGGCTGTAAATAGATTTGAAAACAAGACAGTGTTACAAAAATGTCATGTTTATAGATGAACAATTATCAAGATATATTTAAACAGGTGTGCGGTAAATTAGTAAGAGTATGAGAACCTTGTCTTGCTCCTGTCACAATATGGTTGTTATCTTTTTTGACCCTCTAACATATGAATTAGCCCCGCCAAGGTCTATAAAACCTGGATACATATATGTACTTGTAGTATTTCAAACCCTTGCAGGGTAGGGACGCAGGGGGGTGGGGGGGGGCGTAGTCTGTTTTTGAAATAAAACAAAGACATATACCATATTCTGAAATAAAATGCTATGTGCAACGTTGTTCTAGGATGGTCAACTAAATAAATCCTGGATAAAACGGAAGTGTGAATAGAACCTTTTTTGTTTATCTGCATTTCAAATGATAAACAGTGTAGCACGACTACTGTTAACAGAACAATTCAATCTTATTCACGGACCACTTGCACTCTGTATTGATCAAAAAAACAAAACATTAATGAATCCCTATATTATTATTTTCAGTACATGGGTGAAGACTGGACAATCATATTTAAGCCGCCTTTTATATAAACAAATCCAATACCTCCGTTTATTTGATTTTGGTTAAATTTGAAATTGAATGCATGATTCTGTTTTTATTTACCGATTGTATCAATGGTGCCTGAAATTATGTTCCGAATAATACAAATTTGTCTCTCGCACTCCTTGGTGATTTTTATTTATAATGCTCTTTAAGATATAACCCTACAACAATTTCCCGCTTTTACAATAAAAAAGATAGTTTGCTAAAAACTTGTTAGTGAAAATTGCTTTTTCGTTTCTAGGAAATTTGAGCAAATAAAGTTATACTTCATCATCGTGTTGGAATTACAAATAAACTAGTTTCTCCAGAGAAAAAAGTGATTAACGTTTATTTATTGTGAAATTATTTATATGTATATAATTACTTGCTGGTAAATAGCTGTGGAATAGGGATGCTTCCCCCCTCCCATACCGTGAAATTACTTAAATCACCCGGAACAAATGGTCTACTTGCAATTTTATTGATTTTTATTATGGCCTCTAGGAGAGATAATAAGGGTGTATAAATATGTCATTTATCTTACCCCGTTATTTATTCTACAGTAATTGTTTGTTTTTCTTTTAATTACGAGCTTGTTCAACATCAATTTTTATTTCCCTTTTCAACATTAGCTTTATTTATTATGCCCATCTCCCAGGGAATCTCGTGTAGTGAGATGCTAGACTCTATGCAAAGAGGGCGACTGCTATATGTGCAACAACCACGATGTACTAAATTCTCAAAAAACGTAGCCTATATTTTCCGCAAAATATCCAGGACTAAGCAAAGTCGTAACATTTTCCACCATGGTGCGAAATGTAATCACCATTCTTAGAAATCGTCGGCACATTATGATGATGATGAGGATAGTTTGTTTTTTTTAAAAACAAAAAACCATTACACTGTATCGTCTTGAGAATGTTCTATATGAGCTTCTCTTCTGTCTGTATCTCTTCAGTAAATTTGATTCTAAGCATTATTAAGCACATGCAGCATCATCGAAAATATATTTTGCGATCGACTTCGCAACATTAAAGCAGCTGAAGAAAATACTTATTTATGAAGGTCATCTGTAGGGCATACGTGTTGATGTTTTCCCCGAGCTCCACACACCCTTGCTGCGCCACTGGTCGTCAAACCTTATTAATAAATATCTGCAAAATTATAGATCACTATATATTCAGAATATGCTCTAGACTATAAATAATTTTCAAGGGTCATTTTTCTCAAAGATTATCCGCATCCACATGGGCCGACCATTGTAAAAGGGCGCCATAATTACGGTTTATACCATGGACCTTATAATACTATAGATCCCCCCCCCCCAAAAAAAAAAAGAAATAAGCACAATAAAATTATCTTGTTCCACTAGTCAAACTAGAAATTCATTTATTTGTCGTGGAAGCTATTAAATACCGATATAGTATAATTTTCTTAAGTCTGGGATCGAATTTTGAAGATTGAATGAATGTACGTGTCGTTTTGAAGTATACGCTAAGAGTAACACCTTATAATGTTTTCTTTTCTTATCCCTAAAGATCAAAATATTTTTATCACCTGTGTAAAAAGTGAATCAACTTTCGTCGTTTAAGATAAGAAACGGCTTTAAACTCGACCTACAGGTCAAACATTATTTGCGTTAACTGTTAAATCGTAACGGAAATCTAATGGGATTATAGAATATTCCAAAATGTTGGGGGCGCAGAGAGGACCGTTTGATTAAATGGTTTCTTTTGTAATTAATCTGAAATAAAATAAATAAATTAAAGAATAAATAAATTGAATATATGCAGGTATATATACGTGACCGAGCTGATTTTCTTCTAGTTTGAAAACTTAAATATCTTGATATATATTTACATTATATAAAATGAACACAGTCCACATTTTCTGGTAATACTTTTCAGATCATAGTAAATAATAATGATAAAAACACTCCTAGGCTATATTTGCCCATATTCCTCGATAGGGCCTAATGTATTTTCTTGTCCAGGAAGGGGATTAATCGTCATTAATAATCTTAATATTTTAACCATTATAAGAAAATTCAGTTCAAAAACCCACACCTTTGGAAATGCAATTGCATTAAGTCACGTGCTACCTTTCCGATTTGACGTTTATCGGAAATGAATAAACCACAACGGTATCAACTCCGCCCCCATTTAGTGGGAGGGATCAAGTTATAAAACCTACCAGCTCCTCTTTAAACTTTCAAACCAAAATAAACTTTATAACTACTTCTTCCAAAAGATTTTTGAGTTTCCAACAGTTGTCTTGTGAAGACTTTTTTTATGTGGACAAATGATGTTAAAGTTCATAATTATTTGCGGCATTTTGTCATCTTTGTATGCAGTGGAAACAAAGGTAAGGGTTTATATTAAAAATAAAAATTCAAAGAAATTGAAACTTTTGTAATGTTAATAAATTTTTACACAAAATTAAAACTACAAAATCAAAATTATTTGTTCCTGCCAGAATGACATTACCTTTAAGCTTCGATTATACAATGAAAAATATCAACGGTTTATACTAATTATATATTAGCTTATAATAATCTATTGTAATCCGTTATAATTTTACTCGTGAAATGTCATTTTCATTTCTATTCAAGGCTGTTTTCAGTTTTTATTTTTCATACTAATCCGCTAGATTCCACAATCCCTAATTAAAAGACCGCGAAGAAAACCTTTATACACAATTTACACCCCGTCTCCATTGGAGTAGAAAAGTAAAATGTTAAATCCTATTTCATCATTCATTCATTCATCCATTCACAACTATGCCACGTACCAGGTATTAATGAATTTGTAGAGAAAATTGTATCGTGTATTTGCAGAGAAAAAAAACTAATAATGTATTTTCAGTGAAAATATATAAATTGTTTGACTGAATCTTGCTTTCATCCTAAGTAAAGGTTACAACATGACAACCAACAATATAGATAAGAACTATGTGTTGCATTGTATGATTGAGAAAGTGACATAGAATAGGTATGGTGTCATGAAGAGACCTTTACTTCGGATAGCCGTATTATAACATCCAATGCTTATTTCCAATGGGAAATACTGTTTGTTAGGAAATAGAATCACATTCTAATCTAAAAAAACCCAATATATCGGGCCAGATGGGATATTTTTTTTATGCCTCTAATTGTCCCTTCCAAAAACAGGCCGCTATGTGGAGATTTTGATACAACCAATGTCTGAACTACGGGTTTTTGAAACACTTTAAGTATCCGGTTGTTAATTTTTTTATTACTTGAAATGAAATAGAAAAAATAACCCCAAAAAACGCTATTGCGACCATGGACTACCGTAGAAGTCTTTTATTTGTCTCAATTCTTTGTTTATAAAACGTATAATTCAACATGTATAGTCGATTTATTTATAATACCTAGTGGTTTGTTACAAAGCTATAGGTAAATTGATTTATTGTTAAATTTATTGTATAAAATATGTTGTCTCCTCACTTTCGTCACACTCTTTGAAACACCATAACCAGTGAAAGTATTTTGGTAGAACTTGAAATTCGTCTGGGGGGTTGGATGGCTGAATGGTTAGCGTACGCGCGCTGTATCATATAAAGTCTGTCATTGAGTCGACTGGCGTGGTTTCGAATCCCCGGTTGTGCGTGGCAAGGAGTAGGGTCACCTGTCCAACCTCGTGGGGTTTCTCCGGGTCCTCCGGTTTCCTCCCACTGCTAAAGACCCCTACGAGCAAGCGAATTATGTAAATAAAATTAAACCATATGTTAGTCCCGAAATAACCTAGTTTGTGTCGAGTGGACGTTAAACCCCATTTCTCTCTCTCTCTCTCTGAAATTCGTCTAGACTATTGAAATATAATAATATTTGGTCATTTATTTTTGAAATGCAATACTTTACTTCTAATGCAAAGTTATCAACTAAATTTGGCCTTGGATTCTATAATAACTGCTTTTAACCAACTGTTTATTAATTTACTGAGATCTGATTATAATACGGGTAGCCGCAAGGGCGTGGATTTGTCATAACTTTGTTTTTTTTTGGGGGGGGGGAAGAACCCTGGAACCTTTTTATTACCAAAATAATAATTACGAACAGTTTACCAGTGTTATTTCGATGAAAGCTGTAACTAGGGGTAATATGATGACGATATGGTAAAATTGACTACGCTACAATTAAGGAAGAAGATATCGTGAAGATGAATTACTGAGGCGAGACCCAAGGCAGTGGTTAGATAGCCTTCAGAACGGGACATTCATGTGGATATAAACCTGAAAATCTGTCCTTGCTATCAAAATCATGGGGGGGGGGGGCATAGACCTATTCCGTTCGCCCCCCCCCCCCCGCTTCCGATTCTAAGAGGGGGGACCCCCCCCCCCCTAAATCCACGCCCATGGGTAGCCGTACGAGGCGATTTTGAAACCTTCTTATAGTCTCGTAAATTCGAAAATCTATGCTATCTATGCGTATTTAGCCTAGGCTATTGCAATCTGGGCCCTTATTCACGAAAACTTAAACTAAGATATACTGCAATTCGATTGGCTGACCAGTAAAATCAATTTGCATATATCCAATTTGCATATTGGTCAGCCAATCGAATTGCAGTATTTCTTAAAATTTCGATTGTATCTTAGTTTAAGTTTTCGTGAATAAGGGCCCTGATTGGTCGATATCAACTTAACTATGGATATATTCGTAATTACAGTTCCAAAACAAATTTCACTGATAAAATGTTGAACGGGAGACGACCGCTAATACAGCATGTTATACTATCACTGGAATATTCTTGATTTGATGCCACCACAGCCACAACGATTATTATCTATCGTACATGCATATTTTATATTCGTTTCAGTTTCATGAATATTTGACAGAACGAGAAAGAGTAGAATATTTTGGTGTTGATGCAAGATATAACGGTTTGTTCCAAATGCTTACATATTTAATTATAGAACGAATTATATTTAACGTAAATTTTGACAATCTGACCTGGCGCAGAGCATATTTAATTTGTTCATGGAAATAAGGTCAAAAAAACTAATTTCGTGCGAAGTATTGCCGCTGATTTGGCCCACTCCACTGTAATTCTATAACATGTATTCACCTAAGCTTCCGATTTTTATCAAATTCGCGGTTAGTCCCCCCACCCCACCCTCGACCTAACGCCAAAATTGACGTTGTTGGACCACCCCCTGACTGTTTATTAGAATTCGGTACATCAGGTAAGTAAACATTTCTCCAACGTCCTCAGACAAGGTTAAAGTTGCTACATTTTGAAAGTTCAAAATTTACGTCTGCCCTTGAACGATAACTCTCCCTCCCTCAACTCTGTGTGACTAATGAAGAACACTTTCTTTTCCAGTTCCAGAATACGTTGTTGTGAGACCTCACCATGTATCTAAACATAAAGAATTTCCTGTCTATAGAATTAAGGCATTGGGAGAAGATTATTTACTACATTTATCACCTAATCATAGACTAATAGCACCAGGTATTTATAGAACGCAAAGGTTTTCTCAATAACTATTAAAGGGACACGATATTAGAATAACGGAAAATACATATTGGTCCAAAATTATTAAAATCAATCAATTATGTTCTGTTGATTTTTCGATGGTATCTTTGTGCTCATTTGAACATTTGATATATATTTATATTGTCTAAATTAAAATTTTATTTTTGTTTAATTTTAATTTTTTTTTTTTGTAATCCGCCTTGTTGCCTCTTTAACTGAATAAACAAATTAATTCTAGCCATAACTGAATTAATACTAGAACTTAATTCAGTTAATTGTGTGCCGGTATTTCAATTAATGATAATTATTACCACCAACCCCCTTTGTCATTGTGGTTTAATAATTTTAAAGACTCTTTTATGGTATCTGAAAACACTAAACTTTTTAATATAATATTAGAAAGTAGAATTTTTTAATAGGCCTATATGTTAGATAGTAGAATAATTTAGATGCCTTTTGAATTCTATTTCATCTGTTCTTTGTTCACTAAAATACAACTGTATTTAGAGATGGCTATTATTTGAAATGGTGTAGTAGTATTTCAATTTAATACTGTCTTGTGATTTACCTTTTTAATTTTAAATTTATTATTTATAACTTTGATTCCAGGATGTATGGTTCATCACAATAAAGAAAATAATACTGGACACAGGTATCCTTGTCACAGCAAGGGAGATAACTGTCATTATCATGGCACATCTATTAATCACAACTCATCAAAGGCTGCTATAAGTAACTGTAATGGATTGGTAAGTCTGAGAAATGAAAAATGAAATGAAATTGGGTTTAACGTCCTACTGTTCTGCTCCAAACTGGGCTAATGAAGATGGGCATACGCCATACAGTGTGCTATGAGGGGAATTTTGCTTGGACAGCGGCACTATGGCCTTCTCTTAAATTGAATTCCAACTGTCAAGGGATCTTTTACATGCATGCCAATGTGTACACAGGACCTCGGTTTTTCGTCACATCCGAACGACTAGACATCTGTCCGTGTCAGGTCATCCGTCCTGCATTATTGACAAGGGGGAACCACGTAGGAAAATCTGGATGAACTTTTTCGGCCAATGCAGGGGTCGAACACCCGACCTCCAGTCTAGCGAGCTAGCGTCTTACCCACTTAGCCACCGTGATCCCCCAGGTAATGGAATATATTGAAGAAACTCATAAGCTAATAGTGTCAGAGGATTAGTTAACAAATGAATGTATTTTCCAAATAAACATACTTAAAATGTACTACTGGTCTCCTTTATGTCCTCCCGCTCTCTATGTGTCAGTAATTATGAGACCAGACCAGATAATTCTAACCCTAACCCTAGTTAATAATTCATGACATCCGGCCAGAAAACATCTGAAGAACAGAAAACTTCCTACAATCAATCTTGATTTAAAGTTTGAATAACACATCTTTTGATATCTGCTCTGTATGTATTTTCAGGAAGGTATCGTGACTACCAGAGATCATGAACTTGTGATTAAGCCAATCAGAAAGGAACATTTATCAAGAGTTCAACAGGATACATCTATACAAACTCCACATATTATTTATAAAAAGAATACAGGAAGTATAAGACAAACACGAAGTTGTGATGTAACTGGTATGTTGTTTTATGCCTTAATTAATACTTTTATACAAAAGTTTTATGATTATTAACACATTTACTATGTACAGGATGTCTAGCTGCCCTTTTCAAATTTCCTTTTCAAAAATTTAATTATGGTATTTAAGATTTATTTCTTTTCAATGTGATACTCAGGTTTAACCCACTCATAATTAATGAATTTTGTTAGGTGTTGTACAAGTTCTAAATAAAATCTAATAACAAAATTAGTTTTATGGCAATTCACACAATTTGTTTTTTTTTAATATTCAGGACCAAACAGATATCTAAGTAAGAAGAAATCGAGACGAGAGAAGCGCCAGGTATCTGGTGAAAAGTTTTTAGAGATGGCGTTAGTAGCTGATAAACATATGTATAATTACCATGGTGATGATTTAAGGCAGTATATGTTGACAGTGGCTAATATTGTAAGTAATCTTCATATATGTTGCATTTGGTGGTGTTCAGTCTTCACCATGTATTACTGCAACATTTATCTGATAGGAGGCCAGAAGTTACTTTCAGTTGAGATGTGAAAATATTAACGAATCAGATCAATCAGGTATATTTTACATTGCCAGTCATGACCCTACAAACATTTTTTGTATTCTGATTTAAAATTTTATTTATGACGCTCTTTTACCGTATGACGGGTATATAATCATCTGATTTGTTAATTGAGTGGTGTAGGTATGGGTGCTATTAATCATTTTACTTTACTGAGTAGCACAGGTTAACATATTAAACTTGTGGTACAGGAATATCAGTTAATGAAGTCAATGTATTAGACAAATGTAGTAATGCTATGGACATGAGTAGCCAATATGGATATTGAATTTTAAGATATTAAATAAATTTTTTTACTATTTTCTTAAGTGTATGCCTTGAATTGCAAATTGCTGTTATTTTGTAGGCTGCTGCTAGATTTGTAGACCCTAGTTTGAGAAATTCAATAATATTGACCATTGTAAAAATACAAATATTGGAAGATGATGTGGTAGGTTTATTTTTATATCTTTAATTCTCTGTCACATTGTTTTTATATTCCTGCATGTGGATGATACACAATATATCACAAAGTAATTATATACCTCCTTTGGTATATATTTTGGTAATTTTGTTTAGGGTTTCCTCCTATATAAATTGATTTTATATTAAAGAACATTTTTTTTAAATTGACAGCCTGATTTACTGATTACTGAGGAAGCAGATGAAACATTAACTAGATTTTGTGAATGGCAGGAACAATTTAATGATGAAGATGATAATTCTCCTGCTCATTATGATGGTATATCTTTACTTACCAGGTAAGAATCAAATATTGCTGGTATAGTGATTAAGTATATATCATAGTTTTGCATCTGATTTAATGGTTTAAATAAATATTATGAAATATTAATAACCGTGAAGTATAGTAAATGATCAACTGTTACTAACAATACTAACAGGAACGGAGAAGGGTCCTGCTCATGAAAGCCTACCTTTCGATATGATCAATGCGAACTGTCGAGTATGTATTCATGTTTTATTTTGAAAAAAACGTACACTGATTTAGTGTTTTGTTTATTGTAGATTGGACATTTCCCATCTAGGTATTAAATCTAATACTGGATTAGGTACAGTAGGTGGAATGTGTACACCTAATGCCAGATGCACATATTGTGAAGATACAGGTTTAGATCTAGGTTTAACTTTATCACATGAAACTGGTCATACGTTAGTATCTTTGATTATTTATAAGCTAGTTTTAGGATAATTCCTCTCTCATTATATAAACAGATGCATATATATTTGCAATTTGAAAGAAAACTTTACTTTTGTAAATATCTTTTCATTAATTTATTCCATTTACAAAAATATTCTGAAGACTAAAGGGGAGATAACTCTTGTTGGATAACATCTTTTGAAAAAATAGAATAGCAGGTATTCACTGCTTAAAATGGCTTGAAAACATTGTGTTTTTATGATTTTTGTAATCAAACAAATATTGATATCACTCAGGGTTTTTTGAAGACTCAAGGGAGATAGCTCATTGCAATGTTAAGGTCTTCACTTATAGCAAACTATGTTTTCTACTTTACAGACTAGGTATGGAACATGATGGTAATGATAATTATTGTCAAGATGGTAAATATATCATGTCTGGAAGTGGAGGTGGAGGACCGGACTCTTTCATGTGGTCTCAATGTAGTGCCAGTGCACTAGAAGAATTTCTGAGGTAATGATGTCATGTCCCATCACAAACCAAGGCGGTCTGTAAATCTTACCATTGAAAAGATTTAAAAAACAACAACTTGGTTTCATTTGTTGTAATTATTTTAAGATTGTTTATTTTGTTATTAAAGATGCATTATACATGGGCTATATATGCCTATTGCAGCTCTTTTATCTGGCTTTAAAAGGAATATGAATTAGTATTTAGACATTTACTCACATGACAAACCCATTAGCTCTCTAAACTATCAGATGGCTAAGATATTTAGTGGATTAGTACTTGACATTCAAGACTATTTAGGCTTTTTCTTGAAAAACCTTTAAACATTCATGACTTCCCTCAGAATAAAGTAATTTGACCGAAATATTTAATATATTAATTTTTCATTATATTCATTTTTAAACTATTATAGCAAACTATAACATAATATTTCCAATATACATAGAAATTAATTTATAGAAAAATCATGTAGTAATTTATTTTTATTTTTCAGTAATGAGAACTCTTATTGTTTGGATGATTTTCCCACAGGTGAAACTATAAAAATACCTACTGATTTACCTGGTACTATTTATACTGCTGATCAACAATGTGGTCTGTTCATGGGACCAGAATCTAAAATATGTCTGGGTACATCTTTAGTTGAACCGTTTAATAATGTGAGTTGAGTTTTAAACATTACATGTATTAATAAAAAAAGAAGCAGACTTTTCTTTTAGACATTAGTGACATCCTGAAACTTTTTTAATTTGTGAATATTGTGATTATATATTTTTATAAGTTATATAACTAATACTACCGGCTCTCATTGTTATTTCTTTCTATAGGATGAATGTGCTCGATTAGTTTGTTACGATCCACATAATTCAGGTCAGTGTATTGGAAGTCAGTCACCAAGAATGGATGGAACAGAATGTGATGAAAGAAAGGTAGGATACATTCAATATTAATTGCTATTTTAGTTTGGAATTTTAGAAATCTATATTATAGAGATTCTTAGAAATTAATTAGAAAGTTATCCGTCCTTGATCATAGATGACCAAACCAACGAACTTTTATTATCACAGATAATTGGCAATTGTTTTTGAATGAAAACCTTTCTATATTTTAGTGGTGTATAAAGGGTCGATGTGTAGAAATTGGAACAAAAGGACCTCAACCTGTAAATGGTGGATGGTCGGAATGGGATGTTGATTGGTCACAATGTTCTCGTACTTGTGGTGGGGGCGTGAAGATTAAATCACGTGAATGTAACAATCCAAGGTAACTATTCAGAATATAATTAATTTTTTTTTATCAAAGTATGTTAAAAGAAAAGATTTTAATTTAGTAGAAATTGAAATTAAAGTTGTAAATGCAACATCCTTTTTTTCAGTCCCAGATTTGGTGGATTAGATTGTGTTGGAGAAGATACAAAAGCTGAACTTTGTAATCAAAAGGTATGTTACAAGTCAACAATATTTGTTTCAACATCTGTCTTCCAACCAGATGATCAGCCAGGCCAGTGTTGATTTTTTAATTACCGTTAATTTTCGGCTGGTCAATGTTCTGAGTAGAATATGCAGACTCATCTTTAAATTTATTTAATGTATGATTTGTTGAATTGTTCAACTTCACAGTATCAGTTTAAATACTTGTATATTTAATGTATGATTTGTTGAATTGTTCAACTTCACAGTATCAGTTTAAATACTTGTATATTTAATGTATGATTTGTTGAATTGTTCAACTTCACATTATCAGTTTAAATACTTGTATATTTAATGTATGATTTGTAGGATTGTACAACCTCACAGTATATGTTTAAAGAAGAACAATGTGCTGCCACTGATAATGCACCTCTGTTTGGCAAGCTCCATCATTGGATTCCTTATGACATTATTGGTGAGTTTAATTTCCACTCTATTTTCTTTCATATCTTGAATTTCACTCCACTCCTTATATATTTGTCAATGTGCCTCTGTTTTCTTTCATATGTGTCTATTTCACTCTTACTTCTGTTATATTTGGGAAGATCACGTAAGTATACAAAAAAACTTTATCGTACTTGTCCAGAAACATTCTGTTGACCATTGCTTGAGATTAAATTTTACCTTCGAAATCAATGCCCTGAGGGAGAGGTTAATGTCCACCCAACCTAAATTAGGTCATTTGGAGCTATAAGAAGAAAAAATTACTAGGTTAGACAGGTGACCCTACTGTGATGGAACTCTTTGTTCTGGCGATATCGAATAAGTAACTTTCACTGGATGTCAAAAGTCCAAAACTCCTTGTCACTTGGTACAAATCTGCGATTGAAACTGTGACACTTGACTTGAGGAAAGACCTTATGATATGCAGTGCATATCTTAGACATCGCTTCCCCCTTCCATTCACCCAGTGCAATTGTAAGTAATGTCATGCACATTGCACAAGGCATGCTTGAGCATTCTAGAACATCTGATAACACTTGTCATTTGTTTGGGAAGTTTATATAGCAATTATTTATATCAGGAGAAGAAGAATGTTTTAGATATTGTCAGACCGAAGATAATGATGGACAAATACAGATGAGAACAATCAACGATGATGAGAACTATTTTGATGGAACTTTTTGTTCTGGAGATTTTGAATATGCAGCTTTCACAAGATGTGTCAAAGGTTATTGTCGTGTGAGTAATACTACATTTAGTAATTAAACAAAAGAGTTTCTTTCAAATTTAATGATTCAACAGTGATTCTATTTCTTTAAATCTCTTTGTTTTAATTATTCTGAATTAAAGAGAAATAATTCTGTCAGGTTAAGTGTAATTATTTTCTTAATTTTGTATATTTAAAATGACAATAATCAGTCAAGTAAATCCCAATCTGAATGTAGGTATAATATATATTTTAGGCGTTTAGTTGTGATGGTATATCAGATGTAGATCGTATATTTGATGTATGTGGTGTTTGTGGAGGTCAAGGTGATACATGTATACAACATAATGGTACATTTAGTGATGGAGAAAAACAACGTAAGTAAAAAAAACACAAAAAACAACATAGATTGGTTTTGAGCCTTGACATACTATTATATATAGTACCGGTATGTCCTTGGTGGTGATCCTAGACATACTATTATAGTACCAGTATGTCCTTGGTGGTGATCCTAGACATACTATTATAGTATGTCTTTGGTGGTGAGGGGCAGCAGACTTTCTGAACAATGTACAATCTCACCAATATTTAAAGAATTCCAAGAAGAGCTCGGCCCTGTATCACATCTGGAGATTTTTAAATCCATACTGATTAACTGTATATAATTATACTTAAAGTGTGTTTGAACTTTAGCTGAGTGGGGATTTTTGAATTATCTATTGTTGTCCCCATCTGCATCAGCTTAAGATCCAGCAACTACATATATCTCCCTGCCTATCCAACCTCGACTGCACCTTTTTATAAAAGCTGTCCCCCCTTCCCTCAATCAGTAATATACCATAGAATACTTGAAGTCAGGGTTTTTGTTATGTATGGTTATACATATATTTATATAATATTTTTATAGGTTATGTAACATTTGTGACAATACCTGCAGGTAGTAGCGGTATATTTATAAATAATCAACATAGTGGATTCACTTCAATGAGTAAGAAAATTTAATTTATAATTTTTTAAAGAAATTACAATCATTATGGAATATTTGTCTTCCAATACATGGAATCCTAAATGAAGGGGAAAAGAATATGTATTGTTTTCAAATATTATGTTAACTATTGATTTAATTTAATTGTTAGTATACAGCTTATTATTGTCTATGTTACTAAATTTCATTGTTCCAGACATACAAAGTGAATGGACTGGATTATGGAAAGGCTACACAGATCACAGACACCTCCGAAAAACCACCAGACTCTTTGTGGAACCAGAGATATGACATGGAATGAAATAAATAGTCTCTGATTTTATTTTCTATAGGGATCAAAGTTGGAGAGGAAATATTGTTTAACATAGAAGGTGGTAAAAATGATCAATCAGGACAATATATTAGTAGTAATGGTGTCAAGGTCAAATATACCAGACAACTTCGACAACCAGAACTTATAGAAATAGTTGGACCAATACCATTTGATATAGAGGCTCAGGTATTGAAATATTAAAGGCCCATTTCTAGTTCATTTAGCACAATAAAAAGGATGTGAATTCAGTATAAACTAACAAGATAATTTTAAAAAGTCATGGTCGGACTCAAAATCTCTGGGTTGTTGAAACGAATGGAGAAATCTGTGGAATTTGCTAATCTGACAAATTATAATTGCGTTGAAAATTTGTACGTGTATTGATTTATTAAGTATGTTAGTTTAGGGTAGACCAACATTTCCACCACAAAAGTTAAATTGGTGGTAGTTAGGGTGAAAAACCTTGGTGTCTGAAACAAGGTAGATTCTATTTTTGTATTGTAATACAGGTATGGAAAAATTTTGGTAGTACTTTCTTCAGCACTAGACCTGATATATACTATGAATATTATACACCAAAAGAAATAAAACAGACAGACAATTTTAAATGGAGGTCTATAAATGAAGGTTGCAGTACAACATGTGGTGGAGGTAATGAATTGAAATAACTTTCGTCTATTTGAGAAAATTATGGGATATATTAATATTTTCATCAATTTACAGTCTATTTAGAGGAGAAAAACAGCTCCGTCTCAGGGGCAGATCCAGGAATTTTTGCAGGATGGGGTTTGCCAGGTTCCTGTTAAGAAAATTTGACAGTTGACAATGCAAGATGCCATCACTGTCTCCAAATTACGTAGGCATATATACACTTTTAAAGAGAGAAATCCAACATTACAAATTGACATCAATTTTTATTATGAATTAATAGGATCACATTGTGATCCACTTTTAATGATACAAAGCATTAATTGTTATATAACATATGTCTTATATCATTATCTCACACTTTGAATGCCCATCCCATCCCACCATCTGATGATAACACCCCAAACCTGGATCCCCCCCCTGCATCCAAAAACACATTAGAATGTAATATCATGTCCCAGTTTCTGGGTCTTTTTTAAGCAAACATGTTTTTTTATGAATACATGTGTTATGTAAAAGGAAGAGAATTGAGTTCTGAGAGCAGTGTTTCCTCCAATTCTTCTTTGAATTCCCTACCTATCAGTTGGAACCAATATCTAAAAATTCTTTTAAAAAAGCCAATAAGGGGAGCCACGGTGGCTCAATAAGTAATGCATTGGCTGTTTAAAACAGGAGATCCCAGATACGATCCTGCTTTTGGCCAAGGAAAGTCCTAATAATAATTACCGGCATGGTTTCCCCTTATTAGTAGTTCAATCTACAGCACACTTTGAGTTGTAGCCATTTTATAAGTTAATTTCTTGCAATTATATTTGTATGTTAAGGTCAGATGAAAGTAAAAATAGAGTGTATAGATACATTAAGTGATAATATAGTTGATGATAAAATGTGTTCTACAGAAGATAAACCTCTTACTAATGGTCAGATGTGTAATGAACAACCATGTGCTTCTAAGTGAGTATTACTGATATATAGGTTCTGGTTGGAATATTGTAAGGGGTTTATACAACATGCAGCAAACAGGAATAGAATGGGGTTTATCATCTTTCCAACACAATACTTTTGTCATTTTGAGACTAACATGTGACTTTCATTTCAGTTGTTATGTGTGCAATCCTTTTGTGTGGGATGAGGGATTTTGCACAGATAGTGGCGTTATCCCATCCAAACGACAAGGCACACTTTCCTTGTCATCTCTGTAGATTTCACCTCTGGCAAACGTTAACTAGTCTGAGGGTTCTTCTTGGCCCACCCTAGAAAATGAATTGATAGCCATGATATTATTTATAAAATATGACAGTTAAAAACTATTTAATACCTGAGCAGCATTTTCAGAAATATGTTAGTCACTTCTAGATGGTAAACAATGCTTATAAGGCATTCAGTTTGTGGAGAATAGTTTTTATTGCAATAATTGTGGTTTATTTATGCTTTGTTAGTAATTGCAGGATGACTGCATCATACACAACTATTAACAAACTGAAAAGCCTTAAGATACGCACTTTGACATGAACTAGACAAAAAAAAAACCATTTCGTGTTAAAGAGAACTATCAAATTAGATGAATGGTCATTTGAACAAATTAAACATATATTTTGTAGTTGGAGAACTGGTAAATTTAGTGATTGTTCGGTAACTTGTGATGGTGGTGTAAAGAAACGTACAGTTGATTGTATACAATCTATTAATAATACACTTACAGTCGTAGGGGCAGATAACTGTATTGGTGATAAACCGACTGAAACAGAAAGATGTAATGATTTAGCTTGTCCTGGAGTTTGGATGGTTGATACATGGTCACAGGTTTGTAAAAAAAACATGAAATGGAGATAAAACAAGCAGAGAGTAAGGCTGATGGCCTGGCTAAAATAAATATAATACACTTATTAATCATTTTATAAAGCATAGAGCGATCAAATTACTTATAACGCTGCTTAACCTGAGCCAGTATTGATGTAATTGATTATACCCCAAGTTTTAATTTATCAAATCAAATTGCTTAATGAACATCTACACCAAGTTTTAACATAAAATCATGGCATAGGCAAACAAGATGGGCATGTTTCAACTGTCATTATAGCTGGCGGGTGCATGCTTTGTGGCCTGAACTCTTTGGTTCATGGCATTGTCATGGTTTGTTGTTGGATTGTTGTTCTGGAACAATTAGTTAAGTATTCTCCTGGTGATGCCCAGCTTTAGACCACTAGACCCTTTAACCTATATATTTGATTTAATGTTTAGATACAGAGAAATAATGAATAAAGTATTTCATATATTATAGTGTTCTCAGTCATGTGGTTTGGGTATAAAGGAACGTAAAGTTAATTGTGTAAAGAATGATACTAGCAAGACACCAGTAGCTGATATACAGTGTGATTTCTTTAATAAACCAAACATGACAGAAAAATGTCTTCTAGCTCCATGTTATACCAATATCAGTAAGTTCTTTTAGATTTCTCATAGAACTGAGATGTTCTTTGTTGAGAATTTATATCTGCTTCCAGGTACAGGAGTGGATTCTTTCAGTCATGTGATTATTCTCATGGCAAGTTCACTTGTGGTTGTTACTTGATTTTGCTAAATTTGTTGATACTTAGTATTTTGACTATCTTGGTCAGGATTTATTATCCTTGATTTTTGGACCAGGAAGTTGTTGCTGTTATTGTTCTTCTTCTACTTCTTGGGGGTGTGACACTGATATTTGAAAAATGCCTAAGACTCTACCAATTTAAGTATAATTGACATGAAACTTGGCATGCTTCTTCTTGAACAATTGCGCACCGACTGTCAGACTTTGGAAATGATGTCATAATAATTGATTTCTTCAGTCATTTCACATCTGCTGTAGAGAATGGCATAACTATGCTGTAACATCCACAAAGAATTCCTGCAAGGGTTGGAATCGATTTTATGCAACTTGCATTGCTCAAGATGGAACCACATCCAAAAGTCTTTTGAAGTGTTAGTGATTTGATTGTCTTATTAAAATGTCCATAAAAATATTCCAATGAAAAATAAGTCACTTGTATTCTACTTTTTCAGCTGGTGATAATTGTATTGATAAAGTTGATTGTTCCAGACAAGATAATGTTTGTCACAATTATCCTGAATATGCTCATACCAATTGTTTACTGTATTGTGGTCTTTGTGTGAAAACAGCCTCAATAACAGGGACTACATTGACAGAGACTTGCGAAGATAAGGCTGACTGTGAGGCATATGGATCTAAAGTTTGTACAGACTACACACAGTGGAGCAAAATGAACTGTGCCAAATTTTGTAACATTTGTAGTATTGCCTTGAAGGCAGTTGGACTAAGTGAAAAACAATCCACTACAACACCAGCTAGTGCCATTACACAGCAGATGACAAACTGTACAGATACATCTGATAAATGTCAGAGCTATGGAAAAACTGTCTGCAAAGATTACAAGGAATGGTCATCAATTTACTGTCGCGATTATTGCGACTTTTGCTCAGGTAAGGAAAAGACAATTTCAAAGGAAGTTAAACCAACAACGTCACATAAAATAATCCAATTAACAACTGTTAAAAATGTAATGGAAACTAACACTAACACTCATGTAACACCAACATCTAACAAATTTGGAAAACAAGTTTTTGATCATACAGCAGATACAAAAACAACAGGAGGAAGAATAACACCAGCCATCATGGAGCCTAAATGTAAAGATCTAATCAATTGTAAATCTTACGGTGAAAAAATCTGCATTAAAGTTAAGACATGGTCTGATGTTTATTGTAAAAACTACTGTGGACGATGCCCTTTAAATAAAGTGACGTCAACACAATCCAATTTGACCCCAATAAAAACTTCTTCATCAAAGATAATTCTGCCAGATAATGAACACATTGAACTACATGCATCAATGAAGATTTTGCTCACTACGGTTACACCAGTACCATATGCAGTAAAAAGTTCTTCAAATTCATCAGAATGTTATGATATCTCACATGATTGTAATGATTATGACAAAACCATGTGCAAAGTTGGTCGGTACCAAAAATGGATAAATCAGTATTGTAGAAAATTCTGTGATCTTTGCTCAAAAGATCACCGACCAAAAATTAAAAAGGCCCATGGACCTATATGTAAAGATGAGATCAAATTTTGTCATGCGTATGGTAAAGGTGTTTGTAAAAAGTATGTTGATTGGTCGTTATTAAACTGTCCATTATATTGTAATCTGTGCGCTAACATTACTGACCAATCAGATCCCATTTCTGAAAGTACTAACCAAGCAGATTCCAGTTCTATTTCTAGACGTACTAATGAATCAGATGCCACTATTACTAACCCATCCGATTCGACGTCTGACAATACTAATGATGTGAATAGTACTAACCCATCAGATTCGAGTTATGATAATAATAATAAAGAGAACATGGTGATGGTACATGTAGAAACTAATAAAGGTGAGAGCACCAATTATTAAATACTAATTCTTGAAATATTTATCCGTATGCAACTATGCATCAAAGACTTCACTGATTTTACCATTTATGAGTACGTTTTACTTTTGACTTTTGACTTTGTTCTCAGATGCATGTTAATGGCCAGCACGTTTTCAAATCATAAGTTCTATAAACATTGGAGGCAGGTGTTGAAATTTTGTTTAATGCATGATTTGTAGCAGTGAAAGTATGCATTTTTTATACGCCCACATTTTCATGTGGACGTATTATGCCGTCGCCCCTGTCCGTCCGGACGTCCACAATTGTTTTTGGACTCTCTACAGGTCACAATTCTTATCCAATTTTGACGAAACTTGAAATATAGGTTCATCCCCAAAAGATCTTGGCTGCTTTCGATATTGGCATGTATCGGATCGAAACTTCATGGATTATGGCCCCTGATTGTACGAAAATTCACGTTTTTAGCTTGTGGACCCTATAGAGGTCACAATTTTTATCCGATTTTTTTAAAACTTGAAATGTAAGTTTATAACCCAAAGATCTCAGTTCCTTTCGATATTCGTGCTTATCGGACCGTAACTTCCTGAATTATGGCCCCTGATTGTACGAAAAATCACGTTTTTAGCTTGTGGACCCTATAGAGGTCATAATTTTTATCCGATTTAAAAAACCGTATTATTATATGACCGTTACACCCTAAAGAAGGTTGAGTTCGAATTTCGTGGAAATCGGCCGAAAATTGACAGCAAAATGGCCGCCGTTCGTTCTCAAATAGCATAAAAATATGGTATATCAAGGTTGTGGACCCTATAGAGGTCACAATTTTTATCCGATTTTGTTAATTGAAATTTAAGTTTATAACCCAAAGATCTCGGTTCCTTTCGATATTCGCGCATATCGGACTGTAACTTCCTGAATTATGGCCCCTGATTGTACGAAAAATCACGTTTTTAGCTTGTGGACCCTATAGAGGTCATAATTTTTATCCGATTTAAAAAACCGTATTATTATATCACCGTTACACCCTAAGGAAGGTTGAGTTCGAATTTCATGAAAATCGGCCCAAAATTGACGGACAAAATGACTGCCGTTCGTTCTCAAATAGCGTAAAAATATGGTATATCAAGGTTGTGGACCCTATAGAGGTCACAATTTTTATCCGATTTTTTTGAAACTTGAAATGTAAGTTTATAACCCAAAGATCTCGGTTCCTTTCGATCTTCGCTCATATCGGACCGTAACTTCCTGAATTATGGCCCCTGATTGTACGAAATATCGCGTTTTTAGCTTGTGGACCCTATAGAGCTCATAATTTTTATCCGATTTAAAAAACCGTATTATTATATCACCGTTACACCCTAAGGAAGGTTGAGTTCGAATTTCGTGAAAATCGGCCCAAAATTGGCAGACAAAATGGCCGCCGTTCGTTCTCAAATAGCGTAAGAATATGGTATATCAAGGTTGTGGACCCTATAGAGGTCACAATTTTTACCCGATTTTGGTGAAACTTGAAATGTAAGTTTATAACCCAAAGATCTCGGATCCTTTCGATATTCACGCATATCGGACCGTAACTTCCTGAATTATGGCCCCTGATTTTATGAAAAATCAAGTTTTTAGCTTGTGGACCCTATAGAGGTCATAATTTTTATCCGATTTAAAAAAACTTATTATTATATCACCGTTACAAGGATGACTGAGTTCGAATTTTGTGAAAACAGCCCAAAATTGACAGACAAAATGGCTGCCGTTCGTTCTCAAATAGCGTAAAAATATGGTATATCAAGGTTGTGGACCCTATAGAGGTCACAATTTTTATCCGATTTTGTTGAAACTTGAAATGTTAGTTTATAACACAAAGATCTCAGTTCCTTTCGATATTTGCGCATATCGAATTGTAATTTCCTGAATTATGGCCCTTGATTGTAGGAAAAATCACTTTCTTGTTAGCTTGTTCTCTATCCATCTCTCGAAAATGTGGGCGTATCCTGCCTGGCAGCCGCTGGTTTCTATAAAATATAGCCAAAGTCTTGTCAACTTGCAAGCCGCACACCTTGATGTAACCTAGTAGGGTCATAACGATGAATTAAGAATTTATTATTTTGTTTACAGTCCTTACTTTCCCAACTTATCCATATACTCATAAGAATTATAAGAACAGTACCTTTTGTGCAGTGGTGGGTTTTATCGTTCAGATTTGTTTCAAGCTGGTGCTACCAAAATTTAGTCCATATCCTAGCTCGAGAAGAACAGTACCTTTTGTGCAGTGGTGGGTTTTATCACTCAGATTTGTTCCACATCAAGCCGGTGCTATCAAAAATATAGTCCTTTTCCTAGCTTGAAAATGGTAGATCATGTTATTATTAGGGATACAGGGGAAGTGGGGATCTTACTTCCTCAGTCCAGTTTTAAATAAGATTTCACCTTCCATGTTTTCAATTTCATAGGCCTTGTTTATTATCTTTTAATTAAACATACATTATGCAAGAGCTAAATCTGCCTATTGCAGGTCTTTCTTCACGATTTTAATGATTAAATGGATAATCGAGACTATGATTTTTGTCCAACCGACTTTAGTAATGATGATCGAGGCTAGGCAGAAATTTCAGTTGCTTAATTCTTGGTTCATAGTGGATCAATTTGAATGAAATTTTCAGCAAATTGCCTTTACATTATCTGGTTTTTAACTATTATAGTGAGAACTGCCAACTTGTTATGTAATCTCCCATAATGTATCTTTAAGCAGTTACTATATCTATTATAATATTTAACTTTGAATTAGATGCTACAACAGCAGTGGAAGTTAAATCTACAAGCCAGGATGGTTGTTTAGACAAAGCAGACTGTCAAGCCTATGGTAAAACTGTCTGTAATGATTACAAACAATGGTCTCAAATCAACTGTAGAAAATCTTGTAATTTCTGTAAAAATTCAGTTCAAAGCGGTAAGTAAATTCTAAGATAATATGGCTTGAGTAGGGTTAATGAGTGGTCAAAACAATACATGTAATTCTGATACTAAGAACCTTTTTAATACGCCCAGAGAGGAGTTAAACGTTCAATTAACACAAACTGTAACATTGTGGGACTCACATACGGTACAACTGTATTTCAATAATTCGTAGTTAGGGGAAACCGGAGAAAACTCTACTCCTTGTTGCGTTCCAGCTTGGTATCGACACTTATCTCACTTGACTTAATGACCCACCACCCGGACCTCCGCCCCTGTCCGTCCACAATTTGTTTGTGTACCCTACACAGGTCACATTTTTTTTTTTCGATTTTTATCCCAAATTTGAAATATAAGTTTATATCCGAAAGATCTTGGTTCCTTTTGATACTAGGGGTTGGTTGAAAGGCCGAATGGTTAGCATGTGCGCGCTGTATCAGAAGGTCTGCCATTGAGTCAACTGGCGTGGTTTCGAATCCCCAGTTTTATGTGGCAAGGAGTAGGGTCGCCTGTCCAACCTCGTGGGTTTTCTCCGGGTACTCCGGTTTCCTACCACTGCTAAAAGACCCCTACACGCAAGCAAATTATTGAAATAAAATTGAACCATATATTGGTCCCGAAATGACCTAGTTTGTGTCGAGTGGACGTTAAACCCCATTTCTATCTCTCTCCTTTCGATACTGGCATGTATCAGACCGTAACTTCATGGATTATGGCCCCTGATTGTAGGAAAACTCATGGTTTTAGCTTGTAGACCACGTCACAATTTTTATTTGATTTTGATAAAACTTAAAATGATAAAACTCAATTTGATCTGAGTTTCTTTCCATATTCATGCATATTGGACTTCTTGGATTATGGCCTGATTGTACGAAAAATAACGTTTTTAGCATGTGGACCCTCTAGAGGCCACAATTTTTATCCAATTTAAAAAAAAGATTCAATTTTATCACTGTTACACCAGAACTGCTGGACAAAATGGCTGCTGCTCGTACACAAATAGTTGAAAAATATGGTATGTATATCAAAGTTGTGGACCCTCTAGATGAAACTTGAAATATATGTTTCTGACCCAAAGATCATGGTTCCTGGCGATATTCGCGCATATCGGATTGTAACATCCTGATTTATGGCCCTTGATTTCACGAACAATTGTGTTTTTAGCTTGTGGTCTCTCTAGAGCCAGGTCACATTTTTTATCCGATTTAAAAAAATGTTTCAATATATCACCGTTGCACCCTAATGATAGTCGAGTTCAATTTTCAAAACTGGACCAAAACTGCCAGACAAGATGGCAACCCCTCGTACACAAATAGTGCAAATATATGGTATATCAAGGTGGTGAATCTTCTAGAGGCCACAATTTTAATCTGATTTTGATGAAACTTTAAATTTATGTTACATCACAAAAATCTTGGTTTCTTTCGATAATCAGGAACATAACTTCCTGGATTCTGGCCACTGATTGTTCGAAAAATCACGTTTTTAGCTTGTGGACCCTCTAGAGGTCATAATTTTTATCCGATTTTAAAAAATGTTTTAATGTATCACCGTTACAACCTAATGACGGTTGAGTTAGAATTTTGTGAAAATTGAACCAAAACTGTCTGACAAAATGGCCAATCCTTGTATGTAAATAGTGTAAAAGTATGTTGTGGACACTCTAGAAGTCACAATTTTTATCCGATTTTGATGAAACTCAAAATATATCTTTATATCCCAAATATCTCAGTGCCTTTCGATATCTTCGCGCATTTCAGACCGTAACTTCCTTTTTTTTTTTTTTAGCTTGTTCTCTATCCAACTCTTACAAAATGTGGGCGTATCTTGCCTCTTGCCTGGCAACCACTGGTTTTAATTTGAAAGACTTATTTGTGGCAGTAATTGATACAAAGAATATAAAGTAGATACACTGATGTATTTTGCTGTTAAATAACTTTATAAAAGTAACCTTATTGTGGCCTTAATTTTGGTCTTTGGCCAATATTTCCTTTTAATGTCCCATCTGAATTAAGATTTGCGTTCATTTCAGTTACAACTGTATAAATAACATATTGGATAATTCATGTACTTCTTTAAATAGGACCTGCCACACCACTTAACAATTCCCTTTCATGTGTCATGCATAAAAGCTAATAATAATACTTTCCTTTATAATTCATGTATTTCTTTAAATAGGACATGCCACTACCACTTTACAATTTCCTTTCATGTGTCACACATAAAAGCTAATAATAATAATAATAATACTTTCCTTTATTATTTATTATATAGCTGAGAACCATATTTAGAGTGATATTTGTTGATCAAACTCTCTAGTAGATATTTAAACTGAGACCCAATCGTGACTTTCTTTGACTTTAAAGGACATTTGTATAATCCCAAATTGACTTGGGTTCCAAATTTTGCTAGATTTCGCCTTTAAAACTTACTGACAATCCAAGAAATCAAGGACAAATAAGTCTAACAAAACTGTTTAATAATAATGTCATTTCTTTTTTATTTCAGAAGCGGGTATGATTTGTTCAGATCTTATACAGTGTTCTGGTTACGGGAAGTCTGTATGTTCCAAATACAAAGATTGGGCCAGAATGAACTGTAAAAAATACTGCGAACTGTGTTAACTACAATATTTTATGTAACTTGTATTGGCTTCCTTACATTTTGTAACTTTACTACCAAATGTACTTAAAATAACTCCCTAAATCGGGTAATTATGAAACCACTGAATTTAGAATCATGACTGTCAAAGAAATATATCTTTCACAGGTGTATGATTTAGTTTAGATGAATTATTTGATACTATAAATCAATCAAATTGCACAGAGGAAACATGTCTGTGGTTTGATGTTTGCAATTCCTTTAGAAAGACTAGACTGAAGATGGCAGACTTTTAATTTAAAATATGAGTTGGCAGTTATGTCCCCAGCCCTATTGCTGCTTGCTAAATATTCTGATTAGAAGATAATGTCAAGATTTATTAATATAAGACCAAAATTTTCACCATGTACTCTTACTCTCAGTAACTTACACTTAAATATTTGTGGTAGTAGGGATTTTTATTTTTTTGTTTTTCAACATTTTTATGTGGCATGATAACTAAGTATTGATATTTTATAAGTATAATACTTGAAATCTAATATTAAAAAATGAGATTTTTAATAAAATTGGTGTCACACGTGAAGCCCATAATGAAATGAAATGGGTTTAATGTCCTCTGTTCTGCTCCGACTGGGCTAATTAAGATAAGGAAGCCCATAATATACTTGTAGATGGACCTTAGTCACTAATAGTAAACTTATATAGTAATTTATTAATTACCTTACAAGTTTCAAAGGATGTGCTAATTGTACAGATTTTGTATGTACATAGTTTTTGTTAGAACTTGTGTATTATTTCCTAATATTTTATAGTTTATACACATTTTGAAAATCTTTACTGTATTTATTTCTTGCTTTTGTACTAAATGTACATTTTTAGATATCATACAATTCATTATAAAATAAACAAACAAATAGATCAATGTTTTTAATGTTATAGTTTCAGTTTATTTCCCATTCTCAACATTCACACCACTGGTAGCCCTTTCCCAAATATAATTCACAACTATGAATTTCTTTTTAGAATCAAAAATATAAGCAGACAACCCAACTCACTCCAGATTTTCCACTAAGGTGTAAATGAAAACCCACATCTGCTTGTTCATAATTGATAGATTAATTTTCACTGTTGGACTGGACTTACTAATCGATAGATTATGTAATTTTCACTGTTGGACTGGACTTTCTATCTAATGAATGTAGAGAAAAAAATAAACCAGCTAAATATAAAGGCTTTAATTTGTCAGAAGGTTGAGGAAGACCTATCTTGGATGCTTTCAATTAGATGCAACAAATAGATATTCACCTTTTTTCTCTCACTTAATTCTTCAAAGTGACCACATACGCATATTGCTTGCACAAAACAAACATTTCTGTTATGTCACTGTCAAACAGAAGAGTTACTAGGCAATGAATATATCCCCACTACCAGTTTCCTGGTGCCACATTATAGTGATATGAGTCACAATCAATTACTTTATAAAAGATTTCATTGACACTGGGTAGGAAGAGTTCAAATTTAATAATGAACATTTCCAGACCCTTGAATTATTATATAGACAGTTTTGTCTTCATATGAAGTTATAATACCTCTTGTTTCAATAAAGTAATAAAAGTTGGAATCTCATTGACACAATCGATCATAGATTCAGTATTTTAAAGTCACAAATAAGCTTACACCAGAAACGCACACATATAACCAATCGGACAACAGTAAATAGTACATAAATTTAGTCAATCAATGTGAATAGTACTATACTAGGAATAATCATCTTCCTGTTCATCTTGAGTTGCACCTGATAATTGACCTTGTTGTTGTTGTAAAGCTTGCTGCATCTGGATCCATTGTTGTTGTTCTAATTCAGCCTGTTCTTGACGAGCCTACAAAAAAATCCAAATAATTAGCAAACAAGAAATCCATAATTTGTATGCAAAAGCACAAGAAATCTGACATGGGGAAACCAGGCTTGAAAATCCTGAGGAACTTTCTTGGCGAACCTGTTACCTAGAGGTTAACGAGACAGCACCTTACTCAGTGTGCCACCCCCCCATATAAATATTAACACTTTTAAACTTGAGAAATTTGAGAACTCTAGCAACACTTATCTGTAAACTATCTGTAATAAAGATATCTAGCCATTATAATGATGTAACTTCAAATTCTTTACCTTAGCAAATAATTCTTGTTGTTGACGTAATAATTCTTCCTCGGGTATGCCCAGATTTTCAAGTCGTGAACTACCTCTTCTCTTTTTAGCTGCAACTGCCTTGGCTTCTGCTAGAACTGCAACAGCTTCTTCTTTGTATGATCCAAATCCAAGGCTGTCTAAAGCTGTCAAATAAATAAGTATGGTATATAAAATATTTTTATAAAATGATAATAATGTATGGAGTGTTTATTACAAGGTCTTTGCACGGGTGGAAATTTTCATAAGGTTCCTTTGGATGACTAGTTACTGTATAATTCCAGTGAAATGTTAAGAAAAATTGCAAAAACTCTGACCTGTACAATTATTATACGGTGCTTTTTTAAAATTTTATGATAGAGACCATAACTTACTACAGGCAGTTTTTCATCTCTAAAAAGTTACACCGACTTTCGGTTTCTATTGTTATGTTAATGATCTGATAACTAACTACTCACAAAAATGATACCAAATACAGTCTTACCATTTAAAACATGTTCTGCTGATATTGTTTTTTTATGTTGTTTATTACACACTTCGTTGGCTTCAGATGACACTAAATGAATAAACTCTGTACAACAGTTCAATATTAATTCCCGAGCATCATTAGCAACACGTATACTTGGTGTTAGTTCTTTGATCATTTTATTTAACGCTGCTCTTGGAATACTCAAATCATCATCATCTTTCTTTTCATCTCTGTTATCAGCCATTTTGATCGAATCTGTCTATAATTAAGTGAAAAGATACTCCAAATATAAAACATTAAATTAAAAGTTATTGTTCTACACTTTTCAAACAATCATAGTATAACATCGTCCATCTGTTCTTTCAATCTGTAATGTAAAATTAACATACAAAATGGTAAGTGGAAAGGATAGACTTGTTTTCTGATATTTTTTCCATGCAATTTACTATTAATTCAGCAAAATGAAATGAAATGAAATGGAGTTTAACGTCCTAATGTTCTGCTCCTAACCTGGGCTAATGAAGACGGGCATACGCCATACAGTGTGCTATGAGGGAAATTTTGCCCGGACAGCGGCACTACGGCCTACTCTTATATCGAATTCCAACTGCCAAGGGATCTTTTACGTGCACGCCAATGTGTACACGGGACCTCGGTTTTTCGTGCCATCCGAACGACTAGACAGCTTTCCTTGTCAGCCCCTCCGTCCTGCATCACTGACAAGGTAGAACCACGCCGGAAAATCTGGATGAACTTTCTCGGCCAATGCAGGGATCGAACACCCGACCTCCAGGCTAGCGAGCTAGCGTCTTACCCACTTAGCCACGTGATCCCCCTTAATTCAGCAAAGGAAACTCTTTGATAGTTTTCAATGATGAGCTTCGTGACTTGTTCCAGGCAACACCTGTATATGGGCTATTTTCACAAAAACGTACAAATAACGGAAAAAAACTGTTTACCTGATTTTTGATATAAAATTTTCGCAACCGTCAAAAAAACTTATATATTGTACATCAGCATGGAAGTCCTTTCTTTGGGAAAATATTTTGACATGGTTATATTCAAAATAAAATTAGAATATCAAATTATGGGGTCAAAATGTCCTTCCGTTAGGTGGTAAAACTTCTCATTCTCAACTTCGAACTTGAAAATCTGCTTTTAAAATTGAAATGTCAGTAAAAATTACAGTGCTTTTCAATTAGCCATCCAATAGAGCTGAATAAAATGTTCTATTAACTTTTTTAAGAAGAAATTGAAATCAGCTATATCAAATATTGTTTCTGTCAAAATTTTGAGAACAATTTTCCATTAATGCTTTGTTAGTGAGTTAACAATATGCCCCATTATCAAGTATGTCACTTGGTGTCATTATTAAATCAAAGACAGGGTTATGGTCAAGCAGGAAAATCCCACATAATGGAAAGAAACAGTTTATAGAAAGGGAAATACAAACAATTAAACATACATTATGCAAGAGCAAAATCGGCCTATTGTAGGTCTTTCTTTAGGCCTGAAATGTTATAAAAACTATTAATTAGACATTAATTAACTTATCCAGACCATAATCAGCTCTCGATGTCAAGGCTTGCCTGCGATATTTGTTGGATTACAGTCCGATTTGCTGCAAAACTTTCCTTCGTGATTAACGATTAAATGGATAATCAAGACTATTAGTTTTGTCTTATCGTCTTCAGTAACGATGATCGAGGCTAAGCGGAACTTTCATCCGCTTGGTTCTCGGTTCATAGTGGATCAATTTGACTGAAATTTTCAGCAAGTTGCCTTTACATTATGTAGTTTTTAACTATTATAGTGAGAACTGCCAACTCGTTATCTAATCTCCCATAATGTATCTTTAAGTTGACCTCACATGGTTGTCGCACAAATTGTATGTCTCTTTTGTTGGTCTCTTCCAAGACATAAAACACTGACTGATCGAGAGGTTTTCACTCAGAAAACTAGGGAATGAGTTAGTCAAAGCACTGTGTTAATATCATACATGTTTATGCAATGTGAATGAGTTTGGACAGTCAAAGCATGTCTTTTCAGTTATAAAAATTGATAACGGAAAAGACTTCTTGCATTGAGATAGACAAACAAACAGTATTTAGTTAAAATTATAATTCGTTATCGCTTTTTAAATTCTTTCTAATGGTATTCAAACATTTATTTAGACAACTGGAGTCAAATTAATGACTTTAAATTTTTGTCTTTTCCATTATGTCTTTACTGTTTACATGGTCTTTTAAAGCGAGAATTTCATATTTTCTAAGAAAGTCAAAACATAATTATTTCTATGTCTTTTGCTCAATAGGTTGTCAACTCACTATTATACGATCATAGGTATCATTCTCCCACTTATAAATCCTTGACCCCGGAAATAATAACACAATTATCTCCATTGTTTTTCTATTCCCCCCATGGAATAGCTATCTTCAAACGTTGGAATTTGAAGTTGAAAATAATATTTTTGCCAATTTCTCAACTGGCAATAGTAAATTATGGGATTAATAGGATTATTCTTTAACAAGGTAGAACTGTTTATAGATACCATCTATTTCAAGGCTTTATTTTAATACATTTAAAAAATATAACTTAAAAAATATGAAATTGCAACTTTAAGTTTTACATGGTAATAACTGAAAAGAGATTCTTACAGATTTGATTTTGTTACATTTTTGTTATTTCTAAGAGTGCTGCATGGCTATTGCATATACTTCCTCTTGAGTTATAAACCTAAAGAATACAGTAAAAATTCCCAAAAAATTCATAATTACTTTTCAAAATTTGTCTTTACCGTTATTTGTGGCTCATGTGGCTCATTTGTAAATACCTACTCTAGAGTGAAATTTTCAGAGAATGTAAAAAGGCTGTTTATTTTAGAGCTAATTGGCTTTGATTTAAATGACTCCCTGTACATGTACAGATACTGTGACTATGGAAAATGAGACTTATAATCATCCTTCTTTGCCAGGTTGAAAAGGAAAGGGGCCCCTTTTTTTAATATAGAGCGAAGCTCTACAGCATCGCGCAAAGCGCAGTGCTTGAGCAAAGCTCTTTTCCGGTAACACAGGAGCGTAACTGAAATTGTCACCCACAGACTGTTGATTAAAAAAAAATTCAGACCGGAACCGGATACACTGGGCAAAACAGGCAATGCGCATGTCAACTTACCAAATCTCGCCCAAGCAAGATTACGCGCCTCATAGAACTATTTCTATGACGAGTCTAATCAATGACGTCACATATTTTTGACGTCAATGAAAATAATTCTCACACTTTTTTGTTCTTTTTTAAAAAACAAAATTAATGTATACGATTTAGATCTAAATGAAAATCAATTTGGAAAAACTAAATTATTTAACATTTTTTGTATCACTTGAGAAAATTAATTATGAAGGTTTTATATTTGACAATTGAATAATCAGCTTCGCTCTACTCAGGCAATGCCTGTTACATATTAAGTGCACATTCCAGAAATGAACCTAGGCTACGTTTGAACCGCAGTTTTGGCGCTATTCAGCACATTTCACTGTATTGACTTATAATTAACTATGTATGATTTCATTACCTTTCGTTATTTTTATTCGAACTATAGCCTAGACCTAAATGAAATAAAAACAACTTTCTACGTTCTCATGACATTTCCGGCTTCTAATACATGCGCAGAACGGTACATGCCGGCTATATCATTGACAAAACCAGTTTTGCTACTGATACCTTGCAGCCTTGTTTGTCGGATATATTTTTAGGTTTAACCTTAGCTGTTGAGCTTTTATCAGATATCATGTCTGCAATTCAATTAAGTATAGGTCTCATTGTATTAATGGCCATAACAAAAATCTTTTAGATTCGGGTAATTGTTGTAAGCGAAAAGAAAGAGGTCAAGGTCGCTAAGTAATAACAAAGCGTAATAGTGTTTTTTTTTCGATTATAAACTTCCTTACAGTTTACAGTGAAAAATCGATGAAATCCACTGACGATTTTAAGTGAGTCATGTTATAGTACAATAATTACGTGATGGTATCAAAGTTACTTCGTTCTAAAAGAAAACATGTTGATTATTTTGAAGAAAGGAAACAAAACTGAAAAAGTTGAAAATGTTTATCTGTCGGAAGGCCATAAACCTACTGTGGATGGGAAAATACCTCTCATGGATGACGAACAGAATCCGTTGTACATTGAATCCGCCCTGTGGTTTAAAACCTATATGGTTTCAGTCATTTACATTGACTGTGACAAGAGAAAAGTTATTTGGTTTAGAGACGATGTTGATCCATTCCAGGGAGGGGAAAACTTACATGATTGGAGCTCAGTCGACATAGATGTGGTTAACGGGCAGTATTTGTTTCAGGATGCCAGTATGGTTTATGATTTTGATCCCACTATAGATGAACTGACTGATCGGTCAGTAGAAGTAATGAATGCTCTGGCAAACAGACAAATAACAAAAACCAGTTTCATATCCGAGGTGATTCGTATAATCCACTGCTACATACTTCCGGCTGTTTGTTTCACAAGCCAAGATATGGAAAAATTGAAAGTAGCTTCTCAGAGAGTTGAGTCAATACTGAAAATAACAGAAGGAAACATCATTAAAAAAGGTACATCTGTGGACCTATCTTGTAACAGCCTTGATAAACAACGAAAACGACTTCTACGAATTGAAGATTTTCATCTTGAATCATATGTGCGTTGCTGTAACAGAATATTTTTATCATTCCTACTTCTGCACATAGAAAAAGACATTCTCAATCTTGACTCAAGTCTCTTTATTCGCCAGCAAGAAATAAATAAACGAAGAGACAGTAAAGCAGACACTGGAGATGTCATAGAAAGTGAATTAAAGCTGTTGAGAATTGAAAGAGATGAATCTCACAAAGCCCTAGAAAAATTACAAGTTGTCCGTGAAAACATTAAAAATGTTATAAAGAGACAAAATCATTCTAAAATTACCAGGAAAAGGTTTAAGATTACCCAAAATGTATTCCATGATATTTATCGTGAATTGTCTATCCGACTTCAAGAGCAAAAAGAAGAGATGCATAAATTAGTGATACAAAAAATAAAGATCACTGCTGTGAGAGAGGCAATCAAAAATTCTCTGAAAGAACTCAATCGAGATGGATTGTCTCCTTCTCAACCAAGAACTTCATATACTGATGGTAGCGAGTATTCCACTAACATGCTTGGCACTGATGAAAAACCAGCTGACTGGATGACAATTGATGACAGAGTAAAGAAGTTATTATCTTCTCTTGAATGCGAACCTTTGCGCACACATAGTGATGGAATTCATTTAATTCTGGAGAAAACAGAAGCTGCTTTAAGTGAAATGTCACAATTTGGATTGAGGATAGAAATTGGAGATGATCTTCAGGGTAGATCACGGTTATCTAGTATAGGAATAGAAACAGAATTCAATTCATTAAATTCTATGGGTGATAATTTAGATGCAAATATTTCTGCCAGTGAAGCGGATTGCGACTTTCTCAGGAATATGGGCGAAGCTTCACGTACTCGAAGAAGTCAAGTTAAATCACTTTCTGTATCGATGTGTGAACAATTAAGTGAGTTATCTACTAGTTCTATTAAACCTGCCATTAGTGACATTGTTCAAGATTTCCTTAATCACATTGATAAAATGTGTAGACTGTTTTTTAACTATTTTCCGAATGTGGAACAGCGCCACTTTAACAAATTATGGATAAGTTATGAAGCTATTTTCTGTGAACGTGTTATTAAAAAGTTGATGGAATTATATTTTTCTGTGTATAAAGGGCCATGTCACACACTCTATAGATCTTTAGTTAAACTTTCCATATCTGAATTTGTCATTGATGATCAATTTTTCCAAATGGTGATGCGACAAAGCTTTGAAAGTTTATCAGAATTTGAAGAGAGTGCCATGTCATCTACTGAGGCTAAGTTAGACTTCCAGGACTCTAATTCTGATATGATGAGCTTAACTTCATCAGAAATTCATTTTGAAATTTCGAAATGTACTTCAGAACAGCTGTATAACAGCACGGATCAGGAATGTGGACAGAATCTAAGTGAGGTGCACAATATTTTAGACCCAGCTTGTTGTTTTAAAACATCTCCAAGCATTGATTCTCTAACTAGTTTGACAGAAGATACAATTGGTCAGGAAATAGGTGTTTCTGGGAGGCCAGAATATCATACATCTAAAAGTGTTGAACAGTGCTATAAAGAAGCAATAGAGAAGTTACTCAGCCCGGCAAAAGATATGATTATAAAAGCCATTGAGGGTAAATCAATCCTAGAAAAGTTACGCCATGTAACCAAAGCATTTGCTTTTATGAACAATCAATTAAGTAGAATTAACAGTGGACAAAACTCTGTTTGCTGTGATGACATGATAACAATAACAACGGCATTAATTTTAGATCTTGACTGTGATATGTTTACTAATCTTTATTCTACTATTAATTTATTAATAGACCTTAAGCCACCATTTCTATCAGGAAGTGTTCATGATTTTTGTCTGACTACATTTTTTGGTGCGTATCAGTACTTATTTGACAAACAAGTTCTAGAAAGGCGGGAATTAACATCCACTAATTGCTAGTTAGTTAATTCATTGTTAATGTAGGCTTATCTAACTTCAGGTCAGGTTGAAATTACATTGGCTATATTTTTGAGATAACTTTGGGCTAATAAAAAAGTGATTAAATATTGCCAAAATTCACATACATGTAAGATGTTTGTTTAAACATACATTATGCAAGAGCTAAATCTGCTTATTGCAGGTCTTTCTTTAGGTATGAAATGTTATCTAAATTATTAATTAGACATTAATTGACTTATCCAGACCATAATCAACTCTCGCTGTCAATGCTAGCCAGCCTGCTATATTTACTAGATTGGAATCTGACCTGCTGCTCAAAGCTCATTAATGATTCAATCAAAAATGGATAATCAATAATCAAGACTGTTTTTTTTTTTTATCATACCGAATTTTAGTAATGATGATCGAGGCTAGTCCTAAAATTAAATCGCTAAATTGTCGGTTCAGAATCAGAATACTAATATAGCTACTGTAATTTTTATGAGTCAAAATAATGTTAGGGTTCTAAGAATTGGAAATTGCATGAGGCGGATTGTAATAATGCTGACATTATCCTTATTCTTAGATCTGTATACATTAATATTATATAAACATGTAGGTTATATAGGATTCATTTGATTTGTCTAAAGATAATAATCTATCCCGGTACATGTACTTATGATAAAGGTCATTCATTATTCATTACTCCCACATATTAATTAGTTATTCAAGTGCAGACAGGAATTGAACTTTGAATGGGAACCAGGATATATTTTAAAGACAATATTCAGTTGTACATGTACATTTTTGAATTTTTGAAAGCCGCCAAATTTTTTTATTTGGGTGGTGTTGGGGGGGGGGGGGGGCACTGCTCCCTGTAATTCTCTTCTGAATCTGTCAGTGCTATGTATATTTAGTATAATAAGAATTGCATGTTTTTGGTCAGATATATTACAGTTCTGGTAGTTTAACACACTGTACAACATAATTTTTGATATGTCTTTTTGCTATAAACATTCCAGTATTATTAGCGTACACATGGTGCAAAATAAGTAACCCTTTCAATACCAGACTTTTAAATTTCCTTACCACTACATTTATCACTTAATTTTCTTTAGTAATGTAGAGTTACATGACTAAATAAAAAATTTGTTTTAAGGGGAAATTTTTGTAATTTTATCTCAATGAAGAAAGAGAACAATGTACGCTACATGTACATTATATAGGGCTAATGTTTAAAAAGATCTGATTTTGTAATTTAAAAAAAAAAAATTATTATAAATAATTTTAATCCTAATCCTATTAAATGTCTTGTTTTATTTATTGCTATTGAAATATATAGCAGTATTTCATACCTTTATTTTTTGTAAAAGTGTATGCGGAAATATTAACATATTATATATGTATATTAAATATTTATAAGAGATTAATATCGTAATCAGTTAATAAATAAATGCTCTTCCTTCACATTTTTAAAATCAGACTTGTTACAGAAACCTAAATTGGGTTGTTTTTTTTTTCATATAATGTACATTGTAATATGAAAGATAAGATGTCTATGCTCTCTGTGTGTTAACTATTATTAAACATACATTATGCAAGAGCTAAATCTGCCTATTGCAGGTCTTTCTTTAGACCGGAAATGTTATCTAAATTATTAATTAGATATAAATTAACTTATCCAGACCATAATCAACCCTTGATGTCATCGCTAGCCTGCGATGTTTATTGGATTAGGTTCTGATTTGCTGTTCGACTTCCATTCATGATTTAATCATGAAATGGATAATCAAGACTATTTTTTTTATCGTACAGACTTTAGTAATGATGATCGAGGCTAGGCTGAAAATTCAATCGCTAAAATCTTGGTCCAGAGTGGATCAATTCCCTTTACATTATCTAGTTTTTAACTATTATAGTGAGAACTGTCAGCTCTTTATCTAATCTCCCATGATTTATCTTTAATATTATTAGATTTTATAAATTTTGTGGCAAATTATATCAATTTAGATAAATTAAATTTAATAACTAATTACAATGTAGTTACATGTACTCATGTAGCTTAATATTAATTTTTGGGGTGTTAAAATATTTTCATATATAACATGACATGAACAGACCTGTAAAGCCTGCAGAACAATAATATCTAGTTTTAGTCATCAAATACCGTTACATATTATGGTTAATAAAATACATACATGTATGGACACATATATCATTATAATGTTTAACAATATTCATATTAAACCTGTCTGTATCTTTACATTTAATTATTATTTTTTATAATATGACCTTTTATTCTTTATTTAATTTTGTATTAAATTGTAACCCAATTCAAAAATCACCCAAAGCCAGATTAAATTCAGGGGGCAAGATACCAGAATCTGTCTACCACTCATCACAGTTATGGAATGTGCACTGAACAAGGGGTTAAAGTGTAATTTGATTGTTAGATAGAAAAAGGTAGACAGACTCTGAAATTGTTCCGATAAGAGCAGCTATAGTGATACCAATCAGTTATTGCCTTATTTTTGATGAAACCAGAACATCGACTGGAAAGTGTATCATAATAGCATTTTTCTATAAATTTTAAACTAAGGCAGCTTTATTGGTTGGTTGAAGCCTTATTTTATAATATCATTCATGGATAATCTTTATTATTTATATTGATATTTTTATTTTATAAAATAAAGAAAATGTCGGAAATTAGACGTATGTACATGTACATTAATATTTCACAGATTTTATAGCATTTAATCTTTTATATGATCAATTTCATATTTTAATTTGTATTACTATTATGCTTTAAATGCACTGTCTTCCACATGAATACACATACATGTAGATATTGATTAAGAAGCCTGTGTAAATTTTAAAATATATTTCAGGTGCAAATCTTCCCTGTGAGATGAATATATAAGGAAATATTTTTTTCTGCTAAATTTCCTTTTCACTTTCTTTCCTATACATTGTGATACATATACATGCCATTTTTTCAATTATTGGAAATATAAACAAGGATAATACATGCAATAATTAATATTTAACAATAGGTAATCTCTGGGGATTATTTATTCAACATTCCACAAAAAGTAACTCATGCTTTAGAAGGAACCTAACGAATATATTTATATTAAGTATTATACATGTATTTATATAGAAATAATACGGTCTATCTGGTTGTATCAGTTTCATGTCACATATATTTTATTGCAATAGGAATTTTTTTTCTGGATGGCAGGTGGTCATTCAATAGTATAATTGGACTACTGTGCCATAACCTATAATTAGAAAAAAATTTTAAAATAGGTTAGGGAACCATTCATTCTTTTAGGGGAATGTTTGACCCATCTACATAGCATTTAGTCTAATCACAATAATTAGATTTGACATGTATATCTGAACATTACATTGTATAACTACTTAATATACCTTAAATTATACACTATCTGCGCTTCTTTCTATCATTAAACTTTATAGATATGTTAAAATATCTCAAGAGGTATAATAAATATTCATTTTATTGTGGGTGTATCCCCAGATAAACTAATTAGTACCAGAATCCAAATTTGCATCATTTCCAATAAACAATTCATGAGAAATATTGTTTTTAAGATTTTTTGTGTATTTGTTTACAAAGTGCATTACTATTTCAAAAACCATTGATGCTGTAGTGTTTTCTTTTGTAAATGTAAAGATAAGATTTTAAGCCTAAGCGTTGAATAATGTTTATAGATTTTTCTCTGTTAGTAAGTAAAATTTGAATTGTGTGTAATGCCAGTCTTGATGATTATTTTTATATAAGATTTAATTTAGATAAATATACATGTATATCAATTTTTGTAATTATGGTATTGGATAATTTTCATGCAGATTTTCTTTTAGTCTTACTAGAACAATACACTGTAAAACATCACAACAATTACTACTTGTTTGGGGGTTCAAATAGAATTCTCTCAACATTTTCAAGCAATTGAGGCCCTTTAGAGAATAATACTTTCTTGGAAACAATGCCCAAATAGATTAGTAATTTTTATTCCATGTTCTATAGTGTATTTCTTTAAGTTATTTCATGTATAATATCCTCGTACAGTTACAAGGCTGTTCCAGTTACAAAGGTGAATTGAACACCCTTGAATTCTTGAGCTGATTAGATTATGGACATAGTTTTCCAGCCAACGAAAGACTACAATATAATTAACTATGGTTACAGATAGTTAAATGTATTATAGTTTATCTAATCAAATACAACTTCACGATATAAGGGTTACAGTTCCGACAATAACTGGGTTGAAAAAAAAAAACAAGAATTAATAAAAGTGCAAGCCATGGTTGGTGAAGTAGATATAACCCTTGTCTCGAGAAGTGGGTTTAATATAGATTTATTTGTATTTAATAAACTTTTCATCTATATAAATCCATTTTATTTAAATAGAACTACATATTTATTTATTGTATATTATCTCATCTCATATTGTTGGTTTTCTTTAAATTTTATTAGTGTTTTTTATACCTTGCTTATTTTATCTAAAATAAAGATGTTCTTGATGAGAAATAAAATTTAACTTTATTATTGTTTTTACAAATCACCCTTCATTTTGTAAAATGGAAGTGCTTATTTTATCTAAAATAAAGATGTTCTTGATTAGAAAGAAAATTTAACTTTATTATTATTTTTACAAATCACTGCTCATTCTGTAAAATGGAAGTTTCCCAATGTGTAATTCATATGAAAACAAAGTAAGCATTGAGACTATTTTTTTCCTGAAAGCGATCTCAGAGCCCCTGCCAATTATGGGTAAATACAAATACATTAACTCAGGAATGGGTGATATGCTTTTTCTTTCTAGAACATCTGATACCACTTCTCATTCCAGGTGTTCAAATAGGGTTAAAATTTTATTACACTTGTTTTTAAACCCCTACGCTGCCAACTTGACTGTTCCACCTCCCGAAGTTACCCTCTGGTCAATAATTTTTGATTTTCCAAACTGTTAATCCATTTGGCTATAGGTGTTGATAGAGCTCATCCCCCAGGTAGACTATGTCCTTAATCTTTCTTGGAAAAAAACATCTGACCACGACTTTACTCTCACCAACTCATATTCTTGACATTGGGGAAGCCAGTGAAAAATTAAAGCATACTTCTGGATGTGCATTCATTTTCAGAGCAAAACACACATTGCTGTGTACTTTCTTTCTGTTAAATGAAATCTGACTAAATATCAGGAATAATAAATCCAGAAATAAGTTTTGAATAATTTATTACAAAATATACATTAGACAAATTGATTTTGTAAAGTAAATTTTCTCTTTATAATTGTAAACTAACAAATAGTTTTTGATTCTAGTAAGTATATTTCAACGTTAACTATCTTTGATTGTAATATGATATAAATCTAAATCCTCCTGGGATATTTTTGATGGTGCTCCGCTCATTAAATCTTTTCCTTCTCCGGATTTCGGGAAAGCTATGACATCACGGATACTGCTTGCGTTACAAACTACAGCCATTAGCCGATCTAAGCCTAAAATAAATTATATCATACAGAAAGAAATGAAATGAAATGAAATGGGATTTTCTGCACCAAACAAGGCTAATAAAGATAAAGGCTGGTGCTACAGCCTATTCATATTTCGATTTCCAACTGTTATGGGATCTTTAACATGCTGCCAATAATGGTGCACACAAAACGTCCATATTTCGTCCGATTAGAACAAACTTTATTGGCCAACACCTGAATAATTGAATCTGGGACTTCCTAGTTGGCAATATAATTACCCAGCGACCGCAGCTTCCCAATAAAGAAAAATAATTTTAATGTCTCACAAACACATATCTTAATTGATATCAAGACTAATCTATGATGCATCAATTTTCTATCAACACCTTTGTGCCTGTTAAGACCTGAAAGCAATCCCCTCGAAAAAGAAGAACTAAGGTTGAACTGAAAAGTCCTAAAGGTTGTTCTTGGCCCTTGATCCATAATATTCAAGTTGTCATTACCATAAAACTACAACAGCACCTGGCATAAGTTATAGCAAAATAAGTTGAACCAGCGGCTGCCAGGCAAGATACGCCCACATTTTGCTAGAGATGGATAGGAACAAGCTAAAAAATAAGCATGATTTTTCGTACAATCAGGGGCCATAATCCAAGAAGTTATGGCCTGAAATGTGCGAATATAGAAAGGCATTGGCATCTTTGGGATATAAAGATATATTTTAAGTTTCATCAAAATCAGACAAATATTGTGACCTCTATAGGGTCCACAACCTTCTTATTACATACATAGGGTGTAACAGTGATACATTTAAATATTTTTTTAAAATTGGATAAAAATTATGACCTCTAGAGGGTCCACAAGCTAAAAACAGGATTTTTTGTACAATCAGGGCCCATAATTCAGGAAGTTACGGTCCGATACATGCCAATATCGAGAACAACCAAGATTTTTTGGAGATAAACCTATATTTCAAGATTCATCAAAATCGGATAAGAATTGTGATCTGTAGAGTGTCCACAAACAATTGTGGACAGACAGGGGCAACGACAATATACGTCCACATGACAGTAATATTATGTTGCTTGATTGTTATTAATATTAGTGATGATGATAACATTTCATTTCACTGATAACATTTAATAACTTCATATCTTTGGAAAATTATCTGGGTGTTCCCCCCCCCCCCCTCCTATATACTGTTCTTTATTAGTAGTATGTTACCTAGTGCTATACCACCATGAGGTGGACATCCTGAATCCAACGCCTCTAATAAATGGTTCAACTGACTTGTATCTTCCTATAAAATAATACGAAATATCATTAAATTAGAATTAAATGAGAAAGTTGGCTTGCTCTTTGACATAATTAGATTATCATTTTATTACAACACTCAAGAGATAAAGATGACTTATGTATATCAACTTTATCAACAAATTAAGGAAACCGATGTGAAATCTGCTCATTTGTTTTGTTTATCTATTATAGTTAGGCCAAACCAATGGAATTTTTCAGTCCCTCACTTGAATCATGTGAAAGTTAATTTATTTAGCTTTAGTACAGTACAACCAAGTTCTTTTTTCTTTAAGATTACCGGTTATCTTTTCCCCATGACATCAAATGGAAAACTTTAAAAGTGTTCCTGAGGAAAGGAAGATCAATTTGGTGTGGCCTTACCATTTTTTAAAATTATTTTTGAATAGCTCATCATTGTTCTGACAGCTCATATAGTAAAGAAAAGCCATAATAAACAATATTATAGGGTACACTTATATTATATACCATGATGAACGACAATGTACTAATGAGATACAACAAAACACACAGCTTTGTCAAAATTTTACTGTTTTTGTGTCACTAAGCAAAATTATCAAGAAGCATATCTATGAATGTAACTGTAATTATAACAGCTTCTTCTTCATAAATAAAGGATATCAATTTCAAATAGAATGTATGCTTTTTGATCGAGAATTGCAGATTCTGAATTTAAATCGGGTTCCTTCTTAGGAATAGTTAAACAATCTAAGCAAGGAAACAAAAAATCTAAAAACTTCTGAAATGTAGAGTGTTTACAAGAGTTGTAATTGAGGGAATAACTTTGCAAAAAATTAATGCATGCTTCTAAATAGTATAGCCACAAAATACCAGCAAGTTGGGAAAAAAAATCTTACAAATTCTAAGCGTGGGCATTTAAAATGAAAAAATCTGATTAAATTACCTTTAAAATATCATGTAAAATACATTTCTGTAGGTCAGCTTGATGTATACGTATTGAACCACCTCCTATCTCATTACCATTTAATACTAAATCATAATGTTCACTTCTTACCTACAGACAATACAATATAATGATAGACCCATCATTTGTATATTTAGTTGTATATAAAATTACAATTTGTTTTATAGATATAGTATTTTCCATCTGCCACCAAATTATGTTAAAAAAGAACATCAGCCATAGGAAATATTTTATTCATTATCTAGTATTAAAATAGTTTCTACAATACCACAAGGCACAACTAGTTATTAAAACTGTTTGTCACTGTAACAACGCATACACATACAACCTTGAACCAACAACTTTCTTACTGTTAATTCACTGGATGCTATATGCTATATGTTAAAACGTAGTGTGATATAAACTCAGTGTTTGTTTTCCATATAAATTGTGTTTTATTATTATGTAATTTTATGTCGAAATTATATTTTTCTGTTTAATTTATTACAGCAGAATGTAAAATATATATTACTTGTAATGGCTGTGTACTGAGTAAATGTTTATCTCTAGGGTCAAGTGCTGTAAATGGATGATGAGCTGATTCTAAATCACCTACACAAAAATAAAATATATTCTTAAACACATTTTAAAACAAGGTACATTTCAAAATAACAAATACAGCACTTAATTCGGATAAAATAGGCTGACAATAATATTGGACAACATTTTAAAATATAAGAATATACAAGGACAAGGAACTGATGAATAATATCAAGGATTTCAGAAAGTGGGAGTGCCATGGTAATCCACAAAGTAGAATGCCATTTCAGTGAGTTTTGGAGATTGGAGCACAAATTATTTCTGCTAAATTCACACAAAAAAGTTTTTGAGAATAAACACTGAAAGACTATTGATAGCATTTGTTCAATCATATGTAGTGATACTGCTGTTTATAGACATTTCATATTTATACTATATGAAGAGCCCCAGGGAAGAACGATCTAAGTCACTTTTTCAACGAACCCCAGTTAATGGCGCCATCTGGTAGCAAATTTTATAAGCTTTCTGTGGAACAATCAATTTCAGATAAAAACAATCGGAGTCACATCGAACCAAGGCCCTTCTGAAATGGCCTCCCGGACAAATACGTCCATCGTACCCTTTAACCCTTTATTTGACCTTAATTTGGCTGAAAAGTGGAAGTCAGTTGTTGTACTGGTAATTATGATTCGTATTAAACATGATCATTTTGAAATTATAATTAAACCCACTCGTTGTTCTGTTCGCGTCAAGCATTCTCGTCCAAAAGTCTGTTTTGCCTTTTATACGAAAAGACAAAAATGTGACTTAGATCGTTCTTCCTCTGTACTTCATATATTGATTACCTGATCCATCTTCTTTAGGTAAAAATAGAGGGAATTCATAAACCCATAAAAAATTAAATTTGTCTTTTTCTCTAACTGGTATACCTGTAAGAAAATAATATCTTGAGATAAAGTTGAACCAGGGGTAGAATTTATACTCACTGATCGAACATGTTAAAATCACCACATTCATAGATGTAGCTTTCTATTACATAGCCCAATAGCAGCTTTTTGAAGGGTGACTTTAGGTTTTCTGGGTCAGGGGGCAATAATGCATAAAATGGATGGGAATCTGAATTTTGTATGATTAGTCAAAAGATCCCAGCAAGTTTAAAAAGAAATGTCAAAACCTTATTAATTGCAAAACATTGTTAGTGTTCTTCCTAAGGACTAGCCAAACAATCCCAGTAGTCTGAAGATAGATTGCCAGGCAACAAAACATACGCCCATAGCAGCTAAATCGTCTGAGCAGTCGACAAAGGTTGTCACATATTTATTCTTTTGTAGGTAATTAGGGGAATTTAATAGACAATGACAGATGACATTATAATTTTCGTCGTTTTAGAGTTCACAAGGTTCTAAAAACTAAAACAAGGGCCGTAACTCTGGAAATAATCTACTGAAATTGTTGAAATTGAACAGGCTTTTTCGCTTTACTAATGAAAACTATTGCTAGTTTTACAGCTACCCTTGTTTGATCATAAATTTTATCAAAATTAGATTACTGTAACAGTCTCCTTACTGGCATTTCATCTGAATTATTACAAACACTACAGAAGATACAAAATTCTGCAGCCAGATTAGTTTTTAAATCATCAAAACGTTCTAGTATATCTCCAGTACTAAATTCTCTGCATTGGTTACGCATAAGTGAAAGGATAGATTTCAAAATTTTAACAGTTGTGTATCAGTGCCTTCATGAAAATGCTCCTTCGTATTTAAAGGAACTTGTTAATCCCTACCAGTCAATACGACATCTGCGATCTCAATCTCAACATTATATTACAGTACCAAAATGGAAACTGAAAAAATTTGGTTTTAAATCATTTGAAGTTTCAGCGGCTTTGAAGTGGAATGCCCTCCCGTCAGCTTTAAAATCTGCTCCAACATTTTCAATATTTAAATCTAAATTAAAGACATTCCTGTTTTCTAAATATTAAAAATAAACTCTAAAGTAACTTAGAATTGACTTTGTGTGCGCTTTGAGCAGACTTTATTGTTTGGAGTTTAGCGCTATATAAGAATCCTATTATCATTTATTTATTTATCATGTTCTTGCCTAACGAAAGTGTTTCAGAGATATTATTTGTACTAAACCAAAAGATGCTGCTCCTAACGGTACAGTTAATGATAAAGCAATTTAAAAAATAAAATGAATGTAATTTCTAAAGCTGCTGTAATAACCGAAAAGCTAAATTTTACTGCTATTCAGAATCGTCAACAATAGATTTTTTACGGCTATAATAGTTGATAGATGTGTAGATAATTGCACGTGCGATGGCTATTTATAGTCTCATAGACTCTAGTGCTGAGCATTATCATACTGCATATTTAGCCAGAAATCACTTCAAGACAAGCCACTGAAGCGTGCACATTCGCTGTGTCGAGTCCAACTTTCCGTCGAGAAAATTTTCAATGCACGGGTCACCCTGACATATAAAATAATAATGAAATGTAGATATGCATGAGTTAAAGTCACTGATCATCATTTGCCACCTTTTTATTTGGCAATATCAAATTTTTCACGACTTAATCCACATTAAAATGTTTTAACTATATTTCAACCATACATTAATAATGTAACAGAAATGAATCTGTTTCTATCAATATAAACACAGAATCACATTATACTCACCTTTTGATTCTAGTTTATCAGCTATCATTAGTCTAATTTTACCTAAAACTGTATGCTAGAAATAACAAGTAAGTTATGTATTAGTTATTTTCATCACTTCTCATGCATTGTTTACTATTTTTGGAGGGGAAACTTAATCTAGATGACCTAGTCCTAATAGTTTGACTGGATGGAGAATCAGACAGATAAGGTCCGAAATTTTGTCAATCTGATTAAAATACAGATCTATATTTCGTTTCGTTTTTTTATACTTTCGATGGCCTACACTACATGAAGATCTGACAAGTTATAGCGATAGTAGGTCACGTCAGGGGTCAAAAGACCGACTTATGACCTTATGACATCAGACATTTGATTAACCAATCAGCATTGATGTTACTAGTGGATTACCCACAGTTCCGTGAAAAACACGCCTAAAGCTTGCCGTAACAGACCCTGACACCATTCAGAACACAAGTTAAATAACAACTCTTCATCCAAGTGTAGTAAAGACAAGTAAAACGAAATTTTGAACTATAAAAACAAAACGAAATAGGATCTGTGTTTTAACCAGATTGAAATTTTGTCATACATTTGAAAAATTTCACACAAAAGTTTTCGCCTTTGACATACATTATATTATTTATATTATACACTGTTCGAATTAAGCTGAATCATTTAAGACACATCTCTGATCTCTCTACATCTTCTTTAACCAAGCTTTCGCACAAATACATTTCAAATGTCGTAGGTTGAACTGGGATACATATTCAAAGGTAATTTTTTAAGCTTTTGAAGCAGAATGTGTATATAAAGTTTTAACTTGATGACCAGATTTCTACAAAATTCCTTATATTACCAACTGAAAAATTCAAGCAAGGTTAAAATGAAACCCTCAAAAACACTGTCAACAATCGACATGCGTGATGACAATATACTGCCATATGGAAAGTTGACCATATAAAAGTGTTACTTACAGGTTGATAATTTGAACCACATGTTAATAATATGATATCACCAGTTTCAACTTGTAATGATGTTTGTAGTTGTTGTATAGAATCATTGTTAATAAGTTTATATATATTACTAGACCATGTACCATCTTTACTATATCTAAACTGCAACACAGGCTAAAAATAAATAATATAAATTATAATATATTAAAATTTTGGTACTTATTAGAAGGCAGATATAAACTGCAGTTAGGCCACCTAATATGCCCACCAGATGCATGGGAGTTGTCCATGTCAGCTCTAAATTCAATGTCAACACAAATCTAACAAAGTTTTTAAACATTCCATTGAGAAGTTTGTCTCGTATTGTGTTTACAAGCTTGAAAAGTCAAAATGTACACAGAAACTCCAAAAACTCTGATTTACGATTAGAATGTTATTTATTTTAAACACCTTTTGTGCCAATGGTCAATCCAACCAAATTTTACAAAATTCCATTGAGAACTTTGTCCTTAACATTTTCATAAGCTTTAAAATCAGAATCTGAAAGCAAATATAACTCGTCAAAAGCATTCAAAACTTTCAATTCAATAGGGTTTTTTTTTTTCTAATGAACAACCTCACCGAACTTTAAAATATTCCATCAAGAACTCTGATCTGTATTGCGTTCATAACATATATAAATTTTAAACAAGAAGCTTACTCTGATAGTTCAGTGTGAATTTCTCTGTATGAATTAGTACTTGTACACACACTAATTAAACACAATGTAGGCCTATTGAGAGTATGGTAGTCTGAAAGATTTTGCCTGTCAACTGGTATTAATCTCATGACAGGCTAGCAATAATTTCATGGTGCAACATTTTTATGTTTCCTGAGAATAACATAAGATAGGTCCATACCATTTTTCCAATAATTCATTTGTGTGAAGGGGTCTTTAGAAGTGGGAGGAAATAGGAGAACCTGGATAAACCCTTGAGGTTAGGCAGGATTCCTTACTTCTTGTCACCTACAAACGTTGGTTTGAAACCCTGACAACTGAATCAATTACCACTTCGCGCTTTGATCTAAAAATGTTCTGAGGATGTTGTAGAGCTGTGCACCATACTAAACTTATGTGGTCTGTCTACAGTTAGCTTCATTTGAGATTAGACACTAAGCTAGTTGACCAACATTTTAAGTCCTAAATTGACGATTTTAGTTGAAAAACACTAAGTATTTTTCGAGAATTTTGTTAAGTATTTGTTCAGCTTCCATTTAATAAAATTGAAAGAGTTTATTTAGTCTTTGCGTGTATGAAAGATGTGAAACGGAATAGAACCGCATTACAAAACAGTATACTAATTTTTGGATATGGCGGCTATTTAGGGCAGATGGATCTCCGTATAAAAAAAACTAAACGAAATATAGATCTGTATTTTAATCAGATTGGATAAATTACAAAGGTCTGAATTTATCCATTTTTTTTTCTCCAAAATATAAGGGAGACTGCCCCTTTAAGTTTTTGTACAGTAATCTTCATGAAATCTGATATCAAATCCAATTTCAAAGCAATGATCATTATGCTAAATATTGGGGTATAATATATAGATATATAATTTATACATTATTTAATCTATTATTTATTCAATATGATTACAATAAACTTGGGTATAAAATGTATTCCAATAAAACCTGACGAAATAGTGTAAGAGAACATATATAAGGTCTAGGGAAGGATTACATTACAGAAGAGGTTTATATTACAGACATGATAAAACAAGTGATAAAATTGTTACTAATTAACACCATTACAACTGATAATATAACAAGTCAATTACAGTGTTAATTAGTTTAAATACAGATAACCAACATATATTATAAATATATTAGTAACTTAAATACACATTTATGTCTTTTTTCTTCCAATATTTATTCATTTCATGTTATCAATATCATTTTAATAATTATGATAGTACCTCAAGGAAATTTTTTTTTAATTGCTTTGTTGAGTGTCAAAACTCAATTTTCTTTAGAAATATTTTATACTCTATTAATAGTCTTCTTTTTAATGCAAGTCTGATTTATATAATATTTATTATTAGTCTGTCTTTATCAGAGCAATACTGTCAGTGTTTAACCCTACCTATCTTTTCTGTTTACCTTTCTGTTTTGTTCACGCCCTTATAAATAAAGGGATACTACCATTAAAATGGCATGTTAGGTCAGTTTACATTTTCTGGTATTGGAAGTTTCCTGACTACCATCAGATTCATTTAGAATGATACAAAAATAACATTTAAATGTGATAGTGATTCACACAGTGTGTTGTAGCATTTTGAATTCAATATCACATTCTTATATCAGTTCGAATATGTAAACTCAAAACTGAACTTTTCAAAGTACTGGTAATAATAACTTTTATTATTGTTAATAACTTTTAATTATTGTTTTATGTGTATTTGTTGAAAACTTCTGAACTTTTTATAAGAACTTTTAAAAGTAATAAGAAATTTTAAAAGTAATAAGAACTTTTTAAAGTAATAAGAACTTTTATTATCATTAATAATTTATAATTATTGTTTTATGTTTATTTATTGAAAACATAATACTGAACTTTTTATAAGAACTTTTTGATTTTTTGTTTTTATGTGTACTTTTTGTTATTGTATTGGCACTATCGATCAGCTTTTTAGCTGGATTTTGGGCACCTTATAAATGAATAAATTATTATTATTATTATTAAGGACCTAAATTGCACATCAGTATACAAGAGAGCACACAACAGGACAGAAATAAGATAGACTGTCTAAATAAAAAAAAAAAAGAAAAATAAACAAAGTATGAATTCCACATATTATGCATTAATGATTTTATCCATTTCAATGTGTGGGAACACAGCCTTAACAATCATGAAATGAACACTTTTAGTTAACAATATCTTACTTGAATATATCTCTAATTAGTTATACTAATTAAGATAAGGGACTAGTCACATTGGGTGTTTTAATGTTCTGGTATAAACCAAATTTATTTTGTCTCTTCAGTTGGATGCCTGAAGATGGGTGTAATTTGTTTTAATACCGAAATCATTTAATTAGCCATCAAACTATATTTAGTTAATATTTGGTAAGTAATTTTTTAAATTTTTATTAATGAATAACATTCCACTCTTTTGAAAAATATTTTGTGAATTCAAATATAGAAAAAAATGTTTTATTATCACATTCTATGGTTATCCGTATTTTGAATAAAACTTTTCTAGGTCTAATATTGATATATAAATACTAATAAATTAATAGTTTATTAAGATGGAAATAATCAATATCATTTTATAAAATAATTATCAAGGACTGTGTATCATTACTTGAATTACTATATAGTAGACTTTCATGTTTTGCGACAATACTATATACCAGAAAACACCGGAAAACTATCGGAAAACACCATGTTATACCGAATATCGGAAAACAACGGTTGTTTTCCGGTATATAGTATAGCCCATGTTTTGAGGCTAGCACCATGTCAATCTCTTCAGTGTGTTTATACTTATAATTGATCAGTTCATAGACTTCATTTTCAAATGTGTTATGTCCAATTTTATATTTTTGATGTGAATTATTTTTTGAAAAACCTCGAAAAAATCATTTATTTCAACAGGCATTTAGTGATTATACTTCATAGACTTTACATTCATAGTCTATGATAATGATTCATGTTATACTGTAAACCTGTAAAGTACCTTGGAACCATTTGGTGAATGGAGCACAGAACACTACAGAATTATGATGTTAAAAAATATTTTCAATAAACCCTTGATCTAACACTGAAAACTTTTATCAAGATTAGAGAATCTAAGCTGAAAAGTGAATCAGTTAAAGATACATTATGGGAGATTAGATAAAGAGCTGGCAAATCTCACTATAATAGGTAAAAACTAGATAATGTAAAGGGGATTTGCTGAAAATTTCAGTCAAATTGATTCACTCTGAACCAAGAATTTAGTGATTGAATTTTCGGCCTAGCCTCGATAATCATTACTAAAGTCGGTATGATAAAAACCAGTCTCAATTATCCATTTCATGATTTAATCATGAATGAAAGTTGAGCAGCAAATTGGATCCTAATCCATTAAATATCGCAGGCTGGCAATGACATTGAGAGTTGATTATGGTCTGGATAAGTTAATTAATGTCTAATTAATAATTTAGATAACATTTCAGGCCTAAAGAAAGACCTGCAATTTGCAGATTTAATCAAAATAAATTAAAACACCAAAATAGAGAGTATTAATAATTTTATTTTCTTATTTTAGTTTTGTCCTGAGAAAATATAAGCATATGGAAATTTGACCTAAAAGAGAAAATGTGGATTATACAGAAGAGGAAGTGATTTTACTTCAATCAATAAAAAATACAGTCATTGTCTAAAAAAAAGAAAGAAAAAAATTGGCCTTTCAATACAAACAGTAAAATGATCAGAATGAAAATATTCACAAAGTGTCTGCTTTTGATTGGTTTCATCATTGGTAGTACTTTCAGTTTCACCTGTCCATTAAAGTGTCAGTGTAGAGAAAATGTGACTTGGGTCAAATGTCAAAGTGCATTGATAAAGATTCCAGAATTACCCAATCATATAGAATATCTGGATTTATCACATAACTTTCTTGGTCCTGTCATCACCAAGCCATTTTTTCACTTGAAGGAACTGGTACATCTTGATTTATCATATAACGGATTGACCAACATGACAGAACGTGGTCTACGAGGCTTAATCAAATTGGAAGTTCTAATTTTATCCAATAACCATCTTCCTGACTTGCCTAAAAATATGTTCTGTGATAACACTAATCTAAGAATACTGGATGTTAGTAACAACTTATTTCGTGTTATGCCAGATTCTATATTCAGAAGTCTGGATAATCTAAGATATTTTAGCATACGAAACAATAAACTAAAAAGACTGAAACTTGGACCACGCTGGCAAGTTCCTACAAAGCTAAAAGAATTAGATTTTTCCAACAATAAATTTGACAATATCTCCCATGATGCATTTGAATTTACTAGCTACTGGGATGTTACTATAAAACGTTCATTGGATCTGAGGAATTGTGGAATTAAATTCATTGAAAATGGTACCCTGGTCCAGTTTAAAGGTCTGCACGACTTGGACTTGTCAGATAATCCAGGATTAGGTGGTGAAAGGCTGAATCATCTTCTGCTGGAATTAGAAGGAAGTCGTATAAAGAGATTAGATTTTTCTGGAATGCGTCTGACCACAATTCAATCGTTATTTCAAGATGTTGATCAACTTTCATTAGAATATCTAAACTTGGCTGACAATTTTTTTCGGGATATTCCTGTTTGGGCAGTTGGCAATGTTCGAAGTTTACAACATTTAAATCTTAGTAATAACAATCTAGCGTCAGATATAATTGGATTAAAAGATCTGGGAAATCTCAAAACTCTGGATTTATCATCCAATCAGCTGTTAAAACTCAAATCGGATATAACGTCACAAACATCGAGATTAACCTTTCTTGACATTTCACACAATCAGATTCAAAAGACATCTGACCTTGAACTTTCATCTCTGCAGAATCTTCAATATCTGAATGTGAGCCATAATAAATTAGAAGGTCTTGTTCTTCCTGGAAACACATCGGATTTAAGAGTTTTGAACTTTGCAGCAAACCAAATAACAGAGTTGTTTTCCATTCTCAATATTTATAAGCTTTCCCATTTTGATATATCAGGAAATAAACTCACATCTCTAGCCTCTTTCCTGTTCTCTCAAACTTACAATTTCCAACTGGCTAATTTCAGCGGCAATAAAATATCAGACATTGATCATCGGTCCTTTTTACCATCTGCTCCCAATGTCATAGATCTATCTCATAATTCTTTGACAGAAGTCAAATTTGCCAGTTGGACGGATGCTAGTAAAATTCTTCTTCATCACAATGAAATAATAGAAATCAGCTATCACGCCTTTTATGGTATGAGTGGACTGAATTCCTTGGATTTATCTTTCAACAAACTGTCCAGTCTTCCAGAGGTTACCTTCAAATATCTTGTTCAATTACATCAGCTAAATCTGGCTCACAATAGTCTCAATGTTAAACCAGATGTTTTCGTGGATGTATTCAAGCCACTTAAATCTCTCAAGATCTTGGATTTAAGCCATAATGAATTATCAGACATCAATATTACAATATTCCATTCATGTCCCAACATAGAAAGACTTACTTTGTCCTATAACCAGTTTTCATTCATCCCCATTACCCTGTTCAATCATCTTAACAACCTAACTTATTTAGATGCTGCTGGGAACCCATTTATTTGTGACTGTAGCTTAATACCATTCCGTGATTGGATAAAAGATAACCTAAAGACCAAAATGAGGCGATCCTATAACAGAACTAAATATACATGTGTTAATCCAGTAGCACGTAAAGGATTAACGATAATCGATTTTAGTGAGGAAAGGTTTGAGTGCAACGAAAGTCTATTGTTTATGATAATATTTGGATCAATTGGTGGTTTTCTAATTCTAGTTGGAATAATAGGATCCCTTAGCTGTCATTACTATCGAAAATGGCGAAAAAAGAATCCTCGTAAGAAAACCAAACGGAAGAAAAGCCCTGTCAAAGTAGATAGAATCAGGAAGAAAGTAAAAGCTGAAATGGACAAAATTGCAAAAAGTGAAACACAAAAGAGAAATAAAATTCAAAATGGTGGATCTAGAGTTCCCTATTTTGTCAATGAAACAGAAGGCAGGCTGGCATTAGAGAAAGACAGAAGGCTACCACAATATAGAGCCAGTAAATTTAATCTACCTCAAGTTTTGCCATCTGAACCAGCAGAGAACTGGCAGAAATTAAGGTCCCGAAATGATCCACGCAAATTTCACACCGTCAATCCCAGAGTCCAAAATCAATATGAATCTTGGGATAGGTGGAATCGGCATCAGCCTCATAAAGTCTATTCAACAATGCCTTTTCCAAGTGCCATTTCTCAATATGATGTCAACAAAAGTCGTCCAGAAAGGGGGGTAACCTTTGATATGAATCTTCATAGGCATCGACAGTCTGTTGATGATACTTACCTTGACAACTATCGCCATAGATACAAACATCCACGTGATTTACATAGAAATAAGAATATGAATGGATACGGTGAGAGGAAATATTCTATGCCGAATGTTTACATGCAAGATAAACAAACTGATTGGGTTTAATAACTAAAAACATTATCTTTATTTACAGTTTAAATACAAAGATTGAACTAGACACCAATTTCTGGCGAGATAAAGCAAATGTGTATTGTTAAGACTTGTACATTGATAGTAATGATTTCATCAAACATACTAGATCATTAATCTTATACTCACTAGTTTATAGCTTTGTTCTTGACAAAACTCTGTAATATATTTTAATTCTGTATTGGATAATAAACTCTGAAATATAAATTATTCATTCAGATACATACAATTAATCTGGTTTGAAATTATATTGATGATTTTTTATCAATAAAGGAAATGGATGACAACAGTGTGGATGTCACAACCATTTTTCGGGACATGATAAATAACCTCATGTAAACAATTCCTTTTATTTTTTTACTTTGAATACTTAAAAAGTTTAGAGTCAAAGCTTATGAGATGGAAAAAAAGTACTTTTCATTTTTAAAATAGTGTTTTTACAAGAATTGAGAATCAAAATGTTAATAGGTGTTCAGGATGAGCTAAAAGTGGATCTTTTTAAAAGGAATGCCATAGCTCAGATGTAGGTTATTTGGTCACTGTCTTTTGTATTCTTCTGACTGGTTCTCACTAAGAGAGCTTCATTTAGAGTCACATTATTTCTCTTGTAAATATTTCATTAAATATGGGTAGAAAAATCTGTCCTTTAGTCAAACCAATCAAGTATTTGTAATACGGTAATATTTCATATATATGGCAGTTCATATATCAAACTACTTGTAATTTGTTAATAAATACTAAAGTTCTATTCACATTGGTTTGCATGAAAATGGCAGACTTTGGAGAAAATCTAGAATATGGAAGATATCATTTTTTAAATTCCTTTTTCACGTTAGAATCCAAGAAATATTCTGTATAATATTAGGCAAACTTACACTAGTATTAGAAAGTTTAATAGCTTGTATTGTATTGCTGTTATTTGATGGTAGTTTCTTAAAAATTTCAACTCTATCTTGTAATATATCTGTCACATTTTTTATCTATAATAAATACAATATATCATTTATTACAATTTTTTTGTTTTAATATCTACAAACATATATTTATCACAAAAATGTTAAATGTCGGGGTATCAAATGCTTGAACTGAAGAACCATGAATACAAGTAAATGTCTTGTTTTTAGAACAGAAGGTATATTTAGCTGGAAGTATATTTTATGACAAATAAAACAAACCTACAGATGCAAAACTCATCAAAAATATTACATTAAATTGATGAGACATTTATTTCTTAAAGTTATTAGATTGAAGCTACACCAATGATCAGATTTGCATTATTGAGAAATGGATGTATACACAAGCAAATAAGATCATAAACTTTGATTAAGGTCTAACATGAAATCAGATGTAAGTCTCAAAACCTATGGGGGTCGTACTGTGTAAAGCATAACATATTGTAAAATACAATTTGTATTACCGTGCAAGGGAGGTAACTCCTTTTATCATTCCCCAACTCCTTTTATCATTCCCCAACTGTGTCATTTTGACAAGTGCATGAGGCAGGACCACGGCAGAGAAAATGAACATATAAACCAAATTTCAGCAAAATCTATGAGGGTATGACTTACTATTTTCCAATTTTGTGGTGATATGACATGGAAGAACACTATGTTAGTTATCTTATTTTACTTACCGTCATTTCAAACCTTGTGTCTGGTTTATCAACACCATATAAGGACATGACATGATGATATGTGTATCGTGGGAAGGGTGTGGTTAACTGTTGTAATGGCCAACAGTCAACAATCAGATCTTCTATAAGCTTCATTATATTATCTTGATTTACAAATGACATTTCTATATCAACCTGTATGTAATTACAAAAGTAGAGAGTGGATATACGTGTAATTCAGTGGAATTCTCCCCTTCTTCAAATCGATAATACAAATATGTGGAATCAATATCCTAAATCAGACTCCTTTTCTAGTCGTTTTGTTGATTGACAGACAAGGGAGAGCTACAATGTTTAGGTCACATTCAGTGGCGTAGCGAAGAGGGGTTTGAGACAACAGCGACAGCCCCCCCCCACACCAGGCCCAGTCTCCAAATATTAAAAGCTCATTATTACATAATATACTTTGCTATCTGAAAATTTCACTCCGCTGTGGTCTTATGCTAAACCTCACAAAACAGGCAGAATTGATTGACAGGATTTGCTCCCAGCAACGAACTAACATGCCAGGAAATTGAATGGGGGGACAACCTCCCTCAATCTCCCATCAGATTGCTTGAGCCTACGGCGCTCGTAGCATATCGAAAGACATCCCTGCCGTCCCTTAACGCCACTGGTCCCATTTCTTTTGTTATTGTGTCCAAGGCGAATGAGTATTTTCCAGATAACTAAAACTTGAGCATTTTTAATTGCAAAAATATATCTCCTAATCCAACAAATAATATTTTGGGATAATTGGCTTAATTTGGATTAATGTTGTTTTTAACACAAAATTAAATATATATTTTTTTGGGTGGTAAATCTATGGGAAGTATCAAATCAAATAAGATACCTGTGTAAATTCTGGCTGTCTATCTGGTTTAGCCCCTTCATCCCGATAACATCTAGCTATCTGTACATATCTATCTATACCACCCACCATTAATAATTGTTTAAACTGTAAATAAATATAGAACTATATAAATGTCTGAACTTTATGTTAATAAATAATATAACATGTATTTAGATATAAACCACACATCATTAATAACTGTTGAAACTGTAAATAAATATATTAATAAATAATATAACATTTATTTACCGGTAAATATAAACCACCCATCATTAATAACTGTTGAAACTATCAATAAATATATAAACCCTAACCATTTTGGAAAAATCTCCTTGCCTATAATGCTTTAATAAACCCATTTCCGTGATGGCTTTGTATCTTCGAGGGTTGAGTTATTGTAGTGTTATACAAAAATAAAAAAGAGCAAGTGACAAAATTGTAATCTTCAATCTGTGGGTAGAGATCACATGCTCTCTCTAGTTTGCATTTTTCCTTATTTTACAAAGTATCCTACAGTTTACATTACCTGCTGAGGACTTTGTGGTAGTGTATAAAATTTACCAGATTTCTGTGTGGGAACAATAAATTCTTGAGCACCCTGAAAATAATATTTTAAATGTTTAATTGTTTTTGGCAAGAAGGTATTATTCACAAGATTCTGTTCTGAGACCATTCCTGTTATTATATATGAATGACATTTTTCGAAAACATCTTTTTTTTTCTGACAAAACCACAACCTGATAAAAACACAGATCCTATTTCATTTTGTTTATTATAGTTCAAAATTTCGTAAAATGGTAAAATATTTTAGAATAGCAATGAAAAAGTCTCTACATTTAATTTATCATATAACTCATTTATCCCTTAGACATAGGACTTCTGACCTTAGTGAACAGGTCATCTTCCAATTTAAAAGATTTAACAGTAATTTGATCATGGTGCAATTATACCATTATCTTATACAGACAATACTTACCCCAGGTGTTTTACGAAATAATGTTGGTGTTTCAACATCTACGAAGCCTGAAAATATTTAAACTGCTTAATTATTCTTGAAAACAATTAGCAAAAGTTTTGATATTAAAACAATTGTCCATAAAAGAGCATTCTAAGATCCTATGAAATGGGGGCAAAGATACAGTTTTTTTTAAGCATTTTTATTAACATTTCCCTTTAAAAATCTACAAAATAGTTAATCTGTAAACATTTAGGACAAGCCATTTTCCAGAGATGTAATAATGGCTAAAGAAGTCGTATTTAAAGTAAAAAGCTGACCATGGTTGTCAAAAATACAACTTACCATGTTTATTGCACAAAAAATTTCTGATTTTCATTACCATTTGTGAACGTAACCTTAAATTTTGTTGTAACATTTTCTGCCGTATATCCAGATATCTATATTCCATTCGAAGTGATTCTTTTACCTGAATACAAAAAGTTAATAACTTTTATATAAAAAAGTGAAGTTTACAGTCCCTCAATTTCACAATCAAAGTTGTGTATTTGTATTGGTTACAGAAGTGCTCATTAAAAGTAATTGTCTATGTTCATTACCTTATGAAAATCTCGTATTTCAAATGGTAAGTTTGTTTTACATTGATTTAAAATATTAATATTTTTAACTTGGACCTCAATATCTCCAGTTGGCATTTTCTGAAATAACAAATATGATAATTAAAATATCTAAGTGATATCGATTCTATTATCAGTAAATTCAATATCAATAAGTATATATCCATATATCTTTAAAATTATATCAGTATAAATAATATATGTACATATCATCTGTTTCTTTATTTTAGCCTATAAAATATTTATCTTATTATTTCAACAATAAATAATACAATATCAATGGTTTGGTTAATTATTTAGTCAATAAAATAAATAAAGGTGATGGGAAAGAGCAGTGGATTTAGATCATAAGGTCTGAAATTGATGCCAGTATCATGATTTAAATCTAATGTCCGTATGTGATAAGGAATAGGGTTGCCTGACTGATGTGATAGCTTTTCTTTGGGTAATGTGATTTCTTGGGAATGTGTATTCATTTCACACTCTCATTATGCATATATATCTGAATGTGTATTCACTTCACACTCTTATTATGCACGTAGACTTATGTATTTAGTGGAATGCACATTGTACATGTATATTGTAAATAAAGCTGTTCCACACACAAATTAAGATCATAGAGGTTTATAATATTGTTCAACAGTTACATATTTATCTTTAGTGGTTTTATAACAAATTATCATAAAGCAGAAAATATACTGAATGACAAAACATACATCATCTGACATGAACATATTCTGTAATATATACGGTAGCTTATTAACAGCATTTAAACTTGAAAATTCAAAATGTTAACTCCAAAATTCTTTTTCCACTTTCCATTTTACCAGGATTTAGATTGACATGTTTTTAAACTTTGATTCTAACCTTGTTTTCTTGACCTTTAGGTCTAGCTATAACTTTGCCTTTTATCTCTAAAACACTTTCAAATGGTAGCTTGTCAACATCGTTATCATCCTGCATTATAAATTACCATAGTAAATGTGAATCTTTCATACGGGATGTTAAACCCAATTTCATATCATTTCAAGAATTGGTTTGAAAATGAAATGAAACTTAACATCCTGCATGCACCAACTGGGCTAATGTAGATGGGCATACGCCATACATTAACATGTGAGCGAAATTTTCCCCAGACAGCGACAATTCAGCCTACTCTTATTTCATTCCAACTGTCAAGGGTGCTTTTACGCGCACGCCAATATGTACCTGGGGCCTCCATTTGTCATCCTATTCAAATCACCAGATGCTGTCTTCGAAGGCCCTCTTTCCTGCACTACTGAAAGGGGAAACCATACTGGAAAAGTCTGTGGAACTGTCTCGACCAACACCAGGATAAAACCCCGAACCTACTGGTTAGTCAGCCAGCACCCCGAATTGATTTGTGAAATGAAATGAGTTTCGATGTCCCACTTTTCTGCACCGATTGAACTAAGGAGACAAGCATACATCATGCAGTGTGTTATGAGAGAAATTTTGCACGAACTGCAGTGCTACGGCTTACTCTGATTTTGAATACTAACTGTCAATGGGTCTTTTACGTGCACGACAATATGTACATGGGACCTCGGTTTTTCGTCCCATCTAAATGACTAAACATTGTCCCTTGCCAGGCCATCCATCCTACAACACTGACAAGGGGCAACCACACCAGAAAATCTTGAGTAACTTTCTCAAAGAACATCGGGATCGAACCCCAGACCTTCTGGTTAGTGAGCCAGTGCCTTACTCACTGAGTCACCACGGTACGATACCTGAAATCGATTTGTATTGTACCAACCAACATATATAATCTCTTAACTCGACTACCTTAAGATGTGAGCTATCAGTTATATAAACAGTTTAACATATTAGTCATATTCTTCAAGCGACATTTAGAAGATGAAAAATGTATTACAAGACCCAATTCTATTGATAATAGCTATTGGATTTACTCAAAACACCATTTTGATTTTCTTTATCAAGTAAATAAATTTAGTAGATGTTATCTATAAAATTATGTCTTGTAATGTAATTATTAGTTTACATCATAGATAAAAGGTTTTGCATTCATTAATGGTTTCTGTTTATCAATAGATTCAAGTTGATGGCATCAATAAAAACTAATTTAAAGATATTATCTAGACTAGGTTAACTTCCAGTTATCTTTTGGACTATATAAACAAGATCAATATATTTAGGTTTCTTTAGTCTTTACTAGACTAGATTTACCTGATCATTGATAGTGATCTGTATTGAACCATGCCAGTCTCGCAGTAGAAGGAATTTGCCATAGCGCTGATACTGAACCCAACCATATAATGTGACCTGTTCTCCAACATCACACAGTCTTAATTCTCCACATGTATGGCTTCGATCTATGTAACTGGATAAACCTGAAAAACTAAGAAAGATGTATGGACAGAATACTTCAATATTAAAGCCTTATATCATTGTATCAAATCTATCTTCTTTTCAACAACAAAATAGGCAGTGGATATTGGACTAGATCTGACCCAAAGAGTACAAATCGAATATCAACAGCCGGCTTCCTCAGTATTACAGCAATTCTAGGACCATAACACTGTAACACTGTGTATTTTAATTTTCATAGGCTTTATAATTGCCTCTAATAAAATAACTTAATATTAAAAATTTGGCACCAGGATTTATCTTGTCGGTTTTGTTTTGGATGTAGTGTGCTCCTCCTGCACTCATTATTGATGGTTGGGGATTGGAAGTTGTATGGATATCACATCAACCATGAATGGGCTTTATACAATGTATAACTTTAAAACGGGCGTGTTGAATTACCCAATAACACCCAATAACTGCCCAATAACACCCAATAACTCCAAAATAACACCAAGTAACTCCAAAATAACACCGAATAGCTCCAGAATGTTGACTTTGGAAACACAAAAATAACAATTTTGTTGAATTTAAGAAGCAGGATTCGTCATATTCTGGAGAGTATACACCAAAGTTGGATCTGTTTTTTCGTTGAAATATTTCTTGCTATAACGAGTTGAGTAAACAATTGCCATCCGGAGTTGATTGGATTGGTATCTTTACTTCTGTTGTGAAATATTTAACGATATTCATCAGTTGAGGCTATTTAATGCTTGGCAGTGAGTGCTAATAACGTACACAAATGTCAAAACTTTGAGCGAGAATTTAAAGACGTCAACTTTCCGATACTTATTACTAATGACAAGTGCTATTTAAAATATTTATGTGGTCTTATTGAAACAAAACAATGTTGTGGCTATCTTTCCTGGGTTTAAAGGTCGGGTATCATATGAAAACGAATACCGATTAGTAATTTTTTGAACCGGTTCAACAGTGCAACCGAACCGTGACCAGTTAACCGAGTGATCGTTTACATCCTTAATGAGAATACTCTGAGCAGAGATAATTAATTGTCAGTGGTACTAATCTAAATTGGTTTCATTTATTTATTTCAAAATAAGTTATACGATGTCGATGACCGAAAATGACAATCAACACAATTTGTAGATATAAATAAATATAGCTATAATATTAATTTGTTTATTGCATTGTATACCATAGGCATAATATTGTTTCATGCATATAATTACAATACGGTACATTGCAACGAAAGCATATATTAATTTCTTGACAACAAAAATCACATACACGAGTTATCTCCCTTCCGGCGAGTGAGCGTGAAACTCTGATTTGGGCTCAAAGCAGCGAGGCTTTTTAAATTAAACTAAATTGGAGGGTCTAGAGCACAAGTGATCTAACAACCAACTAAAATGGTTGGTAGTTAGATCACTTGTGCTCTAGACCCTCCAATTGTTATTTTGTGTTTCCAAAGTCAACATTTTGGAGTTATAACTTGAATAACTTATTGGGTGTTATTGGGTAATTCGACGCGCGGCTCTAAAACAGCTCCTTTTAGTTTCTTGTCGTTAAAACTATTTAGGAGTTTGGAAAAAATAAACCAAGTTTTACCAATAATCAACAAACAAAGGGCAAAGGCCAAAGGCAAGACAACAAATACCCTATACAGCCTGCCTGGGGAGAATTTTACAGGAAACAATAATATAGAGCGAAGCTCTACAGCATCGCGTGAAGCACGGTGCTTGATGAGCAAAGCTCTTTTCCGGTAACACATGAGCGTAACTGAAATTGTCACCCACAGACTGTTGATTAAAAAAAAATTCAGACCGGAACCGGATACACTGGGCAAAACAGGCAATGCGCATGTCAACTTACCAAATCTCGCCCAAGCGAGATTACGCGCCTCATAGAACTATTTCTATGACGCGTCTAATCAATGACGTCACATATTTTTGACGTCAATGAAAATAATTCTCACACTTTTTTGTTCTTTTTTAAAAAACAAAATTAATGTATACAATTTAGATCTAAATGAAAATCAATTTGGAAAAACTAAATTATTGAACATTTTTTGTATCACTTGAGTTGAGAAAATTAATTATGAAGGTTTTATATTTGACAATATAATCAGCTTCGCTCTACTCAGGCAATGCCTGTTACATATTAAGGATGACACGAAAAAAAACCAAAAGACACACTTGAGGAATACCGTCGATGATTGTGCTTGCAACAAGAATTAACTGCTGATAAATTATTTCTATTCTTTAACCAGTTGAAGCAGACGCTTTTCATGGAGCGCGCCATCTTTTTTGTGATGATTATCCAGATCGCTTTTCGTATTGAAATTTTTAGCTGCATCTAAAGTCTGGTAATCTATGTCTATACCGGAAGTTTATTGGCTACTGTAATATTTTGTCCATTTATTTATCACGAAATGAATATTGCAATTCATCCAAGAACATACTCAACCTTTTTGTTTAAAAAACCCCCACAAAAACCCCAAGAATAACAAAATACTTAAGCCTTTAAAATTATGAAGAAATGTACCGTACATCAGAGAATAAAATTAATTAAAACCAAAATTGTATGCCAGTTGCTCAGGATTCCAACGTATTTCGGTTTAGCAAGGGTTGTCATTTGAAGCAAATTTGTACGACACCGTCAAAATAAGGTGGACAGAGATTAACTAAATAATCTGCTGGTCCAAGTAGCAGATTAATTAAGTACTTTGTTTATATTTCTGTAATCAGAAGAGGTATTAATGATTTTGTCCCCCAAAATAATGACAAAATAATATACAGGATCATAGATTAAACTGTACGGTGAAAAGCGTTTTTTATATTTATTTTAGCCGGTGCGGTGGTTCTAGTCAGTAGTCTATACTCACTGCTACTAGTGCTAGTGCCAATGACAGTGTCCGTTTGCTAGCACATACAGGGGGTCTGCTTGATTTGTCCGCTGATAGGTGAGCCGGTTTCCACTACGGCGTATGCCGGTCTGGTTACCGTATCGAAGCAAATATGGCGTCAGATAATGTTATAATATTAAATTAATTAAACCGGTTACATGACACGTTTTAATCAAAAACAGTATTCTTGAAAGTATGACTTGAAAGTGCTGCAAAATTAGCAGAAAATTATTATTAGTAATATTACTGAGAAAAAATAAATGACATATGAACTTCTGGTTTTACGAAGCTCAAATTCAACTTCAAAACTTTTGGTTTAATTTTAACGCTTTAAAATTAGTGTTTTATGGCATTCCTAAATAACGTGAATTTTATCTCGGTGACCTGTTCACCATCTTGCGCTGGTGTTCTCCGCTGCCGCCAAAGCGGCGCATTCGGCCTATGCCGCAGCCGAACTTTTGTTGACTTCCAGTGAAATCAAGTGACCTCGTGCAAAAACTGCCGAACTGTGGTCAGCCGTTATGCGCCGGTATTGACAAATCAAGCAGGGCATTGTCTAAGACCCTGTATTGTATTCTCTCTTATTTTCTTCCTGTGGACATTTTGTGTGGGAATGCAATCATCTGTTCATGTCTGCAATTTAACGAAATTAAAAGAAGATTGCTGGAAACCACGGTGTTGTTCTAAACACTATATTCTATCTCCATCATCTTATATTTCCATCATCATATTCATTGACATCATCATCTGATCTGACTGATCTCCAGGTTACATGACATAAAATGAACTAATCCACCTTATCGAATGTAGGCCTATGGGCTATACATTAAATTAATGGTGTTATTGCCTATACATACTTGATGAAAGTGATAATGGCAATTAATGCCTATTGGTCTGGTGTAAAAATCCAATTATTGCTTGATTGAATAAAAGTTTTTTCAGCAATGTAGATGAACTTGGGAGGATTAGTTCTTTGATTACAGGTATATAAAATGATTGCCTAATATTTCATGTGGGCGTACTGAATAAATGAAAATGAGCGCTGGTAAATGTACAATGTACATGTACTTTGTGATATTGAACTTTTTCTGTCGTTTCTTTTTTCAGAATTTCTCCACAACTGCCTGTAAAAACTTGCTACAAAGAATGACAATTACCGGTATACCAAAGAACTTCAGTTGGACAGCCTAGTGTAGTTCCAGTTTAGTTTGTCAAAAGGTGTTGATTAATCATTAAGATGTCCATCTTTAAGCGATTCCTTGGTAGCAAGGAGAGTGATGGATCAACCAAACAACTAACATCACCCACAGCTAGTATGCAGCCAATGGGTCAGCAGTTACAAAGAAAATTTGCAAAAGGTGTCCAATATAATAGTAAGTGGAAATAGAAGGGAAAAGGAGGAGGTTTGCTAATGCTCACTGTCAAGTCGGAAGTAGGCTTCAAAATGGTTTTTGGCATTATATACTAGTTGTGTTTCCAGTTTGTTAGCGGTATGCAGACCAAAAGGAATTGACATAAAATAATAATAAAATATAGAACCTTTACAGCTATTCTAATACTGTACATAATGTATGTGTATGGTACATAATCCATTTGCAAAATTTTTAATTTATTATTTTATTAATCACTATTTAATTAGCGGCTCTATGTTTATTCATACTGATGTACCATAGAGAAGAAGAAGGACTAAGGTTACCAACCTTACCTTATGTGTTTTCTCAGGTTTCCTTCCACTGCTATTGAATCAAGATCCCTGCAATCAAGCGACTTGTTGAATAAAGATATGCCATAAGTTATATAAGATAAGGTTTTATTCCATAAACATTCTAAAGAGAACTGCATAGAAACAAAAGTAAAGTAAATACAGTCAATTACTAATATGTTAGTCCAGAAATTACCTGATTAGTATTTTGAGGATGTTCAGCCCCAATTATTAATTAATTACTATCCAAGTTTGAAGATAGACTGTACTATAGCAGCATCTGGTGTCCTTATATATATAGACTGGCAGTTTAAGAGTGATTGTTTATTTAAAGCTATTATAATTTCAGTGAAAATTGTGATTCGTGGTGATAGAAATGTAGGTAAATCTTGTATATTTCACCGTTTACAAGGACATAAATTTATAGAAGAATATATTCCCACGGATGAAATACAGGTTTGATTATTTTTTCATTGTAAAGATGCATTATGTAAGATTTAAATAAAGAGCTGGTTGTTCTTGCTATAATACAGGCAGTTCAAAAATATATCATGAAAAATGAATATTGAAATGTTTATTCTGAGCGAAATTTGAAGTTTTTACAAAATGTAGCATAGATTGTCTATATTCGTAGAAACAGTACTTGACAATCGGGACTAAATCTCGATTATCCATTTTATCATTAAATGTTTAAATCTCGCTGGTGTTCAATGTGCAAGCGAATTATTGAAATAATATTGAACCATATGTTAGTCCCGAAATGACCTGGTTTGTGTCGAGTGGAATAAACCCCATCTCTCTCTCTCTCTCTTTCTCTCTCTCTCTCTCTCTCTCTCTCTCTCTCTCTCTCTCTCTCTCTCTCGCAGAGGTCGCAGTCACGCAAAATAAATGCAAATATTGACGGACGCTGGGTAATTTACACGCAGAAAATTTCCGCGACGTGAGAATAATTAGATTATTCTATGTGGTAGTTTGTACAATTTATGTGCTTCACCCGGCATTTACACACCTCTACTGTACATAGTCTCCGTAGTTTTTTATATTTCCTCTTATTTCATTCATAAGTTCATGGCAGTAAGCCTACGTAGCTATCCTATTGGAAGCAATAAAGCGCATTTCATACAAGACTTGAAATGCTAGAACAAGATGTACTGTTTACATTCAGCCATCTCTCTCTCTCTCTCTCTCTCGCTCTCTCTCTCTCTCTTCTTTCTCTCTATAATACAGTTAAGTCTAGGCCATTTAATGTTAATGTTATGTTAAATAAATGTCTGAAAAATAGTTTATATGACATTTGAAGCCATAATAAAGACCTGCCATCCTGCCACAGGCAGATTTAGCTCTTAATATAATGCATCTTTGATTGATATAAATTAATACTATCTCTAACTCGGATATTATGTACTGTAATGATTGGTTCTTTAGCATACATTATTCTAATGAATAAATATATATTTTGTCTTAATATTTATTTCCAAATACATGTAATAAGAAATTTGCAGAGGATAACTTAATGAAATGTTCCATCAATAAAGGGCACATATTCTGTGCAGTAGTTATCATTTAGGCTTTTAGCGAAATCATTTTATCTTATTAAAACAGATTATAGCCTAATTTATCTCAGTTCTACCTATTAAAAAACAGTTCATAACATGATGTTTTCAGGTGGCTAGCATACAATGGAATTATAAAGCTACAGACGATGTTGTTAAAGTTGAAGTGTGGGACGTGGTTGATAAAGGTCGGCCTCGTAAAAAGATGGAAGGGTTAAAATTAGATAATGCTGCAGAAATTATGCCAACAGAACCTTGTTTAGATGCAGAGTTTTTAGATGTTTATAAGGGAACACATGGAGTTATTTTAATGTATGACATAACTAAGCAATGGTGAGGAAGACTATTCTAAAATTTTAATTTCTTGCAAAAGTAAATATTCAAAATATTCATCATCCATCAACCAGGGTTTGTTTTCACCTGATTTGTCTGTCCTCGCTGACAGCCAATGACACGGGCCAGCTTAGAATTTGGTTGTGTTTTGTAATTTATGAAGTAGTTGCTTGTATTACATATGGATGACTTACACGTATAGTGCAATCCTGGAATTTACAGTTCTAATTGGGGGTACTCGATTGAACGTTCCGGAATTGAATTCTCTCAATCCCAAAAATAGTGACAATCGAGTGAAAATGGGTACTTCGGGCTACAACGCATGCGTCGACTCGATATATAAATATCTCATCCAACCATGCAGCCGAAACCCGTTCGTCGTGTTTAATTACGTCACAATTCTACTCACACCAACTCCGTCGTCGGGACTGGCAGAACTGTGACAGGACTGAATTCCGAGTCACTCGATTGCAATTCTGTCAATTTGGGACGTTCCGGACTGTAAATCGAGCATCCCCTAAGTGTCTGACAAAATATCAAACTGAAATGACATACCAAACATTTTTAACTGTGTCCTGGACACATCAATTGAATATATAAAAAGAACATAGAAAAAAGTCAAATTAACTGCAGAATTTTAAATTGATTATGTATTGATTATTTTACAGGACATATGCTTATGTAGAGCGGGAATTAGAGAAAGTACCTCTACATATTCCAGTGTTAGTGTTAGGTAACCATAGAGATATGGGACATCATAGAACAGTTAATCAAGATAAAGCCAAATTTTATGTAGAAAACTTACAACGTGAACGGTTGGTAACACAGATACAAAGAATTTGTTATGTTGGTTGCATGCAATGGCAAACTTGATAAACATTTTAACTATCAGTGGCAAGCTTATTCAAAGGATTATCACTACTGACCAGAGCAGGACTCTTAATTGACCGTTTTCTGTTGCCTGCAAATGATATTGAACCAATCAATATTGTATCATAAATTAATCTATTTTCTGCACGGTTACAAAGAATTAATTATTTCTTGTTGATACAGAAGTCAATCAACTTGTCACCTAATTCTTAACAGTCACATCTTTGTAAAAAAATCAGCCTCATTCAGTTCACAATTATGTGATAGAAAAGACCAAAATCCCATCTAAGTGATTATTCAGAACACGTGGCGTACTGGTATAACAAATTATTTTGCATGAAATGGGTCACTGTCATGCTTCAGTTAATCAAAGAGTTCAGGACTTTAAACTCTATTATGCACATCGCATACTACTAGATTAGAATGGTTCAGCTATTTAATGGTTTAATTTAAAAATGGGAAAGCGAGGCTAAGCCTCGAATATACCAATATAGGGATAACTTAGCTCAGAATAAAGTAATTTGAATGAAATTTTCAATATATTCATTTTGCATTATCTATTTTTGAACTATTATTATAGCAAGAACGGACAGCTCTTTATCTAAATCTTACATAATGTATCTTTAAGATCCCTGCTGACCAGTATCAAAAAAGTATCACAGAGGTTTAGCTGATAGCATACATCTAAGATAAATCTTTCTGAGATTTGTTTGGGCAGAATAAAGCGATTTTATTTAATAAAATTATATATTATTTTTATATTGTATTTCAGACCAGAAGGATCAGGGCAGATCCGTTATGCTGAATCATCCATGAGAAATGGTTTCGGTTTAAAATATCTACATCTTTTCTTCAATGTTCCATTTTTACAATTACAGGTAGTTTTCAGTTTATTCTTTAATATTCTTTAAATTGGCTCAAAATGATGATTTGTAACTATTTTTGTTGTGCAATGAGAAGATATTTTACTCATGATTTTTTTAAAAATATATGTAATATAAGTAATTTAAGATTCCTTTACTTAATTTTTTGATTGGATATTGTTTACATATTGTTTATGTGTTTGTATTTTTTTTTGAAGAGACAGACATTATTAAAACAACTAGAAACTAATACCGATGATCTCAACTCAACAATTGAAGAATTAGAAATACACGAAGATTCTGAAGAACAAAATTATGATCTGTAAGAAATAGTTTAAATATAAATAAATGTAGAAATTATTTTAAATAATCACCCCTGACAATTCAGATTCCTATATCCAATGACAAACAGGTCAATAAAAAATATGTGCAGGTTGCAAAAATATAGAAAAAATTATAACTGTAAAATTTGTTTAATACCAATTTTGGTTCCCCAAATTTTTTTCTTGGCATATAGCTTTACACATTGAATAAATCAAACAAGATTTCAATTGTTAGAACCATTCAGAGTAACAGTTATCATTGATGTAGAAATTTTTATTTGTTTGAAGATTTATTGAAAATTTAACATCAAGTCGGCGGAAACAGGCAGAAAATTTAGCAGAACAAGCAACCGCTGAATCCAAATTTAAACAAGATGCATCAGGAGCCATAACTTTGAAAGATCAGACACAGCTTGAGTTAAACACAAACAGTAATACTGCAACAGGTTAATATGTTATTATTTATAAAATAAATATGTTTTCAAAGTTGCAAAAAACCAAACAAATTACATATAATCTTTAAGAGACTGGAAAAGCAGCTGCATGAAACAGAACATATATCTTATATAAAAAAGATGGTTGTATTTCATGACGGAAGTGAAATTTAAAAACAGTAATTAGATATATTTATGATATTTTTCCCTTCCTTTTTTAAGTACCACGATCTGTCTCACAGCCAGCATTTACAAAGATTCCCTCCACATCATCACTAGACGGAAGTGAAATTTAAAAACAGTAATTAGATGTATTTATGATATTTTTCCCTTCCTTTTTTAAGTACCACGATCTGTCTCACAGCCAGCATTTACAAAGATTCCCTCCACATCATCACTAGAAACCTCAACTACACAACAGACAGCCCTGCCATCTAAAAGTACACCAGTTACTCCAGCTACAACTCCTCAGGTCGAGCAGAAGCCAGGCTTTCTTTCACGCTTCTTTAAGAAGTCTGAAACACAAGAAGTGCCAAAAGAAATTGTTACAGGTTTGTGTACTGATTAAAAATATGAGAATGAAAGCTGTAAGTTTAAGTTGGTCACATTCTCCTGTAATCTTGCAAATATCACAATCATACACTTGTATCCATGAATAAACCTGTATGAGCCACACAAAATCTATGTCTCACAGGCTGAAGAAAAGTTATTAAAATAAAACACAACACAAGGTATATAACTACTTCTCTGTTATTTAATAACGATGTTTCGTAACACTTGCAGTTATCTTATGAATTCATTCTCTCTCATCAAATGCCTCGTAAAATCCCACCTCAGGTTAATTAATGACAAACCATCATTGATTATTATAAATATGTGCCATAATAATAATTTTTCACTTTTGAAATATAACTAGAATTACATGATGGTGATATAATGGTTAAATCTGTAGATGATTTTGTACCCGAATCTGATGGAATTGATAAAGCTTTCCTTGATGATAATACTAAAGATATCTCTGATACACGCAAAACCAATGATGGAGATTCAGACAGGTAAGTTTCTATACAGGGATTGCAGTTCAACCAATCATAAGCAGGTACCTTATGATCCAAAACTCTCTACAATGCTCTCAATATTTGTATAAAGAATTTCTTTTTATCTTCTGCAAAATGTTTGTTATGAGCTATAATCAAAAAGAAAACAAATGTAATTAATTTTAAATAATATCATCCAAATGTCAAAAAATACTTAAAATAAGGATTAAGTTCATGAGGATTTGTTAAACTCCTTAAAAAACACTAAAAAGTATCTATGATTCATAAATGGAATGTCCAGACAAATATACCTCCTCAATAGCTTGTCATATTTACCTCAGATTTGACATACTGTCTATTTTGAAAATGACCAATTTAACTGTCAAAACAAAATTTACTTTTTTACCATCTGATGAAGATCTCCAAAGCAAAAGTGCTAATGTCTCTTTGATGTACAGACCATGATATCTTCTTTTGAGTTGTTATGGCAATTTCCTAAATTATTTATTTTCTTTTTGCCAGTGATGAAGGAGGCATCAACCCTATGGTGGCTGGGTTTCAAGATGACTTAGACTCTGAAGATGAGGCAGCTCAGGTTTCAACTAATCAAAAACCGTCTATTATTGCAAAAAAAGCACAGGATGTAGAACTCTCCAGTGAGGAGGAAGATAATGTTGTTTCACCCACTGTTATTTCTGCAGTTGTATCAAAAGACATTGACATTTCCTCTGATGAGGGGGATGGTTCTCCTCCTGTTAAAATAATGCAAAATGAGGATTTTGAGGAAAAAGCTAAACATGCTTTGGATCCAGAAAAAAAGTTACGAAAGAATAGGCATTCATCAACAGCAGTTATAGAATTGTCTGATTCTGAGGATGCGGCGGAAGTGGAAAAAGTAGTAGAAGTAGACATTCCAAATGTTGTAGTGACAGAGGCTGACGATAAACCACAACAATTAAATATTCCTAAAGAGGATTTAAATAATTGGTTGGATGAATTAGAAGAAAAAGTAAATTGGATTTTTTAATTTGTTATTCAGTAAATCCTCTGGGGGTTTTGTGGTCAAAAAAGGGGGTGAAATAGCCCTTTTTAAATCCATCACATTTTTATAAAAAAGAAAAAAAAAAGAAGCTATTCTGCATTTTAATAGCATTAAGATTGAGTTTTGAGTGCTGAAAATGTATATAAAAGAGGTATATTGCATTATAAATGCTCTAGAATAATTATTATACCTTTCCTATAAAAATGCTGACAAAAGACAAATCTGTGTCAGAAAAGATGACACGCATCAGACGGAATGGCTTATATCCAGCAATATGGCAGAACCAACCTTGTTTTTGTATGTTATTTAAATAAATGATCTTGTTTTTTTACCTATATATTTTAGTCTAGTGTAGTATCAGCAGCTAGTAAAAGTATAGAAGATAGTGATGATGAAGCTACTGGTGCTATGAAGATATCTGTCAGTAAGTACTAGATAAAAGTGGATAAAATTTCAGTAACTTCATAGATAATTTAAGGAATTTAACTTTTATACTCCCCACATTTTCATGTAGATGTATTATGCCGTCGCCCCTGTCTGTCCGTCCGCCCGCCCACAATTTGTTTGTGGTCACTCTGCAGGTTAGGCCTACCGTTTTTATCCTATTTTGATGAAACTTGAAATATAGATATTTCATTCAAAAAACTTGGTTCCTTTCGATATTGGCGTGTATCGGACCATAACTTCATGGATTCTGGCCGCTGAATGTTTTCGAAAAATCACGTATTTAGCTTGTGGACACGCTAGAGGTCACAATTTCATCTGATTTTGATGAAACTTGAAATGCATGTTCATAACCCAAAGATCTTGGTTCTTTTTATATGCCCACATTTTCATGTGGACGTATTATGCCGTCGCCCCTGTCCGTCCGGACGTCTGGACGTCCGTCCGTCCGTCCACAATTGTTTGTGGACACTCTACAGGTCACAATTCTTATCCGATTTTGACGAAACTTGAAATATAGGTTTATCTCCAAAAGATCTTGGCTGCTTTCGATATTGGCATGTATCGGATCGAAACTTCATGGATTATGGCCCCTGTTTGTACGAAAAATCACGTTTTTAGCTTGTGGACACTATAGAGGTCACAATATTTATCGATATAAGCGCATATCAGACCGTAACTTCCTGAATTATGGCCACTGATTGTACGGAAAATCGCGTTTTTAGCTTGTGGACCCTATAGAGGTCATAATTTTTATCCGATTTAAAAAAACGTATTATTATATCACCGTTACACCCTAAGGACGACTGAGTTCGAATTTCGTGAAAATCGGCCCCAAATTGACAGACAAATGGCCGCCGTTCGTTCTCAACTAGCGTTAAAATATGGTATATCAAGGTTGTGGACCCTATAGAGGTCACAATTTTTATCTGATTTTGTTGAAACTTGAAATGTGTAAGTTTATAACCCAAAGATCTCGGTTCCTTTCGATATTCGTGCATATCGGACCGTAACTTACTGAATTATGGCCCCTGATTGTACGAAAAATCGCGTTTTTAGCTTGTGGACCCTATAGAGGTCATAATTTTTATCCGATTTAAAAAAACATATTATTACATCACCGTTACACCCTAAGGACGACTGAGTTCGTATTTCGTGAAAATCGGCCCAAAATTGACAGACAAAATGGCCGCTGTTCGTTCTCAAATAGCGTAAAAATATGGTATATCAAGGTTGAAATGTAAGTTCATAACACAAAGATCTCAGTTCCTTTCGATATTCGCGCATATCGAATTGTAATTTCCTGAATTATGGCCCTTGATTGTAGGAAAAATCACTTTCTTGTTAGCTTGTTCTCTATCCATCTCTCGAAAATGTGGGCGTATCCTGCCTGGCAGCCGCTGGTTGATATTTGTGCTTATCGGATTGTAACTTCCTGAATTTTGGCCCCTGATTGTACGAAAAATCGCGTTTTTAGCTTATGGTTTCTCTAGAGGTCACAATTATTATCCGATTTAGATAAACGTTCGAATATATCACCGTTACACTGTAATGTTGGTGAAGTTCAAATTTTATGAAAATCGGATCAAAACTGTCGGACAAAGTGGCCACCCCCCATACGCAAATAGTGTAAATTTATGGTATATCAAGGCTGTGGACCCTCTTGAGGTCACAATTTTTATCCGTTTTTGATGAAACTTGAAATCTATGATTATTATCCAAAGATTTTAGTTCCTTTCGATATTTGTGCATATTGGACCGTAATGTCCTGAATTATGGCCCCTGATTGTACGAAAAATCATGTTTTGAGCTCTAGGGGTCATAGTTTTTATCCGATTTTAAAAAAACGTTTTAATGTATCACCATTACACCCTAATGACGGTTGAGTTTGAATTTCTTGAAAATCGGAACAAAACTGCCTTACAAAATGGCTGCTCCTTGTAGTGTAAAAAGTATGTAAAACCAACGTTTTGGATCCTCTAGAAGTCACAATTTTTATCCGATTTTGATGAAACTGAAAATATATCTTTATATCCCAAATATCTCGGTCCCTTTCGTTATTCGTTCATTTAAGACGATAACTTACTGGATAACAGCCCCTGATTGTACGAAAAATTGCTTCTTTTTTTTTTTTAGCTTGTTCTCTATCTATTTTTGGCAAAATGTGGGCGTATCTTGCCAGGCAATTGCTAGTTATCATTGTCTTAAAATATTTATAAACTGCATTCTGTTTAAGCCTAATGTTAATTTAGTGTTAATGTATGAAAGAAATATTTTGAGTATTTTAGCAATTTATAGCAATCATTTCTAGTAATTTCTGAGTGCTTCTTGGGAGAATTTATATGTCATGAAATTAGACTTCGAAAGAATTGAACCTTATAAAAGAATAAATACAGTTTTATGTGTAAAACCCTTTAAAAACATTTAAAAATTGGGGCACTGCTAAAATTTGTCTGATCTGCTAATCTGAGGTAAATATATTGAATGGTTAGCAAAATTTTGGTATGAAAGTCCTGACTTTTGCTATCTGCTCATTAACAGGTACTGTTGTGATATTGAGAAATAAAAATATTTTTTCTTTATCATGAACTTCAGCAAAAATAATTAATTATTAGTTTACCATGACGAATGAAACTTTTATGAATGTTTCGCTCTGGTTATGTTATTTTTCAGAAAACATTAGTTCAGATGTAGATGAGATGTCATCTTCTACTTCATCAACTAAAAAGAAGAAAAAGAAGAAGTCAACAGAAGACAAGGTAATTGCTAAACTTATGTGCAGATTGTTCTTAGACTTATATACACAGCTATCTCTGTCAAAAGTAAGCCTTATCAACTGTGAATGTTTTGATGTTTAAAGTCTTTGTGCATCATTTGCATATTGCGGAAAACAAAAAATTGTCCAAAACTTAATAATGCACATTATATTGTGTAATTAAGAAAACCAAAGAAAAAGAATTTGAAGAATTTGAGTTAGTATCAGAACTATTTTTGTTACCTTTTTTTAAGCTCTTACACTGATTGTCAAAAATCAAATCAAAGCTTATGATTTTCATATTAAACTTATTTTTTTTCATAGGATGAAGAAAAAAGCAGTAAAAAACAAAAAAAGAAGAAGGATAAAGATAAGGATAAAGAAAAGGAAGGAGAGAGTGGAAAGAAAGAAAAGAAGAAAAAAAAGAAAAAGAAGGAAGACAGCGAAGAACAAAAAGATATGGATGATTTGGAATCATTTCTTGCCAGTTCGGATCAACCAGGTGCAGGGGGAGATTATGAAACATTGTAGGATGTATGGTTACGGGAAAACAAGTTATTCATTTGGCTCGGGTTCCTAATAGAATGACCATGTGAAAACTTTAGGTTTTGTCAAGATTTATACAGAGTGATTTTTCAATTCTAGTTGAAACAAATTATAACCCCATTAACATAAAATTTTATTCTCTTTTTGCATTTGAAATTGTCTTCTGGTAATAATTTAATTTTATTAATTGTATCTGTAAGGCTACTGACCATTTATAACCAGAAGTACCGTTAAATCTAAACTTTATATTTTCCATTCCATTTAACTATATTGAGATTATTTTGTGTTGGATTAATAGAATATTGACAAGTTGATATAGGTTGTGTCTCTGTCATCTAATTGTTTCTTATTCCAATACAAAGTGTGACGTCTCTTTTAATCAATGTAAATGTTCAAAGGATGAAATTAGTAGATTTGATGATTTTAACATTATGCTCTGCAAACTCTTATACTAATGCATATGATTTATTGTGGCACATTTTTTTGTCTTCATAGAAAATCAGAACTTCCATGACAATACAGCAGACTAAAGTGCATATTATAGAATATTCAGAGCTGTGATGATGTTACTCTTCTATGATTACATGAACATAGATACATTAGGCATTCAGATTCATTATGCACAAAGACCATGCGGTTAGTGTATATAGCATATAGACAGACTATTTGATCCCCCAAGTAAAATTCTCTATTGGGACCTTTAAGTATCAAGGACAAAATAGATAGTCCTCATAGTTGAGTATCTTTTTGTTGAAATGATTTTGATAATGTGTTCACTGTAAAAATAAAAACAGTATTATTAAGAATAATAGTAGAAGCCCTCTAATAAAGGTTGTGTTAAACATAAGATTTTATGCTTTGAGTAAAACTTGGATTTATACATTGTTAAACATGGGGATTTATACATTGTGGTTATTTTAAACTGTATAAATACTATATTGTATCGCATTATGTACCTCAAATCTATATATATACATACATGTATATAAAAAATGTGTGGATGGGAATATGGTGCTTTATTAGCAATATATTTTATATCTTAAGAAATATAGATTATCATTTGTTTGAAACTTTAACTTTTAAAATTGTGTGTAAATTATTGTTAATTGTTACCAATTTTATTTCTTAGGCATGTCTTTCAATCTATCAACTTTCTATTGTCTTTTTTTCATTTGTGAAATTTCTAATTAAATGTAAATTATTTATTGCATATCAAATTTTAAAGATTTCCCAAAATTCTGTAATACACCCTCGCAGATATTTCATTAGTAAAAGGTAGTACATTAATTTAATAAATGAAATATAGTTATTTATGCTGCATTTTCTGTGATGTTAATATATTTATTTGTAGTTTTAGTAGAACACAAACATTAGGTACGCAATATTTTGTTGATTTTAACAACACTGTCTCTTTATTGTTATGCATTTATGTCTGTATTAATATAAGATAATATTTAAAATCGGTATTGACATATATAAATGAAATTATATTTGAAAAAATATTTTCATTGAAGTAAATTTTTATTTGGATTTCTGCTGATATCTCTGTCTGGTTGAAATTGCATGACAGTAGTTGATATTATTATATATGATAATACAATAGGTAAGGGTTACATTAAACATACATTATGCAAGAGCAAAATCTGATTATTGCAAGTCTTAATTTAGGCTTCAGATGTTATAGAAATTATAAATTAGATCTTTATTTAAACAACAAGCCCAAAATCAACTCTGTAGACCCACGGATGGCTCGGCTACAACTCGGATTTAAATAGGATTTCACTTATTAATTAATTCAAATATGGCGCATCCTGATGAAAATGCGTCAGTTAGATCGAGGCTAAATGATAGAGTGTACTTAGCGAGGCCGCTGTAGAGCGTTTCCGCATTCCATTGAAAACTTTACTTGATAATCGAGATATGTAGGTGGAGATAACGCCTGTCAATCAAACGATCAGCCAAGGTGAAAGCACATTTCACTACCATTTCTAGTCAAATATTACAACGATGATAACTATGTTCAGAATAAAGTAATTTGACTGAAATTTTCAATATATTCTTCTTTCATCATCTACTTTTGAACTGTATAGCAAGAATATCCAATTCTCTATAAAAATCTCCCATAATGTATCTTTAATAACTTGAATAATTATATTATAGTACTAGGAAAACAAATTATATTCATTATTAAATCATTATTAAATCATTATAATGCTTTATTAGTATATAGTTTTGAATATTTTAATGTTTGAAAAACCTAATAATTTTCATGTGTCATTTCATCAATTTAGCCATTTGTTAGACAACCTGTGATTGGTCCTTGAGTCTTGCAACCCAACATATGATAGATATTCTGAATGTGCCAGAATTTTGTTAAAGATGCTGAAATTTTGTTATAGATGCTGAAATTTTGATAAACGGTGCATAATGGGATGCAACTGGGAATATGTGTAATAGACATACAATTCTTTTACTGACTCCTGGAGTATGTATGTTTAATATTGTTGTATATTTATTATGTTGTATATGTGTATTATATAAACTAGTACCATTTTTACCTTCTCGGAGATCCATTACCTGTCGCTAACAAGTAAACTCTACTAATGATTTAATTCATTTCACAAAACAATCCTTATGAATATAAACCACAAATTGTATTCTGCCAACATCTTGCACAAAGAAATGGGATCTATTGTGGCTCCCTGTTAACAAGGGTGACAGTTGTGATCCATAGATCTTTATGAAAACTATGAAATTAAACAACCATTTTATTTCATTTCTTTAATTATTATGATAAAGAGCAGGGCTCTTGTTTCAGTAATATTTGTCAGTTTTGACTGACAGACTGACTGACAGTGAAATTGACTGACTGGAGAACTTACCTGTCAGTCTGTTGAAATGCAAAAAAAAGTTGAATTTCAAATAACATGATAAATACTGTTAAATTTATAGTTTTTATGTGTAAAAAAACATATAAAAATTATTTTAAAAATGGGATAATGTTAAAAGTTATCATATTTTTAAAAACAGTAAACCTGCTTATAAACTTTTGAAGTGAAAGCCCTTCTAGGAGTAAGCGTGTTAGCAACTAATGGATTTTCCTGATTGATGTTTTTAAACCAAAACTAAATGTCGCAATGTAAATGAAGTGAATTATTTTCAATCTGTTTTGAAAGTATGTTTATTAAATAAACTTGTGAATATAATTAAATATTTATTTTAATATTTTATCACTGGTCAGTAGATGAACTTTGAAGTGGAAGAATTTCACTGACTCAAAATTTGTACAATAATAGATGTACATGTATGGAAACATAATCAATTATACCCTGGTAGTATACTGTATCAGGAATTCCAAAGAGGGGTGACAGTCAGATAAACAAAACTGGAGTTCTTTTGCAGCGGAATGTTTCAGCATCATGAACCGCACAATTAAATTGTTTAGCCTACCACTGATGGTTCTTAAAAAATCCAAAAATCTTCAGTGTGCTCACACCTAGATAAGGACACAGGTCAAGGGTAATTGGTATAAAAGAGATTCTTGTCACTCAAGAGTATAAATATGCTTCAACATTTGACAGTTGTAATAAGGTGCAATTAAAAAGCTTTTATTTCAAAGGAAAATTTATACAAAGTTTTTAAAGGTAAAATTATGTCTGGATGATCACATCTACTATTTCAGTTTTATACAGAGTAGTATCCCTTAGCAATATGGCAGCCTCCAGTGTTAGTAAATAACTGAACGAATGAATTTATGTTTTCAAATTTAAAAGAATAATTAGGCCCTAATCAAAACATGTAAGTTTCTAAATAGAAAGGGCATACATGACTCTCTAAGATCCCATCCCTATCTCTAAATAAAAGGGAGATAGAAAGACAGAAATGTTTATTAAACATTATGTAGCAGAACTATGTCTGTAGGCCTACTCTGTGATGTCCTATCTTTAACTTTAACTCAATATAATATAACCCAAAGTCTTCGACATTGAAAACACGAATTATTTGTCAATTTAAATCAACATTGATGTTGTGATCTTACAGGAAAAAGATAGGCTTCTGATATCAAATATTTAAAGGCTCAATACCACTCTAACTGAATAATATGTCCCAATCTTTATTCTGGTCAACAAATTGTACTATTTTACAATATTCCAATTAATTGATGATACAAATTTCATCTACACACACCTTATTTAAAAAATTGGAAAAATTCAACTAAATGATTTGAAAAGCCTAACGTAAACCTTTTCAAATGTGACGTGGATTTAAAAATATTTTCGAACCCTCTGGACAAGTAAAATAGGATGTAATGGATAATTTACACAACAGGTTGGACACTTAAACATCTAATACTTAGAATAAGGCTATTATTTATTTTCTGGAGCTGTCAAGCCAGCAAGCGTGTTATTGTCCCTGACAAAAAAAACATTTTACCAATCAGTCCATTAGTATACGAATCATGTCATAATGCGTTTCAGTGCTATTTGTAGTTACAAAACAAGAGACTTGAAGAACAAGGCTTGACATATTCCACTAGTCGTGTCAAACAGTGACGCCATATTCTTATCTGGAGAGCATGTGCATAAGAATACTATCGGTGTAGACTTGAATAACCAGATGCTAGAGATTGCCATTCGATTGAGACTTCTGGTGTATTTTGCCGAACAAAAAGAAATTGCAGTAAAATGGAAACGATTTAATATAAATCAGTTTATATACGTTCATATTACATTATTAATATATGCTTTGCGACCCCTTTGTGTCAATTTCTAGGTCCCATATATAAGCAATTTAGCTCCTTCTAATAATATTTGGAAATTATGCATGACTGTTGACGTTATTGAAAAGCACATTGAAATACAAGTAGGGCCCATACCATATAAGAGGTGTTTAAAGTTGAAACACTGTTTCAAGTGCAATCCATGGGCTTTATTTACCTGACATGAGAGTTAGGAGAACTTTTCTGTTTGCCTTTACTATATTTGTTTTCGGTAGGGCTATAATATTAGATCTTTTTTTTTTATTTTGGTCTGAATTTTTTGGGTTGGTCAACACAAGATACAATTGTTTGTTCTGACTAGGTTTATGACCTTACAATTACGATTAGCATTTTTGTAGTCTGTCTTAAATTTATGACTGAGTTGAGATGACTGGATAGTCATAGAAAAGACTAAAGGTTATTTTCTTGAGTTATCTGTTTACGACAAGGACTAACAAGTGTCAACTTTATATCAGTAGATGAAAATCAAAAAGAACACATTCCTTAAATTTATCCTTCTTGAAAGTTATCACCAAAAATGAAAGAAAAGAAATAAGTCAAATGTTCATTAGATAGTTTGTCTGGATTTCTAACAGTTATACCCTCATAGTACAATCCTTTCTCTATTTTTGATTCAGTTTTTGGTTCTATTAATAATTGTACAGATATTACAAATGGCAGCAACTACAATTCGAAATATTGCACCAATCTTATCAGGATTAAGAAACCTGAGATGTGTAAAATCTATCAGATTTAACCATTTGTCAGCCAGATGCACAGCACCATCTTTATATTATACACCATCTACTATATCAATCAGAGACTATGCTACCAAGAAAGCTAAGAAAGAAAAAGGTAACACTTGTTTACACTCGGACCTCATTAGAAAAGAGTTGTTTATTATAAAGCAGTTGTCGGCATGGCTGCCTGGTTGAACATGGCTTTGACACAGCTTTTCCCAGTTGATTGCCAAACGACTGCATTTCCACTCAGATATCTTATTCCCAAACCAATAGTCTTGATAAGTCATAAAATGTAACAAACCATTAATTGAGCTGAATAGTTAGCGAGTAAATGTTGAATAAGATAAAGATAAAATCGGGTCAAAGTGTTTCCATCGGCAATTTTGAAGGTAGTAGATTTTGAACCATTTCATTTGGCTTTTACCATTCCAGGATGCTAATGGTTTGTAATTTGGTGAATGGAAATAACCAAACACTGCTTTGAGATTGTGAAACACCCTTGTTTGTAATACATGTTTATAATATCATCATGTTAGTGTCTATTCAAATTTTAAAATTAGAGTGCCTCCATATTTATTCCAACAAATTCTTATCAATAATATGTACAACCAAACTTTTCAGAAGATCATTTTTCTTTGTATGTTATGAACAACTTTAATTTTACGGGGTCTCCTTTCTACCATTCTTGTACACTGACATTGAAACACTACCTGACTACTGCCACACAGTCATAGACCATATTTCGACCAGGGAGACTCCTTTCCAGTTTTGGACTGTATATTTTTATATAACTGTTTTTTAAAACAGGTGTTTTAAAGTTTATTATTATCCTTAGTCCGGGGGAGGGGGATGGCTGAATGATTAGCACATGCCATTGAGTCAACTGGCGTGGTTTGGATTGCCTGATTGTACGTGACGAGGAGTAGGGTCGCCTGTCCAACCTTGTGTGTTTTTCTCCGGTTTCTTCCCACTGCTAAAGACCCCTACCAGCAAGCAATTTATTGAAATAGAGTTGAACCGTGTGTTAGTCCTAGAATGACCTAGTTTGTGTCAAGTAGATGTTAAATCCCATTTCTCTCTCTCTTATCCTTAGTCTGCCATATGCACTATAATATTGAATATTATTTTCATTCTTTAAGCAGCTAGTAAAGTAGCCAAGAAGAATGTACATGTAGCTGAATTAAGTGAAGCTGATATGGAGGGTGTTTTAGATAAACAGAAACTAGAAAACGACATGAGATCGGTTTTAGAAGAATTACATGATCAGTTTATACATCAGTTAACTGTACGCACAAATCCAGGTTAGTATTGTGAACATGATCTTAATAATAATTCATTTATAGTCCATATCTAGTTTTATGTATTTTAGTTATAGTCCACACCTAGTGTTATGTTGCCTGAGAAAAACTTTTATAAACAGAGGCAAATGTTTCTGCTAGACACAAAATATAATGTTTTAAATAAGAAAATAAAACATTGCCATGGCTTCATTGATATTGTCTGTGTACTTGTGAATCAGTATATAATACTGTTTGATAGTAGAGATGTATTTGTGAATCCTTATAATATTAGTTGGATATTGTATGTTAATTTGTGAATCAGTATAATATTGTTTCATTTTGTACAGGTGTTAGAGAATCAATTGTTTCATATTGTAGGTATAGTTTTGAATCAATGTAGCATTGTTTCATATTGTAGGTGTATTTGAGGGGTTGGTAGTAGAAACACCGGATGGGAAGTTTCCATTGAATCATATTGCACAAATAGTATTAAAAAATCCTTCGTTGTTATTAATTAACCTGTCATCCACACCTCAGGTATGACTTCTTTATACTCGATTTTAGGGGGGTTGGATGGTTAGCGCATACACGTTGTATCATAAGCTCTGTCATTGAGTCAACCAGCGTGGTTTTGATTTCCCGTTTGTATGTGAAAAAAAGTAGGGTCGCCTGTCCAACCTCGTTGGTTTTCTCAAGGTCCTCCGGTATCCTCCCACTGCTAAAGACCCCTACGCACAAGCGAATTATTGAAATAAAATTGAACCATGTAAATTTCAAAATGACCTAGTTTGTGTTGAGTTGACATTAAACCACATTTCTCTCTATACACGATTTTACATGTTAACTTAAAAACATCCACAATTTTGAGCTGTACAATTATAACACTAGACTCCTAGCATATCCATTACAACCAGGTAGTATAATTTGGATGTCAGTTTCTATTTGCTACACATTTAATAACCAATAACACTGTACCATACCTGTTCAAGTGTGCAGGATTATACACAGTAAGGTTTCCCTGTATAAATTTATCCCAATTTATCTTTAGTTACATGGATGGATTTGTACCTTGCTAATCATGTTTAAGTTATTACATAGTCAAAAATTCATTTTGTCAGGTGAATAATTAATATCCCATGTGCTATTTGGTACCACAGTTACAAGATTCATGTTACTATTGTCATATAATGACCAAATTAAGATGATAAACCCTATCCCTTTCCTAGAAAAATACTAATAGTATACCATCTCTCTGGTTGATCAAAGGTGTATGATCTGGTGATATAGTTCATGTCTTCAAATATATAAAATCTTTCTTGTATAACTAATAGTTTGATAACCATCATGTTTAGATTCAAATTTCTATATGTATTTACTGTTTTTCAGTATATATCAGCTGCTGAAGAAGCTATAAAAAAATCAGGATTGAATGTTAATCCACAGATAGACAGCACTACAATATTTATACCTTTACCCAAGTGAGTTGTTATATATTTATATAGTTGTGAATACTGGTATTTACTTCTTCTAAAGCTAAAGGGTCTGTTTCATTAGACTTTGCATTATTTTAATGTCTGATATAGATCTTGCCATTTATTAGTCCTTGAATATGGTAGCATTTTACTATGTCATTGGATGGGACCCTATGATTGGATTAAGTTCTATGCTACATGTGGATTTATTTAATGTTCAGTGTATTTTTTTGTGGAGTTAACTACTGATGCATTGAAAGATAGATAACTTGATAATAAAAGCTGATAAACTTGATAATAAAATATGTCTAAGAATAATGTTTTGTAAAAGTGATCATATATATAAATATGAAGTTGAGACACCATAGTTAGACATTGAAATAACATTCTTATACCCTTTATTGTAGTTGTATTTTAACTTATTCTTTATTGTATATTCCATTTTAATATTATATTTTATATTCTATAGTGTATATTTTAACTCTTTATCATATGGTCTCAGGTTCACTCCCTGTGCTGTTCAAAAGAGCTCCTCGGGATTTTAAGGCATGATTTACCATGGACAGCTGTCTAGTCATTCGAATGAGATGAAAATCGAGGTCCCATGTACACATAGACAGTTGGAATTTGATATAAGAGTTGACCGTAGTGCCGCTTTCCGGGCAAAATTTCCCTCTTATCATAGGGTCTCGGGTTCACTCCCTATGCTGTCCAAAAGAGTTCCTCAGGATTTTAAGGCATGATTTCCCCCAAGGACAGCTGTCTAGTTATTTAGATGAGATGGAAAACGAGGTCCCATGTACAGATTTACAGTTGGAATTTGATATAAGAGTTGATCATAGTGTCGCTGTCTGGGCAAAATTTCCCTCTTAGCACACTGCATGGCGTATGCCCGTCTTCATTAGCCCAGTCAGTCCAGATAAGTAGGACGTTAAGCCCCATTCAATTTCTTTATCATAGTCTCTATTTTATTTACAGAGTAACTAAAGAACATAGAGAAAACTTAGCCCATAATGCTAAAACATTAGCAGAAAAGTCAAAAGTCAAATTACGAGATGTGCATGGAAAATATGTGAGAAAAATAAGAGCATGTAAAGACAGCCATTCAGAAGATTTAATACACGATTTACAAGAAATGGTGAGTTATTTTTAATATATATATATAATAGCAAGGATATGGTGGCTTATATTTAAATGTTGTGGATATTTATTCTGTTAATCACATTAGGATTTTTTGAGAATGTGTTCAAAACACTCCTCAGAACAATAAAAAGATAATAGTCATTAACAATTTCTATGGTAGATGTGAGTTATTTGGAATAATGTGTATCTGTTCAAATACTTTATAAACATATTGATTTCAAGGTTTAAATAAATATTTTATTATTATTACAGGTATTAGATATGATGCATTCTCATACACAACAGATTGATGCACTGGTTCATGCTAAAAAGAAAGATTTACTTGGTGAAAAATAGTACTATTTTCTAGCAAATGAATTTTATTTTATTTTCTTGCTAACCTGTATATAATTTTGGGCTATGAGAATATATCTTGTTATTAGTGATACTAATCATGATGAACTGATTTGAAATATTACTGGAATATTATTGTGTGAATATGGACTGATTAATTGTTAGAAGAGTATATGAATACAGTAATGACTGGAAACTAAAGGTGCTGCAATTACCTTCTTGTATTTTGCAGACTCAATTAAATATATTAATAAACTACATTTGGAAATGTTCTTATTGTCAAATCTCCAAATGCTACTGGGCAAACAAAAGAAGATAATCACAAAAAAAAGGAAATCTAAACTAAAGTAGACAGATCACCCATAGTAGTGATGCTGTATCTGAGATAATCTAGCTCACAGAGAATACATCAAATTAAATACAGATGTCCATACATAGACCAAAATATTGTCTGAAGGATTTATGTTGCTATTACATGTCTAGCCTTGTGGGTATGTCGTTTTACTGCCAGTAGTTTGTCATTTTAGTCACTTCAATAAAGAGCCCTGTATGCAAGGAAACGAATGATCAGTAGGCTTACAAAATTAATGAAATAATTAAGTTGCGTGGATATCAACTTCCCTTTAGGCAGGAATGTTCAGATGATGTAAGAATTTTTGGGACAAAAAAATAGGGGTAGAAGTTTATTTTTTTTCTGCTTAAACATACATTATGCAAGAGGTAAATCTGCCAATTGCAGGTCTCTCTTCAGGCCTGAAATGTTATCTAAATTATTAATTAGACATTAATTAACTTATCCAGACCATAATCAACTCTCGATGTAATCGCTAGCCTGCGATATTTACTGGATTATAATCTGATCTGCTGCTCAACGCTTATTCATGATTAAATCAAAAAATGGATAATCAAGACTATGTTTTTTATCGTAACGAGGCTAAGCCCAAAATTCAATTACTAAATTCTCGGTTCAGCAAATTCAGTTTACATTATCTAGTTTTTAACTATTATAGTGAGAACTGCCAGCTCTTTATCTAATCTCCCATAATGTATCTAATTAAAATTCAACAATATCTTGAATGAAGATTATGTAGATTAAACAGAAAGGATATCAAGTTCATCTGTTCATCAATTCTAAATGGTGTATCATTTAAACTGGTAAAAAAGATCATTGTAAAGTTTTTTGGGTTTTTTTGTCATTGAAAAACAATTTGTACAAAACCTTTTTGTTTAGGGGTTTGACCTTGGGATGAGATCTCTTACAGTATACAAATATGTCAAAATATTGAATATTCTAAGTAAAAAATTGTGAAATATATCTGTATGAATTAACAATAAATACATATAGTAATATAGTATTGATTAAAAATGTATATCCCTAATAGTAGCTATTCTAATTACATAACCATTGATTGACTCAAGTTTACTTTCTGGTACATTTTAATGAATTTTAATAAATCAAGTCTTAAGTAATAATAAATACTATCAGCTAAAAATTCAAGATTTAAATTTTTAAAAAAAGAAAAATTTGACCAGCACAATTACTTGTACTTGATATAATATAAATATATGGAATAAGAATGAAAGTGCTAATATGCCTTATTAAGTGATGAGTTGTGAGTATTTGCCCAAGTCAAAATTGGTATCTACACAGATAAGAGCTAATGTTGAGATTTTGATTTTCACTTTAATCTAATAATATAATTAAAATTAGTAAACAAACTAACATCCGCCATCATAAATCTAAATAACAGGTAAGTCTAAATCACTGAATCTTGATTTATAATTATAATATAATAAATATCAGGTTTGCTTCATCTTGATGACTATCTATTTTTTGTCTCGTTTAAATGTAGCTTTTTCCAAACCCATCATTGGTGCCTCAAAGACCAGTGATACTATAAATACAGGGGCGGATTGGGCCATCGTCGGGCGATTGGGCGATAGCCCAAAGGGCCGGTCGGCCAAAGGGCCGGTCGAACAAAAGATGAAAAAAAATAATTTTGTTCAATTCGTCTAAAAAACCTTTTCTGCTGAACATTATATGGGAGGGGGGGGGGGGGTATTGGACCGGCCATGGAGCGATGATGATCATGAATCATGTTCTATGTGGCCGGTGGCTTTAACGGGCCGCCACGCCATCACTGGAATCTGGATTGGGCTGGTATAATAGACTTTCTGGGCCGGGTGTGGGCTGGAATTCGGAATCCTGCAATGGGATTCCGAATTTCATCCGAAAATTTCATCGGATTCACCCGACACTGTCACCAGAAACGTCTGCCGATGGTTCGTAACTCCCCAAACAAAATTCAATTTTAAGGCCTTGGCAAAATTTGATGATAGCTGGTCTTGACGATACGATGATAATACGTTAATTAATAATATGACGATATGATAATTTCACAGGTTGATGGTTGTAAATTACTGCAGGTCGGGGTTTTGGCCTAAATTAATCGATTTATGAGATATATTATTTGACAGAGATTATAATCAGATATGCCACCAAATCGCATATTTGGGGTTCATTTTTCAAAATTTTCATGGGGGAGAGCCCCCGGAACCGCTCCGACACGGGAGTCCGGGCCGGTTCCCGGTCCCAATCCGCCCCTGGGTAGATATCCACAGTGTATACTATATATATATATATATATATTGCTTGATTTGTTATTTTAAGCTATAGTTGTATAGTTTGGCTTCGGCTTCCATTTCCTAGATATTAAATTGTGCCTATATATATATTGGCATGCACGTTAAAGATCAATTGGCAGTTGGAATTTGATAAGAGTATAGGCTGTAGTGCGGCTGTCCGGGCAAAATTTCTCTCATAGCACACTGTATGGTGTATGTCCGTCTTCATTAGCCCAGCTGGAGCAGAACAGTAGGATGTTAAACACATTTCATTTCATTTCGCATATCTTAGGCCTACATATATGTATAAAAATTATAATCACCCATCTTTGCCAGACCTTAATGAATATATAAAGACTGGGTGACAAGTGACTTCAGCATAATGTCCCCACACCAGTTTAGTACTTATTAGCTTTGAAAAAAAACCCCAGACAGATTCTGAAATACAGATTCTGAAATACGGTACCTCTAGGCCTACCTTTAATTCCTTAATGAAATATCAACATTATTTTGTAAATGATGTCATTGGAGATTTAGAAATGAGTAGGTGGGTCTAAATAATTTTTCGGAGTCTGCATGGATAATATATTCTAGGACTTCCACTTTAAGAGTTATATTGCATTATGACCTTATGTGCATGGTCAGATTAGGAAAAACATCACACCAGGCCGGGACTTAAGAATTATATTGTAACGTGACCTTACAATGGAAGTCAGATTTTAAAAAAAAAAAACATACATAGGGCTGGGATGCCTACTTTAAGAGTTATTTTGTAATGTGAACTAATGCTGTCATAAAAAAAAACCAATACAGGTGATTATGTATAACTGTCATATGATTTGTGTAGGTTTGTATCTGTCTATATTTAGAATTTTAGGGTCAATAAATAGGTTTAATGTTGAGATACAACTTATTCTGCATTCAAGGTCTACAATAACAAAACTAAAATTAGCATAAAGAAACCGATTTTTGTCCTGGGTCATTTTAACAAATCAGGATAAATTCACCCAATCAACATGTATTTACCAAATTTCATTATGATAATAATACTAATAATAATAAAAACTTTATTTATGAGGAAACTTATTTAGTTTGCAAAAAAAACCCTAATCTTCCATAAGTCTCTCCTAAGCTACAAAGACATAGGCCTATACATGAAATATCAGGATAAATTCAAAATCATTTGAAATGCAATAGCATTTTAAAGTGAGAAGTTTGGCAAGTAACCCACGAGGTTGGACAGGTGACCCTACTCTTTGTCACGTACAACCGTGGAATCGAAACCCCGCCAGTTGACTCAATGACAGACTTTATGATACAGCGCACACATGCTAACCATATAGCCATCCAACCCCCCTTACTTTTTGAAATCCATCAAGAGTTTAGAAGAAATTGAAAATAAGAGAAATGATGACATAGCTTCTTCGACTAAAACCGCCTTGTGGTGTAATATTTGGATACCCCCAATTGGTCTTGTCCTTATTTAGTTTTCTTATATGTTTATTTATTTTTATTGCATATTTTATTGAATTGTATTGTACAGCGCATCTGAACATGTTTTGTGGAAGATAGCACTCTATAAATGTTAATAATAATAAAATAATAATATCATCGAAATTTTGTCCACAGCCTATAAACCAAAGTTTTTAACCCTTTTGATCCCAGAGTTCCCTGTGAAAGTTTCCTAGGATTTTCCAATGTGGTTTACCCTAGTTAGTGGTGCAGTGTCTAGTAGTAGTAGCTTGGATGACCTGAAAAACCAAATATCGGTGCACTTTGGCATGCAAGTAAAAGAACCTTTGACAGTTGGAATTCGAAAAGAGAGTATGCCATTGTGCTGCTGTTCGGGCAAAATTTCCCTAAAAGCATACTGCATTGGCCTGATTGGTGCAGAAAAGTAATAAACCCCACTTTCATTTCATTTTAGATTTATATTTAAAAAATGTCAATAAAATTCATACACATGAGTGACAAGTTGACAACTAATATAACACATATAGTCATTATACAATATCCATGTTCTAAGGAAAAGTCGTAAAAAATAAATTTGTACATGATGCAATTTGAGGCATTGTTTACAAATTAATATTTCTGGCAAGTCTGTATGAATAACAGTAAATATATATAGTACTGATTAAAGATATATATCCTTGATAGTGGTGATTTTAACAATATAAACATGGAGTGGAAAACATATCAAAAATGTTTGTCACCGAAAGCAGTATATCTTTTGAAATACTTTTTGTTAATCTACAAATTTCAACACAGGTGCTGTTATATGTATTACACTTGCAAGGTGGTGAATGAACAAGTGTTAGCATTCGAGCAATATAAAGGATTAACAAGAGCATCGCTAATGCTGCAATATACGTCCACATTATTGCTTTGATTGATATGGTACTCTTTAAAATGAAGAGAATGAAATAGCTGTAATATGACAAAAGGCAAAGAAGGCTAGGCGTTGGGTTTGTCTGCCAAATTTGCAGACAAAATATTAACAAAAAAAGTGGGTGTGACACTGCCCCAGGAAGTCGAGGCATGCACCAAAATAAATAGTTGCTGTCTTTACGATTGTAAGGAATAAATATGCAAAGTTCCAAGATGATCCATTCAGAATTGCAGCCTGTAGACGTTGAATACAAAAATTGGGCGTGGCTCTGCCCCTGGGGGTTGGATATTGAACAATATAAATAGGTACCACCCTGTTATTGAAATGATTGATATGCTGAATTTGAACATAATATGTTAATTATTGCAACCTGTAGAGTATTTACCGATAAAAAAAAAAAATAAAAAAAATAACAAAAAAGTGGGTGTGGTATCCTTACAAGATAAGGAATAAATATGCCAAGTTCCAAGATGATCCATTTAGAATTCCAGCCTGTAGACAAAGAACACAAAAATTTGGCATGGCTCTGCCCCTGGGTGTGGGACATGGACCAAATATAGGTACAACCCTACGCTGGATCATTTCGAATTGCATCCAAATTTCCAAATTTGTTAATAATTGCAACCTGTATATCATTTACTGACAAAATCAACAAAAAGTGGGTGTGGCATCGCCGAAAGGGCAAGGGGTGGGGGTGGAGTAGGGGGGCGTGCACCAACATCAATAGTTGCGCTAAAGGAAAAAATTGGGCGTGGCTCTGCCCCTGGGAGCATTCACCAAAATCAAAAGTTGACGCCCTTAGGCTATAAGGAATACATATGCCAAGTACCAAGCTGATCCATTCAGAATTGCGGCCTGTAAACATCAAACCCAATAATTGGGCATGACTCTGCCCCTGGGGGTCGCGCACCAACATCAATTGTTGCCGTCCTTAGGGTATAAGGAATAAGTATACCAAGTTCCAAGATAATCCTTTCAGAATTGAGACCTTCGAGCGCTAAAGGCAAAAATTGGGCGTGGCTCTGCCCTTCGGGGCATTCACCAAAAGCAATAGTTGACGCCCTTAGGCTATAAAGAATACATATGCCATGTACCAAGTTGATCCATTCAGAATTGCGGCCTGTAAATGACAAACACAAAAATTGGGCATGGCTCTGCCCCTGGGGGTCAGGACATGCAGTTGTCGTCCTTAGGCTATAAGGAACACATATCCCAAGTTCAAAGACGATCCATTAAGAATCGTGGCAAGAGCATTGCTAACGCTGCAATATACGTCCACATTCAAGCTTTGATTGATATGGTACTTTTTAAAATGAAGAGAATGAAATATGAAATGGCTGTAATATGATTAGAGGCAAAGAAGGCTAGGGGTCGGGTTTTGCCAAATTTACAGACAAATACAAACAATAAAGTGGGTGTGACACTGCCTAAGGAGGTCGGGGCAAGCATCAAAATAAATAGTTGCTGTCTTTATGGTATAAGGAATAAATATGCAAAGTTCCAATTCAGAATTGCAGTCTGTAAACGATAAATACAAAAACTGGGCGTGGCTCTGCCCGTGGGGGTTGGATATGGAAACAATATAAATAGGTACCATCCTGTTATTGAAATGACAACATCAATAGTTGCCGTCCTTGTGGTATAAGGAATAAGTATACCAAGTTCCAAGATAATCTATTCAGAATTGTAGCCTTTGGGCGTAAAAGGCAAAAATTGGGCGTGGCTCTGCTCCTGGGGGTCGGGGCATTCACCAAAATCAATAGTTGATGCCCTTAGGCTATAAGGAATACATATGCCAAGTACCAAGTTGATCCATTCAGAATTCCGGCCTGTAAACGATAAACATAAAAATGGGGCGTGGCTCTGCCCCTGGGGGTCGTGACATGCAGTTGTCGTCTTTAGGATATAAGGAATACATGTCCCAAGTTCAAAGACAATCCATTAAGAATCGTGGCCTGTAGGCAACTCACAGAGACACAAAGAGAAAATGGGTGTGGCTCTGCCCCTGGGGGTTGGGCAATCACCAAAAAACAACAGGGGGCATCTTTAGGGAAAAGGAATGCAAAGTTTCAAAAGGAAATGTTAAGAATTGCGGCCTGTAGGCGACACAAAAGGTACACAAATGTTGAGCGTGGCTCTGTCCCAGGGGGTCGGGCATGCACCAAAAATAATAGAGGTCAGCCTTAGGGTATAAGGAATAAGTATAAAAAAGTTTTCAAGATGATCGATTAGGCATTGCAGACTGTAAGTGACATACAGACACCCAAAAAGAAAATGGGCGTGGCTGTCCCTGAGGGCTGGGCATTCACCACAAACAATAGGGATGTTCCTTAGGATAGAAGGAGTAAGTATGCAAAGTTTCAAGGTGATACGTTAAGAAATGCGGTCTGTAGATGACAAACAATGAATGCAAGAAATGGGCGTGGCTCTGCCACTGGGGGTCGGGTATGCACCAAAAACAATAGGGATCATCCTTAGGGTATAAGGAATTCATATGAAATTTTTTTAAGACGATCAATTAAGATTTGTTACCTGTAGGCAACAACACAGACACACACAAAAAATGGGCGTGGCTCTGCCCCTGGAGGCTGGGCATGCACCCCAAACCATAGGGATGTTCTTTAGGGTACAAAGAATAAGTATGCAAAGTTTCGAGATGATGCGTTAAGAAATGTGGCTAGTAGACGACAAACAAACAAATACAAGAAATGGGCGTGGCTCTGTCCCTGGGTATAGGGCATGCACCAAAAACAATAGGGATCTTCCTTGGGGTATAAGGAATAAGTATACCAAGTTTGAAGAAAATCCAGTAAGAATTGCGCCCTGTAGGCGACACAAAGACACACGAAAAGAAAATGGGCGTGGCTCTGCCCCTGGGGGTTGGGCATGCACCCCAAACGATAGGGATGTTCCTTAGGGTACAAAGAATGTGTATGCAAAGTTTCAAGATTATTAGTTAAGAAATGTGGCCTGTAGACGACAAACAAACAAATACTAGAAATGGGCGTGGCTCTGCCCCGGGGGGTCGGGCATGCACCAAAAACAATAGGGATCTTCCTTGGGGTATAAGGAATAAGTATACCAAGTTTGAAGAAAATCCATGAAGAATTGCGCCCTGTAGGCGAACCACAGACACACACACACACACACACACACACACACACACACACACACACACACACATACATACATACACACACACACACACACAGACAGGGGCGACGGCATAATACGTTCACATTATGAATGTGGACGTATAAAAAGGACTTTTATATACCAGCTTTAAAGGAGCTAAATCGCTTATATTTGGGATCTAGAAATTTACACAAATGGGTCGCAACGCATATAATAATGTAATATGAATGTATATAAACTGATTAATAACATTCAATCGTTTCTGTTTTTACTGCAATTTCTAATCAGTTAGGTTCGGCAAATATGCAAGAAGTCTCAATTGAAGACGATCTTTAGCGTCTGGTTATTCCAGTCTAAACCGATGGTATTTATTGCGCATGCTCTCCAGATAAGAATATAGCGTCACCATTTGACATGACTTGTGGAATATGTCTAGCCTCGTTCTTTGAGTCCCTTGCTCCAAATGGCACTGAAACGCATTATGGTACACAATTCGTGTGCCAAAGACAAATTTTTTATTTTGTCTTGAATATTGGATTTCAGGAGCCCATCTTTTAACTGTAAGATCACAAGAAACAATGTTAATTCAAATTGACAAATAATTTGTGTTTTCAATGTCGAAGATTTTTAATGATATTGAGTTAGAGACTTAGATACTTTAAGTAAAATTTGATTCCATGGATACCCAAAAATGATTCCCTGAAAAACACCCATTGAGCACATCCAGGACAAAAATGTAAGGGTTTCCCTAACTGTCATCCTGACGATTAGAAATGTCGGCTTGTGTGAAGTCAAAGGCTGCACGCGAAGATTGTTTGATCTCTCAGCGTTAGTAAGCACTCGTTGATAAACTTGATAAAGGGCTTAAAGTACAACAGTTCCTGTGATAAAAACCATGGAAAATGACGTGGACAGTGGATGATCTGAAAATTTAATTTGGCTTCAATATTTATGATAAATGGACGGCGATTAAAGACGACATCATCTTGTATATACAATAAATTCTCCTCCGGATCTGCACCCGTTGCTAGGTAGCTATCAGCCAAGTCACATGAAACAAACATGACTTCCTTTTAACAGATTTTTTTATAGCAGGGGTATTCCCTTGCGAAAACAATGTTTTGAGAAGGATTTAAAGAGAAATTTTGATAGATTAATTAGTTTGAATATGTTTTTAGTCCAAATATATCATTAAATCACCCAGTTTGTACGCGGGAAGTTATTTTTAACATCTATTTAAGATTTCAAAATAAATCAATTTGTTCCACCAGTCATCACCAATCAAAATAACTTAGCTCTTGATTTATAATTATAATCTAATAAATATCACGTTTGCTTCAATTTGATGACGACCTATTTTTTGTCTCGTTTAAATATAGCTTTTTCCAAACCCATCATTGGTGCCTCAAAGGCCAGTGATACTATAAATGCTATTGCATAAGAGGCCACCATGTTGCCAAAGTAATAGTAAACCTGAAGAGAAAGACAAAGCAAATAATCAGTTTGATCTTCAAATATGTAAAAAAAATTCTAGGGTACACTTTAGCTTTAATGTTATAATAACAAGTATTTAAAAATAACAATGGTTTCAATACTTGAATTTAACATGTGAACTCCATGTGCAAATACACATAAAAGTTGAAGCATCTAATCTTAAAAGAGTCTAGATAGGTACATAATCTTCATTGTTAACTGTTACCATGACTTGCCAAATTTGACTGCATCAGTAACTTTTTGGTCTCAAATATCAAAAATATTTTAATAAAACTTACCATACCAACATCATATAAAAATAATGGTTTTCTATTACTAAAATAAAACGAAAACATGACCAGTGGATGAACTAAATAGGCACAGTAAGATAGTCGACTCAATGGTATAAATCCTTTCCATGATAAAATAGTATTCACAAAACCTATAACAACAAACACAAAATATTACACAAATACGTACACTAAGGTAAAAGACCACATTTGTACATTATTAAAGTCCCATGTGTACTCTATGCAGTCAAAATGCTATTATTACCAATATTGATTTCAAAATATCATTTAATATAAATATTACATACTAGAAGAATGCCCGGCTTTGCTCGGGGGTCATAACCCCGAAACCGAAAGTGGTAGACTAATGCCACCTGACCTATGTTACTCCCCGGTCCGAGCTACCCCTATACCCAAAATTTCAGACTTGGGGCAGACCTAGTGTAGCCGCCAACTACGAACAGACAGACAGACAGACAAACGACAGTCACAAATATTAGTACAGATAGATAGATATTGATAGGAATTGTTATCTGTATAACTATATAAGATAAAACAAGCATGAGAGTGTAAAATGGTGCTCCATTAATCTGTATTAACGTGCATGATACCAGATGTATTTTAGATTACTTGCATGTTTCCACAATCATTTATTAGTTAAAACAATAGCCCTATATATATTTTTGAGTTAGCAAATCTATGGTGAAACCTTAAATCCTTGTCCTGTGCAACTATCTGAAACTCTGTGCCACTTACAGTTTTCATACAGTCCACATATTCCATGCTGTGTAGCTGTCTGGATAACCATGTCTATATATGTTTGCCAAATTTATAGTCAGAGAATGATATTCTTTAAATAAGTTAACCTCAGTTGCCAAGTAGTCATTTCAGAACATCCTAATACCTGTACTATTTATAATTTTCAGACACTGTAAATAGACGACCGGTATATTGTCACATTAATTCTTTTATTTAGTCTTTGGAGCCATAACCTTGTAGTTATACAAGATTTTGTGGTTTTCTCCTACCAAATGAAAATAGATTTGAACCGTTGATGTGATCAAAGATGTATTGAAATATGCATAACAGTCTGAATCCAAATTAATCAAGGCTGAATCAAAATTATTCAAGAGCCACGTTATACCATTCGGCATATTTGTCTGGTACACTACATTTTCTCTAAAGTTAGTAGTCAAAATGTATGAGTAAATAAATAAATACTACCTCCATAACCGGTAGTACATGCGATCACCACCCATGATACACATGCTCCCCATACAGTTCTATGTACAGTATTATAGAATGCACCAACATCTTTTGTTGCTACAGAACCATTGGCATAGTCATATAAACCATATACAATGGCTAGAGCAGATCCAGCAGCTATAAACCATATAATCATTGCTGTTATCTGAAAATACAGAAGCCCTCCAAAATGTTAATAGCCAGCATAAGTGACTTTGTTGTTGGGGGATATATAAGCAATGATTAACAACACTTATATCAAAAGCAATAATTGATAACACTTATATATGAAACAGTGATTAACAACACTTTTATATGGTTAAATTCACTTATATTAAGAAGCAATGATTAACAACACTCCCATAAGAAGCTCTAATTCAATAGGGAACATGGTATAGTCATATAAACCATATACCATGGCTAGAGCAGATGCAGTAGCTATAAACCATATTATAATTGCCATTATCTGAAATACAGAAGCTATACAAAATTTTATTAGCCAGCATAATTGACTTTCGTTGATGGTGGGCATATAAGCAGTGGCGGGTAACAGTATAAAGTGTTGGGGGGAGGGGGCCACAAGACTGTGAACATTTTTTAAAATTAGAGCATAGTGTCAATTTCATAAGCTAGTACATCACTCCAACTAACAAAAAGTCCCAAATTTACACGCTTCATTATAGCTACAGGGCCGGCGGAAGCAATTCTTGATTGGGGGGGCTTCCATCCTAGGTCCTTATAGGCGTGGGTCCAGGGGCCGCAATAACCTGCAGAAAAGAGTACTTGCGGCCAAATTATTTTATGAAAATAGGTGAAGATTTGAACTCTGTAGTAAAAATAAAGTTAAGTGTGGACGAACAGGGTCAATGAAAATCTACAACAATATAACAATATAAACATACCTTTCTTATTTTGATTTTTTGGGCTGTGATATAGAGGATATAACCAGCTGCTATACCAGCAATATATGGTCCCATTCGACAATATGGAGCATAATAATAATCATTCATATAAGCTGTAGTATCTCTGAAAAATCAAACACATTTAAAGTCCTACTTTCAGTTTGATATCTGTAATCATCTTATATCTATGAATTGTCAAAATTAACATGAGAAGTTTAATAAATATGCAATTGATCAGAAATCTATGGACTGTTATTATTCTGAACACATCTTGATTTATAAGATCACCCAATCTATATCTCTTATTCTTCTTTGAGCACCATTACCAATAGATCTACCCGATTAGGCCTGGTATAATGATAGTAGTAATGACTGAGTTTACTTTTATGTTGTAAAGCTAGGCTGTAAAAAGATTTCTACTTGTGCTCCATCTTGTATAGATTGTAATGATAGAGTAGGCCTAGGACCTTATTAAATAGTAGTACTGACTTGAGTTTACTTTATGTAATAGCTAGCGGTCAGTACTGTATTACTACTCTGGGGCAAATAGCCAGGTGGTAAAAAAGTTTGTACTTACGCTCCCTCCATCTGGTAAGTTGGACCTGGTGCTATATGTTCCAACCTGCTCACAAGACCAGTTGTCAACCAGATTGCAAACAGAAATCCGATCAAAACAATAGAGCCCCAAAACATTGACCTAGAAAATAAGATAAACAAGTTTGCTCAAGCATGCATTTATAAAAGGCTGATATTACAAATACATTTCTGTGAATATAATATTCAAATACCTATACTTGTGGATAGAATAAATTCTATGAAAAATTTTATGAAAAACCGCATTCTCATTGATTTTAAGTCAATACAGGGCCATAATTCAGTAAAAATCTAATAGAATCTAATGAAACGTAACTTGATCTACTACAAACAGCAATGTGCCAACCTTCAATCAAACACCTCAAGTTTAAAATAAAATAATTCATGAAAACATAATTTCTATTGTTTCTTAAGTCAAATCGAATGAAACTCAGCTATATACAGCAGTGTACCAAACCTACAATCAAATACCACACAGCTTAGCCTAAAATAATTCTGCAAAACAATAAGTGGAATCACAAAAAATATGTGAGCTTGATCTGTAACTTTACTCAATACAGCAGTGTACCAGATTTCAATTCACTGACAATTCTTATAATATCAGGAGTGGATTTTAGCTCATTCCTTTCTATTGCAAAATTTTCTCTGGAAGATGCCCTTTAGTAGCTTTTCTCGTTTAACAGATGACTCTCTACAGTACAGACGACCCCACTGGATTTAGAAAATAACTTACATGAAGAGAAGAACCAACATCAATGGACTCAAAACATAAAACTGCATGTCATTGGCCAAGTACCACGACCAACCAAAACACTGAAATATATACAGGCATAAAAAAATAAGTACTAAGACTATGTATAGTAAGGAAAACCTGGGGACAAGACACAAACTATACTGAAATTGCATGTATGTGAGTTTTATTATTTTAATAATAAAACTCACTAAAATGACAAAATACAGCATATTCCAATATATATGGCTCGACTTTAATTCTTAGATAACTCGATATTCAGTACCACTGTGATCATCAGTGAATATTCGCTTGGCTACTACAATCACTGATAGGGATGACATCGGTGCGGCTTAATGAGCTCCCAATATTAACCGTTTTCCTTCTGCAAATTAAATTCTAGAACATTTTTTTTAAGCATTAGAAAAATAAATAAAGGTATTTGAATTATATGTAAGTAAAAAATGTCCTATTTAGTGTAAATGGGTATGTAAAATGAGTAAATGCACCATTCTGCCCGGACCAGTAACACCTTATGTAAACAATTCACGCGCCATGATTGACGCCGCGTGGTGTGACGTTATGTCTTGAAAACAGTCATCTTTTACAGAGTAATTAGAAGACTTTCGTAAATCTCTGTGAAACAGATTGATTCAGTACCTCTTGCCTGGTTCACTACTACTAGGGGTGTTACATCCACTTCCATCTAGGCTGAGAGAGCAGGCTATAGTTCATCCATCAGTGTTTTCTTTTCTTCGCAATTTATAATATTATTTAGTAAGAATGTGTTTTATAAAGCAAAGATCTGGATTGTCAACTTACTTGATGGTCATTTTTAACCAAGTTGTTTATATAAAGTAAATTAGTCCACCATGTATCACGACATTCATTTAGTTCAAACCCTTTTTGTGGCCATAATGGACCATCACCAATATAACGGAGTAAACAAACATCTATCATTAACACCATCATATAGACTGGAGTTAATCTATTAATATAAATAAACATCTATCATTAAAGGAGCAAAGTCGCTAATATTTGGGACCTAGAAATTGACACAAATGGGTCGCAACGCATCAATTATGTAATATGCATGTATATAAATTGATTTACATTCAATTGTTTCTGTTTTTACTGTAATTTCGAATCAGTTAGGTTCCGCGAAATACGCCAGTATTCTCAATCATATTTCAATCTCTAGCGTCTGGTTATTCCAGTCTACGCCGATAGTATTTATTGGGCATGCTCTCCAGATAAGAATATGATGTCACCGTTTGACATGACTTGTGGAATATGCCTAGCCTCGTTTTTCGAGTCCCTTATTACAAATAGCGCTGAAACGCATAATGGTACACGATTCGTGTACTAATTGTAAAATGTTTATTTTGTCTTTAAATATTGGATATCAGAAGGCCAACTTTTCCCGGTAGGATCACAACATCAATGGTTGATTTAAACCGACAAATAAATTGTGTTTTCAATGTCGAAGATTTTGGATGATATTGAGTTAGAGACTTAACTTCTTTAATACAATCATATAGACTGCAATTAACAAATTAGTAAATATCACAATGTATAGTCATCTTCAGTGAAATATATATGAATGACAATGATTATATGTCTGTCAAATTTTAAAGAGGACATCACAGAAATTAATCTTTTTATCATTTTTTTGATTCTTTCCTAAAACATATTTGCAGAATTTTATAGAATTTAAATTTTATCAAAGATTTATGATATGGAACTTACCTCCAAAATCTATGAAAATAAAACATAAACCAATTAACTCTTCCATTATTTTTTTTCATCTCAGTTAAAACAACATAAGCCACCAACAAACCACTAAATTATACAAATAAATGAATTTTAATTTAATAATCGTGTTTCATAAAAATATATATGCACACTATATGTAAATTCCAAAAACTAAGTTATTTCTATGATGATTATTGATCAAGAAAATAAACAAAGCATTGCCAGACATTAACCAATGTCCATGTGCAGCGTTCTGCACATGATGTTGATCAGTCAAAGCAGTAATTACTCTATTGCAAGCTGTATAAAGGCTTTTTTGTAACAGAAGCAATTACTTCATTTAAAATCGATGAGGGGCTCTTAATTTCTGAATGACTAGCATAAATATAGTTTGAGAAAGGGGCTATAAGATAGGTTGCCAGGCAACAAAACATACGCCCACATTTATTCTTTTGTAGGTAATTGGGAGCATTTACAAGACAATTTCATACTAATCAGGTTATAATTTTTGTTGTTTGAGGGTTTGGAAGTAATTTACAGAAAATTTTGAAATGCTTTTTCATTTTACTAATTTAAATACTGCATATAAATTTCATACAGATTGGATGATAAGTTTTGTCATTCGAACGTTCACAAAGTAAAACAAGGGCCATACTAGAAATAATTGATGGAAATAGCTGAAATTCAATAGACCTCTGTTTCACATATTTAAATGATGCCACGGCCGAAAATAAGAAAACTGTGCTCTGAAAACAATGGTGTAGTGCTCTCAAAAAGTGTAAGGTAGCGATGACATCCTGCCCCCTAATGAGTGTTTCCTCTTGTGGTGGTCAGTTAACTTGTAGAGATCAGATCAGATCAGCTGGCGCTCGATCGACTCTCGGATGAAATTATTGAAATTAAATAGGCTTCTTCATCTCACTAATGTCAACAACATACATCAATTTTAAAACAATCGGATCATAACTTTTGGCGTTAGAGGCTCTACAAAGAAATTGTGGACAGACGGACGGACGGACGGACGGGGGTGACAGCAATATATGTCGACATTTCCATGTGGGGCGTAAAAAAATAAATCTTCATTCTTAATTTCAGAGAGCTTCCTCCTTATGACAACAGATGAACAATTTCAGCAAGTATGAAAAAAAGAATCTCACAAACTCTGATTTACTAGAATTGTGATCTGACAGACAGACAGGGGTGATGACAATATAGCCCAAAGACATAAGGTGGGCCTATCAAAATGACTGATCCCCAAAAGTGATGTCCCAACCCACATCCAAGGTGCTAAACAATTGATACCCAGGAAGGAATGACATATCAAATGCATACTAAGTTGTACGTATTGTTATAACTTATTTGAAATAGACTTACCTTAATGTAAAGAAAGAATCAACTGATACCAGAGCATTAATTATAGCAGAAAATGACTGTCTTGAAAAACTTGTCAACATATACGGATATAGGTTATCTTAAAAAAAACAATACATATGGTACTATAGTAAGTACAAAAGAGAAATTTCTTTTGGCTCAACTAAAATTTTAAACAAATTTCAATCTCTTGTTACTAATCTTTTGAGTGAAATATGCAATTCATATTGGCCTGCTTTTCTGCTCCATCCGGGGTGCTACAGCCTACTCTTATTCTGAATTTGAGCTGTCAAGAGTTCTTTCACATAAACACCAAAGTGAACACAGGACCTTGATCAATCCTATTTACCATCAAAGCAACATATCTACCAAATTTGGTTGGAATCCATTGAGTGGTTTAGGACAAGAACTGGTTAGGAAGAGGACATATTGAATAAATCTGAATACCTAAACAATGTACCATCAAGTGGCTGATATCAGTCAAATGGTTTAGGAACAGAAGTTAATTATGTAATAGATGAACAGAAGACAGTAAATATGAAATGAAACCCATGACTGAACCAATGATCCAAAATGGAATTTGTATTTTTGAAATAATGTTTCTGAAATATATTCTCACTTTTAACATGAACCTGTATTTCAGAGAGAGAGAGAGAGAAATGGGGTTTAATGTCCACTCGACACAAACTAGGTCATTTCGGGACTAACATATGGTTTAATTTTATTTACATAATTCGCTTGCGCGTAGGGGTCTTTAGCAGTGGGAGGAAACCGGGGGACCTGGAGAAAACCCACGAGGTTAGACAGGCGACCCTACTCCTTGTCACGTACATCCGGGGATTCGAAACCACGCCAGTCGACTCAATGACAGACTTTATGATAGAGCGCGTGCACGCTAACCATTCAGCCATCCAACACCCCACCTGTATTTCATGTTGCGTATTCTTATAAATATATATGTAAAATATGTATATTTTTTTTTATTCTATGTTCCTTATGGTATGTATATGAATTGTATGCAGCCTGCAATGGGTGTTAATAAATAAAATAAAACAATAAAATCTTATCTTATCTTATCTACTAAAAGTTGTCCCATAACAAATTTTGAACAAACCTGTAAGATACACTAGAGCAAAGGCAAAAGTATGTCCCAGTATCACCCATGACATGCTGAGAAAACGAATTCCATGTACTGCTCTTAAGGAATCTTTGGGTTGATTAGTGTCCAGTATTTTGGCACCATTAGTATAAACAGAGAAAGCCAGGATGATTTTAGCTAAAGTATCTAAAAAAAACATAAACTACATATTACCATGTACATGTAGGATCAAACTTGCTATTTCTTTAATGAAATGAAATTGGTTTTAAAGGTTCTAAACCTCTAACTCAATAACTCTCACTAAACCAGGCGCTTGTCCGACAACATTATTTTGTACTACGGGCACAAACAAATAAACTGTGTGCCTTCTATTTGTCATGAATGAGCCGAACTCAATTCCAGATGTTACGTCAAAATTAGAAAAAATTGTATGTAGGCTGTGGACTTTTCAATATGCTGCCAGCTCTATTGTCATAAAAATGACCAAGAGCCTGGTTTGTGGGAGCGGGTCACATATTTTTCATATTCTCAATTAAAAACATAAATTAAAATTCAATATTGATCCATTTCAATCAATATTGATTTTGTTATCTTGCTGTGAAAAATATGGGATCCTAAGATCTAAGACACAAGGGACATTTTATGGTTTGGCTACTATTTATAATGAACAAAGAAAAACATATCCCACAAGACAGTGTGGAAGTAATTAGTAGTGGCTGATTCACAAAAGACAAAAAAATAATTAATAATAATGTGCAGCATCGACTAAGCAGACGTAAACAACTGCCTTCAATTTGTACTTTTCAAGGATTTTACCGAACATAATTGATAAGAAATTACAAATACTGTTTTAAGAATTGAAATTAAATCACTTTATATACGTTCAAATTACATTAATATGTGCTTCTAGTACCATTTTCGACTTTTTTAAGGTTCCAAAGAATAGAGCCATTTAACATCTTACTATTTTGCCTGGACAGCCACATTATGGTTAACTCTTATTTTGATCTTTAATATGTGCTGCCACAGGTTCTCATCTTTTATCTTATCCAAACAAAACTAGATACCCTTCACTGTCAGGCCCTGCATACTACACCAGGCAGAAAAATTGTGAGGAAATTTCTAATTAGAAAACATCCAATGTAAATTCTTGCTCAAACAATGTCAAATCAAAATTTTTTTTTTACTATCCAATGAAGATCTCCAAACCACTTAAGTGAATATAGTGGGCCCTTATGAAATTTTTTTCAGCCAGCCAGTCAGAGAGAGAGAGAGCCTTGATGTCTAGTATAATAGCCTTTGGAGTCTTGGACACAAAGCTTTATTCATTAAAATAAATTAAAAACACCATAACTTAAATTACCTTGTTCAGTTTGTGTATTTTCATTGTTTTTTACTATGTGATCTGCTGTTGAATTAGTAACATTATCTTCTGATACAGAAGAATTGTTTAACAAAGCACTTGATTCATCTAAGCTGGTTTTGTTTGTACTTGAATATTTATTTTTACTGATAAAGGTAGGTATTTTCATATTAGGGTCTGACTTAATAAAACGTAGATATAAGTCATAACATGTTCCAATTATCAGGAAAAATAGAAAAATTGAAAGAATGCATCTGTAATAGAAATAGAATTATATGTATGTTTCCCATTGTTCATATCATGAATATACCCTACATGGAGTACTACTGTTTATAAATGTTATCCTTGTGACCCTGCCTTATTATTGATCATTTACATGTACAAGCACATCAACATTAATAATCTTTATGTCAATCTTCAGATGATAATTTTGGCAGCCAAAGTGAAATAATCATCTGGCAGCAATAGATTTCTTCTCCTAACGAACATCAATTTTGCATATAAATTTCAGGTCATTTTGATGATAATTTTAATAAAGCGTCTACAGCAATGATTGTAGAAAGAAAATATATTAATGTTTGGGAAATGTGAACTCAAGATGTTTTCTACCGCAAAATTAATCTTGTTTTGAAAAGTTTTTATAATGACTCACATTGCAGCAGTAGCTTTACTGTCAAAAGGTAGATTGTTTTCCTGGCACTTGACACCTTGCATTGAAAATGATGTAACATTGAATCTCATTAGTACTGTAATCAAAAAGGTAATGTAATAAATGTAACAACAGCAATAATGAATGAAAATGAAATTGTGAGATTTTCTTTTTAAAAAATACTGGTTAAACTTAAAGATGAATTATGTAAGAGCTAAATCTGCCTAATGCAGATCTTCCGTTTAGCCTCAAATATTATATAAATCGTTAATTAGACATTTATTCACAGGTCAAGGCAATAATCAACTCTCTAGATCATTGGATGGTTTTTATTTTTAAGTTAATAATTTAAAAAACAAATGGATAATCAAGACTTTGTTTATTACCATTACAACGGTAGCAATGACAACCAAGACTCGTTATTCTTCCAGCGGCCATGATTGAAATTTTCGATGTATTCCCTTTTCATCATCTATTTTCTAACTATGATAATGAATACTGTCAGCTTGCATCTTTAAGTTTGTACTTAAAATTTCAAACATTAAAATGAAACTGAAATTACTTATTTTTGAAGAGTATATTTAAATGTAAATATAAATTATTTGACTTACATCCATTTATTAGTAATTGTATATCTGTATTACTACATGTATCTGGTATACACATTCCTAGCATTGGCACAGGTGTAGGTATAGTCCCAGGTGCTGCTGGCTTTGTATTCTGAAAACAAAAATATTGCATCAAAAACAAAGACAACATTCTCTCCACAAACATTCCTAGTCCTTCTGCAGTATTTGGATCATTTTTGCCAGTCAATGCAATCACAATTCTACCATGATCCGTAGGATAATTTAGTGTAAAAATGTGGCACAGTGGGTATAGACCACACAGTAATGGGGTTTATCTCGGGTTGCCAAGTATAATGTCCTCTGGAATTTCCAGCAAGGTTTCCCTTGTCAGGGGTGCAGGATGTCTACTTGTTTGGAAGGTTTGAAAAACCAAAGTACAAATTGATAGTGCAAGTACAAAACCCCTTGGCAATTAAAATTCAAAAGAAGACCAGGCAAAATTTCCCTCAAGCATACTGCATGACATATGATTGTCCACATTTGCTGAGTTTGTGCAATAAAGTAGGACACTAAACCACATTTCATCAGATTTCAGTGTACCGGTTGATATAGATCTTAGAGCATTGGTTCTCCTTATCAGTTTTGTAAGACCACACTATAAAGTGTCTAGTTGCTGGGATGGTACAAAAAAAACAAGAACCTGTGTACAATTGGCAGTGCAGGTAAAAGATCCCTTGGTAGTTGGAATCCCAAATAACAGTAGAATAGTAGGTCGCAGCACTGCTGTCTGAGATAAACATAAAGTGCTCTGAGAAATGAAAAAAATTTCCAATGGTTTGGATTTGTAACAGCTATATTATATAGGTCTAAGAACTCAGACATTAGAAGCATTTTTTTCAGAATTGTAATAGTAATTGTTTAGTAATTAAAACAAAATATAAATTTATGGTACCGGTTTTATATACGTCATAAGAATTTATCTCAAAACTGTAATTGTATGTCAATCAATTATAACAACAAAATAAATAATAAATTTATGGTACCGGTTTTGCTAAAGAACCAGAACAATATTTTCCTTTAAAACCTCCAGCATATTCTGTCTTGTTTATAGCCACAACAGCCACACATTCTTCATAATCTCCCAGCCAGTTGGTGGCACCACGTAATATTCCAGCATCAGGTTTACCAAATGCATCTAACACTACAAATAATACAAAAATTATGTAAATATTTTGTACATGAACACATCACACAAAATGAATGAATCTTGTAATAGTTTAAAGAATCTACTGGGGGGCAGGTAGGTGTACCTTGAAAGCCCCATGAGGTTAGGGAAGAGGCAACTCTACCCCTGATAATTAACATTAACCCCGCAATGAATTATTAGATGGAGCGAGTCAGATGCGGGTGACATCAAATTTAACACAGGCTATCTATGACCTCATATATCAATAAACATCTTTAGCTATCTATCTCATATCAATGGACAAGCTTCAGAAGCTTAATCATGCCACTTTGTTCCCATGAAAACAGAAAATATCTTACTCTGTAAAGCCCAATTTTCCCTGGCCAACATGCTACTCAACATAAATTGTGTATCATTTTGACATTGTGGTGAAACTGTGACGCCAATGTCTTGTATAACTTTTTCAGTAATAGCTAACTGTGGTAACTCTTCATATAATCTTGAATTGGCTAGTAATTGTTCGATTACAAGCGAGCCTCTTCTAATCTCTGAACTAAACAAATCATTTTCATCTGTGAAGTATGGCTGTGAAGAAGCATGTCTACTGGCAATATGCCGCATCTTTTCCCCCGCTGTACGGAGAATACCGTTGTAATTAATTTGCTCATTATGGCCTCTTGATACACATATCAACATTAATCCACATAAAATCAGTTTCTGTTGATACATCTTGTTGGTCTAAACAAGTGACTAAACTAATCGTTATCAATGTCCCTATCAAACACCGCTTCGATAGAGTTGATCATTAATCTATGACTTAGCATTCTATTTATACATCTTAGACAAAATCAAATTAAAGGGACAATACATTCAATATATTTTTAAAAGAAATGAAAATGAAATGGGGTTTAATGTCATGGTTTTCTACTCTGACTGGGCAAATGAAGACAGGGATATGCCCTACAGTATGCTATGAGGGAAATTTTGCCAGGGCAGCTGCAGTATGACCTACTCTTTTATATCGAACTCCAACTGCCAAGGGATCTTTTACGTGCAAGCCAATGTATACATGGGACCTCGGTTTTTCATCCCATCCCTACAACTAGACAGCTATATCCTTCTCAGGTCCTGCAACAATGTCGTAAAATTTTTAAAAGGATGTAGTCTCGGTCACCCAGAACCTCATAGTCTTCAATGTATTTCTGGAAGATGTTGCTTTGAAAATCTATATCCAAAATACACATTTATAAACATTAATTGGCTAATATTAAAACTGTGCTTTGTTCTTTTTTTATGCTTAGTCTTTCAGATGGGATGAAATAATGAGGTCCAGTGTACACTTGCATGCACCTAAAAGATCCCTTAGACAGTTGAAATTTGATATAAGAGTAGTCTGAAGGCTAGCTGGCAAAATTTCCCTCATAGCACACTATGGCATATGCCTGTCTTCCCCCAGACTGAGATGACTACTTTTAGAATTATATTGTAATGTGACCCTATATGGTAGTCAAATAAATAAAAACATTACATAGGACAGGGACTTATATTGTGATATGACCTAATATGGTAGTTTGATTAAATAAACATACAGGTGATAAGGCCTATGTATAATTGTCATGTGATCACTATTGGTTTATTATCTGCAGTATACAAAAAATATACAAGTGGGTATCTGTCTGTATTTAGAATATTAGTATGGGTTCAATAAATGACTTATTAAAGTACTAATCAAAGAAAATGATATAGCGCCTGTCTTCTTGACTCTCTTATCAACATAATTAATTAAAGTATTCAATAATGGAACTACAACAACAATTAATATATTGTAAATAATAAAAAAAAATTGTTTACTATAATTTAAAAAAAACATATCCAGAGTAAATAAAGCCTTTATAAAAATACTTTTATAAAAACAATTTGTCCAGTAGGCCTACAATTAAAATGAGATACACACTAATTATTTTCATTAAGTGTTTATTGCATGATTCTGATTTAAGAAATATCACACTTGCTTCTCATATATTGGTTCTTTATTGGGCATGGCTCTGTCCTGGGGGTCGGGTATTCACCAAAATCAATAGTTGACGCCCTTAGGCTGTAAATGATACACACAAAAATTGGGCATGGCTCTGCCCCTTGGGTTCGGGACATGCAGTTGTCGTCCTTCTATAAGAAATACATATCCCAAGTTCAAAGACGATCCATTAAGAATCATGGCCTGTAGGCAACACACAAGACACAAAGTAAAATGATCGTGGCTCTGCCCCTGGGGGTTGGGCAATCACCAAAAAAACATTAGGGGTCATCCTTAGGGTATAAGGAATAGGCATGCAAAGTTTCAAAAAGATCTGTTAAGAATTGCGGCCTGTAGGAGAAACAAGACACACAAACATTGGGCGTGGCTTTGTCCCAGTGGGTCGGGCATGCACCAAAAATAATAGAGGTCAGCCTTATGGTATATAAGGAATAAGTATAAAAAAGTTTTCAAGACGATCGATTAAGCATTGCGGGCTGTAAGTGACACACAGACACACAAAAAGGAAATGGGTGTGGCTCTGCCCCTGGGGATTGGGCATTCACCACAAACAATAGGGATGTTCCTAAGGATAGAAAGAATAACTATGCAAAGTTTCAAGGTGATACATTAAGAAATCCGGTCTGTAGATGACAAACAAATAAATACAAGAAATGGGTGTGGCATTGTCACTGGGGAGGGGAACAGAGCAATAGGGATCATCCTTAGGGTACAAGGAATTCATATGAACATTTTTTTCAAGACAATCGTTTAAGAATTGTGGCCTGTAGGCAACAAACATACACACAAAAGAAAATGAGAATGGCTCTGCCCCAGGGGGTAGGGCATGTACCCCAAACAATATGGATGTTCCTTAGGGTACAGAGAATAAGTATGCAAAGTTTCAAGATGATACGTTAAGAAATGCAGTCTGTAGACGACAAACAAACAAATACAAGAAATGGGTGTGGCTCTGCCCCTGGGAAGCAATAAGGATCATCCTTAGGGTATAAGGAATAAGTATGTAAAGTTTCAAGATGATCACTTAAGAATTGTGGCCTGTAGGTGACCCACATACATACATACACACACACACCCACACAGAATGAATGTGGATGCATAAAAATGATAAAATAGCATATGACCTAGACATTAGTCATAAATGCATCAATGAATCAAATTGTTTACTTTACTCCTTATGTCAACACTTTGGTGACAGTAGTGTCACAGTGAGATTTCGAGGTCGAGGCTGTATAGTTGTAGAAAAAATTATAGTGAGATGCTCCAGCCTCTGACCCATTAAAAAAATTAAAATATAAAATATTAAAACACCTAATCCCAGGGGCGGATCCAGGAATTTTTGCAGGGGGTTTACCTGGTTCCTGAGACAAAGTATCTTGCCCCCCCCCTCCCGCATGATCTCTATCATCATTTTGGCGTATATACATACGAAATGAAATGAAATGGGGTTTAACGTCCTACTGTTCTGCTCCTATACTGGGCTAATAAAGACGGGCATATGCTATACAGTGTGCTACGAGGGAAATTATGCCCGGGCAGCGGCACCATCGCCTACTCTTATATCGAATTCCAACTGCCAAGGGATCTTTTACGTGCATTCCAATGTTTACACGGGACCTCGGTTTTTCGTCTCACCCGAAGGACTAGACAGCTGTCCTTGTCAGGCCCTCCGTCCTGCATCACTGACAAGGGGGAACCACGCTGGAAAATCGGGATAAACTTTCTCGGCTAATGCAGGGATCGAACACCCGACCTCCAGGCTAGCGAGCCAGCGCCTTACCCGCCTAGCCAGTATATACATACACATTGAGCTTTTTAAACAGAGAAATTCAACACCTCGTTTGACGTCAATTTTTATTATGAATTAATACAATGACATTGTGATTCAGTTTCATGGATACAAAGCATTAATTGTGATATCACATAATGTCTATATCATTATCTCGTGCTTTGAGTGCCCATCCTGTTCCACATCTGAAACCCCCCCCTCTTGATCCGCCCCTGAATCCAGAAAGTAAAACTTGATATGGATCACCTGATGTAGGATCCCAGGGTTTATTAGAAGCGCCACTAGTTCTCAAAACTGGAGACCGATTCCAAGAAAAGGGGCCCTTTGATTTCAGTGCAAGATCCTGTGGCAAAGAGCGATCCAATCTTTCACCAATGCTGTCATGCATTGGGCCAAATTTGAATTCTATGATTTGTGCTCTTTTTTGATGCACTTGTATTGCTGTGAATTTGGGCTCTGGATATTTCTTAACTGTCCCTATATTATAATGCATGCCGATATAAAACATGTCCTAATGTGTACTGGACTTGGGATTTACTTTTATATCACACTGACTATCTGTAGCGGAGAGAATTCCATATCCGTTCTTGTGCAAATCAAGACAATTTAATTACAAAAAAATCTTGAGTGTGAATCTAGCACAAGTGTAAAAATTCACTTTGAATATTTAAAAGAAACTGGGCAATATAGGATATGATGAATAAGAAGACTATAATATTTTAGATGTATTTATTATAATACAGATAAGAATCTTAAAGAAACATACATCATATAGATAAATCCATACACATCTTTATAAATTATGGTTAATTTTTTTATAATATGGTGATATTTTATATAAATCTTCATACATTGATATCAATAAGACAGTCAAATATTTTTAAATCAAATTATAGCCGAACATTCACTGAGGAAAGTAATTAATTGTGCTAATTACTCGAAATATGAAAATTTATCAAAATTAGAAAGTTGAATAACAGTAAAATCTCATAATTAGATTATTTATGATTTTACATACATGTAAATGTAAAAGAAATATTAGAATAATCTATACATTGTTCAGCTAATTAGTAAAAAGTGAACAGATTCACATTGTAGCCATAGGCAAAAGAGTAATTTTATTTGAACCTGGTATCCTATACTAGTATACATCATGTTTATAATAGAAATATACAATTTCTACTTCAAACTGATCCAAACACACAATTACTCAAAGATTTTCTCCTATTATCAAATCTACTCTTCGGCTACTATATAAACTTCTGACATCAGATTTTGAGTATTATTAGAAATGTATATCTAAGTTTGTAAAGTGTGTACACTCCTACATCTGGAGGTATATCTTTGTGCTGGTATTTTACCCAATATATTTTGCACTGTAAATTATACATTGTTTACTGAGTAGACACAGCCAGTAGATGTTTTAGATTTTATTTCAGAAGATGTATCAAGCAAAATTAAGTCATATATTTTGACTAAATGTTAATTTCATTATTGACAAGTCTTCTAAAGAGTTTTTTGGCCAGAATCTATTTTTATTTTATTGTATCGAATAAAGCCAGCTTTAATTGTATGATTTTATATGGAAGGTTGAACAAGTCACTGAAATACAATAATTTTAGGGCTGTTTTGTCATCACATACCTGTGCGATTTTTGGGATTGTGGTCAGTCATGCAGCCATTTTAGATCAGATATGGAATTTGCTATTTTTAGTCATTTTATCCATAATCAGCAGTTTCCATTTATTATTCTGGTATTATTCCACAGTATTTTCATAGATCTTTACAGAAATTTGTGATAGTATAAAATAATTATGTTGATAGCTCATGGAATTTCTGCTGCACACAATCGAATTGCCATAGTTTGTGGCCGCCAAAACAATATCTAGTTATTTTCTCTAAGACAATAAAATGTATACATACATGAATACATGTACATGTATATACACAAGAAAAGATAAATATATTTATATATATATTAACAGTAAATAAATTATATATAATACACAACAAAACTATGACATGTTCTTCATTAACAAGGTGAGAATAAACACAACGAAAATAACACCACACACTCTTTGTGTTTTGTACTATATATAAATATGTGTGCTTATAATTATACTCTCTCTCACTCATTGACAACAAACACTGAGTACATTTTTAGCTTGTTTATATTGGAAATATCCATGAATACACATTAAATAATACTTACAGAAATAATTTACCAATATATTCAATGCAGAAATGTTTTTGTGATGTTAATGATACAACCACTGGTACAGAAGGACACAAGAGATCAAAACTCTTTAATATAGAATGATATAAATTTATTAATAAAAACTTTCAATAATTTAAATAACATGCCACATCTGAATAACTTATATGTATGTTACATCAATTAAGCAAATATATGGATAGATATAATTCACACTAATAGTGATTAAAATATTCTATTGTAAAAGAGTGAGGTAGAAAAAACTCTTCACATAAATCAAAGTTATAGTTCTTATAATTTTTAGTGTAATTTACACTTGTATGTATTTACATGTACCAGTACTGTATGAGCGTGGCAAAATCCGTTGAATGAGCAATGTCCATTACCAAAGCTACTGACAAAATATAAAAGGCTTGAACCAAGTCCAAATTCAATCCATATTTGAAAACAGAAAAAAATGATTGACAAAAGTAATCGGAAAATCAAATTCAATAGAGTTCTTCCTTTAACAATGTTGCCTTTTGAAAGCAATCTTTTAAAAATACTACCCTATTGCATGCCATATGTATAACAAGTTACTTAGACAGGAGGTATATGTAATGACAATATGTCCACATTAAATAAAAAAAATAGAAAGAAATGAACAAAAATGATTTTGTACAAATAAATTGAACTGCCATTATTTTACTCAATAATATCCATACATCAACTATAAAAAGCTATCATGTAAACATAAATAATATGGTAGTTATAAAAAAATAAATTACAGTACTCTGTACTCTAGAACTGTATTAATCTTAACATATATTTAACACAATGGTCCACTGCTAAGTTTTGTTTGGTAATGGTAGTCTTGATCGCCACAGATCATATTGTCATTGCTTTGACTGAAATAAATATTGGTCTATGCAAAATAGTGTCTGACTCAATATGGTCTATTAAATACTTTGCCAAGATTTGTTTGGTAATGGTAGTCTTGATCATCACAGACCATATTGTCATTGCTTTGACTGAAATAATATTGGTCTGGGCAAAATAGATATATAGCTATGTAAGATAAAGAGAAACTGTTCAAATATTCACAATGTTTAAATATAAACCCGTTCATAATATTTATGCCAACTTTTAATAAAACTATTCAGTTAAACTCTCAAAATTAAGCCATTCAGAAATTTAGAATAATAGTTGATTTGTGATTAAATACTGTTCACTGGAATAGCCATACTAAAATGTAATTATAATATATAACAAGCCAACAATGAGGCTGATGTCCCCCGCCGAAATCCTCAAATAAATAGATGACACATATTAATTAATCGCACATTTATTTTTTTCAAAAGTATCAAACAATCAAACTGATTATTAACTATACACTAAGTTTCATCACTCTCTATCAGATAGAATCAAAGTTATCTTGTCCCAAAGCATCAACCAATGAAACTGCTTAGCTCAGCTTAGCTTTAGCTCGAAATGTTAATCATTGAACTCAGTCAAGACATTCACTTAATGAACATCTACATCAAGTTTAAACATTCTACCTCAATTAAAATTAAAAACAGAGTTGTTATATTCCAAAGTCTTGACCAATCAAATTGCTGATCGTTCCTTAGTCAAGGTAATTATCAATCTGGATGACAGACCCACCCTAGCTACCATTTAATTTTCGTACGTTAGTTACGTACGGGTAATGATATAATGAATCAATACTCAGAGTTTCATCATTCTCCCTTAATTATAACCAAAGTTATCGTGCCCCAAAGCATCAACCATTTGACGAACTCATTTGAATAGTCCCCTGCTTTCTTTGAAAGGCGGGGACAAAAAGGTAATCTTGTTTTACTTTACAACTCAACCAAACATAAAGAAGCAATAAACTTAGGAAAGTTGTAATAATTTTTTGGTCATTAATCAATATATACCCTTAAAAAAAAGAAATGCACAGCCCATTTTTCATCATATTTTAATTTGAACGGGATCGTTGTTTCCATAAATCTTACTTGTTTTTAATGTCATAATGTAATGATAAAAGAAATTCATTATTGGTTTTAAATGTAGAGTCATTAATTATGACGGGTCATACTTTTTGTGGAAATTTGTTTTCACTTGATTGCACCAAGACACACAAGTTTAACAACTTCGCAAGCTTTTTGCATAAAACCCCTAAGGCCTTTAAAATTCTGGGGTTCTCGGTTTCAAAATCAGTTGCACATGTAAACACCCAATGAGCCAAGTGATGCCACATCTGAACGAAGACCAATGCAACAACGTTATCGGTCGGTTACAAGCAGGTGAATCCCAGACAGATGTAGCCAGGCTGTTGAATGTTTCCCAGGGTACAATTTCTCGCCTTTGGGATAGGTACTGACAGCAAAGTTCAACACGTGACCACCCAAGCTCAGGCCAAACAAGAGTGACCCCACCTGCCCAGGATTGTCACGTGCGGTTTCGTCATTTGAGGAAATGGTTAACAACAGCAACCTCTACTGCAGTAGCAATTCCTGGACGGCGTAGGATCTGAGTCCACGTGAAACCGGATTACTAGCTAGACGTCCCGTTAAAGAGTTGTTTTAAAATACGCTGACACCATCAAATCCGACTTTAGCGGGTTCAGACACACAGTGTATGGCCACATCAACGCTGGAGAACAGTTTGGTTCAGCGACAAGTCGCGGTTCCTGTTGCAACGAGGTGATGGTAGAGCGGGGGTATAAGATAAAAATAAAACAGCAATGTTAAATGACAAAAACATGAGAAAAACATTTACCGTAATTAGGTATTTGGTCAAATTTTGTAAAAAATTCCTAAGAAAGCAAAATGCTGTAAATACAGGTTAACTTAAGTCTATACATCATCAGATGGGCCTATAATTTCAATTTTCAGAGTATTTCTCGCACATGCATGTACGATGGGTTGTAGAAGTCAATAACACTGCCTTTATGTAAAAACATCTATATAATATAAATGATTATTGTTACTGTAATATAAGTTTTATATAATTCCAATAACATGTAAAAACAGCACCACAAGAAAAATAAATATCATTATAATCACAAACATTTACATATAAATATTATGTAGATAAATAATAAATGTATTAAAAGAAATGGTATTCATAAAATGATGGTCGCCATTTAGTTGTACCTGGACCCAAGTCCAAATTTTACCATTACCATATATTGAGTACATGTTTTACTAATATCCTAGTCATTATTAATCATTAGCAAATCATAATCAACCATTAACTAAACTTCATTAACTAAACTTCTCTTAACGCTTTCACAGTTCATCATTGATTACTGATTATGTTCATTCCTATGAACCTGGGTAAGTTTTAGGCAATTTTTTAAATTTAAAATCAAAATTGACTTTATTTAATATTTGTTCCATCAACTTCTCGGTTAGATCATACCAATTTGAATTTTGTTCTTCAAAGACATCTAACAAACAATGTGCATCCTATTTCTTCAGGAAAAAAAATAATTTAACGAGACGCAACAAGTGGCTATGTTTAACAAGGCCCTGAACAACTAAAAATTAAATTCCAAAAGTCTTATGAGAATTGGAAACATGGCAAATAAACCAGAATTTAAATGTGGCTGTTTTACATCTGAAATAGAGATTATTTTAAAGATGGGATTTCATTGGTAGGTTTAATCTGTCAGACTTTTCAAGAATATATATTACGGTAGTGTTGCAGAGAATCTACAAGAACATTAATCAATCAAGCAACATAAAAATTATCCAAAGCAAAAATATAACCATCACAGACAAAATTTGAAAAATATTTTTAAATTACACAACAATTGAAACTGTCACTTGTAACAAAAGTCGACATTTCTACGATATTCCCAGTTTTTCAATCAGATACATGTGTAGTACATAAACAATTTTTTTTTCTATCACTTAATTTCTTTGTATCACTCGCTATATTCCATAGTCTTGATAAATTCAACAGCTGATGAGAATTGGGACCACCAATAACTCTCTTCACCAGCTAATCGGTTATCATAAAAACTTTGCACATACTGTATAGTAGATAGGAGACAGGGAGGGTTAGCTCGAATAATGACATAGATTAAAACAGGAATAAAATCGTCTGCAGCTGGCACCGATTTTTCATTAGCCATACTTAATAAGTTCATAATGGTTGTAGAACATCGTAACACACATCCAAGTTTATCCTTTGGCGTCTGCAAATGCAGAAATGTCGTTATTATGCATGTGTTCAGAAAAAAATGAAAACAATACATGAATAGATGAATGAGTTTTAACATACACCGGTACCCTATAAACATGTATTTGGCCATGTTCCTGAAACAATGACTGTGAGTTTTACAACATCTGGATGTTGCTAGATTGATTTACTATTCCCGAACTTATAGCTTTGATATCCCCCTTTACTGCAGACATGTGAACAGTAGTGTCCAATCAGAGGGTTGTGACTCAAACACGCTCAAATCAAACATAGCGACCTCCACGGAAACCTTGACATTGAACGAACCTTGAACTTAGCAACTCAATTGTCACGGTTAAGACATTTTAGCTGAAAAGCGCAAGACTTGGTATTCACGATTATACACAATCAAAATTAGAGCCGAAATATGCAATGCAGGTTATTACGTGAAGGCCTTAATAAGATGTACAGAGTGAAAGAGAGATTAAGCCTTCTATTGAAGATGGTATTTGACAGATTCTACATGCACACAAACTTAACTTTGATTAAAGCAACAATTTGAAATAATCGTCTTATTTTCAATTTTCTGAGTACTGGTAATGTTGGAAATGAGGAACTTGTGATTACTTCTTTCCATATTTTAAATTTTACACAAGAAATGCACACATTTCTATGATGTAATAAAAGCACAACACTGTCCATCATAATATGTTATTTATGTATTTGTTTTATTTATAAGAATATTATGAGAGAAAACAACTTGCCTTATATGCATTAATCATAAATATTTCCCTTTGTGCTGCTGGCCATGGGCATTCAAAATGATACATTCTAGGTATACACAAATCACGATGTGTAGGTTTTATATTCTGACTTAAGGTTTTTATATGTTGCTGAAAAACTCTGAAATTACACAAAATATATTTTTAAAAAAACTGTATTAACACAACTGATTATTTAATAAAGCATGGATTTTAAACACCCTATCATGGGTAGGCCATTTTAAGAATAACACATGCTTACTATATATTTAGTGTTATGTGGGAAACTTGAGGGAGTTTCTGCATATTGTTTGTCGATTTCTAATCATCAAGAAATCTTATACATGTAATTAAGTTTTCATATGTATTACATATGAAAGCTTATTGTTTCTGTTAAGATTATTATTATTATTTTTTTTTTTGTGTTTTTCCTGCAAATCTTATATCTCAAAATCTAACCGTGGGATCTTTCTGAAACTTTGACCTCCCCCCCCCCCAAGAATGGGTGGTGGCTTTGGAATAGGTATATTTTCAAAACGTTTTACACATCCGAAATCACCGAATTTTACGAACAAATCCATTTGACTTACTTTGCTGTAACTTTGTGACTATTTGACCTATTTTACTAAAAAAAAATTCTTTGAGTACCTTGAATCATTTACTTCAAATCTGCAATTTCGGATTTTCGAATTTCGAAAATTCTTCGCTGTTATTTCGAACCGGAAGTTAAAATCAACTTGACAACTTCTTTAATAGTTGCACGATTTTCATGAAATTAAGTATGTAAGTAGATCTTACCGATACAACTTGAAAAATGTCATTAGAAATTTTCTGTATTATCTCTCCTTGATGAAATTAAGGATCAAAGTTTTCAAAAAAATCGACGAAATATAGATCCGATTGCCTTGAAATTGTTTTTCTTTACAAGCTACGACACTACTGGTTCGTACACAAAAAATTGAGTTTATGGCCCAATCCGGAAGTGCCACCATCTTGAAATGTGAAAAATCCCTAAGGCTTTTATGATATTTTACTTACAGACAAGGCAATTATATTTTCCGAATCCTTGAAGAAATGTCTAAACAATGTTCGACGCAGAATTTTGATTTAGGTCAACTGATGGACGCCATTTTGAATTGAAAATGAAAAACAGTGAAAAATCCACATTAATGGGCTTGAAAACATACACAATTGGTCGTGGCTTTAAGTATCTGTCCCCTATTACCGAAATTAATACATTTCAGGATAGCCTGGATCATGGTCGAATGTTTGGTATTTGAATATTTCAAAAATTCGAATTTCGCCTTTGATGTTTTCCGTGCCGACAAGGTTGTTTTCGAGTTTAGCTGGATTTGACTTCGAGCGTGCGCTACGCTGGAACCAAAGGTACAATGAGTACCAAATTTTAGGATAGCCTGGATCATGATTGAATGTTTGGTATTTGAATATTTCAAAAATTCGAATTTCGCCTTTGATGTTTTCCGTGCCGACAAGTTGTTTTCAAGTTTAGCTGGTTTTGACTTCGCGCATGCGCTATGCTGGAACCAAAGGTACCATGAGTACCAAATTTCAGGATAGCCTTGATTATGGTCGAATGTTTGGTATTTGAATATTTTAAAAATTTGAATTTCGCCTTTGATGTTTTCTGTGCCGACAAGGTTGTTTTCGAGTTTAGCTGGTTTTGATTCCGTGCATGCGCTACGCTCGAACCAAAGGTATCATGAATACCAAATTCCGGCGAGGAACTTTTCATGTTGGTACCTAGGTACCCTGAAAATTTCAAGGTGATACCTGCATTCGTTCAAGTCGTTTGTTCTTGGCACGGCTCCAGGTCAACTGCCGTTTGTTTTTTTTTCTAAGTCAATTTACGGCTTCTATAAGGGGAAAAAAGTGGAATTTCGCCGCGACACCGGCACTGATTGTCCGAAAATCATGAAATTTGGACACAATACGCCCATTACCACCCCGGACTCTGTGCTTTACCCCCATTTTGATCACATTAAAAAAAAAGAGTTTTAGCAAAAAAAAGATTTTCGCTATTTAATATTTGTTTTAATTAATTTTGAAATTGCAAATGCAAAGAGATTTTATCGCCTCTTCCGTATGTGATAGGTATTAGTACTATAAACATTATCCTTAAAAGACAATTTTTTAAAATGACCGCAACTATGTTTCGACACTAGAAACCGAAATCGCCTATTTTGACCTATTTTGACTGCTGGGGCATCTTTCCGGTGGTCCAAATCTCTGGAATTTCTAGCGGTTGGCTACGCTGTGATGATATTTATCACATATTAAAAGGAGAAAATGCTGAGATATCAACAACAATAAAAATTCAATAAAATATGGCAATTTTTTTAAGCAAAAAAACTTTGATGAGTGGGGGTGGGTTTCGAATTTATTTTCAACGTTCTCGGAATCATACACTCTTCTATTTTTAATATGTGATAGCTAGAATCCCAAGGTACAGTCTGTGCAAATTTGAAGACAATCGGACCACCGGAACGTTGCCTGGGCAGTGAAAATCAACACCGGTCGCGAAAATTTGCTCATTCTTCAACGTATTATAATAGATCAATCCGGGTCCCCGATCCACCGTCACATACCAAACCACTCCGAAATATACCCAAAATCCCAAAATCGACCGTAATTTCTTTTGACTTCGCACATGCGCCACGCTGGAACCAAAGGTACGATGACTACCAAATTCCGGCGAGGAACTTTTGACGTTGGTACCTAGTTGCACTGAAAACTTCAAGGCGATACCTGCATTCGTTCAGGTCGTTTCTTCTTGACACTGTTCGTGCCGTTCGTTTTTTTCCGCCATTTACGGCTTCTGTAAGGGCGAAAAAAGTGGAATTTCGCCACAACACCGATTGTCCGAAAACCATGAAATTTGGACACAATACGCCCATTACCACCCCAGACTCTGTGACTTACTCCCAATTTGATCAGATTAAAAAAAGGGAGTTTCAGCAAAAAAAACCCCAACCGATTTTTGGGGTTCAAATTTGGTTTTAATTAATTTTGAAATTCCAAATGCAAAGGGATCTTATCGCATCTTCCGTATGTGATTGCTATTAGTACTATACACATTATCCGGTCCAGTCTTCACTATAATTTGTGATAGAATTACTTATTTAAAAAAAACCAAATGATATAAAAATAAAAATGGTTGGAGTGCCCAAGTTTAGATTTGTCGCTGATTTCATAAAGATGTTAGGATATACATGTAGAACGTTAAATACTGTGTGATTCAACATGGCGGCCGAGGGGTTTAATATGATATAAGTACGAAATACATGTACATGTAGTACCAAATGGTTTATATGTATGAGAGTCAAGGTTTGGACTATAATGTCTTGGGGAAGTAGGAGGCGACTAGTATGTGCCTCTCTTTAGTGGACCGATGTGAGATTGCCCATTGTATTAACTGGACGGGTAGGCCTATTCACCTTCGGTTATGTGTCAATGTCAAATAAGCGGCTTCTTATCAACACGATTGGCTCTGGGCCGGTTTAATTCTACGTATCTCTCGTAGCTGAGAGAAAAAAGATTTCTTAGCCAAGAGAATATCTTCCGTCAAAGTGGTTGTTTATTCATAGATTCTAATAACCCCTTTTGCAGTTTATATGAAAGCTTTGATATCTGCTATGCAGATCTAGTTATTATTATTATTACATATAATTTCCACACAGGAACTCTCTTGACTGAATTGTTAAAATTTATACACTTTATTAGTTCATGGCGAATTAAAACCATTTGAAAATATAGTGAATTTGTTACTATCAAGAATAAGCTTACAATCTATATATATATATATTTGTGACTGTCGTTTGTCTGTCTGTCTGTTCGGGGTTTGGCGGCTACACTAGGTCTGCCCCGAGTCTGAAATTTGTTTCGTCTACCACTTCCGGTTTCATAGTTATGACCCCTGAGCGAAGCCGGTCTGTTCGGGGTTGGCGGCTACACTAGGTCTGCCCCGAGTCTGAAATTTGGGGTATAGGGGTAGCTCAGACCGGGGACTAACATAGGCCAGGTGGCGTTAGTCTACCACTTCCGGTTTCAGAGTTATGACCCCGAGCGAAGCCGGGTATCTGTCTGTCTGTTCGAGGTTAGCGGCTACACTAGGTCTGCCCCGAGTCTGAAATTTGGGGTATAGGGGTAGCTCGGACCGGGGAGTAACATAGGCCAGGTGGCGTTAGTCTACCACGTCCGGTTTTGAGTTATGACCCCCGAGCGAAGCCGATCTGTTCGGGGTTGGTGGCTACACTAGGTCTGCCCCGAGTCTGAAATTTGGGGTATAGGGGTAGCTCGGACCGGGAAGTAACATAGGCCAGGTGGCGTTAGTCTACCACTTCCGGTTTTGGAGTTATGACCCCCGAGCGAAGCCGGGTATCCTGCTAGTTAAAAATAGTTTTCTTCCAAATTTATTTTAACGAGACGATCACATAATACACTAAAGTTGATTTAAAAAAAACCCTAAAATTCCAAATTACTGAAATAAAATCAGACATCAGTTTTACAGTCTTATATACACACTGATTATTTTTGGACTCAATACTTACTGATCCCTGGATATATCACCATCACCATTAGGAAATAGAGCATTAGTATAAATACGACTCATTATAGATCTCTCTATAGCTAGACGAGCATCTTCTATTTGGTTTTCTGTAGCAGCTGAAAGAAAATACATATTCATTATATATAAATGACATATTACGGGCAAAAAGGTAGTGCTGATATCAGGTAAATCTTTTACGTATTTATGTATCGAAAGCAAACATCAATACTTGCATCAACGAATGATAACAGCACTAGCTACGGGTATGAAAAAAGAGTAATCTTATCATCATACCTGTCCATATTGGATTTTGTTCCATCTCTCTATACATATATTCTAAAAATTTCTCAACTAGATCAGTCTGAAAAGATAATTCAAATCACAATAATATTTTTCTGTTCTTTATTACATCAAGCCATTGCATGGATGTTTGGAAAACCATCAAGTTGTCCTATTTTGCTGATTTAAGTCTCTCCTCTCAGCATCATGTCATGATCAAACTTACCATGTTAGGGAGGAGAATTCCTTGAACCCCACCAGCCATCAATGCTTGAAAATCTCTATGCTCATCTCAAGATTACAACCAGTTCACTAATTGCTTGAGTATTAGGAAATTAATTTAAGTCAATACTTAAGTCAAGACTGTAGTTTAACCAGCGTCTGCCAGGCAGGATAGCTAAAAACAAACAGGATTTTTTGTACAATCAGGGGCAATAATCCAGAAAGTTATGATCTTAAATGCGCAAATATCGAAAGGGACTGAGATCTTTGGGATAAAAAGATATGTTTTACGTTACATCAAAAACGGATAAAAATTGTGACCTCTAGAGGGTCCACAACCTTCGTATTGCATACTTTTACACAATTTGCGTACATAGAACAGACATTTTGTCGGGCAGTTTCATTTCGATTTTCCCGAAATTCGTATTCAACATTCATTATGGTGGAATGGTGATATATTTAAACGGTTTTTAAAATCTGAACTCAATCAGGGGCCATAAATCAGAAAGTTACAACCCGATATGCGCAAATATCGAAAGGAATCAAGACCTTTGAGTTATAAACCTACATTTAAAGTTTCATCAAAATCAGAAGAAAATTGTGACCTCTAGAGAGTCCACAACCTTGATATTATATTTTTACGCTATTTGAGTAGTAGGGGCGGCCATTTTGTCTGTCAGTTTTGGTCTGATTTTTACGAAATTCGAACTCAACCATCTTTAGGGTGTAACGGTGATATATATAAACGTTTTTTTTAAATCGGATAAAAATTATGACCTCTATAGGGTCCACAAGCTAAAAACGCAAATTTTCATACAATCGGGGGCCATAATTCAGGAAGTCACAGTCCGATATGTGCTAATATCAAAAGAAACCGAGATCTTTGGGTAATAAACTTGCATTTCAAGTTTCAACAAAATCGGATAAAAATTGTGACCTCTATAGGGTCCACAAGCCTAAAACGCGATTGTTCGTAAAATCAGGGCCCATAACCCATGAAGTTACGGGCCGATACATGCCAATATCGAACGGAATCAAGATCTTAGGGAGATAAACCTATATTTCAAGTTTCGTTGAAATCGGATAAGAATTGTGACCTGTAGAGTGTCCACAAACAATTGTGGATGACGACAGGGGCGACGACAATATACGTCCACATGAAAATGTGAGCGTATAAAAATAGAGTAAAAAATCATGCATGCTATTGTTTATTGATAAAAAAGTTTAATACAACCCTCATACTTAAACTTCAAATCTTACCTTTTCATCTGCCATTTTTAGTTTCTGGAATTCGCTGTAAAATTGGATTATTTTTTTCTCATATAGTTCTAGGAATAGACGTGTACAGGAGTTCACTAATTGCTTAATTCCTATATCTTTATCTCTGTAAACATACAAAAATATATCTCATATCATTTATGGTCTAGTGAAATTTACAATGTTTATTAAATAATATCATTTAAATGGGAATAAATGCTTGGTTTAGTATATCGCATCAGTGTTCAGAAACCACACTATTATTTTATTGATTGTGTCTTTAACATTAGATTGTAATTGTAAGTACAGATGATATTTTTCTCGTAACTGAACTAATATTTTAATATATTCACTTTCAATTATTTCTTACCTCCTAGTTCTAGATAATAATCTTTGTAAATGAGATAGACTACCCAACAGTCCTTGTCGACATCGCACTAAATATGAAATATATGCTGAGCGGTTTCGATATTCCTCCCGTAAACTCTTGATCAACTTTCGTATACTGAAAATAAATACAAAGATAGATTGCCAGGCAACAAAACATACGCCCACACTATTTCAGTAAGGAAAGCATTTACAACACACTAAGTATTTATCAGAAATCATTAGAATTTGTCTGTCTTCTAGTTCTGCCCCATGCTAACATTTATATACATAACATGTAATATCTTGAATTTAACTGTTCTATTTATCAGATATTGTTGAAAATCAAGGGCTGTAACTCTGGCAATATTTATAAGAAACCATTGAAAATCAATAGGTTTTGTTGTTCCATGATCTTAAACAAAAATTGCAAATAAATATAAAGTCAATCGGATGATGAATTTGGTCTTAAGAGCGTCCACAACATTTTTCAAAGTCATCAAGGTCCGTAATTATCGGAAATCGTTGAAAATCAAAAGGCTTCGTTCATATTGTCTCATGACAGTAAACACTGTATAAATTGAAAGTTAATCAGATAATAACTTGGTCTCTAGAGTACGTACAATATTTTTCGAAGTCATCAAGAGCAATAACTCTGAAAAACAGCAGACTTCTTCTTGTTTCTTAACACTGGCTTCATCAATTTTGAACGAATACAGATTGTCATCTTGCAAGACAAATTATTGGCATAGATGAATCTATTATAATATATATTTTAATTTCTTACCCGTCGGCATCAAAGAGTCTAACACAACGTATAACTTCATGTAGTTGAGCTACAACTGCTTTGTTCTGTAGGTTAATAGCTTCTGCTAACTGTGCCCTTAATAGACCAATCAAATCACTTTCTTGTCTTGGATCATCACGACTACTATTCAAACTTCCTAACATCTGAAAATCTCCAACACTTAAAACTAAACGCAACTTTCTCTTAGCATCTTGGAATGCAAAACAACCTTCTAAATTATTTGAATCATAAAATGGTGGTGCTTCCTCTTCTTCTTTAGACTGCAGTGGACGATCTAGGTTCTGCTGATTGGTTAATAAATCATCAGCACTTGGGCTCACCTCTTCAGGTTTCTTTTTACGGTATTTATCCAAAATATCATCAAGTGTTTCTACATTAAGAAAAATAACAAACATTCAAAACATGAAAGAAGTAACATAACAGAAGGCCTAGTTACCTAAACATCTTTTCACTCAAAGTACTTCTGATTGCGTATGGCCATAACATGAAAACATACACATATTCATATCATTGTTGCTATCTATACACTAGGCTTATTTGAAGGGGCCCAAAACAAGATACTGTTTATCACTATGTAGTGAACAAGTTTAGAAATCATGCTCTGTTTTGTTTTCAATCATTATTTACATTATTATCAAGTATATCGCTAATATTTTCAGACATCTGAGAGTTTAAATCTGTGTAGGCTACATTAAAGCCACTGTCTATAAACAACATAGACTGTGGGTGTAAAATTGTTTATGTACAATGTACTTATTGAATTCCATGGTAGATATCAAACTTCAAACTCTTGAAATTCGACAAATAGGTGAGTAAATTAACTATAAATCAATCTTACCTTCTGACAGTCTAGCAGATTCAATATTACGACTATCTATTGTCTCATTACCACCATCTGTAAATATAGTGATATATACTTTTCAATTGATCTATAGTGAAAATCAATATAGTTTCACAGGGGGTTAAAATACTCAGTATTAGTCTCTGAATCATATGGGGAGAGAGAGAGAGAAATGGGGTTTAACATCCACTCAACACAAACTAGGTCATTTCGGGACTAACATATGGTATAATTTTATTTCAATAATTCGCTTTCGCATAGGGGTCTTTAGCAGTGGGAGAAACTGGAGGACTCAGAGAAAACCCACAAGGTTGGACAGGCGACCCTACTCCTTGTCACGTGCAGTAACTCTGCAAAAAAAATCAATCAGTGACTCTGAATTGCGGTAGGGTTCAAATGAAAACAAGAATTGTGCATGGATGGACTGACAGGATGACAATGTACTCCACTATGAAATGACGGCAGTTAAAAATAAATTGCTAAATTATATTGATCTGTATTATTTTGAAAAGTGATGTACCTACAGCAAGCAGAACTGAAAAGCAAGAAAACAATGTGAGATGAAATTATTGCGATCATCTCTGTGACAACATGTAACTGCTGTATTAATTTATTGTAACCAGCAATAACCTTAATAAAGTTATTTAACCGAAGTTTATGTCTGGATAATTACAGAGAGACAGAGAGAGAAATGTGCTTTTGCCTCCACTTGACACTAACCATGTTGTTCTCTGGTATATTATCATTTTACTAATTCGCCTGCAGTGCATCCAGAGAAAATCTGAAGATGAGACCCTAATATATACTTGCCATATACAACTGCTATGATAACAAGCCTTAGGGACAATTCTATTAGTATTAGTGAATAGTTTTATGTTGGATTCCATACACATCTTGGGAAGAAGCTCTTAAATATGTTCAGAGAAATTCTGATATTAACATAGTATAGCATAAATATGTAAATATTGGGAATCACCATTTTTGGCATTACTGAGTATTTTTATGAACACAAATTTTCTTCCTTTAAAGTAAATATTACTATAATAGAATTAGAAATAAATAAAAAGATTAACTTACTAGGCATAAGAGGATTTTCATATTTTGTTGATCTTTTCTTTATAGCTTTAAATAAATAAAATATTCTTTGAAATTGATGATGTCATGAGGTGAAGTGCATGCAACTGATTAATTACAAGTATATGTATACCTGTAGTCTGACAGATGATTGGCATCTATTAATAAATTCAATTTAAATTGATTAACCCAGACAGAAAATCAACACAATGTGCTAGCTGTACTCCAAATTTATAACAAGACAAATCCAACTGCCTCATAACAATATTTTGCCATAACTGATTTATAAAGCTTAAATATGGTACATTATACCAGGTCTAATTCATTCTGATTGGCATTTTGAAATCTACTGTAGTAGTTTCAAGTCATTTTTTGGTCAGATCATGAGGTCATGTGATATATATATAACAAGCCCACTACCACCTACTGTTTTGAGATAGGTCGCCAGGCAAAGAAACATACGCCCACAGCAGCTAAATCGTCCGAGGATTGTCGCTTATTTATTCTTTTGTAGGTAATTGGGGGCATTTACAAGACAATTTCATACAGATCAGATTATAATCTTTGTAGTGCACAAGGTTCTACAAACTGAAACAAGAGCCTTAACGATGAAAGTAATTTACAGAAACTTTTGAAATTTGCCAGGCTTTTTAGTTTTACTAGTTTAAATAATGCATATAAGTTCCATACAGATTAGATGATAACTTTTGTCATTCAAACGTTCACAAGGTTCACAAAGTAAAACAAGGGCCATGACCCTAGACATAATTGACGGAAATTGCTGAAATTCAATAGACCTTCGTTTCCCAAATTTAAATGATGCATATAATTTTCATACATACGGGATGATAACTTTCATCAATCGAGCATTAACAAGGTTGAACAAAGTGAAACAAGGGCCATAACTCTAGAAGTAATTACTGTAGATTGCTGAAATTCAATAGGCTTCGGGGTTTCACTAATCTAAATGATGCACATAAATTTCATATAGATCGCATGATAATCTTTGGCGTTAGAGTGTTCACAAGGTTCTAAAAGTTGAAACAAAGGCCATAACTCTAGAAGTAATTAACAGAAATCATTAAATAGGCGTCTTCATCTCACTAATGTAAACAACATATCAATTTTAAAACATAAAACAATCAGAAGATAACTTTTGGCATTAGAACGTTCACAAGAAATTGTGGACGACGGACGGACGGACCGACAGATGTACGGACGAGGACGACGGAAATATACATCAACATTTCCATGTGGGGGTATAAAAATGGTATAGACCCTAAAATCTGTTCAACTTGGTAATACATGTGAATGGGGCAAACAACAATTCAGGGAATTGACTGGAGTAAATGTTTATTAAATTGTACTGCAATCAGATCAGAAAATGTTTGTCATGTATATTTACAGTCACAAATATAGAATTTGTCTGATAAAATTGGCAACTTGGCAAACTTAGCACAGATAGGTCAATCTAGCTTCATTCGAGATGGCATGGCCTTACAAAGTTTGGCCAAGATTTTCTCTAAGGGTCTATTAATGTTAATTGTATACAAATTTAATACAATACTTACTGGTGTTTATTTTATCTTTTAAAGATCGAAATATTCCACCTCTTTTAGAACTTTTCTCACCCTTTCCTTCAATATAAAAATCCTGAAATACACATAAATCAACTTTGTTTGATAAAACAAATAAAATTGGAAATTCAGATTGAGCATTGTGGAACTGATATTCTAAACACAATAAACAAACATATGAATGAATGAAAAAAGGTTTAACTCCTACATTTTCACACCAATTGTGCAAAAGAAGACGCAAGATTTGCATTGTTCAGAAAATATCAAATTTTTCACGGCTTCATCAATTCTAATATGTACTCAGATTGACTATTTGACATTAAAATTAAGAAAACAACATCGAAATATCAACACTACATAATCTCCCGGCTTTGATTTAATCGGATTAACAACTAGCTCATCTAACAATAAAAACGACTTGTAACCACTGCCAATTACAGCAGATTTTAAAATGGTGGAAGGTTCAATTTTGAAGAAATGTAGACTGGTGTTGTTGACACATTCTCTCAAAAAAAGATGCAAGAAGAGAGAAAAATGGATATATAAACTGTTTCATTTAGCAGCAGCATAGATCAATGGAATTTCGAAATCTTTGTAAATACTGAACAGTACTGAACCATTTTGGGGCTGATATTCCTGTAAGAGATTTAACTACAATATTTTTGTTTGCAAGGAATTCCTATATTGCTGAACTCATGCTCAAAGACTTTAAAGAAAGACAGTTAAATTTACAAACCTTGTCATCAGAGCGTAGAGAAACAGTATCACTGCTGATGTCTTTAGCAGCACCACCTTCATTTAGTCTTAAGGAAGAAGCTGAATGGTTACTGTCACTACTATCCCGTCGTTTTACTGGTGAAAGGTCTTCTAGGCTGTTCCGACCAAGTGATTGATCTTTGTCATCTATGGTGCTGTCCGATTCACTCATGATAGGTATAGATGCCGTTAAAAGATCTATTCCATCTTGCGAGGGTTCTGACACACACAGTAAGGGTGCTGAACTACGTGGAATCGTGGGAGGAGGTGGATGAGATATACTAGATGTTCCGAATGCTTGATTACTCGAGCCCTCTTTCAATATATCTGTATGATCATTCTCCAATGATAATGGATCAAATAAACTCAATGCTGCAGATATTCTTCTTTCATCAAAATCCGTTTCTTCTGCTGATCGAGGATCATCGGTTTGAACATTAGGCATATCTATTAGTAAGTCTGTTGCAACTGGTGTAGTGGTGTTAGTGACATTTAACTGTTTAGGTTTAATGACTGATGAGCGTATCGCACCTTGATTGGATACATTACTATTGGTCAGATCTTGTGAGTCTATAGCATTAATTCCATTGGTTCTTGCCCATAAAGCAACATCAGAATTTTTCATTTGAGTTTTGTTGCCACGGCGATGATATTCTTTAGGTCGTGCACCAAAATTGGTGGGAGCATCAATGGGAATGAAAACATCATCAGAATCATTTTTATTGTCCAAATCATGAATGACAGAGTTAACCCGCCCCTCGGTAGTTTGTAAAGAATCTGAAGGAAGCCGTTGAGATGGGTGAGGTGCCATTTTCTTCATCTCTAATTTATTAAAATTATAAACTAAATCACTAACATGGGCTTCATCGCTCAAACCATTACCCTTATTTGTAGCAATCTGATCTCTACCTGGTCCACCTATAGCACCTATACCAACAAGATCTCCTTCACCAGGAGGACTTGGTCCACCTAAATCATAAACAGTACATAAATATTCTACATGTTCTACCTATAATAACTAATCATTAGACAATTTTGATCCAAACTTTTACATTTTTGTCATATGTGCAAAAATTCTTTTGGATTCAATACTCAGTAATATAATGCAGGAAACACTGGGCATCTGGCTGTGTTGATACATAAGATTTTATGCAGAACTTTGAATTGTCATAAAAAATAAATGTGTAGTATTAAATTACTTACACATGCTTAATGCAAAGTTTTAAGGTAGGCTCAATGACTTTTTGTGGATGAAAATGTGTTATAATATACTGATTTACCTGAAGCTTGTGGTGTTTCTTCACTACCTGTTAAATCTAAATCTTCTAATATTTCTGATCTGCCTGTTATACTACCTATATCATCCTACAAATATAGAATATACATATTATATTACCTATATCATCACATATAAATAAACATATTATATTACCAATAATATACATAATATATTACCTTTAATATACATATTATACTACCTATATCATCCTATACTATTCAAAAAAAGTAGGGGATATTTGATTTTTAAGTGTTATTAAAGTCACCTAATGAAACTGACGAAGAAACACATGACAAAATGAAATGAAGTTCACATTCATCGATTTATTCCAAATGATCGTTAGACTAAGTAAGGCACAGACTGACCATTATAAGGGTAAAATGATACCTGGGGTCAAACAGCAAAGTTACCACAGCATCACAACCAAGTCAGTAACGGGTAAATCCTCCTCTGTTTGCCAAACAAGCATTGATCCGACGTGGCATACTCCTAATGAGACGTCTAAGGTCATTTTGGTCCAGATTGTCCCATTCCTGTTGCAACGCAGCAGCAAGTTCTTGGACATTGGCAGGACGTTGTTGACGTTGACGTAACCTCTGTCCAAGCATGTCCCAGACATGCTCGATGGGGGAGGGGTCGGGACTCAGTGCTGGCCAAGGTAATGTGGTGATGTTCTGTTGTTGGAGGTAACCTGTAACGATCCTGGCCCTGTGACATCTTGCGTTGTCATCCTGGAAGATGAAACGGCGGCCATGACGTCGTGCGAACGGCACAACATGGACTGCCAAGATGTTGTCCCGGTAGTACTGGCCTGTAACACGCCCTGCAACAACATGTAAAGCCGTTCTTCCAGCAACAGTGATGCCTCCCCACACAATAACAGAACCACCCCCAAATCGATCATGTCTGATGACGTTAACGTCTTGGAAGCGCTCGTTTCGACGACGCCACACCCTCCTACGTCTGTCCAAAAAATCAACAGTGAACCTTGACTCATCTGAAACCATCACATTGCTCCAGCGTCGATTATCCCAGTGTTGACGATCCCTACACCAACGACGTCTTGCCTGAATGTGATGATCTCTCAAACTCGGGCGCGAAGGTGACCCCTATGCAGTCGATTCCGAATCGTCTGGCAACTCACTCTCACACCAGTGTCTGTTTGAAGACGAGCGCTGATCTGATTTGCTGTGATGACACGATTTCTCAAGGCCAAGGTACGGATAAATCGATCCTGGGCTTGAGTTGTCGCCCTTGGTCGACCTGAGCGTGGTCTGTCCTGTACAGATTGTGTATCACGGTATCTGGACCATAGCCTGCTTATGACAGACTGAGAAACATTCATCGTCCGCGCCACAACCGCCTGTGTTGTGCCGATCTGTAGCATGCCAAGGGCACGTAACCTTTCATTTTGGGTAAGCCGACGCATATCAAAATTTGTTTTCTGGTCACGAAAACAATTAAACTGATGTTTCCACCCTGGAATTCAATGCCACAATGACTGTAACATTCAAAGTCAGTGTCGTGCAAATCTTGGGTTGGACCCCCATGATGATCCCAAGCATCACCTGCATTCCATGCGGTAGCTATTGGTGCGTTTGGGCGTCACATGTAACTGGAAATGTTTCTTCTGTTAGGTTCTATAGTGACTTTTTTCGTAGTCATTTGCATATTTTAGTATTATGCCCCCAAAATTAAATATCCCCAACTTTTTTTGAATAGTATATATAAATATATAATATACATATTATGCTACATAAATATACAATACACGTATTATACTACATATATCATCCGATATAAATATATAATATACATAATTATACTACTTATATAATCATATATCAATATATTATATAATCATCATATATAAATACATAAAATGCATATAATATATACCTATCTTATTCATGTGACATTAAAAAGTGTAATCAAGCAAATATTTCATGAAATAACTCGTAATGATCTATACACATAAAAATTGGTAATATAAATGTTTCAATAGTATGATTGTCATTTTTAAAGTTCATGTGATAATTAATGGCTGATAATTTATTCCCCAAAAACAGAAAATGTCCTTGTAGAATTAAAATGTAACCTGATCTAGGTCTGTTAATTCTGACTGTTTTTCTTCTGTATCACTAGCTAATACATCAGTACTCCATGCATCACTGGCAGTCTCAGATATCTCAGAAGGCGGCTACAAAATATAGAAATTAATACTTCATCACTTTTACAACAAAATACACATTGTGGAATATTTCTGATCAAAAATAAAATATTTGATTTTAAATCAAACAGATGAATATGCAGTGTCATTTATCAGTTCATCAACATCTCAGCAACAATCATTGTTTCGTTAGAACACTAACTAAAATGGCTGACCACAACCCCTTGTCCAGTCTTGTGTTTAGCTTACCTGTACAGGGGACACAAGGAGCGAGAGAGAAAGAGAGAGAGAGAGAGAGAGAGATGGGGTTTAATGTCTTTAGCAGTGGGAGGAAACCAGAGGACCTGGAGAATATCCACCAGGTTGGGCAGGGCCACAAGGAAAGAAAACTGTGTATAGTAAGCATAGAATGGTTAATGAGCAGAGGGTGCTCCTAATCACAACCATTGCTTTAGAAATATGTGCTGAATGATGTAGGTTTTTATGTTAGAAACCACAATTGAACATATTCCACTGTAATAATTTTAACAACTGAAAGATTTGGAAACTTACAAATGTAGAGTCTGTATCGTCTGGTGGAACTAGATTAGGCATACCCATATCTTCTACTACTTCTACTAAACGTTCTAACTGATTCTGTTCTGGTGGTTCACTATCACTAGCTAATACATCTGTACTCCATGTATCACTAACAGTAGATTTTGTTTCATCTCCTGTAATTAAATAAACAAACATATATGTATGCCTATTTAGAATTTATAGAATCTTTATTCAAATTCATATAATCCATCTAAGCACCGCATCCTGTTGTTTTCCAGGATTTCGATAAATGCATTATTACATTAAATTTTCGAACATTACATTCATTGAAACACATGAAATCACAATACACTGCATATTGATATCATTTCAAAATATTTTCATCAGTTTTCTTTTAGGTTGCAAAGGTTTGGTTGGACAAACATGGTTCTCTTGTTGCAAACACTGTGCTCATGAGTTTGATCATCTTATTGTACAGCATGCTTCATCATGACGAATTGCTAGGATTCCTATGTTCTACTAAAGCTATAACATAAAAACCAAATAAACTTACTTTCAAACTCGGTTTTAATTTCAAATTTTCCAAATCTATCTGTGACATCCTCTCGATTCTGTTTCCTTACAGTAACAGGAACACGAACAGAGAGCTCTGTAATATTTCGTTCTTCCACGCTACCTGCTTGAGACAGGGGTGTATCTCTGCCGCTGATACTCGGCGAGCCACGCCCACTAACATTTGCTGACATCATATCTGACAAATTATCATTATCATTTTCCTCTAGATCCTGATCAATATCATCATTATCTACAGAATGACTGGAAGCTGCTTCTGATATCACTTCCTGATAGTCACTTGTATTTCCTGAAATAAATTCATTTCTCATTCTTAAATAGTTTTTATTTTACCATGTTCTTGAATTCTTATTTCTAGAGCTGGCAAATATGATTGATTTACTGATAACTGAAAATGATAAAGTACAAATCCTGCTATTATAAGAATGACAGCTGGTAGATTTCCACCGAATATCACATAGTTAGAAAGAAGTTCCAAACTATCAGTTTCTTTTTACATAGAAAATGTCGACTTTTATCAACAAATTACCAGTGTACTATATACTCAGGCCTTGATATCTGAAAATCACTCTGGAGTGACAAAATGTGTTCACCATGTATTTTGTGGAAGCTATTTAACACCGCCAAATTTCTATCAATTATAAATAAACACTGTTTAATAAAGTATTTGAAAGAATTCAATTTTTTGATATCATACATGTGTATGTCCAATTACATTTTGACAGCTCCACGAATTTATTGTTTTGCTTTAGAATGGTGGGACAAGCTCCAATTACATTTACATGACGGTGATTACGACGTGTTGACATCACTATCGAGTCTATGATGAGAGGGCTACGATCTAGTGCCGTATGTAGGCGACTAAACGTTGACACAACTATACTGGGCTTAGGATATGCCTTTCAATCACAAATTATGCCACTGAATGTCAACTTGTATGCGTATTATTTATTTAATATCAAGTTACATGAAATAATGAACAAAAACAAGCTTCTCTTTGATAGATAATAATACTAAATCATATCCACCACCATTCTGAATGAACCGGTAAATTGCTAACTATGATTGGCTACTATTTTTGGAGTTAGATAGAGGTTCTAATGGAGCCAAAAAGATTACATTTCTTCACTATATGTTGAATGTTTTTTGGTTTTATATTCGTTTAAGTAATTTTAAAAATAACTATCAATGTTTTTAAATAGTTTGGGCAAAATTCTGAAATAAATATGTAGAAATGCGCATCTATGTATTTTTTACAACCGATCCAAATTTCAAGTTTGCCTTCCAGCCTCGCTTGTGCTTCTTCACCTCGGAATCTCTTGTTAAATTGATAAATTGATAATTGAATTTCATATCTCGGAGGATAACTTTGCACCTGAATAAAATGAACAGCGATGTGATGGTGACATTTAAAATCCACCAAGACTTTGTAGGGGAGAATTCATTCATGGTTTTGGGGACGATGTCGCCCACTATTTTGAGCCCATAGATCGACGTTAATAAAACTGAATAATTTGTTGGCACGATAATTCGTGCTTAAGACAAAATATAAATGTAATTATCTCAGTGCCATAGTCTTTAGTCATTCAAAAATAATAGTTTTCCTGGAAATTTCTACTGCTTTCATGGAACAGCTTAGCAAATACTTAGAGTTGCCGTATACAAAATTGACAAGAATTTACTTCTGTATCAATAGGAATAAATTCAATAGAACTTTATATTTGTTTAGGTCTTGGCAATCAAATATTAAATGATTAGTAAGATTTCTCTTTAATAAATTCATAATGCCATACAAACCAACCTATAGATTCTTGGTCATGTGATAAAGAGAATCTTGTACGTTTTTCCTGAATTTCAACAACACCTGCACCTGATGTCACAGCACTATCTTCTGCCGGTGTTTGATACTTAACTCTTCGCTTTCGTGACTCTTGATCTAAAGAGAGTACCTGAAAGAATACAACAAAATTATTTTAATAAACAAAGACAATTACAAATCAATGAGGTATTAATCCTCAATTTGAATGTGATACCATTCTACCATTGTCGAAGACAGGATTGAGTACAGGTAGACTTCAGGAAATGAATTGTGTTGAATATTCGATGAGTGACATCATTAAACTTTAGGTTTATGAAATCAAATCCAATAGTTCTACCAACATAAATGTTTTCTCTGTTAGGCTCAAAGATGACATCTAAACAAAAGGCATTGTGTGTCAGTCAGATAATCTTGTTTCTCATGAGGCTAAGACATAAACATAATAATGTCAGACATTGAACATTGCTTAAACATACACTATGCAAGAGCTAAATCTGCCTATTGCAGGTTTTTCTTAGGCCTGAAATGTTATATAAACTATTAATTAGACATTTATTAACGTGAAAAGATCATAATCAACTCTCGATGCCATCTTATGTGTCTGATTATCATTGGTTTTGAATCTGATCTGCTGTTCAATACCCACAGATGATTAACCACAAAAATGGATAATCAAGACTCTGTTAATTATAGTGACTGCGGTAACAATGACAATCGAGTCTACAGTGATTTTAAAATAAGGTTTTCTCTGCTTAGAGTGAAGCAATTTGACTTAAATTTTCAGCATATTCCCAAAATATTATCTAGTTTTTAACTATTATACTTATAGTAAGAACTGCCAGGTATTTATCCTTAATTCAGCAGCGGAAATGATAATTACCTTATTTTCTGTCATCATACCGGGACATTCAGACATTATACCTAGCCGTATAACTAATACATCTTCTGGTGGTGTTATATTTGTTGAATCAGTACTATCGGTTTGATAATCAAGTGCTAGTGTCAAGTTAGTATTGGAATGTTTCTTCTTTAAACCTGAAATAAATTGAGACATTTTATTCAACAACGTGTACAACAATCACATTATTGGTCAATCAGCATGTGCTCAAATTGATCCAGTAAATTTACATCAACATTCAAAAAGAGATTAAAGATAAGAGTTTTAAGAAAGAATTAGCATTAGAATTTAAGCCATTATGTAATTCCATACTTTATTTTCCGATGCTCCAGTAAAATTTGCCCTATATATGGGTATTCAATAGAGGGCTGGACAGTGGGGTTGGGATGGCCTAGTGGTCTAGAGTGTCATGCTTTGAGCTCCCGCTGGCCGGTCACCTCTGACTTGCATTCATGGTTTCAATCCCTGGTGTAAGCGTATGTGGCTTGGAGACCGGGGCGCCTTCTCACCCTCATGGGTTTACTCCGGGTACTCCGGTTTCCTTCCACAGCAAAGACCCCTGCGCGTGCGCTAAGACATTAAACTCTAAAGTCAATCGGATATTAACTTTAGCCTCTAGAGCACAAGCAATTGTGGACACGGACCGCTGAACAGACGGGGGGCAACGACAATATACGACCACATTTCAATGTGGGCGTATAAAAATATCTGGCTTTATGCTAACCTTTTGCATTTTTTTTCTGTGAACTTGGTGTTCCAGGAGGTGTTGGATTAGGTGTATGATTAGGTGTAAGTGTTTTTACATCGCCCCCACTAGATGCAACATTAATTATATTAGGAATAGAGGATAACATCTCCTCTAACTGAGCACAGCCTGGAATTTTGTCCTCCCTTTGACTCTGCGCTAAACGTAAAAATTCGATCTGCAAAATAGAAACATAGTTTATTTTTAAGAAAATAGAATCTTTGAGTGGCAAGCCAGGAAATAAGGCATCATTTATCTTAAACATTGTGGGAAACAGATTCAGGTTTAGTCGGAGACAAACACAATCCACACAGGTTTGTCTTTTTTCTGTGTTTTATTGATATTTTTAATAATGTACCACATAAAGTTCAGAATGTCAGGTACAAGTTCAATAGCCAGGCATAATTAAAATCATTATTTCCAGGTTTGTAAAATTAAGCATTAAGAATGGCATTACTTTTCTAAGAAATATTAAAATGAATTTCTTCAGCTATTAGAATAAAATATGATAAACTAATATACATGTATCATTATTTACAATTCATCAAGAGACTGTTACATCAATGAAGAAAAACAAGAGCATAAATATTCTCTTACCAATTCATTTAGTTGTCTAGTTGTAATAAGAATACCAGACTGTTCTACTGATTGTGTCTGGCTACTACCAGCAGATGGTATCTCATCAACACAACTATGTATTAAAGCATCTATAAAATTTGTCATACAACCCTGTAAATAAATAATACAATAAATAGAAATTAACATGTGCATGGACCCTTGCCGTTACTAAAATATACATGTACCCAACTATTTTACAAACATACAAAATTCGCAAAGTTATGAACATGCACATACAGTAATAACAAATTAAAAGTACCATGTATTATACATGTATTTTAAAATTGGGAAAATATAAAAAACAAAATTTATCTCCACTTTAATTCAAACATCTACAGAATTAAATACTCATTATGGGCCCTACATGTACATGTACAGTATGTGGTGGTCTTTTTTTTTAATAGCTACATGTAAGTTACACTTCAGAGATTTCGAATTACTCAATTATCTAATGCTGCATACTTCTTGCTACTGTAATTAAAATTTGATTAAAATTAATGTCTGTTTTTGTTTTTTTTCACATTTTATGTATTACTACATTAACAATCAAATTGTTTGTATGGATCAATTATGAGAATTTTAAAAACCAATCATATGATTGGTTCTGGGTTATACATGTATGACTAACAACTGGTAGTATACATGTACATACACATTACTATATGTAGTACTGCACAGACAGAACTGGTTTTGTAAGAAAATAAACTAAACAAGCCAACAGTGAGGCTGATGTCCCCCGCAGCAATCCTAAAATATATATTTATATATACATGTAGATGACACATATAAATTAATTGCACATTTATCTTTTTGAAAAGTATTAGTAAGTATTGAGCAATCAAACGATTATCTACATTATCTAAGCAGAAAAAGTTCAAAATCGAACTCAGTCAATGTTTTGAAGTATCTGGTAATGAAACTATATTCACTATACACTATTTTCATCACTCTCCATTAGTTAGAATCAAAGTTATCTTGTCCAAAGCATCGACCAATGAAATTGCTTAGTTCGGCGTAGCTTTAGCAGAAAATGATATGGACTGAACTCAGTCAAGACATTCACCTAATGAACATACAATGTAGCTACACCAAGTTTAAACATTCTACGTCAATCAAATCGCTTATTAGTGCTGGGTATTGCCACTGCAGTCACGCTATGATGTGTATTGCGATTTGAAGGTGCCAACATACAATTCGTATCAAGATTCATAACCAGGTCAATATTTACCAAGAAAACAACAGGATAAATGAATAATTGATATTTTTAGTCTTGCCAATGTCGAAGAAAAAAACTTTTTATATCATGATATTGATGAGGATCAGAATAAGGACCAAAACAAATGAACAGTGTTTGTGTACCTGGATAATGTGTGATGTGGATAATTAAGAGTGACAGGTTACTTAGTGAAGTGACAAAAAAACATAAAAAAAAAAAAAAAAATTGTGGTAAAATGTGGTACATGTACATCGATTCAGAATCTTGCGAATCAATACGCAAATCGTGATACATCGATTCATTGATATATATATGTATCAAGCCAGCATTAATGCTTATTGCTAGATAGCCAATCTGATTAAAACACAGATCCAATTTCGTTTCGTTCAAAATTTCGTTTTTACTTGTCTTTACTACACTTGGATCTGGAAGACTTGTTATTTAACTCGTGTTCTGCTTGAAATGAGGGGTCAGCCAATCAAATGGTCTGTCGAATCGAGCGTTTGACCTTTTTTGCGCAGAACTGTGGATAGACATTACCAGCAATAGAAATCAAAACAAAGGAAAAGTAGATTTAAAAAAGCATGGCGGTCGCTAATTGGTTAATCGAATGACTGACGTTATCGGGTCAAATGTCGCTTGCTTGGTACCTGACATGGTAGAACGTGAACTCCCACTATAACTTGTTAGATCTACATAGTACATGTAGTGTAGGCCATCGAAAGTATAAAAAAGTAGATCTATATTTTAATTAGATTGCTAGATAGCCTAAGCAGAAAATTCTTATCACCGTACTTAGTCCAGGTATTGATATACATATTACATGTACATGTAATAAATCTATGCTCTGAGTTTCATCACTCTCACCCAATTACAACCAAAGTCTCAACCAGGGCTCACACTGGCTTTCAATTTTATTTTCTGCCAAAATGGATGATAATTTTTATGTACAAAAATGTTTATATTTTTTTTTACCGTCAATTGGAATATTTTATCTGCCAAAAATGAGTGATAAAAAAGACAACATGTAACATATTTATTTCTCAGGCAGGCCTATCAAAAATAATTAATGATATAAATACAAATACAACAACTTAAAACATTTGTCTTTAAATAATACATAAGCCCAGTTTTGAGTCAATTTACTAAAATCAGATTTTTAGTGGGTGACTTACATGTAAGTCTAATTGCACATCGTATTGCACAATATATTTTCAGTATTTACTAGTCCAGGCAAGACAGCAAAAGTGCGGGCAGTTGCTGCAATAGAAATACCGATCACGGTTTATGGTTGGTTTAGACGTATATTATGTCCCAGTCCGAAATCCGTGCCCAAATGGGTCAAATTGGCCAAAATCCAAAATGCCCACCGCTTTTGGCTTGTAAATTCCAATTTCCACCCAATTATCACAATATGATCGAGTTTGGTATTAAAATATACATTTTCGGGGTAACTGAATCCATTTCAATACACATTTTTGTGATAAGTGGTACCACTGAGTCAATATTAGGGGCTATTCAAGATGGTGGTCAGTTTTGGCGGGAAAAGTCGAATTTTACATAAGGATCAAGTTTGGTGTCAAAATATATGTTTTCGAGGTAGCTGAATCTATTTTTGTACATATTTTAGTGATTAAATGATTCCCTGTGTCAATATAGGAGAAATTCCAAGTTGGGATTTAGATTTCCGATTAGGGATTGGAGATTAATGATACTCCTACTTTAGACCTAATACAATGACTTTCATCCAGTAGCGGTATAGGGTATGTCGGACTGGGGTCACTGCGGAAGCTGGGCGTGCCTTTTGAAGCACGTGGCACAAAATAATTCAGATGTTAAGACACAGATGGATACAATATCGCCTGTTTGTCAGATATGCAGTGAACCATTTAACAATGAACAACCCATAGTTATTGGTCAATGTTTTAAGGTTAATGAAGTGGAGGAGTCTGTCTATCAAGGTCTAGAGGGTCCGCGGTGCCAAAATTCATATTTGCGGACCGATGTCTTTTACATGGCCTGTAGGAAAGACTAGCAAGACGGTCCATTACAACATATATAATCGGTGACCGCTGTTACAACAGTAAACAGTAGAACTCGCAATGCCTATTTTTTGGACAAGCCAAGACAGTTCAAATGACGACTTGACATTAATCTAGTTGTATTTATTAAATCAGCATTGAGGCTGGTGTCCCTAAATAGATGTCACTTATTAATTACTTGCACATCTAGCACAGAAATTGTTCTTCACTCTGTGTAACTTAAGCAAAAAATCTAATTGCAGAGGCATGCTGGCCAGGTAGTCAACCGCCTACCCTGCCCTCATCAATGCAAAAACAAAAGAAACTCGAAATGGTTGGTAAAGCTCGAATCCGATGAGATTTCATAACAAGGTATATGGGAGGGAGCAGGGGTTGCTATTTGCCCTCACTTCCGAAAATGTGCCATCGAATATTGTGCCCCCTTTTTCTGCTGCCCTTCCCTTGTTCCAACTAACTCCAGAGATACTACAATGTCCATTTTTCATTGATGATATAAGGGCCCAATACACGCTCAATCAGACCATGATTTCCACGGATGACTTCCAGAATAGATTTTACAGACGGAATAATATTTCCATAATATTCAGAATCAACTAATTTGTCTTAGTTTTATTTATATATCTAAATGAATTTAGAAAATTGCAACACGGGCGACGGGAACCATTATTGCTGGTTAGCATACTCAGGGCCAATACGCAAACCGTCACAACGAATGACATTTTTAATTCCTTGGCCTGGCTTAAAGTGTATTTTGATCGTCGTCTCATTCTTGGGGTTTTCAATTTACTTTTAATTCTACCTCCCTACCCCTACCCTCATTGGGGAACAGAATCGAATGAAACTTGGCAGGTACCCTTTGTAAGGAATATCAGTCCCTTTTGATGCTTATTTTTCCTTACTCACAGGTCGTTTAGTTCTTGATTGCAGCTAACTATGTTCATGTTTGGATCTTTGTTGAATCATTTTCTGAAATAAATTTGCCACGTGATTCAATAGGTTTGGATATCTTGGTTCAATTTTCGAGGTTGGTGATCGAAATCGGACACGCCCACGACACTACGTCCACAGTGGGCTGAGAGTGACCCCTTTTGTCATGCCTGCTACGCTGCTTCCGTAGTGAGCAGTGGTCGACCAGAGCGTCTAAATGAAATTTAGTTGATGCTTGATGAATGCCATCGTATTAGATCTGAGGCGGACTCGACCACTCGTATTCCCCAAATCTCCAATGGGATTTCCCATTATTTTGACCCAGGGGAACCAGTTAATTACCAAGATGAACAAAATATGTCAAAAATGAGATAAGCTGCCTCCAAAACATATATTTTGACACCAAATGTGGTAATTTTGTAAAATTTGATTTTTCCCGCCAAAACTGGCCGCCATCTGGAATTATTTCCCAATATTGACTCCGCGGTATAACAATTCACCAAAATGTGTATGGGAATGGATCCAGCTACCTCGAAAGGATATATTTTGATACCAAACTCAATCATATTATGGTAAGGATATATTTTGATACCAAACTCAATCATATTATGGTAAGTAGATAAAAACTGGCATTTTCCAGTCAAAACCGGCGGCCATTTTGGATTTTTGCCAATTTGACCCATTTGGGCACGGATTTCGGACTGGGACTTTTTTGGGGTGATAATATACGTCTAGACCGACCATAAAACGTGGTCGGCATTTCTATTGCAGCAACTGCCCGAAATGGTGCGAAATTGAGTTAAAATGCCTGGACTATTACAGGTCAAATCTCATCCAAGGACGGCTCTAGGACAATTCATCCACAGACAACTCATACTGGAGGACAATTCGTCCCAAGACAATTCGTATCATGACTATTAGTCCCATAGGACTATTAGTCCCATAGGACTATTCGTCCCCTAGGACTATTCGTCCCCAAACAATTCATCCCCATGGACAATATGTCCCCAGACTATTTGTCACCTAGGACAATTCGTCCCCTAGGACAGTTTGTCCCTGAACAACAATACTGGTACATGTAGTTCCATTATCAAAAACTGAATTAATCTTTATTTTTTATCGTAAATCTCAGCTTTGATGCTAGTTTTACTTTGCTTTACATTTAGTATTAAATCTAGGCATTAACTTAATGGTTCATGAAATTTTTTCGGCTAATCAGCTATGGGTATTGTCAATATGCATTATTGTGTATGATAAAACAATGTAGACCAGACATCAGTTAGTTTCAACTTCTTCAATTTCTTTGATTTGTTGATCATAATTAGGGGACGAATAGACCTACGTGTAGGGGACGAATTGTCCAGGGACGAATAGTTCTAGGGAACTAATTATACGGAGACGAATTGTCTGGGACAAATTATCCGGGGACGAATTGTCCCGTACCCCCAAGGACAGCTAATTTTCTATAAATTTATGTTTTGCGTGTACAACAGGCCTACATGTATATTGTTATTTTCAGGTACCATGAAGGTATCAGAATCTGAATCCCTTATAGAATGATATAAATTTCAATTTTATTTGTAACAGATGCTTCATCTTCACTTTAGAGCATTTTGGCTGCCTGGTAATATGAAGCAAATGGCTGACTGTTTTCTCACTCACGAATTGTCGCTATTCGACTCGCAGTCACGTTTCTGACCAATTTTGATAATATAAATTGAAATAAATACATCCGATTAGGCATGCTTCTGTATATTTCATGCCGTATAAAGCCACAGTAAACAGAATTCAACTACCAAGATATTTAAACATACATTATGCAAGAGCTAAATCTGCCAATTGCAGGTCTTTCTCTAGGCCTGAAATGTTATCTAAATTATTAATTAGACATTAATTAACTTATCCAGATAATAATCAACTCTCGATGGCATCCCTAGCCTGCAATATTTACTGGATTAGAACCCGGTCAGCTACTTCTGATTAAATAAAAAAAAAATGGATAATCGGGGGTATGGTTTTTATCGTACTGACTTTAGTAATGATAATCGAAGCTGATGTACATGTAGGCCCAAAATTCAATTGCTAAGTACGCGGTTCAGGGTGGATCAATTTGACTGAAATTTTCAGCAAATTCCCTTTACATTATCTTGTTTTTACATGTAACTATTATAGTGAGAACTACATGTACCAGCTCTTTATCTAATCTCCCATAATGTATCTTTAATATTAATTCCCTTCGAAAAGAACCCTACTGTCGGCCATTTACTTATTTTTTAAGACGAAACGAAACATCAAATAATCACTGTTTGGATAAACATTAGGTAATAGGAGTAAATAATGAGTTGGGATAGGCAATTATCAATCAACTAATCATTAATCCGAGACAATTGGTAAGTACATGTATTACTCATTGACACGATCCAGATTATCAGCAGGTAGATTAATTTATAATATGCCCGCCATGTGATTGAAACTCAATGTAATGGTTAATCTACATGTAGGATAATGATTTTTTTCTGCCAGTTCCCAAAAAGAATCGCCAGTACTGCAAAATGTTATTGCCAAAATTATTGCCATAATCAAATTTTAATTGCCTCTTTGATATTTTTATTGTGTGAGCCCTGGTCTTAACCAAACAAATTGCTTATCTCAGTTTAGCCTTAGTGGAAATTGCGCATGATCGAACATTGTCAAGACATTCACCCAATAAACACCTGCACCAAGTTTGGAGGGTTACATTTTTTGTGTACCAAAGTCTTGACCAATCAGTTTAAGTGTCTCTCTACTTAGCCTTAGCAGAAAATGCTCATCATCGAACTTAGTCAAGGTTTTGTTTTAGTGAAACCATACACAAAGTTTCACCACTCTCACTCAATTAGAATTAAAGTTATCTAGCTCCAAAGCCTCGACCAATCAAATTGCTTATCCCAATCAAATTGCTTATCCCTATCAAATTGCTTATCGCTCTGCTTCCCTGAGCAGAAAATGCTTATTATCAAAATTAGTCAAGGTATTGATATGAAACTATATACCCAGTTTCATCACTCTCAATTATATAGAACCAAAGTTATCGTGTCCCAAAGCCTCTACAAATCAAATTGCTTATCTTTGCTTAGCCTAAGAAGAAAATACTCATCTTCAAACTCCATCAAGGCATTCACCTACACCAAGTTTGAACATTCTAGCTCAATTAGAAGGCGAGTTATTGTGTCCCAAAAAGTGACGGATAGACAGACAGATGGACAGGCCCATTTTAATAGTCTCCTGCTTTCTTCGAAGGTGGAGGACAATAAAATTGTAAGCAGATTTCAATTCGATTCATTAATATTTCAGAAACAGAATATTTGACATTCAACGAGGTATGTATTTTCAATCAGTCTCCAAACCATAATAAAATTTGACTTTCAATATTTAAAGAAACCTTAGCTTTACAATGTATCTAAAGTAAGACTGTCAGTCACATATCTCCCTTTAACTTTTACCTCTGGTCGTGAAAATCATACAAATTAAAATACAATATTTTCTCACCTTTTCAAAACGACTATAAATATCACGAACTTTCTCATCTATTTCTTCATAAGAGGACACAGCAAGAACTTGAACAATCTGGGCCATTTGCATCAAGTTATGCTGAGCAATATGGCTGATAGGAACATCAGTTGTTATGCCATAAGGTTCCGGATCACATATTGCTGGACAGATAAATAAAGCAAACACAAGATCGGCACAAGTAGCTCTTACTTCTGCCATACTGACTTGACCTGCTTTCAGCAAACTGTGATAAACATGGGAGATAAGCCAAGTTAGACTTGATGGAAAACAATGTATATTTCCTTTTATGGAGTTAACAAAGCGTGAAGACAATAGTACCAGTTTATCAACAATAAATTTACGATAGTCATCTAATTTCTTCTGGTGGCCTTCTGATCCAGGTTCCCCAAAACGCTTCAGTCTCTCCTTTGGTGGGAATCTCACTAGGGCTTTCGTCGGATCAATGTCATAAAACCATTCATCTTCCATTAGAAGTCTCATAATTGGATCATGTAACGCTGCTGTCAAAAACAACCTGGCTGAAAATATTGAATCGCTGAACTGTTTAAAGACAATGCTGAAAGCACAGTTACCTTTCCTAAGCAGACGTCGAGGACTGCTATCTTGTGTCAACTGCAGATCAATAAGAGTTTTAATAATCTGTAATACATAACCTTCATCTTCTGTCAATATACAGTTGCTGTATATAGACGACATCAATATATTAATATACTTAGATACATTACTAGCATCTGTTCTTTCACCTAATAAAATGCAATGAGTTAATAAGACAGGATTTTCACGTAAAAACTTCATAAGTTCTCCATATTTGGCATCATGGTATGATAATTGTTTATAACTATCAATAAACGCTATTGACTCCATTTCATTATGACGAGCACATATATCATCACGCTTCACTCCAGTGCCTAAAGACAGCATCCTTTCAAGACTCGATTTCTGCTGACGAGCTATCCACGCTGTGTGAAAGAGATCTTTGGCAACTTGGCGGACATCTTCATAAATCTTTTGAAGATGTTCCCGTTCTTTATCAATGAACAGGTGTTCTTGCTTAAGCTGTTGACACAACTCATACATATCAAACATAATGCTGGAACCACCCCGTGCCATGTTTGGTTTGCTGGATAGTGACACTGGAACTGCAAGTAGATCTACTAGATTGGTTTGAAAAATTGACTTTTTAAAATATAGTTTACATTTTTCACAATCTGAAAAGAAAAAGTAGAAAGACCTTAATTAAATATTGATATGAAAAGTTATTTGCAAATATCCTTTAGATTCAACTGAGACCTAATTATGGAAAATCCAAGCACTGATCTACTTACAGTAACGTATTCTTTAACAAGGGTTCATTAAAATGCTGGAAAACCGATAAAGCATTTTAACAATGCGGTGATATTTTATTTAAAGTTTCTATATTTCATTTTCGTTAGCCTATAGATAGGCCTACTACAATTTATGAATAGCTCTCAATTAGACGGAAATTAACTATGCTATAGTATTATCATATCTGCACATCAAGTGGTGATTGTTCAACTGACTGTCACCTCTTACATAATCTAGCTGATTGTCTATGGTCCAATCCCAATATCACATAACTGCAACATGAGTGCTCAGGAAAGGGGGAGGGTGCGTCATTGAATTATATTTTGTTGACAAGTGTGTATTCGCTGTTTCACGAGTACCAGAAGACCAGAACCGAAATTACATACTGAATAACAGTAGTCTTTATCCAAGGCTATACAAATAGCAACTGCTAGTTGAAAATGCACTGAAGCTTATGAGTAGAAACCACTTATTATTGGGCCAGTGAACTTCATCTTCTACTTACTCAATCAATGGCCTTCATCTTTTCTCTTATTTATACTATTTGCGCATGCGTTACGGTGGATCAGTACAAATTTTGATTATACAAAAACAACGAAGCGACTACATTTCTCTAAATGCCATTATCTAAAATGTGAAACTAGCATTTGTGATCTCGGTTGAAGAATTATTTTCATCGTAAACAATTGTAACTTATTCTGATTAACAGAGGTAAAAAAAAAAAAAATCCCATCAAATTGCACTGAGGTACAACGGTGCAAGGGGGACTACTCTTTTTTTTTTAGAAAGGAGAAGATTTGTAGAATCCGGACTTAAACCACATCACTTCCACCGTGAAAGATTACATTTAATTGGAAATATACAACTCCCTGGGTGAAAGAGTTAGACATATTTGACGAACATGGCTAGGTTAAAGTAATTATTGAAATTGTTTAAAGAGGAGTGTTATCTGGAAGGGTGTAACTTCAGTCGGTCAATTAATCAATTAATTTCAATGAAAAGTAAACAATAATACCGCAGTTCTCGCAACTATTTTCCTAAACTTATCACAGTTATACATTGTAACCATCTCGGATTAGGATAGAAAAATGGTTCCAAATGATCCATTTCAGAATTTGTCTCGCCCTTACAAGAAATCCTGGATTTCAGATGGACAAAATGTTACCAGGATTGAGCTAGCATAGTATGTATCGTTCACGACTATCTATTGCTATATATACATTTAAAACTAAATAGTTTACGTGTTGGGGACCGATCTATTTCTCAATAAAGATAAGATCAGATAAGTTTAAATAAAACCGACTAGCTCTAACAGTGTGGAATGTCAATATGAGAATGGTGTTAAGTACGCTTCTATTCCTGGTGTTACTGGTGTTAGTAACTGTAGATTGTGCATGTCCGGACCAGAATTCTAAACTTTTACCATGGTCTGAAGCAGATACCTGGCCTGAAAAACAGGTAGGCTGCACTTTTTTTATTTTGTTTTTGGTGTAATAGCCGTGGTAGTGGGGCGATTATGACACTGACGCTCGTCTAAAAGATCTGAAGGTCGAATACCTGCGAGATTTTTCAAGGCACGTTCCCTTGTCAGATGTGGCTTGTGGGTCGATCCACATATGCACGTGACATTGGCAGTTTTGGAATTCGAAGAAGATTGGTTAGGTGTACCGCTCTCCGACCCCCACCCCGCCCATTCCACTCCCAGCATTGCACCTGTAACCATTGATATAAGAATTAGCCTTAAACTGACTAGACCTATTTGACATACTTAAAAATATAAGTATCGATTAAATTAAATGTGGGTTTGTTTGGCAAAGTCGGTACCTTTCAACATTTAAAAATTCTTGCTTGGTCAAAATTTTGAGATATAATTGATTTTCACAGATACTGATCAAAGATAATGATTTCTCGATGACCCTGAATTTTGTTTTGATAGTTATTGGCCCAAGATAGTGTTTCCACTGTCTTGAGCATTTGGTTGAGGTTAGGAGAGAGAGGGAGATAACGTTTCTATTAGCTTTCTCGTCAAGATAATCATAATATACATGTCTATTGAATCACGTTGCTCGACAAGAGCCCGCACGTCATTACTGAACTGATAAGAAACAATTGCACCACTTAATCACAAAAAACAAGACCACACAATGGCCCTGGTTATATACATGTATCAGACACATGTCTCGGGTCATTGTTTTTCGAATGCAATATCCCCCAAAGCTAGCTCTTCCTAACTAATTTTCTCCATATACTTTACAATGCTATTTCAATGACATCACTCTTTTTAAATAAAGGGTCTATTTGGGTTGCTACTCTTCGAACATAGATTGTGCTTTTTTTCTGAGGTCAATACATCACTCACAAAAAACTGCCAATCGAGAAGTAAACAATTATTTGCTTTTCTTAACAGAAACCAGGACTGGGTTCAAAAGTATCTATTTCTAACGCAGTGTTATTGGATGAAACACCTCCAGAACTTGATAGCATTACCATTCAACCCGGGGGAAGTCTTGTATGGGACACAAGCGATGACTTTAACCTAACACTCAAATACATCCTTATTTATGGACGACTGGATATTGGTTCTGAAGATTGCTTATTTTTCATGAAGGCGCACATTACATTAGTAGGTAAAGACCAAAATAATGAACGTACTTTACCACCAGAATTTGAAACATATCTTTTGTTTGCCAGAGAATGACAATGTGGTTTTATGGAATTTATATTTATTTGTGAGAAATCAATACTATGGTATTGTCAATTAACTTCAGTCCAAGGAGTCATTATTACGATTAGCATATGATATTTTTAACGGGCTTTGTTACATTCATTAAAAAGAACTTAAAACAAAAAATGTACAACTCTAACCCCGAAAGCGGCAGCGTAACAAATTTCTCTAAGATTTTGGGCACACCCCAATTCGCCCGATGTAACTGGTCAATTCTTTAAATTATTCGTGATGGATTCTCAATAGCTACGTAAGCGAAGCCTTTCATAGAGATTTTAAATTTAACATGTTTTATTCACTTTTTGATTGGTTGTTTTTTTTAATAATGTTAGAATAAAACCGTTGAAATTTCTTTAAAGCTTCTTTTCATCAATCTGATCATAAATCATGGACCAATACAAGGTCCATGGAAAAATCGCGTTTTTAGCTTGTGGACCCTATAGAGGTCATAATTTTTATCCGATTTAAAAAACCGTTTTAGTCTATCACCGTTACACCCTAAGGGTGGTTGAGTTCGAATTTCGTGAAAATCGGCCCAAAACTGACAGACAAAATAGCCGTCCCTCGTTCTCAAATATCGTAAAAATATAGTATATCAAGGTTGTGGACCATCTATAGGTCACAATTTTCTTCTAATTTTGATTAAACTTGAAATGTAAGTTTATAACCCAAAGATCTTGGTTCCTTTCGATATTTGCGCATATCGGATCGTTACTTCCTGATTTATGGCCCCTGATTGTACGAAAAATCGCGTTTTTAGCTTGTGGACAATATAGACGTCATAATTTTTATCCGATTTATAAAAACGTATTATTATATCACCGTTACACCCTAAGGATGGCTGAGTTAGAATTTCGTGAATTATTTTCCCTGATTGTACGAAAAATCACTTTTTGTTTAGCTTGTTCTCTATCCATCTCTTGCAAAATGTGGGCGTATCCTGCCTGACAGCCACTGGTTAATTTTTACATTTCAACATACTAAACAGTTTAGCACTAACTGCCCTGCAAACAATCCAAAATGTCGAAGATAATTGCAAAGCTTTTACAACGACATAATGCAAATACAATACCAATTTAATCCGACTGTTTTAACTAAATGAAACTGTTCAGTCCGTTCAGTTTAAACATGGACCTTATAATGTTAATTGCAGTAACACACTATTAAATGAAAAACAGATGTGATGTAAGTTGCTTTTGTTGTTACGATTTTACTCTGTCGTTATGTTTGCAGGAACGCGAGGGCAGTATCAGATAGATGTAGGAGGTATTCACGAATTTGATGAGAAGTTTATTGGTGTGGCACCGGGAGGAACTCTAGAAATACACGCAGAGAGAAAGCTATCGTGGTCAAAACTAACAAAAACTGTCCCAAAATTAACTTCTGCTAATGGGCTTATTTATACGCACGAAGTAAGACTTTTATAATAACCTTCTAGGTTTTTTTCCTAAATTAAAAAAAAGGTATGCTCGATCCAATGAATAAAAGATAGCGAGAATCCAGCGAAAAACGCAGGTTGGGGATTTGAAAAATCGATAATCTAGTTTGCTATATTTATTGAAAAAAGTCATTCGACAGCGATAATGAACTACATGAAGTCCTGTTTATTTTAATTTGATATCTTTTTAAAAATAAGTACAGTAAAATTACAAATATGGGTATATCAGTAAATCTAGAATTGGAATACATGTATACTTTTATTATGTGTATAAAATCCGAATTAACATTTATAATCATCATAACACTTTAATCGTTTTGAACAAGTTATAAGTTTATCTAAGGGAAGTACGGTATACGTAAAAGTCATTTGTCAGTAAAGTGCTATGCTTCAATGCAATGTTTTAGGGTTCTGTTGTGTCAAAGACAGACAGTTGGAAACCTGGTATGGTCGTGTATGTTTTTGACGAGAAAACTGGTAAAAGCATATCAGGAGAATATTTCTATTTAGGCAATTATGAACCTACTTTGTCTAATATAGACCCACCCAGACTGGTCCAGTTATTAAATAGTAAGTACTAAAAATAGTAGGGGAGATATAAAAATATGAAATCACAAGGGTAAAAAATGATACCTTTGGGGAAGATATGTAGGGACGACATACAAATATGATATCGTTAGGTACGATATGAAATTTATAATATCGTTAGGTACGATTAAAAATGTGATATCGTTAGGTACGATATAAAGATATGATATCGTTAGGGATGATATAAAAATATGATATCGTTAGAGAGGATATAAAATATCATCTAAGGAAATTATAAAAAATATGATATCGTTATGGAAAATCGTAAGTAAACATAAAGTTTAAGCATATTGATCAACAATAATTTTATTTCGTTAGATATTCCATATGAAAGAGTTGTAGCCGCAGCTGTCTATAAGAATATGGTTCATCCACAAGTTGACCTGGCACCAATAATAAAAGCTGTTGAAGAGTTGGCATATGGTCAGGAAACAAACAATAGTACACTAAGAACAATTACAAATGGTGACGCGTATGTTCTTCTTGTCCAAAAGGGTAAGACTGTTTTAATATCACTGTCTTAATACGTAATTATCGTGATGGTGATGCTAGTGATGATCATGACGACGATAACGATGATAATAACCATTTTGCCTATAGACAATCGGTATACCGCGAGTTACAGAAGATCATTTGAATGAAGCGCTTTTTAGTTCACAGGTTTTATTTTTAACATAGTATTTTTTATTGTGTATTTGCGTAGGACATCCTAATCTAACAGTAGAAAATATAAATAGAAAAGGAGACAGCGACAGCCAACGCGCTGAGGCATCACTGACATTACTCGCACCAAAGTTAAAGTTCAGAGTTACCAGTTATATTGACAATGTCAACGACTATAGGTCAGCCGTAGACTTCCGAGTGATGGACACCGACGCAGCCTTTCCTATACTTAATCTAGTGGATGATGTATCAACATGGGTACCAGGTATTTCTAAGTTACCTCACTAATGATTCAAGAGACATTCTGCGGAATAATAAAAAAACAACCCATACTAGTAACTAAAAGAAAAGAAAGGGAGTTTAATTAACTGCCGGCGGTTCTCTTCTTGGGAGCTAATTTAAACACGTTTTTTGTCCCTTCCGAATGTCTAGGCAATCGTTTTATAATCAATACGTCGACGTTTGCAACATAAATGAGTTGTCTTAAATCAGTATACAGCACATTATTGGCACACCCTTACCCTTTTCTGTTCCTCTTACTAGGGGGTCACGGTGGCTAAGTGGGTAAGACGCTGGCTCGCTAGCCTGGAGGTCGGGTGTTCGATCCCTGCATTGGCCGAGAAAGTGCATCCAAATTTTCCGACGTGGTTCCCACTTGTCAGTGGTGCAGGACGGAGAGCCTGACAAGGACAGCTGTCTAGTCGTTCGGATTGGACGAAAAACCGAGGTCCCGTGTACACATTGGCGTGTACGTAAAAGATCCCTCGGCAGTTTGAATTCGATATAAGAGTAGGCTTTAGTGCCGCTGTCCGGGCAAAATTTTTCTCATGGCACACTGTATGGCGTATGTCCGTCTTCATTAGCCCAGTTCGGAGCAGAACAGTAGGACGTTAAACCCCATTTCATTTCATTTCTGTTCCTCTTACCGTGTGGTCAATATTATGTCGTCCAGGTGGCCACATATAATAGTCTAGATAAGAAACCTTATCTCTCAACCCTCCGTGTTTCGAGATAAGAGATGAAATGAAATGAAAGAAACTCCTCCCACTGCTAAAGACCCCTACGCGCAAGCGAATTATTGAAATAAAATTAAACCATATGTTAGTCCCGAAATGACCTAGTTTATGTCGAATAGACGTTAAACCCTGTCTCTCTCTCTCTCTCTCTCTCTCTCTCTTATTGATAATATTTGCCGATTTCATTACATTGGGATTCGTATGTTTAAAAAGTTCTTATAGTATTAACTTAACTTATTTTTAAGATTTTACGTGCATTAGTACAGGAATTCAGTTTGCTAGGTGAAACTAAAAAATTAAGGCACTCAATCGTAGCTAAAAACAAGCACATCATTAGCCTATATTTCAACGTTTTTAGCTATACGTTCTCGTAAATAGTAGTCCAGTTGCCAAACCCCATTTTAAGCCTCGTGGAAATACAGTCCACCTAATGTTTTTTGGTGGATTATATATATTCAATATGTGTAGATTCAGAATCCGGATGATGCCACCCTGGCACCCTTGGGGAAATAAAAATATTCAAGAAGGCCGCCATGCATGAGGCATTTTCTGGTTATTTAGTTGGGTAAAATATGTGACAGATTCTCTCGGACCTTGGTTTGAAGATGGGTTTTGTAAGAACTCGACCCGCTGAATCGAATGAGCTAGGGTATTCCCACTAAATGTGATGATAATTCCGCTAGAGGGCCAAATTCAAAATGGAGGCTTATATTGGTAGGAAACATAATTATATAAAGTTCCCTAAAAAGGTGTGTAATGTATATATATTGCAATATAGGCTTTTGGTGTATTATATATCTTCAATAGTTTCAGAATTCGGATGATGCCACCCTAGCATCCTTGGGGAAATTAAAATATTCAAGATGGCCGTCATGACGCATTTTATGGTTATTTAATTTAATTTACAGTGGGGTAAAATTCGGGACAGATTCTCTTGGACCTCAGTATGAAGGAGATTTCTATTAGAATTTCAACCGCTGAAGCAAATGAACTTGGTTATTTATCCCCAAAAAGATGATTAATTCCATTAGGTGGCCAAATTCAAAAGGGAACATTATTTTGTGTGTGTGTGTGTGGGGGGGGGGGGCTCTTAAAGTTGTTTGTGCAATATATTAAACTATAGGTTTTCGTTGTCAGTTACTTCAGATGTAAACATAAAAACATGTTCCGACTAAATGTATTCCAGGCTGCGCTCATATTCAAAATGGTGACCATATTTGGCAAGACATAACGATATTAGTAATGTATTATACTAAAGGTTTTCGGGTTTGTCAAATACATATCTGAATGGAGAAATGTGCCATGACTGAACGAAAAATCAATATGGTTCCCAAATTCAAGAAAATAACTAAGTTTAGTAGACCATGGAAGAAAAAAGAACCGGTCATGTAAAAACTTATGTATCATAAGAATAAGCGCACAAATTACAGGGCCATACGAACAGAAGCTACGGAGAGCGAATTATCAAGCATAAATTATGATCCACTATGACAAATGTTTATCAGCGTGATACAAAACCCCAACTTTACCGGCGCGTATGAATGACCAAAAAACTGGCAAGACTAATGTCATCCCCATTGCATGGCACGGATGGAATAGGAAGAATCAGACTGTTCTACCGATTACAAGTATTCCCGTGATTAAAGAGAGGGTGAGCTGGACAAATACGTGAGGTTGCACAAGATAAATATTTGAGCCCCAGTTAGCTATTAGAAACATGGTCAGATAGTTGATTGTGTTTGACCGTGTATAATTTGTGTCCTTGTAAGAATATAAGGGCGAGAATATCATCGGGTTAGAATACCTTTTGGTCGAACATGTTTTGTATGTTTATGTCTGAAGAAACTGCTAACAAAAACCTATATTTCAATATATTACACACCGTATTAGCCGTCACTTTTAGAAGGAATACCCAGGCTCATTAGATTCAGCAGGTCAAATTCCCTCAGAAACCACCTTCATAGCGAGGCCCGAGAGAATCTGTCCCGAATTTTACCCATTAAATTAAAGTAAATAACCAGAAAATGACCCAAGACGGCCATCTTGAATATTTTAATTTCCCCAAGGGTTCCAGAAGATATATAACCCATCAAAAACATTAGGTGGACTATATTTCCAGGTTTGCCGACCTGCTGTCGGACTATAAGCTAGTGCAGCATTTACGCGTCCTAAGACAACTAACATATAACCCATCAAAAACATTAGGTGGACTATATTTCCAGGTTTGCCGACCTGCTGTCGGACTATAAGCTAGTGCAGCATTTACGCGTCCTAAGACAGCTAACATATAACTACTGAAGTTTTGACAGACTTTACGAAATAAACAATCCTATTGATCTCCGGCGTTGTGAAACCAGAATAATTTAAATCTTTAGACGGCATAATAAATATTTGATTGTTTTGTAGGCTTTAAGCTGGTTTTAGCGTCAACAGATTTTGACTGGAATCAAGCAGAAGAAGCAACAGTAGTATCATGTGACTCATGTACTCCAAATCAAGTCCAGGTCGAAAGTAAGTTTGTATTTCAAACAGGAACATCCTTTTCTTAGCAAATTATTTCGAAATTAAAATTAGTCTCTGGGGTTGCCTTCAACCCATTATGTCTATAATCTTCAGCGTTGTATTCCTTATGAAGTATGAAATCAAGATTTTTGATCTAGTCACAACAAATATCCAGCAACACAAATGTCTTAATCACCATAATGGATATATACCCATTATTGTATTTTAGTGGATTCTCGATACACGCATTTTGGGGAGATAATAAATAATGTTGATGAAAGAGGAGAAGTTGCTCTTCTAACCAGGAATGTCTTAATTGAGGGGAAAATGGAGGATAACTGTCCCCCGAGTAATGGTAACTGTAACGATTTCCACTATGATACATTTGGCGGTCATTTGAAGGTATAGTGGTGAATCGAGGATACTTTATAAAATTGCAATGTAATTAAGGAATTTACTTTGATTGTAATACATTAATTTTAATAAAGCTAATGATTTACCGTAGGAGGTTACGCCGATATGGTCAGGATTAACACACCGTAGAGAACGTATTTTACATCTAGTTTGTATATAGCTCGAGCATCTTCATTCTCCCAAAACAAATTCGCCATCCTTGACTATACTATAATAGTTATTGCCCCCCACCCCCACGACCACACTTCAAGGAAAATCGCATGTTCACAGCAATAAATATCTCTGTGGAGCCTGAAAATGTTTTTTTTTAGAAATTCGTAAAGTTTTGTATTATATTTTTTTTGGTTAGTTTGTACAAGGATTGGCCAATGTACATATTGAAGGTGTTGAGCTTTACCACATGGGTCAGCAAACTGAAATAGGTAAATATAAATATTAAACATACATTATGCAAGAGCTAAATCTGCCTATTGCAGGTCTTTCTTTAGGCCTGAAATGTTTTCTTAATTATTGAATAGACATTAATTAACTAATCCAGACCATAATCAACTCTCGCTGGCATCGGATTTCCCCGATATTAAATACATTAGAACAGTTCAGCTATATTTTGATTTAAGCTAAAAATGAAGGAGCGAGACGTAGCTTCGAACAGTACAGTGGTTGAAATTATTGCACACGTCTTGTCAAATATATCTTCGCTCGCAATAGAGTAATTTGAATGAAATTTTCAAATTATTCATTTTACATATCTATTTTCGAACTATCATAGCAAGAATGGCTATTTTTGTATCTAAATCTTACATAATGTATCTTTAACGGATATCATGTACTGACTTTTAAATAAAGTTACAGAGGATATGACTTCTTCCCAAAGAATACCTATTTCAAAGAAAAATAATTTTACCATAATACTACTTTAATTGAGATTCCAACTAATAAATGGTAAAAATAAACAGTATGAAATATGAATGCTTATGCTCTATAATTTGTTTCTTTCTTAATAACCATATTTATGTCAAAAAAAAAAAAAAAAAAAAAAAATACAAAATGCGTTGAAGTTAATCCATTCCTTTATAGCATCACTCGATCTTTGCTTTTGCAGGGCATTATCCAGTTCACTTTCACATATGTCATGATTTAGATGGTGTTGGAAATTACAGTAAACCACCCTTTTTTCGATATAGTTCCATTCACCATTCCTTCTCTAGATGTGTTACTATACATGGTACTCATGGTGTAACGGTAAGACAACAATTACTATATACAATTTATATACTACACATAAATGAGTCAGTAAACAGATTATTACTTCAAAAGTGGCTTTAGCAAAATATGTCGACCGCTAGGCAGGAAGCATGGCCGAAAGACTGGCACCAAGAATAGAGGATCATGGGAAGAAATGATGGCAATAAAAGTATCCGATTACGAACTATAGTACTGGATAATCGAACAAATAATGTCATCAACACAAATAATTATAGATCATAATATACATTTCTACTAGCAGCTGACCCGCACGAATTAGATCTATTTGATAAGCTCAATGCTTAAATTCTTAAACCTAGCCTTCACGCTGACCGCTAACCCTAACTTACAATCTCGCCAATAGGCTAATCACGTGCCCTAACCTTATATATATTTCAGCTACCTTGACGAAAAATGAGCTGACCTTAACAAATAGATCTAGTCGCGAAGCACGGGTATCGCCATGACCGGAAGTAGCATAACTCAGAAACCGGAAGTGGTAGTCCATCGCCACTAGGTCTATGTTACACACCGAGCCGAGCTACTCCTATACACCGGGACAGCCGTAGTCGCCAACCAGCAACAGACATACAGACAGACAAACAAACGACATTCACAAATATTAGTATCGATGCACCATTTCTACACTACACATAAATATATTTCTATACACCATTTTTATACATTACACATAAATATATTTCTATACACCATTTATACACATAAATGTATTACTCTACACCATTTTTATAGTTTAAATAGTATTCACAACTTCAAGAATCATATTTTATTCTCGCAGGTTTTAGACAATGTATGTTATGATGCTCTAGGCCATGCTTACTTTCTGGAAGATGGAGGCGAAAAGAGGAATGTTTTTGATGGGAATATTGGTCTGACAACAAGAAAGGGAAAAATTCTGACATCAGATAGGTACAATAATATTAAGTTATAGAATTTGGAACTGCCACACTGGTCATACATGATACATATATTGTGGAGATAATTGACTGACGTTGCTCGACTGTGTAATATAAGGAAATGAAATGAAATCTAGTTTAACGCCCCACTGTTCTGCTCCGACTGGGCTAATGAAGACGGGCATACGCCATACAGTGTGCTATGAGGGAAATTTTCTTGTGATAGATCGCGTTGATATTTCAATGAGTAGCCTATAAAATGTTTTTTCATAAGAGTTTGTCGCAGAAAATTAACCAGCTTTATTCACTTTAAGCAGCCAAGCCGCATTGTCAAATGGCTACCGGGAATGTAAACCACTGATAAACTCAATAATTGTCTGCTATATAAGCCTTTTAAATTTATTTTTAGTCAACCAGCAACATTTTTCATGACGAATCCCAAAAATCATTTGAGAAATAACGTTGCTGCAGGTTCAGAGGTAAAGTCGAACATTTGATTTTTTTTGTTCATCTTCTAAACATTATTATTGCGAACAAGAACAGGTTGCTCAACCCCCAATCATTTGATTCCTCTTACATATTTTTAAACATACATGTAAACACTCGCGTCTATTATAGAGTATAGATGATAATTGCGCAGTTGAATATCTGCTGTATAATTCTAACAAAAGAAACACAGACCGGGAGCAAATCATTTCTCGCTACATTTATAATAAATACATGTACATTTGAAGTTGTTTAGCGGATTTTTTAAGAATATATTTATTTGACGTTAGACGTCCTACCCTCATTTTATAACGACTGACCAAGACCGTTAACCAAATAACTGTTGATGAAAACATTCTGATTGGGGAATTTTATTCTATTTCATATATAATATACCACGATTACAGGAAACATTGCACTTAGCACACTTACGAGGTATAACTATATACCAAACTGTTGCAGGTGTGACCCTTGAACAGCACGAACAGTTTTCTGGCAAACTTTTATTAAACAGGATAATATTTGCTTCCTTATAATCGGGTTACGTATTATTTTCAGTCCATAATTATATTTTTCTTGATCATAAGACTGTCATATTTTCAGTTAAAAATAAGTCTTCGGGTTGTAATTAACCTCGATGGAACATATCTTTAACTGACTGGTATTCTCTTTTTTGTTTCGAAGGGTCATGGAATTTGGTATGTATTCCCTGATGAACCTTATGGTCCATCATTAGGACTTGGATTCATGCAGATGTACGAATCACAACATACCCCGTATGAGGAATGGAATAATAATGTAGCACATTCTAATGAAATTGTAAGTAGCAGTTTGAAATTTAAACAGTTGCACTCATAAAATATGAATTGATATTGTGTAATTCAAATAATAGAAACAGTAAAATTTAAAATCGTTAACATCCACATCTGTGATTTTGGGGGCATAGGCTTCCGCTACACCCTAACCCTAACAACGTTGAGATATACTGATGTGCTTGGATGTCGTTAGTTCCAATTGGCAAACCCAGTTTCTTTATTAATGCATGTAACATCTTAAAAATAAGATAATTTAATAATGTTATGACTAATTAAACTTACAGAGGCCAATGTAGTGGCACCACTATCGCCTAACTCCAAATATTCGCGTTTAAATTAATGAAGCGTTGTTTTTATCCGACATACACCGCCATACATCTCCCATTTAAAAATGTCGTTCTTAGTAACGGCTTAACGCTTCGATTTTAAATACCACGATTTATACCCGTTTCAGGTGTTCAGGTAGGATTATATGCTTAATTGTAGTTGGATTTGGCAGGAATATTATAAATAGCAATAACCAATCGTCGCTTTGATAAAAAATATTGTCAATTTTGCTTACTGAAACCCGATGTGATAATATCATACAGTGCCATTTGAGCTGTTCTGTTTTAGGATGGTTTCTTTGCTGATAATAAAGTCCTGCCTTCAACTGCTACAGTAGGAACAAGTGAATACTCGCCGAGAATTCGACCACTGGACAAAGATTCACCTCCAGCAGAGGTCAAGATTATCAAACCCACACGTAAGTCAATATTCCGTTTTACAATTACAGGAATCAGTAACCTTGGCCCACCAGTCTTCTATTTTTACCTGTCTCAATAAACCCATTTCCGTTTGTATTATATGATGTATCAAGATGACAATTAAAAAGGCTTTCGATGCTCATTGTAAATCAAATGAAATAGAGAGAGAGAGAGAGAGAGAGAGAGAGATGGATTTAACGTCCACTCGACACAAACTAGGTCATTTCCGGACTAACATATGGTTTTAATTTTATTTCAATAATTCGCTTGCGCGTAGGGGTCTTTAGCAGTGTGAGGAAACCGGAGGACCCGGAGAAAACCCACGAGGTTGGACAGGCGACCCTACTCCTTGTCACGTACAACCGGGGATTCGAAACAACGCCAGTTGACTCAATGACAGGCCTTATGATACAGCACGCACGTGCTAACAATTCGGCCATCCATCCCCCCTCAAATGAAATTAAGAATTTTCAACAAATAATGAGTAGGGCAACTTGTCCACAAGAAACACAAACAAATATTAATTGTGATTTTTTACAATTTAAATTTCTTAAAATTAATTGGTTATTTACCTTATTGAAGACGTTAGGAGTCATCCATTATTTTCTCTTGTGACACTATGGGGTAGCTGTGACACTTTCTTGTGGGCGTTTCTTCGACTTCATCAATTAACTGACCCTGGAACACCGTTTATGTTGTTACTAAGTTTATATAATTAAACAAAGAACGGCTTAAACGTGGCAAGAGCCACATACTTCTTGATAGTTATACATAAGGTTCGCGCTATAGCCGAGGAGGATATGGTTATGTTCCCCTTGAGCTCCGAATAATGTCTTCCCTACGGTCTCATCATGATATCTGAGGGTAAATCAAACAAGCTCTCTCCTATAGAGGAAGTATAATGCGTCCTCTATTAGGGCGGGACAATTACCATTTTTTGGGCAAGTGTTTCATATAGGCACCGTTTTACGTCAACACTATTCTAGTAAATTGTACTAATCCGTGCACGAAATGACTGGACTATAGTACCCTACTTCCAGCAATGGATACTGACATAACTGTCTGTGAGTTAGTCTAAGATAGTAGCAAAATAATGCAAGCTACTTCATTACCCAAGTTATCGTCACACATCATAACTAAAATAAACCCTATAGTATTATACTCTGGGGGGGCAAAAATTGCTTAATATTAGCTCTAATGTTACGAGCTTGGTTTACGTTAAAATATAGGGCGGACAAGTTGCATGTATACTTGTATGCTACTTCCAGTTTGTTTATCTCAAGAGTTCTACGGTGAACGTCTTACCTTGCCGCATGTTGCTACAACTGTGGTAAAAGATCTTGGGAAAGTTAGAGACATAAATAACATTACAGTCAGTGGAGAAATTAATTTTGTACCTTGGCCATATACCTCTTGCGTTGACACAAATTTTAGACGTAGTTGTTCTCGTGTTGTTTTAAATGTTTTGTTTAATTTCAGTGTACAAGAATCGTTATCATAATATGTGGATAAGAGGCGGGTGGATTACTGTTGAACAGGGATCGTAAGAAAAATTTCATTATGGACTTAAAAATATATATAAATCAAAATAAGTTACAAAAAGTATAATTCAAAATAAAAACGACCCCCAACTGACAGAGATGCAGTGCTAAAATAGTAATCGGGTATATCCATTCCTTATTTTTTAGAAAAGTATATATTGCACTTTTGAAAATCATACCAATTGTCTACGATTGGGTATATTCGATGTAGTTATTATCGTTAAAGCCGGTTTGTTCTTTTATAGATTTGCTGACAGTGCCAATGCAGTAGCGTTTTCTAGGTGAGTCTAATCTGTATCCATCCGCCCGCCATACATGAACACCGGGGCCCTTATTCACGAAAACTAAGTAGCTAAGTCTCTAACTCAATATCATCCAAAATCTTCAACATTGAAAACACGATTTATTTGTCAAATTAAATCAACATTGATGTTGTGATCTTACCGGAATAAGATGGGCTTTTGATATCCAATATTTACGACAAAATAAACATTTTACCATTGGTACACGAATCGTGTACCATAATGCGCATCAGCCCCATTTGTAAAAAGAGACTCGAGGGACGAGACTAGACACATTGCACACAAATCGAACGGCGTATGTAGACTGGAATAACCAGACGCTAGAAATTTGCACTCGATTGAGACTGCTGGCTTATTTCGCCGAACATAACTGATTTGAAATTGGAGTAAAAACGGAAACCATTGAATGTAAATCAGTTTATATACATTCATATTACAGTATTATATGCGTTGCGACCCACTTTTGTCAATTTCTAGGTCCCAAATGTTAGCGATTTAGCTCCTTTAAACTAAGATACAATCGAAATTTTAAGAAATACTGCAATTCGATTGGCTGATCAATATGCAAATTGGATATATGCAAATTGATTTTACTGGTCAGCCAATCGAATTGCAGTATTTCTTAAAATTTCGATTGTATCTTAGTTTAAGTTTTCGTGAATAAGGGCCCTTGAATGTTCCGATAAGCTGTGTACAGTTTGTCTGAGATCCTAAAATAGCACCCGAAATGAAATTGGTATAAAGCCCCAAAGCGGGATCAGGGTGCACGTAATTAGATAAATACATGAAATCAAATAGGGTTTTACGTTCCTTTTTCTATACCAACCAGGATAATAAAGACGACACATATACGCCATGGACTGTGGTATGAGACAAAATGTTTGCCCAGACAACCGCGTTTCTTCCTATACACTTCGTACAGTTTCAACTGGCAAGGATTATTTTACGTGCTCGCCCATGTGTAAACAGGACCTCGTTTTTTTTGTTCTAATTAAATGACTAGATGAGAGTCGTTGATATAATTTTTTTCGGCCAACAATAGGGACCGAACTTGCGACCTATTGGTTAGTCAGTCAGCGCGCACCCTATTTGGATAACGCTTGAAGTTATTATGTACATAAGTCTTTCGCTCACATTATTGTTATGCCGATTGGAGTTATCCCTTAACGGAGGTAAATCGCTATTCTTCGGCACCTAGAAATGGGCACAAATGGGTCACAACACATATAATAATGTAATATGAATGTATATTAACTGATTTACATTCATTCGTTCCTGTTTTTACTGTAATTTCTAATCATTTATGTTCGGCGAAATACGCAAAAAGTAGAAATTGTATGGCAGTCTTTGGCGTCTGGTTATTCCAGTCTACACCGGTAGTATTCTTCTACATAAGATGTGTTTAGCTTCATTCACCGAGTGGCTTCATACACCTGACGCTATATAGCATTCTGACACACGATTCGTGCGCCAATTTTAACATTTTCATTTTGTCTTAAATATCAGAAGCCCTACTTTTCACGGTAAGATAACAACATCAGTGTTGATTTAATTTGACCAATAAGTCGTGTTTGCAATGTCGAAGACATATGATGACATTAAGTTAAAGACTTGCCTCCTTTAAAGTTGTGTTTTATAATCTCGCCGGCAAATATTATCGCAATTATTAAATTATAACTTAATATTTTTCTGCGAAAACACCCTATCCCCACTCGCCATAAGGTGCTTTTGTTTGTATTCCAGATCTGATGATCAAGCGCAGTTTCTGAAGAATTCTGTTATAATAGGAGAATCAAAGAATATAGGAGAACCGACTTTATTTTATGATACTGTCACAAATACATCAATTCAGATGCCCCGGTCAATACCATTAGAGACAATGTCGTACGTAATTAAAGAATTTATAATAATTATAATTTTACTTAACGACAGTTGGGGTCATATCTGTTGTTACTGTATAGCACACAATCCCTACTCATTTTATGACTTAGTAGAAATTTTATGTTTCTGAAAGTTATCTAATAGTTTAGGATCAATTAAAGATACATTAAAGAGTTTAATAAAGAGTTGGCCATTCTTGCTATAATAATTCAAAAATAGATGATAAAAAAAGAAAATATTGAAAATTTCAGCCCAATTACTTTTTTTCTGAACGAAGTTGTCACTGTTGAAAGTTTGGACTAGAAATAGGCATCCACTGTGTCCGCACCGTCTATGAGAATTGCTGACCGTTTGATTGACAAACGATAACTCCACCCACATATTCTCGATTATCAAGTAACATTCTCAATGGTTATGGTATCCTCGCTTGGTAGGCCTTTCAAAACCAGTTTCCGATGGTGACTTAAGTGGCTAACGGTAAACGTTAGTTTGGTCGGCCATTTCTTGATTTAATTTTAAATAGACGACTGTTTAAATCCAAGCTGTATCCAAACCATCCGAGGGTCTACGGGGTTGATTTTGAGCTTGTCATGTAAATAAAGGTCTAATTAATAATTTCTATAACATCTGAAGCCTCAATAAATACTTGCAATAGGCAGATTTAGCTCTTGCATAATGTATGTTTAACATACAATATTCAGCTGCAGACTCAATATTTATGATATCCGTTACACTGGCCGATGATAGACTATTCCTTGTTCAGACCGCCACCATTTTCGTCAGTGGAAGAAAAAGATAAAGTATGATATAGGGTTGGTATATTGTGACAATAATCGCTACTCTAACCATCAAATGAAAATTATCAACATAAGTTTTTAAGCATGTCTAAACTCTTCTCGGATACAGGTCTTTACCTTTAGTGGCATGTAACTTTGCCGGTAAACGGGATCAGCAGTCTATATAGGATGCGTTATAAACTGCATGGCGAAACTGAATATCTTGTAATTGTTTTTAGCTCCATGCCTATTCTTGGATTTAATTTCCACGATGGTCCAGTTTATTTGGAAAATGTATGGTTTTCTGGTTTTAAATCCAATGCTTATTATCAAGCTGGTGCCATTGGTTTTGAAAAATTTGACAAGAACATAACATCGGCTGTTAGTTCTGTTCAAAATATAACTTACGACTTTATTGATGTAAGTATAGAATAATGTTTCCTATAGCAAAATTGGTGTACACCTCAAATATTGCTATTGACCACATTGATTTCTCGGTGAGTAAGGAACCGGCTCACTAACCAGGGTGTCCGGTGTTCGACGTCTGCCTAAACTGTTCCCTGGCATTACCCTTGTGAGTAATGCAATATGGAAGACCTGGCCAGGAGGAGTGTCCGAGACGAAAAACCGACGCCCCGTGTACAGGTTGGCGTGTACACAAAAGAACAATTCGACAGTTGTGCAAAAGTTCTCCTATAGCACCCTAAACGACAATCGAATTTCAGCGTCTATTAACACAGAATGACAAAAGTCTGTACAATAATAATGGATTTTACCACTAGAAATTTCAACAGCAAAGTTGTATCAGGTGTAAGCATCCTCTGTCATTTTCCAAATGTAAACGTTGAGAAGAGAGTTGACTTCTGAAGAGAGTTGAAAACGATGTTGTGTTTCCTTAGACTGGGCTATTGAAATGTTATGGCGAGATGCTAAACACCAATAGTCTAAAATTGATCGCACAAATAATATATATATCACCAAAAATTAAAAAAAATCATATGCATAATTAGTACATGGGCCAGTTTTGAACGTATAGACGTAGAACACATAACCACATGGGGTTGGGACTCGTGTATTTAAATGTGGATGGATGTCGAATGTTCGAATTACATTTAAGTAGCTTTTTTTAGGATACAGAGGGTAACCGGGTTCTAGACAGCAACTCAACCTCTTCTGGTTTTGGTTATGATGATCGGTATAATGGAATTACATTCAGAGATATAGATGGAAGCGTTACAGGTTACAATAACACCCAGGTTGTTTTACCGGCACCATTTTATGTTACTAGCGGATGTTACCTACGTCCTAACTGGCAAGTTGCTGTCTGTCCCGACAAGTATGGAAAGGTATATATATATATATATATATTACAATATCACTCTTATTGAAAATACTGATTTTGATAGCTAAAAAGGCAAACTTGTATCATAAATTTTAGTGCTCAATGAATTATGAATATTTTTGCGTTTCCCTGTCCGGGTAGTTAGAAATAACACTGGTATAGCCCATCTTGTTAAAGTCATATGCCAGTTCCGAACCTAAATTGTAATTGTACTCCAAGGCATTCAGAGAAGATGTATGCTGTACATGTCCAATGATGGACTTGCAACATAGCACAAAATAAATGAAATGAAATGGGGTTTTACGTCCTTCTGTTCTGCTCCTATACTGGGCTAATGAAGACGGGCATACGTCATACAGTGTGCTATGAGGGAAATTTTGCCCGGGCAGCGGCTAGCACAAAATAAATTATTCCTATATGTTGCCACAAGGCATATGGTCGAGCATAGCTGTAAGTGGTTAAACACAAATAATTTGTCTTCCGTCAAGATTCAGTATAGTGTTATATAAGTGTATAACCGCTATATTCGCAATATTTCAGTTGACATTGACCTTCGAAAACCAACATGGTGATACGATACCAACTGTGTTTGCTGTAAGAGATGACATACCTGATGTACAAGAGACACAGCTGAACGAGAACCCAGCACAGTTTACAACAGTTCTAGGTGGTGGTTATAGTTACACTCTGCACTGGGAAAACTACGTGCCTCAGACTTTCACTATACGCGGTGATGGAATTGAACAGTAAGGCGTAAAAGCATAATATTACATCATGTATTGCTCCAGTTGTGCATTATCATTTATTTTGCTCACTATTTCAGGGTATTGGGACCATAGATTCTAATTAACAGCAACTATGTTCTTAGCTTGGAGAGTATGATTTGCACGGAATAAATACTGGTTTTTGTAAAAACGTTTTACAACTTAAAACCTGGTTTACTGCCACTTACAGATCGTGTAAATACAAATATTTTTCAGGGGTATGTGGTTACGGTTTGGTGTTTGTTTACCACGAAATGCTAAAATTGATCTGTCTTCCACAAGTCCACAACAGCTACAGGATATGAACGACTGGGTCGCTGTAAACGGTTTACAGGAACTAGAGGCTGATGACATCGGAAATAAATATTACTGGGATCTGACAACTGGGTATGTTGAATTTCTTTTCAAATTGTTAAAATGTGTATTGAATTTTAGGTCGATCAGACGAAAGGTAACATCCCGAACAAGTTAATGATTCTTAATGATATTTTTGACATCGACGCTAGTTCCCTGTGATCGCTTGTAAACACTATGTTACTTTGTTGGTGCTTAATAATATTTATTCAAGTAAAATTTGTACAATAGAGCACTTGCGGTAGGTGTACCGAAATCGCGCGCAACTGCTGGGATTTTACAAGATCTAACTAGCATGATGTTTGTGTGTGGTTCATTTTCACTGTTCAGATGAAGATGCTGGACCCCTAATGCAATTGTTTTACACACAATCGCCTAACAGATTCCAAAAAAAGGTTAAATATTATCAGAACACAATTTGTATGGGAAACAATCTCTTGTTTTAATATATTAACACGACTTTTCGACAAGTATCCCCTTATCGTTATCAAGCACAATGAGTTAAAAGAACCTTGAATGAATGTGTGGATGGATGTTATTTTGAATTTACAAAAATTCTCTAGGACGGCCATTCCAGATTTACGGACTTGAATTCAGTATTCTTAAATCCTATGATTTTGACCCTTCTGCTACTATCAATTGTTTTAGAAGTTAAAATAGCTAAAATATTTTGTTGTACTTTTGATATACTGCTGAATTGTTTTTCTGCTTTGTTTTAATAGATTGCTGTTCTTTAAGTTCTTAAGCAATGACACAAGAGATGCAAATGAGACAAAAGAATGTGTTGCACAAGGATGTCCCAACGTCAGAATAATGGTTTTGTCGGGTGATATTTTAGACAGAGATTGTACCAGTAGAGCTTATGACACGGGTTCTTATAATAGAACGGCACCGGTAAGCTGGGAGTGATTCTTGATTTTAAATGAACCAACGATTCTTACGTTAGAATAGTGTCTTTATTTTTAACAATAAACAATATTTTTAAAACATCTACACACACATATTCCGGAATCAATGTCCCTCTCTAGCCATTGCTATATTAAGACTGAAAACTGACGAAGCGTGCCCATTCTCATCGTCCAATCAAATCTATCCTAACTAAAATATAGGGAATTTTTTGGCTATTGGAACGAAAATTCTTTGTCTCAGATCTCCGATATAAATTTCTATAAACGTATACCTATTATTACTGCCTACCTTTTAATATTCGATAATATTTATCCATTTTTGTGAAGAAGATCCATAAATTATTTATTTTATCAAAAAAGTACATGTCGTATTTCTATCCAGTTTGTTGAAACACAATACGTAATATCACAGCCCTTCACTTTGATCTGCTCTGTGGTCCAAGAGATGATAAAGATATTTCATGTGCACGGCGACTATAAATGTTTACATTGTAGCTATTTTGGATAGCCTCGTTTATCACACAATTAGTTCCTCTGCAGTATTCTGTTATGTACCAGTTAATTGAGCGTAATATATTTCTTGCGTTCTGACGTAATGTAGATGCGTTTGTCACCAGAAACTTTACGGTAACATATTTAGAGTTCTGGTTAATCCCGATTGATTTTGTTATGTCGTTTTGTACTGGTTGTTGATCGGGCTATTAACCAATCATAATTTGGGAGAGACATTTGCGCTGAGTACGACAGTGTTTGAGTGGGATTAGATCTAATCAAACGAAACACTGCGAGGAGTATGATACACACAGTAATACACAATTCAAAAGGGAATTTTATTTTTTATTTTATAAGTTCAATGTGTTCATATATAAAGGTCACGGACTATTAAGTCAAATATTGTACAATATCTCGATTTCAGAAACCAAGCAGATCACTTCAGAATCCGGTTTTACCAGCACCCACTCCTTCTCCTGGAGTAAGTTTATTGTATACACAATTAATCGATCGCTGATTTGTTACTGATTAATTCAATTGCGAATTAGGCGGTGGACGGATGCTGGAAATGCCGAGCTTTCTAGCAGAAATGGGAAATGTAATATTGACAAAATTGACAGTGTTTCAAACAGTTTGCAGTCCTTCCGATCATTCAGGCTCTAGTTGTATTTTTAAAATTATAATCGTATTATTCAAGATGTAAATCAGGAAACTCAGACTTAAATTAGTCATTTAAACTACATATTTAATTGTAGACCTATGGAGCAGGAGCTACTCTACCTTTTACAGATAGACCACTTATAGACGGTCAGTTGGGATTTTGGGATCCCTGGACTAGATGTTCTAGTTCGTGTCAAGGTATATTTTAGGACATGTATTATGGTACATTGTTGGGAATACGTTTATTCCAGTATATCAATTTGCCAGTATATGATTTAATTAATGACTAGCACGATACCCGGCTTTGCTAAGGGGTCCAATTCGCGCGGGGTCCGAATTCTCCCGGGGCCTTACATCTTCACGGGGTTATGCTGGTTAATCTTATACTATTATTATTGGCACTGGCAAAAAGATGTGATATTTTGCAGTATATCTGTTGTTAGTCTATCAATTTTTACTTTGCGATTACTATTATTAAGGACACGGAGTCGCGTCTGTTCGTTTGAAGCTGAGATCTCGTCTACATGTTGACGTGTATATGTAAAAGATCCCTTATAGCACACAACATGACGTATGCCCGTCTTCATTAGCCTGGTTATTCATTATTAAGTAGCCATGACCGAGGGGCGGATCCAGAGGTGTGTGTGTGTGTGGGGGGGGGGGGGGTATGTGAAAAGTGTCATTGTATTGTGCTTTATCCTTTATCATCGATGGTGGGATACGATGACCATTCAAAGCTCGAGTTAATGATATATACATGTGATATCACAATTAATGCTTTGAATCACAATGTGATCGTATTAATTCATAATAAGAATTGACGTCAAACGGAGTGTTGGATTTCTCTCTTTAAAAAGCTCACTGTGTATGTATGACTACGTAATTTGCGATGATGATGGCATCATGTATTGTCAACAGTCAAATAACATTAACAGAAACCTGGCTAACCCCCTCCTGCAAAAATTCCCGGATCCGTCCCTGATGACAATTTGAACTTCCTCCCTAGAAATGTATATGTGACCGAAGTATTGTGATGAGACATCAAACCCCATAACCTTTCCTTATTGTTCCTACCATGTATCATGACATCGAAGTTTAATGTTTATAAATTTCAGGAATTCAGACGCGAAGGCGCTTCTGTGATAGCCCTGTACCTCAGGGTGGTGGCGCTTCTTGTATCGGCAATAAAGTTGAAACTAGAGATTGTAACAGTGCACCCTGTGGTAAGATTAATATGAACAACATATGTATTAGGTTAATACAGGGGCGTCGATCTAGTATAGTATGCCCGCCCCCTCCCCCACTGCCTTTTATCCACCGATGTATACTAACGCATTATTTTAAAGAACTGTAAATACACACATTATTCGACACCCCAAGTCACTCTGACTCACCCAAGGGGAATAGTGATTGGATTTTCTTACGAGAGAGGAAAACACATCAAATGCTTAGACACAGTAGTAGTAGTGGCAGCTGCAGCAGACGTGGACACAACCACAGCAGTAGCAGCAGCAGTACAGATCACACGCCGGGCGTAGTAGAATTTTGTTCCCACTCATTTTTATACGCTCACATTTTCATGTGGACGTATATTGTCGTCGCCCCTGTTTGTCCGTCCGTCCACAATTTGTTTGTGGACACTCTACAGGTCACAATTTTTATCCGATTTCAACGAAACTTGAAATATAGCTTTATCTCTCTAAGATCTCGGTTCCTGTCGATATTCGCGGATATCGGATCGTAACTTCCTGAATTATGGCCCCTGATTGTACGAAAAATCGCGTTTTTAGTTTGTGGACCCTATAGAGGTCATAATTTTTATCCGATTTAAAAATCCGTATTACTATATCACCGTTACACCCTAAGGACGTGAAAATCGGCCCAGAACTGACAGACTAAATGGCCGCCGTTCGTTCTCAAATAGCCTAAAAATATGGTATATCAAGGTTGTAGACCCTATAGAGGTCACAGTTTTAATCCTATTTTGATGAAACTTGAAATGTAAGTTTATAACCCAAAGATCTCGATTGCTTTCTATATTCGCGTAACTTCCTGAATTATGGTCCCTGATTGTACGAAAAATCGCGTTTTTAGCTTGTGGACCCTATAGAGGTCATAATTTTTATCCGATTTGAAAAACCGTATTATTATATCACCGTTACACCCTAAGGATGGCTGAGTTCGAATTTCGTGAAAATCGGCCCAAAACTGACAGACAAAATGGCCGCCCTTCGTTCTCAAATAGCGTACAAATATGGTATATCAAGGTTGTGGACCCTATAGAGGTCACAATTTTTATCCGATTTTGTTGAAACTTGACATATAAGTTTATAACCCAAAGATCTCGGTTCCTTGCGATATTTGCGTATATCTGACCGTAACTTCCTGAATTATGGCCCCTGATTGGATTGTACCAAAAATCGCGTTTTTAGCTTATGGACCCTATAGAGGTCATAATTTTTATCCGATTTAAAAAAAACCGTTTGAATATATCACCATTACACCCTAAGGATAGTTGAGTTCGAATTTCGTAAATATCGGACCAAAGCTGACAGACAAAATGGCCGCCCCTCGTACTCAAATAGTGTAAAAATATGGTATATCAATGTTGTGGACCCTCTAGAGGTCACAATTATCTTTTGCTTTTTATGAAACTTGAAATGTAAGTTAATAACCCAAAGATCTTGGTTCCTTTCGATATTCGGCATATCTGAAAGTAACTTCCTGAATTATGGCCCTTGATTGTACGAAAAATCGCGTTTTTAGATTGTGGTCCTTGTAGAGGTCACAATTTTTATCGGATTTAGAAAAAAATTGTAAATATATCACCATTACACACTAAGATCATGGATCCTTTTGATAATCGCGGATACCCGAACTTAACTTCCTGGATTATGGCCCCTTATTGTTTGAAAAATGGCATTTTTAACTTGCGGATTCTCTAGAGATCACAATTTTTTTTCCGATTTTAAATATTTCACCATTCCACCATAATGATGGTTGAATTCGAATTTCGGGAAAATCGAAATGAAACTGCCCAACAAAATGCCCGCTCTTTTTTCGCAAATTGTGTAAAAGTATGCAATATGAAGGTTGTCAACCCTCTAGGGATCACATTTTTTGTCCGATTCTGATGAAACTTAAATCATATCTTTATATCCCAAAGATCTCAGTCCCTTTCGATATATGTGCATTTCCGACCATAACTTTCTGGATTATTGCCCCTGATGGTACAAAAAAACCCGTTTGTTTTTAGCTTGTTCTCTATCTATCTCTTGCAAAATGTGGGCGTATCCTGCCTGGCAGCCAATGGTCTTTGAATGTTTTACATAAGACATTTATGATATCTTTCATTTTCTTTAAGCTATAAATGGCGCATGGTCTGCTTGGCCTAGTGATTGGGGTGCGTGCCTCCCGGCGTCGCTATGTCAAGGTTACCAGGTACGAAGGAGGAAGTGTGATGCGCCAGCTCCAGAACATAACGGTGAATTTTGTGAAGGACCCACTGAAGAAGTGAGACCATGTAGAGGATGTTAATTATATCTCAAGGAATAAATAAAATGATTCTATGTTTTGGAATAAATTGTCTTCGAAATTAATTGTTAAATCTCTTTATGAAATCCCTGATAAGAAATATATTGAAATATCCGCACGCACCATGGTTTAACGTCCTACTTTTCTGCACCAATAAGGATAATTAAAAAGGGCATGTGTCATTCAGTGTGCTATGGCGAAACTTTGTCCAAGCAGCGGCGGTATGGCCTACTCTTCTTTCGAATCCTAACTGTCATGGGTTCTTTGACGTGCCCACCAACCTTTACACGGAAAGTCGGGTTTTCGTCCCATCCAAGCGATTAGACTATGTTGTCAGTCCCACCGTCCTGCGCGCGTCATCGACAATGGAATCTAAGGAATAACACTGGGATCGAAACAGCAACGCTCCGGGTTAGTGAGCCAGTGCCCCCCCCACTCTCTCTCTCTCTCTCTCTCTCTCTCTCTCTCTCTCTCTCTCTCTCCGTATTTCATAATATCCTTATATTTTCCCAAAGCATGTAACTCGACTTTTATTTTTTTAATTTTTTTTCTTCTTGCTGTATTAAATATCGTTACATCATTTACTGTGTAAAACGTGAGTTTAGAGATTTTCACGAAGTTTTAACATATTTACACAGTTCAATGTTAAGAGAATGAAAACAAACTACAATGATTTAATCTGCTAGCTCGGGTGTTGACTAACACTTGCAGTTTGGTCTTAAAGTGCAACTCGGATTTGTCGCCTTTTCAGTGGCACGTGGAGGTTGTTTCTAATTGGGTATTATGCTTAATAGTTTGGATACAAAACAACCTTGTATACAAAGTGAAAAACGAAACGTAACATTGGCAAGTAAATAAATTTAATCCACTTTCCGTTCCCGGCTTTATAAAACTTTTCCCCCTTTAAATTATATTTCATAATCGAGTGTTGAGTGTTGAGTTGGATTGATTACTAGCACTATTTGATATCATTATCGATACAAGGGTAAGTGTCTTCATAGACGTAACACATTTTGATTTATAGTGTAGGTAGATTGAAATCCCAGAAAATTTGAGTTTGACTTTAATTTCGTTCTAATAATGTCAAATTATAACTTATAGATTAACTTAGAACTTACAAACATTAAACCAGAGAGTCGGAAATGGAATTGGGTTTAACTGTTTAACTGACTAGGCTAATGAAGACGAGAATACAATGGGCTATGAGGGGAATTTAGCCCGGATAGCGACTCTAGGGCCTACCCATATTCCAAATTCTAACTGCCAAGGGTGTTTTTTTTATACCATTCGAACGACTAGACACTTTCTTTGTCAGACTCCTACACCACTGACAAGGGGGAAAACACGCTGGAAAATCACAAGGAACCTTCTAGACCAACACCGGGAGTGAACCCGAGATCTATTCAGCGAGCCAGCGTCTTGAACCACCGCGGCTGCCTAATAAACAAACAAATAGATATTAAAATTACTTATTTTCTCTTGTTTATGTTTATTATGTTTACGGTTATACATTTTAAGATCCCAAGAAAAGATTTGAACTTTCAAAAAGAGATATACTTTGCATGAATGTAACTGAATGATTATCACTTGCCCCACGCTCTTATCCCTCCTTAATCTTGAATCTACTGTTTAGCCATTGTAATTGTTCGAATTTTTAAATACTAGATTCAAATTACGGCCAGGCCAAAAAAGAAATATTGCGACCCAATTTCTATACTAAACCCCCAAATTAAAATAAATTGCCAAATCAAGCAATAGATATTTATAAATTTCTTGAGTTTTGGATACTGCTAGTGAAATATCATTACGATATAAGACAATCATGAGATATGTAATGATTTATGTATTAATATACATGCCACGTTATTTAGTTAGATTTAGTATTAGTAGAATCACAGTCTATATATCTTCCTACTTAACATATTTCAAGATTTTAGCCTATTTTGTCACCTTTACCTCCACGCGTCAAGTCAAATATTATATATTTGATTTAAACTTCTCAAAGATTAAAGGACGCAGCCCCCATCGTTTGGGTGGTAAATGCAAGTTCTAATTTTACTAAATTCAGATGTTTCTCGTTTTAACGGGTAAACCATTATGATCCGAATACTTCCATTCACGGTTAAGAGTTTCTTTTTTACCGGGCGAAGTATACAGATCAGCCCAATAGATTTTCTTTGGGACCTTCTACCCATATGTCTCAATTAATATTTCTCAAGATCATTTATACATTCACTGTGTGCTTTACAAATCATCGCGAAAGGCAAACCACCTGCTAGTTAATATGCATCAAAAAGTTATGAAAATTTCAACAGTCAGTAATTTGAAACGCCATTTGGCATCTTTAGACGTTATAGTAATACTCTTCTACAATTTTCCTGAGCATTTGCAGACAACTTGACCAAAAAGACTTTTTGAAAGAACTACTGAGATGAACCCGCTTTATTTTGACTTAATTCAAAGGGAACCTGAGGCTGTGAAGATCTCGCAAATTAAATCTTCGCGTACATAACTTTACGTCCGCATTTTGCAATGGGGCGCTAATCGTTCAATCCTAAACTTTTTGGGGGGAAAGTTCATTCATTATCACAGTGTATAATCGTGTTTGCGCACATTTCTCTAATGTGAATTTAACTACTTGATTTGATGAAGATATGCATAAACCCACAAGATATGGGTATAGTATAGTGCCACTATCCAGGCAAAATTTCCCACAGAGCAATGTGTATGGCGAATGTCCGTCTTCATTAGCCCATTCGGCGCAGAATAGTAGAACATTAAAGTTAAACCCAATTTCATTGCATTCATAAGTTAAGTAAAACATTAGAGAGTGCTCCTTTAAAATGTAGAGTAATAAAGAGGAAGAGAGTCACCGTGTTTCATTAATATTCAACTTTTCTTGTTTTTCTCTAACACAGTGTGATATTTTGTGCCTTAATCGTATATATTGTAGTTGATGAGAAGTGACTGCCTCTTTTGATCTTCAACTAGTCTGCAAAGTACTTTTTAAGACAGTTTAACCTTTACAAATCGCCATGTTATGCCAATATTAAACAAACGGTAACAAGTGATAAACTTTTCAAAAACTTATGTAATATTTAACTCCTCGAACGTGAACAATACAAGTTGAGTGAAGAGATTCTGTGTTTTGGCTGATATTACAATGTGTTCAAATAAATTCAACATGTTCTTAGTGTTATTAGTGGCCAGTTTATTGGTCAATTTATGGAATGTTAATGCCATGTGTCCAGATCAAACTGAGGGATTAATGAGATGGTCAGATGCTGGGACGTGGCCGGAAAATACCGTAAGTATGAATAAATTATCTGTTATTGTTTTCGGACGGTTCTCGAAATTCTGTTAATCTGATTAGATTCCGATGTTTTTATTTTTTAATTGCTTTCTTTCGTTTTATATTTCGTAATTTATATTTTACCGATAGATAGAGTATAGATAGGGTGGATTTTTTAATTACTTTTCTGCACCGACTAGGCTTATTATGACGGGCATACGCCATGCAGTGTGCTGCTAGGGGGGGGGGGGGAATACTGCCCGAACAGCGGCGCTACAGCCTATATACTTTTACCTGCACGCGAATGTGTACACGGGACCTCGGGTTTTTGTACTATCTCAACAACTAGACAGCTGTCCGTGTCAGGTCCTGACAAGGGGAAACCACGCCGAAATATCCCGAGACCTCCAGGCTAGCGATCCAAAGTTTTACTCATTGAGCAACCGCGGCGGCTCCCAAATATATTAAAGGTGACGATATAAAATATTATGTATTACCATTGCTCTTAAAGAACAGTCAAATTCAGAAAATAACATCCTTAGCATCACCTTATTAATAACAGAAATCAGTCTCATCTACTCGAATTACTGGCCGAGAAAAAAAAATTTAGGCCAAGGTACTAAGGCAGTAAATATTTGTAAGCCGTATGATTCCAAGGTCTAGCTTTAAGTTTTGATACCCTGTAATAAGTTTTATATAAAAAGAAAGTAAGAGTAAAATTATATTTTATGAGGAAAGATTAAGATTAAATTTGTCAAGGTTACTATTTGTTTTATGATGAGTAAAATTCCACCCTTAATATCCAACTTCAAACTTATACATATATACATATCTTTGGTGAAAGTGAACCGTTTTCACATTAATGTTTTATTTATATATACCAGAAAGTAAGTAATAAACCTAATAACGTACAGATAAATATACAAACGTTTTTTATTCCCCCAAATTATATAACATTTTGTTGATAGTGACGGACCAATCAGCATTTGGAAGCAAAGTCCGTCACAATAAATTCAACTTACAAAAATATTTGATTTTCATAATCGGATGAATTTTGTTAATGCCATAAAGTTAATGCCATAAAGTTTTAAAATTCTGACTTTCGATACCTGGGGTATTCCTAATGACCAAACAGAAAAATAAATATACAACATCTGGACTTGGATTTATAAGCTCACATTTTGATTGATCTAAAGCAAATATCTATTTATTGTTTTATGAAAACCTACTATACATACAAATATTTGTAAGATAAACGACAGGTGATATCAAACAAACAGTTCATGTTCATAATTAAATTTGGAGAAATTAATATTGCTATGGCGGACCTGTTTCCGCTAATATTCATGTTTTAAAATGTCACAAATTGTTACAGACTAACAATTTCGTCTAAAGCGCAGCATGATCAACCAGACTTCAGCTCTCTTTGGTCATCGTGAACTAGAGTTTAGTAAAGAATTCAAACGTGGAAAAACAAAGGGGTGAAATATCTGTGCGCAACATCCTAATTTCCTGCGTTAACCGGTAAAATTTATAGGAAATAAAGGCTATGAGAGAAATTTTGCCGCCTACCCTTATTGAATTCAACTGTTGATAACCGTTTCTTTTACCGGTTGTCAATGTGAACACGGGACCTCGGTTTGTGACTAATCCGAACGACTCTAGAGACGGAATGCTTTGCCAGGCACCCGCCCTTCACCACTGCCCATTGTGCAGGCCTGAAATAACCAAGGAACGTTCTGATGGCGGCCAACGCTTTAGTCAAAGGTTTTCAATTTCATATTTAATTATTTTATTTCACTATAGACTGCGAATATCATGTCCAGGAAAAATGTACCGTATCAACTTGCATGGTATTTATCTTTGTTTTGCTCTTTAGAATGTTCGGGTATTACCTGTTAAATTAATATCACCATATTATGGCCGTTATTTCAGAAACCAGACTATAATGGTAAACTATATATAACTACTCCAGTTTTATTGGATGAAAGTCCTCCTAAACTTCACGCTATTATTATACAACCCGGTGGAAGATTAATATGGAGTACTGAGGGGGACTATACAGTCTATGTAGAGTATATTTTAATACATGGTCAAATGGACATAGGTTCAGAAGACTGTAAATATGAGAGAAAGGCACGGATAGTATTAACAGGTAAGTTAAAGGAGCTAAATTGCTAATCTTTGGCACCTAGAAATGGACATAATAATGTAATATAAATGTATATAAACTGATTTACATTCAATCTTTTCTGTTTTTACTGATATTTCTAATAATTTAAGTTCGGCGAAATACGCGAAGGATCTGAATTGAATGTCAGTTTTTGGCGTCTGGTTATTACAGTCACACAATTAGTATTCTCCTACCTACATGGGATATGTTCAGTGACGTTTATCGAGTCGCTTCATACAACTGGCGCTCGAAAGCCAATTTTAAAATTTTCATTTTGTTACTAATAAGCCCCCCCCCCCTCCCTCTCCGTTTCCCAGCAAGCCTCTCGAGAAATACAACATAACAGATAACAGAAAGAAAAAAACACCACCAGAACAGATAGTACACGTCATACAAACTCTCCGAACGTAAAAAGTGTTTTCATGAAAAGATAAAACTGTCCGAGGCGTCTTGCATCCTTCTCTTGTATCCACAGAAGAACAACCGTTTTTCGATGCACTAGACCGAGACTGTCATCCCGCCCTGCCCTAATGAGTATTTTGTCTTATCGGTTTACCCTTTTCAGGTTCAACGAATAAATTAAAACAAAACTAGATTTTGAGATAGTGACTGGATTGCATTTAGCTTAGAACAGCTCATCCTTGTAAAATATAACAAAGGGTGACACCTTGTTTATTTAATGTAATATCCCGACAAGAAACACTCGAAACCAAACTAAACCAATCCTTAACGTGTTTCAAATCTACTGACTTCCATAAAGAAACACATACAACAATATTAAGAGTTTGAATTTCAGGCAATCGATTTGATTATGATCCAGTTATTCTTGAAGAAGGCCCGTTTGTTTTTAATGAGAAATTTATCGGAATCGCCCCAGGTGGAACATTGGAATTACATGGACGAGAAAAGACATCTTGGACTAAACTTACGAAAACTGTCGAAAAGCTCTCCCCACGGAATGGTCTAATTTATGCACACGAGGTTTGTAAGAAAACGTTGTTTTACTTTACAATAACATAAATGACTATACTGATCTTCTAAAAAAATATACGTTCAAAAATTTAATAATAAATAATTTTTGTTTTTATCTTCGAAAGCAAGATAATTTTTGAGCGGATTTTACAAGAGGGAATAAAGGGCCATAAGGAAATTCACAGATAAATGTAATAATGTTGTTTAATCTTCGACAGCAAAATATACGTTCAAAAATTTAATAATAAATAATTTTTGTTTTTATCTTCGAAAGCAAGATAATTTTTGAGCGGAGTTTACAAGAGGGAATAAAGGGCCATAAGGAAATTCACAGATAAATGTAATAATGTTGTTTAATCTTCGACAGCAAGCGAATTTTTGAGAGAAGTTTTATATGGGGAAATAAAGGGCAATAATGTTAAAACACTGATTGTTTAAAGCAGTTTGATCTTAGTCCATATATTAATCGTTAAAATTCTTCTGTGCAAATTTATTTTTCGGAACAGTGTGGTTGAAACGAATGTGTTGGGCTTTAAGAAAATTACTTTTAAAACCAAATTTATTGGTTGCTTCTGGAAAGTAGTTTACCCGGTCGGCTCTCCAAATAACTTTCCAAATGTTGATACCTCGATCGATACTTAATCAGTTTTAACAGATCAACTTTTCACAGTTTGTCAGTTGAAAGGATTGGTAATTTTGTGCCGAATAGAAATGTACTTCTCGCAATATCTAAACAATCCTCTCTTCGAATCAGGATTCTGAAGTTGCTGATGAAGACAACTGGAAACCCGGATTACTTGTTTACGTCATTGATGAAACTACAGGTTATCCAGTGTTCGGAAAATACTATTATCTTGGTGGTAATGATCCATATTGGTCAACAGCTGATCTATCAGAACTTGTCGATATGTTAAATAGTAAGATAATTATTAATCCATGTTTCTAAATTATGATTTAGATTTATTTATATTTATTTTATATACAGTGCCAAATTAGAACAGCAAGAAACAAAGACAGTAGATCAAATTAAATCTATATTCCCTTCCCAGGCAATATTTTGACACATATTTCATTCTGAAGTTTTTGAAAAACTTGATTCTAGATTATCAGGTACTTTTAACGCAGCGTTCATTGACGTTTGTCTAGATTATTTTGTGATACATGTGTGACTTCAAATATGACGTGTTTGACATTTTGTACCCTCTTCCAAGAGATTATAAAAAGCTTTGTATAGTTGTTCTAATCTGCTTAATAACAGTAATAAATACTTGTTTGGGTATTAGTTATTTATTAACCTTAAAATAATATTTCTATCGTCCTTCTGTTAGGCCCCCTTTCCATGTTGGCGTAACCGCTGTGAAAAACAAGATCCTATGCAAATGTAACTGGACCGTTTCCTTGTTTCCATTAGCTAGCCTAATGTTGTCAATTTTTTAAATCATACATAAACTAGTCCTTGGATTAATTCGGGTAATTTAATCCAAAAAACTATAAAATTGATATTATACACAATGGTATTTATATAATAGATGAGTGTGTATTAGCACAGTGTATACTATCCATATCCCACTTCAATCATCGCTGTCTTTAATTTTTGTGTATAAAGTCGTGGACTTTCTTTCTAAAACAATTTTATTTACGTAATAGATGTGGACCCTGGTAGAATTATATCTCTAGCTGTGAATAAAAATGCCGTTGATACATCAGTAGATCTAACCCCATTAGCTGAAGCTATAGAAATGATCATGTATGGAGCAGTAAATGGTGCTTCTTCAATTCGAGGAATCTCCAATAACGATGCATATACGTTAGTCGCACAGAAAGGTAAGGTGTAATATAGATGTATGGAGCGCCAATACGCCAGCAATGGTGTACTTAGTATAATATATTATCCGTATGTTTATCTCCCAACTTCATTTAATATTAAAGATGCCTTATCATGTATAAACTGTAGGATTTGATGATATATTTGGACTAAAAAACATATTGAAACTAATTTATCTGTTAAAAATTGATTTGTCATGTGACTTGATTGACGGAGGGTCCATCTCCAGATTGATTGCATTAATTGTCGTTACTAGATGTCATTATACCATAAATATCGAAGGGAAGTGTATTCTTGGACTATCCTCTGTCAACTCCCTTTCTCGCCGTTGAATTGCAGATTCTGCTGTATGTTTAAATCTCCCACTGTTCACATAAACGCTAGCTATTCAATCATCAAGTCCCAATTTATGATACAATTACATTTTTGTCTTGTGCAAGCCCCATAGATGTTTTTCATGGAATCAGATATTATTCTAACAAGAATGCTTCTTGGGAAATAACTTCCCTATAAATACTGTCGTGGATATGCATCTTTAAAGGAGACAGTTCACCTAGTTCTCTTAATATAAAGATAACACTAGAACGATGATAGCAAGTGCAATCAACTTTTAAAACTGTCTAGGCACCTCCGACTGGTACATTCACCCGTGCGACCCTCGGTGCCTGTATACGCATTATTTTTTTTATATAAACAATAGTTTTATTCAGGATGTCTGAATGGGATTGGGGAACAGGCTTAGCCTATGTAAATCCCCTCTCCCTATATAATATACATTCATAATATTAAAACAAAGAAAAATATTGAAATAAGATTTACCATATAATGATAGTTCCGAAATGACCTAGTTTATGTTCAGTGCACTTGACCCCTCCCCCCCCCCGTCCTTTATATTGTGCTAATTCTTTATTACACCTTCCAGAGTATTACTGACTGTCAAATAATTCAATTCTACAAAATTAATATTTAAAAAGGCGTATCTAATTTAAATTATCTTAAACCCCCTTAAAAACCTCTAAATATTGTCTTGTTTTGTAGGTAATTCTGAAAAGTTCAATGAAAATATATCACCCAACCATGGAACATACACACAATACGCTCGATCTGATCTGACTTTCTGGGACCTAGGTATAAAGATTTTATCAGAGAGTTATATTAATAATCAACTAGATTATAAAAGTTGGGTTGATTTAAGAATAGCGACAACAGATGGCGCGTATCCGGTTCTCCATCTTCTCGATGACGTATCATCATGGAACGTTGGTAAGTCTTATTAAATGGCGTAACATATTAATTATAATATATTTAACTCATAAAAATGACAAAAAAGGAGAATCATTTATTAAAATAACTAACAGCAATTTACTATGATTTTTAATATAGTAGATTGTAATTAGTTTTCTTACTTTCTATGTTTTACCAGGTGATAAGGTTGTGTTATCATCAACTGATTATAGTTGGGAACAAACCGAAGAAGCTGTACTTGTTCATTGTCCAGATTGTTCTTCTAATCAAATAAGAGTTGAGAGTAAGTATTAAATTTCTCATATTATGTAAAATAGATATTGAATTACTGGTTTATTGTAACGTTACCTAGTGTTGAATTACTCGTATTGTGCAACGTAAATATTGAATTACTTGTATTTTCTAACGTATGTATTTGGATTACTTGTATTTTCTAAAGTACATGTACATGAATCCGATAAATCCATTCAACAGTGATAGTTGACATTTGGAACTGCTTAGTTAACTTTGAACACACAAACAATATGAATAAAATTGACGAATCCATTCAAAGACCATATTTGACCTTAGGAACAGCTTAGCTAAATTTAAAACAAACAAACAATATGAATAAGCTGACCAGTTTGATAAAAGACCATACAATTCGTTTGAATGTGATGAATTAACTCATTTGAGCACACTTTCTTCTACAGTGGATTCCAAATTTATGCATTTTGGTGAGGTTATTGATGGAGTTGACGAGAGGGGAGAAGTTTCTCTTCTTACCAGAAATATACTGATAGAAGGTCAGATGCAGTATCATTGTCCACCTAGTAACGGCAACTGTGATAAATTTAATTATGATACATTTGGTGGACACATCAAGGTAAAAGTAATATTAATACGCTGTAATTAAATTATCTCTCCGGGGAATGAATATCGGGGACAATGGAGTTTTGGCGCATTCTTAAACTGGCATAGTGAATTCTGTCCAACAAGTAAAATTATTTGAATTATACACAAATATAAGATGAAACGTATTATTTATATTTTTAAGACGGTGGTAACAAAAGTATACAGGTAGCACAAAATAATCTAGACTAACGCCATGGCTACTGGTTAAACGAGAACTTAAATCACCTTTGTTTGAGTGGAATCGGTTGAAACGTTTTGCAAACCATTATATTTTAGAATACTGTCTTCATTCATGTTGGATGTAGTATTACAGCAATACCTTGTTATTTAAAAGATGTTGTTGTACATTTCAGTTTGTAAGAGGATTTGAGAATGGCCATATCGAAGGCGTTGAGTTGTATCATATGGGGCAACAGACTGGAAAAGGTAACGACATGTTCTCAAGTTGAACGATGCATACCATATTAAGTATGAATGATCAAAAAGAAAACAGGGATATTTTGCCCGGGCAGCGGCACTATGGCCTACTCTTATATCGAATTCCAACTGCCAAGGGATCTATTACGTGCACGCCATATGTATATATGGGACCTCCTTCCTGCACCACTGACAAGGGGAAACCGCGTCAGAAAATCCCGATGATCTTTCTCGGCCAATGCAGGGATCGTACACGCGACCTCCAGGCTAACGAGCAATCCAGTGTCTTGCCCACTTAGCCACCGTGGCTCACGCAAATAACTGAATTAGACAATTACAGACACATTTTTACCAAGTGAAGGTGACGTAGTAGTTGATTAAGATTGTACGCTGTGTAATTAGATTTCATTTCTTCGGGAAATTAGGCATATTTTGTATATTTTAGGTGAAATTCAACTATTTTGTATGGTTCCCTGCTTTCCAGACGAGGGGGCCTCCCATTCTTCCGTCTTTCCATCATACCCTTTAAAACAACTATATTTCTAGTGCATGGGTCATGATAAAATTGCATATTTAATTGACTTATTGCCATCTGATTGGTTGATTGTTTGTACCCCACAGTAAGTTTACATCTTATGAACTGATTTTGATCAAACATAAACTATAATGCAATCAACTGATCAGATTCGAATACAATCCTTCACTGCATATTTAGTTAGAAAACTTAGAAACGCAATGACTTCTAATGCAAAAATAACAATGTCTACCTTAATATTAGTGCCATCCGCACATATTTTTTAAAATTTACTGCAATTTGATTGGTCGATCATTTGAAATGCAATTACTGTACTTTTAGCATATTGAATGATTTTGATTAAACTTGAAACAAATCGTGATTGTGACAGTCTCCAACATAAATTGGAATATCAATATGATCTCCGCGTATTTAATTAATCTACAATAATCCGATATCAACTAAAGTAAAATATATATATAATATCTTTAAAAAATGTCTTTAGATCGAGACCCCATATCAATTTGAATGTTGAATTACTCGAATTCAGATGATTGTTGGTAATCTATCCTTCACTGATAAAATATTCGGCTGGACACAACAGTTACCTCAGTTTGTTAAATTTCAGGTCATTATCCAATACATTTTCACATGGCGTATGAATATGGACACAAAGAGAATCCACCGTATGCTAATTATAATTCCGTTCACAAATCATACGCTAGATGTTACACAATACATGGAACCCATGGTATAACAGTAAGTACTTCTAGTCTAACACATCATGAACGATTATCATGTAAACTGGCATTTCATAGACATCATGAATGGTTAACTAGCATTTTATACACATTATGAATGGCAAACCTAGTATTTCGTGCACATCATAGATGGTAAAACTACCATTTCATGTACACCATAAATGGTAAACCCAGCAATTCATACACATCATGAAGGGTAAACTAGCATTCCATACATATCATGAAAGATTTTCAAGTAAATATAGCATTCGATACACACCATGGAGGTTGCTCAAGTAAATATAGTATTCCATGGCCATCACATCATGAAGGGTGTTTAAGTAAATATAACATTCCATGGCCATCATGAAGTTATTTGTTTCCACGTTATATGTAATAAATAAATTGATTTGTCTTTCAATTTCATGTAGCAAACAAAAACGTTGAGCGTACTTTTATTTTGATTTAGCGTTCGCCCGTTACTAAATACGACATTAAAAATGTGTTCATTCACCTTTGCTAGTCGTTCGAATGTCAGCCCCACCCCCTCCTTACAATCACGTATCACTGTAATATCGCATTTTAGTTAAAAGGTAACGTTGGCTATGACTGTTTGGGCCATTGTTATTTTCTGGAAGATGGTGGCGAGAAAAGGACAGTATTTGATGGTAATATTGGTTTATCAACGAGAAAAGGATTATTAATACCATCTGATAGGTGAGATAATCTATTGAAAGGTTATTAGATGTGGAATTTCATTTTAAAATAATAGAACCATGTATTTAAATCCCCCTCAGATATTGCCAGGACAATCGTGGCTATAAGGTGCATAATAAACGTAGAAATAGATACTGATATATATGGAACATCTAACAACATCCCTCAGAAAATAATCTCGTTTCCTAATTTTTAAAATTAATATTTTAGAAAATTATGTTTTCAGTGAACCAGCTACCTACTGGATTACTAATCCATTGACTTACTTCAGAAACAACGTTGCAGCGGGGTCTGAGGTAATATTTAATATTTCGTCCCTTACGAAAAATAAGATCGGTAATGATAAACAGACAAATTTAAAGCTACAATTTCATATTTTTAAGTTATATTTTTAAAATTTATTAAAATAAAGCCTTAAAATAGATGGTATCCAGAAACCGTCCTACCTTGTTATAGAATAATCATATTAATCCTATAATTCACTATTGCCAGCTGAGAAATTGGCAAAAATATCATTTTCAAGTTCAAATTCCAACGTTTGAAGGTAGCTAATGCATGGAGGCAATAGGAAAACAAGGGAGGTAATTGTGTTATTATTTCCTGTGTCAATGATTTTTAAGGGTGGGAAATAATGCCCATGGTCGTATAATAGTGAATTGATAACCTATTGAGCAAAAGACAGAAAGTTTTGACTTTCTTAGAAAATATGAAATTCCCGCTTTAAGATGTTTGTCCAAAAGCTTATAATTTGAGCACTCCAGGTTATAGCAAACATTTTGTTATGCAAATATATGACATTATGCTATTACATTGTTGAATATTAAGTGTATAATAAATATTTAGACCTTAATGTTTATGTTATTTTGGTATTTTAGAATGTAGGTATATGGTATATATTTCCCGATGCACCAGTTGGGTTAACTGTGGGGTTACCAGGCTTCATGGAATATGACGAAGCTAAACATACACCTTATTTAGAATGGAATAACAACGTAGCACATTCTAACCCGTTTGTAAGTATAATGCATTCAGACTTAAGTATAGTAAACTTGGTTCATGTCCCTCGTACTTATATTCTCTTATCATCTCGCACCTGCATTCTTTTATTCCCAATTCCAAATATAGTGAATTCGATAAGGAGTGTATTGTCTGGTGCCACTTCCCGTATTAGTTTCTCTCATGCGCCCCTAGTTAAATATCTTCGTTATAGTTCTCTTAAAGATACGTTATATAAGATTTAGATAAAGACCTAGCCATTCAAATTACTCTATTGCAAGCGAAGATATTAGCCTTTGAAGGTTTGACAGACGTGTGCAATAAGTTCAACCACCGTACTGGTTGATCGAAGCTAAGTCTTGGTCCTCCTTATTTGATTAAATCAAAGTATCGCTGAACCATTCTAATCTATTTAATATCGGAGAAATCTGATGCCATCAAGAGTTGATTAAGGTGTGGATCAGTTACTTAATGTCTAATTAATGCTTTAGAAAACGTTTCAGGCCTAAAGAAAGACCTTCAATAGGCAGATTTAGCTCTTGCATAACGCATGTTTAAGAGCTGACGATCAATATTGTTTTGACCTTATAACCCGCACACACTTGCCGAAAATAGTTTCACGTATTGTGTACTTATAATAAAGTGTAAATATAGTTATTTTCTCCTTACATACACTGTATATCAATAGGGATTATAATTCTCTCCCAGAAAATAATTATCATATGTAAGTAAGGAAAATCCAAACACTTGAGTAAAGATCATGATTGTTCGTTAAAGTCTACACATCTGTTCTGATTCATCAGTTGAAATTTAAAATGTGTATATGTCCCAGCAATGAGGCCTGTCAAGGAAAATCGTCTTATCCTTCGGATGGGATAAAAATTTAGGCCTGACAGTTAGAAATCAGTTGCAAAATTTCCCACATAGCACACGACATAACGTATGCCCGTCGTCATTAGCCTGGCTTTTGAAGGAAATAGGACGTTAAACCCAAATTCATTCATTCATTTAGTCTCAGCGATGTCGGAAGCCACGGTGGTTCGCTAGCCTAGGGGTCACGGGTTCGCTCCCGGTTTTAGCAGAGAAAGTTCATCGAGATTTTCCGGCGTGGTCCCCTTGTCAGTGGTGCAGGACAGCTGTCTAGTCGTTCGGATGGGACGACAAACTGAGGTCCCGTGTACACATTGGAGTGCACGTAAAAGATCCCTTGGCAGTTGGAATTCAATATAAGAGTAGGCCTTAGCGCCGCTGTCCGGGCAAAATTTCCCTCATAGCACACTGTATGGTGTATGCTCGCGTCTTCATTTAGCCCAGCCGGATCAGAACAGTTGGACGTTAAACCCCATTTCATTTCATTTCGCAGCGATGTCTAAACAGATTTGTCTTAAAATGTCCAATAAATCTAATTTGCTATAATGCTATGGACAGAACTGTGTATTAATTCCCTTTCTTGTCGGTTATTTTTTCTATGTCAATCAGTATGTAAATACGTGTAAATATTGTATACTTATGTAATTATTTACATGCTCTAGGCTGGTCTATACATAGATGAAAAGGTTTTCCCTGATGACACGATCGGTGGAGATAATGATTATGCACCGCGAGAAGATCCACTTGACCCTGATTCTCCCCCAGTAAGTGTTGACATCATCAGACCAACACGTAAGTATATTAAAAAGAAAAAAGACACACCTATACAATGTCAAATGAAATCGTTCAACATCCTTTTTTTTTTGGTAATTTTGCAAACTAGGGGAAATCCTCTCTCGTCACAAATAAATAAAAACCCTTTATAAATGTTTAAGAAAAAGTTGTATTATGTTGCAAGTACCTTTTCTAGGAATCGGCTATTTAATTGCATTATAGGAAAAAACCCACCCCTCCCCACAAATAAATACAAACCTTTTATAAATGCTTAAAAAAGAGTTGTAAAGGTATATTATGTTCCAAGTACCATTTACTTGCATTTCTAGGAATCTACCATTTAACTGCATTTCTAGAAATCTAAACGTGTATGTTGTAAAGAGTTTATAAATAGATGTATCTACGGTATGTCGAGTCATCCCATGTTGTACTATAAGTTAACCAGGAAATACATTCATAAATTAGTTTTGCACTAGGTTTGCACACTAGAAAATTTAGTATATGTGCAAGTTTATCAAATATCTCCTCCCCTATTGCCAAACCCCCCTCCCCCCCTATCACCACCAGCTCAAAACCCTTATAAATATAATAAACATGGAATTACAGATTCTTTATAGACTGCCTTGTTCACGACGCCCATCACTGTCATATTATTAAATTAAAATTATTTTTTTTCCTCACAGTTTATAAAAACAGATATCACAATGCATGGATACGAGGAGGAGGCTTTAATGTTATTCACGGATCGTACGTATTCTTATCTGTATTATCATTATTATTGGTTGCTAGCTGTTTTCCCGGCTTGCACAGGTATAGCCCCCCCCCCCCACCCTCCACCCGAAGCCGTATAACCCCATAAGTGCAAGGCGATCAGCCAATGTTACTGACCGGCTCTAGCTGCTACTCTTATACCTCGAAATTCACTCCCGGGACAGCCATAGCGTAGCCGCCAAGCCCGAACACACAAAGCGATAGGTGTAATTGTCATTTAGTGAAATTTTTAATTATTTAAATGATCTTATTTCCCTAACCGCACAAAGATACATACAATCTAACTATAAGAAACCTTTTCTTTACAGATTTGCTGACAGTGCTATTGGTATAACATTTGCAAGGTTCGTATATGGGATTACATGTTAAATTTATAATCTATTACAAAGAATGGAAAAAGCAGTAATCTATAAAGCAGCATTTATCATATATTTCCAAAAAAAACCCAACCAAAAATGATATCACATGCTCTAGAATATTATCTCGTGATATGTGCAGATCAACAGAGCTCCCCATTTGATTTGTATTTAAACGGTAACAACGGATGTAACCTAACTGTCCACCAATAGAAGAAGCGTCGGTTCTAAAATCAAAGTAAAGCTTATTTGTTCATTTACTGATAGGTGTTGTGTATGGGGCAATGTATAGGGACTGCTTCAATACAACTGTAATCTGGAAAAACTTGTACGATATTTGAAAAATAATTGTACAGATAATTTTGTGCTAAGAATTGCCCAAAATATTCGTAAGGGCGCGGATTAGTGTTCGGCACGAATATTCGCTCGGCGAATATAATATTCGAATATTCGAATAGCAATTACCATATTCGAATATTTTCGAATATCTATTATTTATTCTATTTACTCTCAAATATTATTAAATGCGACTTTCCTTGCAACATTTACACTCAAAGCTTATTTAAATTACCTAATCGCAGCTTGTAAGGGTTCTACCCCTACAGAGATCTACCGTCTTCAGAGACAGTTATTCGGTAAGTAGCTTGTTACCTACTTTGGTTAGCCAGTTAGTTCCGCGATGGCGTTGGCTGTCTTGAACATAGAGGTGTGTATATTGGCAATATATACACCTCCATGGTCTTGACTAATATCACATCAAGGCTAATCTTTGGAACCTCATGGAGTTGAAACATGGCTACGTAGCTCCAGATACTTCATCAGCACGGGACGTGGGATCAGGCAAGATGCAGCCAACAGCAAGAAGTATGACAAGATTCAGCGCAGCAAAAAACATCACTAAGAAATTGATCAAGTTTGTAGCCAAGCATTATCAGCCCCTCTCTCTTATTGACAATGTCCATTTTCGGGAATTGGTAGAAGCCCTGAATCCATCACACAATTTGCCGTCAAGTAAAACACTAAAAAAAAAAAGAATGGACGAAATCTATGATGTCGTTCGTTCCGACTAACGTCAAATCAGGAATGACCCAAGTCAGACGTTAGCCTCTGTGACCACAGATGTATGAACATCAGATGAACAAAATGAGTCTTGCATTAATTTAACCGCTCATTTTGTATCACCAGATTGGGAGATGATGGCTAAGACTCTGGAAGTAAAATCATGTCCAGGTTCACATACCTCGGATAAACTAAAAGAGCATCTGACGGAGCGTCTACTTGTTGCGATGTCACGGAAGGCCGAGTCTTGGGTTTTGTGTACAAATTGTTGGTTTACGTAAAAGATCCACTGACAATTGCTAAAATATAATCTTGTGCATTGTTCACATGTCAACAGAAATTTCACGTATTTCATAATTAATAAGAAATTATAATAAATTGAATATAAACCACTTTAAATATATTTCTATTAAAAATTGAAAATATTCGAATAGTATTCTTGTTCGGATATCCGAACACTAGCGCGGATGATTGTCGGGAATATGGGCGAATCCCTTCTATATTAAACAGGCATTATGCAAAAGCTAATTCTGCCTATTGCAGGTCTTTCTTTCGGCCTGATATTTTATATAAATTATTAATTAGACATTAATTAAATTACCAAGACCATATTCAAATCTCGATGACACAGGATGGCAGCGATATAAGTAGATTTCAATACGTTTTGTGGTCGATGCGGTTACCATAAAAAGGCATAGTGCGATATCACCTCGGTGGAAGCGGACGTAAAATACAACTAACTCATCATCAACTTTGATTATTATAGTAACAACTGTAGGAATTTCTATATAGGCTCGACAATAATTGTATAGCCAATATATAGCGAAAACTGTTGATTGTTGACTAAATAAACAAAAATACAGATTTCAATAATAATTATAATAATAGTATTACAATTATAATTCATGCATGCCAAGAATTTACATCTAAAATCTCATTTAAGATACAAACATATTATTACAAAACATGTGTTTGGTCACCAAAACTCGACATGCCAGGTGTTTGGTCACCAAAACTCGACATGCCAGGTGTTTGGTCGTCAAAACGCGACATTTTGTTTTGGATGAATCAACACCTGGGGTATATTTACATATTCAGGAATCTGTAGGTAGGCCTACTAACAAAATAGATTTCGGATCTGAAAAGAATGTAGCTTTGGATTCACAGAAATTAACAGTGCTACATATCCGTACATACAGCGACTATTGGACTGATGGACAACCTATAAAGCTTTTTTACGCTATCATTTATTTCAGATCCACTGACCAAGTTCAACATTTAAGTGATTCTGTTATAATAGGCCAATCTAGAAATATAGGAGAGCCAACTAAATTATTTGATGATGATGAAGTTATTTCCATGCCACGTTCATTTGCAATCGCTAGTGATGTGTAAGTAAATTTTTAATATTTGAAAGAGAGAGAGAGAGAGAGAGAGAGAGAGAAAGAGAGAGAAATGGGGTTTAACGTCCACTCGACCCAAAGTAGGTCATTTCGGGATTAACATAATATTGGTTTAATTTTATTTCAATAATTCGCTTGTGCGTAGGGGTCTTTAGCAGGAGGAAACCGGAGGACCCGGAGAAAACCCACACGGCCGGAAAGGCGACCCTACTCCTTATCACCTACAACCGGGGATTCGAAACCACGCCAGTTGACTCAATGGCAGGCCTTATGATACAGCACGCACGTGCTAACCATTCGACCATCCAACCCCCCATTAATATTTGAAATGAAATGTAGTGGGGTTTAACGTTCTACTGTTCTGCTCCGACTGGTGCTCTGAGGGAAATTTTGCCCGGGCAGCGGCACTAAAGCCTACTCTTATATCAAATTCCAACTGCCAAGGGATCTTTTACGTGCATGCCAATGTATACACGGGACCTCGATTTTTCGTCCCACTCGAACGACTAAAGAGGTGTCCCGTTTTAATACGCCCACGTGTTAAGATTAATGCACCTTAAATGGGGATAACCAGATATTTATAATATTGGTTTCAATGTTTAGATTCATGGGATGGAGTGAGGTGAGTTCGAGTTTCTACAGATGCGGAATTCTTTCATAAAACTATCTTTTAGATAATCCCATGTAAAATTTACCGAGAAAAAGGCAGCCGAATGCAGCTAATCAAATCAAAAAGTAAAATACAATGCAAAACTATTTTTTAATCGGTTAAAAATTATTTTTTATATAGCATCATGGACTGTTGTAGAAATCAGAATCTTGAGTAATAATACATGAAGCAATTTTCCTTGAAACTATTTAATACAAAAAAAAACCAACCGTATACAGAATACATGTACATAATAATATTATATAAGCAACGTTACTAATAACAATTGAATAGTAAGATTAGAATATAAAAAGCAATAAAACTCATTTAAATAAAATTGTAACGGATCAAAAATTCACGCGTTTTTTTAGTTGATTTGGGTATTTCACCCACGCATATTATTAGTTTTAAATTGAAATTTAATAGATTCAGGCTTTTTTTTGTTGTAAGCCTTTAAGGCATTCACGCAGAAATTGTTTAACAGTTAAAGATTTCTTGGATACAATCAACGCCCATAGTAAGAACACAAAGTGTGTCTGACAATATTAATATGATAATATAAATATATATAATAAAACCTCTGGATTAGATTAAAGCAGAGACATTTATTCAATACGAGTAGAATCTAAATATAGCAAACCATTATTAATAATTAAATGAGAAAAAGAGAACAATTTTATTTTAGATTAAAGTGAAAGCTTGTTTATCTTCCATTTGGTCTATAAAACGATTAGTAATATTAAGTTACAGAACTTCCAATTAAAATATTTCCATAAAATTATATATACAAACAAAATTTTGTTTAAAATCAAATTGAATCTACTTTTTGCGATTTCTGGTATTCAAAGACAGAAACCCCAGAACACATATACTGCAATTACGCACAAATAATATGGAATGATCATCATGAAATAACACTTCAGTACAATTACAAAATATAAACATTCATTTTGGATTTCTAAAAGAAGCAGATTTTAAATCATATCGTGAATTCTTATTTGTAAATCATTTAATATGTTTAACAAAATATCACCTCTATAAATCTAAAATAGAAAATGTTAATCCGACAATTATTAATTATCTTAACTATACTTGAAAGGTAAACAACAGATAGATAATGAATTAAACGAAACCTTATTAAATAAATGGGATAAAACAATATGAATATTATATGTAGGCCTACCTCTAGTATTTTTCACACTTAAATGAATCATAACAAATATTACAATTAGCAATAATCAATCGAGGAATTAATGAAAACAAACAAATTAAAGAGTATTTTTTAAACGTATGAAATAAAGATCACTGTATAAAAAAGATCCATGTTAGATACTATGAATGAAATTATGTAAACTCTGGAAAGAAATAATATGTTGGATAGATGCTTTTAATATTTAATTTTATATTGCAGAAGCTACCCAATCAAGGGTCTCAACTTCTTTGATAGTTCTGTTTATGTGAACAATGTGTGGTTTTCTGGATTTGAAACTGATGAATATCGATCTGCTGGTGCCATAGGTTTTAGGACCGAGAGTACCATGACACAACCGTCTCTGAGTTCTGTACAGAATGCCAAATTCTCTGATGACGTAAGTATCTATTATAAAGTAACTAATTCCAAATTACTCACAGTCAATTTATTTGGATTACAACTTGTACGTTTATTTATTTGAAAATCTAATAGTTAAAATATTTTTAAATACGGAAAATATATTGTGTTGTAAATTTACAATTTCACAAAGGTTTCTAAAATATATGCTATAATAGACATTATGACGTAAGATCGTTAATAATACTGCGCTTGATTTGCTGCAAATCCCAGTTTAAACAAATCTTACCAGATTTAGAATCTATTCTGTTTCCTAACGATTTTCACATCCGGAACCAGATACAAGTACACGAATTTGCAGGTCTGTTTTTTGGATTCTTCGGATTCAAAATGACAGTAATTTAAACGTACAAAAAAAGCTATTTGAAAAACTGTTTATTTGTTAAAAGTTATCGGACTGTAGAAACGGAATCAAACAAAAATATATTGTATATAATATTATTAAAAAGCTAACAAGGGGAAGATGATAAACCGTAGGAACGAAAGCTCGACAGACACACAGAGTGTTATCTTAAAACTATATCCCAAATAAGGAAATTGGTTCTCAGAAGTAGCAGGGCCCTCACATGGGGTGGGGACTGAGGGGGCATATGCCCGGGAGTGACACTTCGTGGGGCCGGCAAATTACCTAAATGCATACAGAAATATTCAAAGCAGCGGGGTGGTGGGGGGGGGGGTCTTTGAAATAGCAAATTACAGGGTAGAATTATGATTTTTCCAAGATCTATTATAGGTATTTTTGATCAAATGGAGAGTTGAAGGCACATATAAGTTGATTTAAGAAATAGTTATTTAGATAACGTGTGTAAAGTATAAAGAATGTATTTTACGATTTCTTTAATGATAAAAAATCAACTGAGCACAGGCACTGAACAAAGCAGTTACAGAGTGCAAGGTGGGGGGTGGGGGTGGGAGGGGGTCACTGAAACTTTTACCCAGGCCGCCACATATGCTTGTGAGGGCTCTTGAGTAGCAGAGCTTCCATCGATATTTTGGTTTAACTTGATTTTTCTCTGTTTCGATTTGAATCTTTTAGATACCAATATTATACTTTTTAAGTTGTTTGAACTATTAATAAATTAATACCAATTATGCCCATATGAATCATAATTGTGTTTCACTTTTCTACATATTGGTAGTTTGAACCACTAACCTGTACATAAAGTCCACCAGTAGGTTACATTTGAAAACAATGTAGATTTAGACCGTGTATGGATGTATATACATGACGTTGTATGTGCACTTACATATGACATTTTAAGAGTAGAAATATGGCGGATGAAATACTTCATGTGATTAATGATAGCTCCTGTTTTGGCCTATATATATTTCAGTGATTGGTGCCACCCACGACTCCCACTCTTTAGCCGATTAGGTCGAAAGGCTAAGGCTAATTGCAGATTTCGTCATGAGATCTAAATATGGTTAGGGTACGAGTTATGACACGAGTTATGGTTGGGGCTAATCCTAACCCTAACCAACAATCTTGTCAACATCACGTGCCCTAACCCGATTTACATCTCGTGACCTATGACGAAATCTACAATGGTTTTAGCATTTAACCTTTACCATTTCTCTTCATTGGCTTTGGAGTATTTAGTTTGCCCTTTAGTGCTGTCGACAGTTGGATATTCATTATCTTTTTGATTAGGAATAATTGGTAGTGGACGAGCAGTAGTATTATTAAGTTTCTTGGGCTGGTGCTGCGCTGGCACAGATTGTTGCCCGACCTGCGACCGGGGTAATCTCGATTTCCGCCTCCTCCAAAACATACAACAAACACAACAGCAGACGGAGATAAGTAACAAAATAACTGAAGTGGTTGTCAGTGCATAAAAAATAAGGTAGTCTCTATGGAATTGCACATGCGATGTTACATTAAGCTTTATATTCTCAAAATGACAAAGAAATTCAGTCTTGGAACATGGTTCCTCGTCACATTGATTCTGTGTGCACAGAACCTTGTTGATGGTAATTTGAGTTTCGTCATCATAAAGAAAGTCGATTTTAAATTGCAAATTTGGCAAATTATTCATTGGTATACCCGAATTACAATCTACCACATCAATCGTCACTGACCTCACCTCATCACGTAACAAGTCGCCATTACACCCACAACAAACCATTAAGACATATATTAGGAACATCGTAGCCATATTTATCCAAATTAATATATTTTCGAGTAGAATACAAAGATAGTAAGATCTGTTGTTGGATTCACAACACCGTGTATAAATTCAAATTAATATATTTCAGAGTAGAATACAAAGATAGTAAGTTCTGTTGTTGGAACTCACAACACCGTATATAAATCCAAATTAATATGTTTCCGAGTAGAATACAAAGATAGTTAGTTCTGTTGTTGGAACTCACAACACCGCATATAAATCCAATGATTATTGTAGCTTGTCTTGTCCGCAGGTTTGTCTTATCGGTTTTGTTTTTCGTGAAGTGCGGGTCTTCTGCACGCACTTACTGTTAATGAAGAGTTGCGCAATTTGAGTAGCTCAATATAAGTTCAGTGAAGGGAGAACAGATAAAAAATTTAATATGTTGTCATGGTGACCAGCTACAAAATTGTTACTGTTTACATTTTGAGTAGACACCCTCCCATGTTCTTTGAAATGTTGCAGTTTGATTATATACTTAATATTAGCTCAAGTTCCTACTTTACCGACGTATACAAACAAACCAACCATCTTTATTTATGAGTTAAATCTGAACAATTTTCAATTAAAGAGACACTTTGACAAACAATTAATAATAAGGGGAAACGAGATATAGTAAGTAATAATTCTCATAATACTAATACCAAATAGTTAAGTTATATAAGGTGTTAATGGAAAGCGTTAGCATACTTGCACCAAGTATGACACACACCACCACTTTAAAATTATATGCACACAGCTAATATTTTATTTTCATTCCGTCCCAGCGACTATAAGACACGCTTTATTAGATAAATATAAACTAATATAAAACTTGCAGTATACCGTGTATCTCAGTACCCCACCCCACCCTCTACTCTTACTCTAACCATCGAGGTATCTTTAAGATCACAGTCATCTGAGTCAAACTTAGCAACTCGACACAAATAATCCCGAAAAGTGTTAAGATGAAAAGAACATTCATCTGTTATCACCACTATACACGTCTTTCTTATTACCCATGTCAAATAGAATTCAGTATAGTCTAAATAGATCTACGTCAGCTTTTGGTGCCCAAACCAATCTGATTAAAACACAGATCCTATTTCGTTCCGTTTTTTATAGTTCAAAATTTCGTTTTACTTGTCTTTACTGCACTAGGAATTGGAAGTGTTGTTATACCAGTGTTCTGGTTGATATGAGGGATTAGCCAATGAAACGGTATGTTGCAGCTAGAAACAACAACACTGATTGGTTAATCAAATGTCTGACGTCATAGGGTCAAAGGCGGCTCGTTTGACCCCTGACGCGACCCCCCACTACAACTTGTCAGATCTTCTTATAGTAGAGGTCATCGAAAGTATTTAAAAAAACACGAAACGAAGTATAGATCTGCATTTTAATCAGATTTGTGCAAAAACTAGATTACATTTTTCTCGATTCTCAATGAATAAAAAGCTCAACCAGACCCACGTATTTGTTAAAAATATTCTATGATAAGTACTCCCCACAGGTTTATGCAAAGAACCAAATTGTCTTTACCAAGAATTACAATACAAAATATGGTTCTAAGAATTTTGTCGTGTAAATGAAACTGTTGTATTTATTATTATGGGGGAGATTTACGACAGAGAGGATGTCTTCCGCCGTGATTGTTTGTTCTTTATTAAGACCACTGTTGAAATAATCGCACATACACTGTTGAAATTATAATATTCGTATTTTATGTTACAGGATCCCGAAAGCAGTCGTATTTTCGATGATCATTCACCAGACGATGTCGAAGGTTCAAATATAGCGTTTGCAGATATTGATGGCAGCGTAACTGGTATTGCAGGATCAAAAGTAGTCCGTGTTGGTTCCCCAGATATCAACGATGGTTGTCACTTTCGGGCAGGCTGGAATGTTGCAGTCTGCCAAAATGGCGATATGGTTTGTATTTCACTAATTGAAGTTTCTGTTTGCATTGCTGCATAAGATATTTTTCATAAACCAGATTATCCAAATATGTATCAGAGGTAAATAAAATTATCCGACCGCATTGATATAAACATAAAGAAATAAGCTGTGAAGAGACGCTTACTCACTTCCTCATAGCAAAGTAAGTTATAATTTCAGTTAACGTATTATCTAGCTATAAAATTATGGCGGGAAGTACGCAGTGGCATGCAGGGGTTTAGTGATCCTGGGACCAACACCTTCATTGTACACCCCAAGACTCAAGTATAGGGCCTACTACACAGAAATGTGAGAAAGGGGACATTTTAGATGAGTCAAAACACAAAAAATAACCCTTTATTTCAAATAGGTTAACAGCAATATTTTTAATTTCATTTTACTCTTTGATTGGATTAAACCTTCCATCCCGAAATGTCGCCACCCCCTCGAATCCCCTTCTCCCCCTGTACGCCAGCTGTTTAACATCTAATACAATTTTCTAAATATTTCATTAATCATTTGGTGTTGTCGGTTTTCTTTCAGCCTGCCCCGAACGCTCTCGCAACGTCTGCTTTTCTTCCGGGGGTAATGTTTTCTACTTTTTGCTTTTTGTTTCCTTTTCTGAGAATTTTCATTTACTATGTAGATAACGTTTAGAAAATAAACATCTACTTAAAGGCTCAATACCACTCTTGTTGTAACTGAATAATATGTCCCAATCTTTATTCTGGTCAACAAATTGTACTATTTTAGAATATTTCAATTAATTGATGATACAAATTTCATCTTAACACACCTTATTTAAAAATTTTGAAAAATTCAACATAATGGCTTGAAACGTCTAACGTAAACCTTTTCAAATGGAACTTCGATTTAAAAATATTTTCGAACCCTCTGGACAAGTAAAATAGGATGTAATGGATAATTTACACAACAGGTAGGACACTTAAACATCTAGTACTTAGATAGAGATATTATTTCTTTTCTGGAGCTTTCAAGCCAGCAAGAGTGTTATTGTCCCTTTAACATAGACTAACTTAAAATAGTCATATATTTTCTTGGTCTTCATGGATTCGGTGATCTATCTATTCGTATGTTCTTCTTAATGATCTCAAACAGCACGGAGTACAGAACACGTCGAAAACACTATTTAGCTCACACGGTCATTTATTTTTAATATTGAAATTAAAAATAATTGCATCGTTTTAGAGTTGGGGTGCTGGTTATTCAAGAGTTCATGATGAAAATTTGAGAGTTGATGGTGAATTTGGAGAATGGTCAGTTTGGTCAGATTGTGTTGATACTAACGAAGGTAAATGCGTTCACGTATTTGTCTTTAATCTAGTCATCCGTGACTGAAAAGTGTGTTAGAGCATGCGTTTCCTCAGTTTCTAAAGTTTGTCATTAGGTAATTTGCATCCCGGTTTTAAGGTCTAGCTTAAACGAAAAGAGGCATATCATGTCTGGCCTCATGGATTGTGTTGAGTGCACGTACTCTCTCTCTCTATTTTCTCTCTCGCCTGCCTAACCTCACTGATTGTACGTTAATCTCTCTCTCTCTCTCTCTCTCTCTGCAATCTTTCTTTTATTCCATTGATTCTTGTTTATTAATCATATTTCTTATAGGTGCTTTCGAATGGAGATACCGAGCTTGTAACAGTCCAGTTCCACAAAATGGAGGCTATAATTGTTTTGGCGCGACAAGTCAATCTAGAAATTGTGTTTTGTATGCGCAATAAATACAATGAATTAACAAGGATAACCATTATTCCAGGAAGTACTCATGAACAATTATTTATATCTTTAAATGTCTCAAGTTGTTTTCAGTTTAACAATGTATTTATTGGGTAAAGCGACTGTTGGTAATAGTATATAAAATTACTGTAATATATTGGTGCGATATTCAAATCAAAATCTTTCATTTTATGTCTATTATAGAAAATATTTTTCTTTTTGAAGAAACGTAATAACAAAATGTATGTTATGTAAAATAGGATTTTACTTACACGAAACACATAATTAAATAAGTAGAAAAAACACAATTAAAGAATATGCTCTAGTCTAGATCACTCAATAGTACATGTAATATTTTGTATATCACATGGTCTCTTTTAAAAAAAGATATGGTAGATACATATAAAATATGTAAAACATATTTTGTATTTATTCAGTGATTAATTAGAACAATCTAGAATTAATTATGACTTGTATGCGTAAAGAAAAGGTACTATATTTAAAATCAATCAATAGTACATGTTATATTTTGTGTATCAAATGATCTGATTTGAGAAAAAATATGGTAGATACATTATTATATAATATGTAAAAAATATTTTGTTTATATTCAGCGATTAATTAGAACATTATGTATGTTTTGCTGTGCTGTATTAAGTTACCAATGCATCAACACGTCTTTCTTTCCCCGTTAATCGTCTTCCTTTTCCTGGTCCTTGTCAAGAGATATTCATATGTTTACAATAATTATAAAGCTGTTCCATAGACTTATTTGTGAAATGTATAAATTATGAAATAAATATTTATATATACATACCTGTGTTTTGTTGTTATTTAGCCAATATTCATGGACGTTATAGAATGCTAATGACAAGAAAACTATAGTAAGACACCACAGCATTATAACCCGACACCGGGGGGTTGGATGGCGGAATGGTTAGCACGTTCGCGCTGTATCAGAAAACCTGTCATTGAGTCAACTGGCGTGGTTGCGAATCCCCGGTTGTACGTGACAAGGAGTAGGGTCGCCTGTCCAACCTCGTGGGTTTTCTCCGAGTCCCCCGGTTTCCTCCCACTGCTAAAGACCCCTACGCGCAAGCGAATTATTGAAATAAAATTAAACCATATGTTAGTCCCGAAATGACCTAGTTTGTGTCGAGTGGACGTTAAAATGTCGTGACGTCGGCTGGTCGTGGTGTCGGGTTGTCGACTTTATTTATCAATGTTGAAGCGGCCATGAATAATAGAGTGCTGTCCCTTGTCGACATCAAGCCAGCCCTCACTATCTCATCCTTCACTAAGAATACTTACCAGCCACCATACATTTCAAAACAAATTTAATTTTATTTTTGCTGTTTATTACAAATTTAAAGGAGTTAAGTCTCTAACTCAATATTTTCTATAATATTCGAAATCAAAAACACGAATTAGAATTCAATATTGATCAATTTCAATCAATATTGATCAATTTCAATCAATATTGATCAATTTCAATCAATATTATAATTTTTATATGATATTATGCACATGTTGATATAATTAAGTACATAATGAGCAAATTTCGTTTGTGGGAGTACGTTGTCGCTACACCTGTAAAGACTCTGAGTTTTTGTGATTTATTATTCAAATTTGTCAAGCCGTGCATTTTTATGTGGAGTTATTGCCCTTTTAACGCACCAAAACGATGAGCATGGCTTTCACATTTGTTGAGATTGTTTGAACCCATATCAAAATAAAGAGACGCGAATCAGTTGTATTTCGGTTAATTGCTCCTGTTATTAAAACCTTAAAAACTCGTTGGGAACGCCTGTCCTCGAAATGAGTAATGAGTAACCGTATCGAAATTCAGTTAATTGTTTGCCTTTCCACACCAAACATCACAACATACCATGATGAAGTTTTTGCCTGCTCACGCATAGCAATATAACCTAAACATACCCATCCCAAACTTAGGCTGCCTGTCTACAGCTAGCTCCGCCTGAGAACAGGCCCTGAGCTAATTAACCGACATTTTAATTCCTACATTCCTACATTCCTACGATTTAAGTCGAAAACACTGAGTATGGTTTTAGTAATTTTTAGAAGTATCTATTTCTCTTCTATTGTCATATTGAATGAAATTAAATATATTTATTTAGCCGCTGTGTGTATGAAAGATGTAAAACTAATCAAAGCCGAATCACTATTAGTCCTCTAATTATTCAATATGGCGGCGCCAGTGAAAGATAAAATTATCACAAAGGCCGTTTTGTTTGCGAAGACAAATTTAGGAGTATCTAACCTTGTTTTGAAAGATAAACAGATTGAAACTCTAAAGACAGTTTACAATAGCAAAGAATGTATTGCAATATTACCCACTAGCACATATTATATATCGCTTTTACTGGAGTGGCAGAAGTTGACATTTGGCCAATGACATGTTTTACATAAAACACGTGCTTGATCGGGTTATTTTTACTCTGTTGTGTACACAAAGCAGTAGTCCACTCGATAAGTCCCGCTCCAAAATTATCATGTGAGCGTTTTAATTGAAGGCCAACTAGGACAGTGATCATAACCACGAAGTATGGCGTAGATGGATCGCTGCGTGCAGTTTAAAACATACCATGACGTTTTTGCCTTCCCACGCAAAAACACTTCACGTTATCGCGTTTATTATTATTATTATTATTATTATCTTCATTTATATAGCGCACGCTTTCACAAAATGTGTTCAGATGCGCTGTACAATATATATTACATAAAAAAATATAAAAAATAAAACATACGTTTAAAAATCTATAATAATTGTATAAAATTAAAACAGTAAAAATAAATCTATAAATCAAAAGCTTGTTTGAATAAAAGTGTTTTCAATTGCGATTTAAAACTCGATAAAGAGGTAGAACTTCTGAGAGTAAGTGGGAGCTTATTCCACAGTTTAGGGGCCTGCACTGTAAACGATCGTTCACCGTAAGTTTTCAGTCTAGCTGTTTTACAGACAAGTGAATAATGGTCACTTGAGGACCTCAATGTACGAGTAGGGGAATATATATCTAAAAGCGACGATAAATACAACGGTGCCATATGATTTAAACATTTAAAAGTTAAAAAAATGACCTTATATTGAATTCTAAAATCCGGTAACGCATTAACATAAGCATTGAGATAAATTCGTCCCGTTAAGCAATATTGGCGATCATTTCCTAACAGCTAAATAATTTTAGATGAATTTACTTCTAGGCGTGAATAATAGGCTATTTAACCTGGTACAGCTATTTTAAAAAAAGGTCAATATTCAAAAGAAATGAAATGAAATGGGTTTTAACGTCCTAACTGGGGTAATAAACACAGGGATACGCCATACAGTGTGCTGTGAGGGAAATTTTGCCCGGACAGCGACACTACGGCCTTCTCTTATATCGAATTCCAACTGTCAAGGAATCTTTTACCAGCACGTCAATGTGTACACGGGACCTCGGTTTTTCGTACCACCCGAACGACTAGACAGCTGTCCTTGTCAGACTCTCCGTCCTGCATCACTGACAAGGGGAAACCACGCCGGAAAATCTGGATGAACTTTCTCGGCCAATGCTGGGATCGAACACCCGACCTCCAGACAAGCGAGCCAGCGTCTTACTCACTTAGTCACCGTGACTCCCATATTCAAAAGATAATCGATGGCTAAAACAAACAAACGGCTGACAATTTCCTGCAAATATTGTAGATTTATTAATAAAAGTGTACAAAATATCCTTATAACAATCAGCAGTAAAGAATATACCAACATCATATTTGAAATCAATATCTTCATATATGAGATAAAATTTGAATTACATCTTCTGTAAATTAATTCTTACAGGACAGCATGTAGTATAAAATGAAAAAGAATCTACCCGTGTTCTACAATTATTTTCTTTTTAAACATACTGACGTTTTCTATAAATGTACAGGACAGTAGGCCTCAAATATAGAGTCTTATCACGTAAGAGGAACAAAAATCATTTAAAACAGTTGACATCATGCATTAGCCACATCTGCGTTGCAGGTCTTTCTTTAGGCCTGAAATGTTATCGAAATTGTTAATTAAACATTTAATAACGTTAAAAGACCATAATCAAGCCTCGATGTCTTCTTATGTGTCGGATTTTCACTGGATGTGAATCCGATCTGCTGCTCAACGCTCATTGATGATTAAATCAAAACGTTTTTTTATGGTACCGACTTTTGTAATGAGGATCGAGGCTAGGCCTAAAATTCAATCGGTTATATCTCGGTTCAGAGTGGAGCAATTTGACTGTAATTTTTAGCATATTCCTTTACATTATCTATTTTTTTAACTATTATAGTGAGAACTTCCAGCTCTTTATCAATTCTTCCATAATGTCCCTTTAGGTTTGAATGTTAAAGGGACTGAAAATATCAGTAATGGGTACCATACCTGTAAATTTCCGAAGACCTGATAAATGTACATAATTCGCACTACAGAGGTAAATGTGGATGATTCGCGCTACATTGCAGGTAAATGCACATAACTCAAACCACAGAGGTAAATGCGAATGATTCGCTCGCATAACAGAGGTAAATGCGCATAATTCGTATCACAGAAGTAAATGCCCATAATTCGTATCACAGAGGTAAATGCCCACGATTTTCCCTGCTAAGAAATGTGTGCAAACATGATTACAAGACATATATAAAGTCCAAGAATGTCTTCAATTGGTGGTCTATAGAATGGCAACTGAGTCATCAAACCGAGAAATTCACCGAGTGATCCATCTCCGGTTCACCAATCTTCGTCAGATTTTATAATTTCACCAATGAAATTAAGCCCTGATATTACAATCCCAATACAATATACTATCTTACAAAATGACATATATGTTTATATTATAACATTTTAATATAAAAACATAATTATATTAACATAATAACTAGTTTATAAAAAGGGCCACAGGTAGAAAGGCGCTACATCAGGTGAATTCTAACCAAATTTGTGTTACAAAACACGAATGATTTGCTCTTATATTAATTTAAACAGTGATTAATCGACAACAGAGTTTATTGTAAGATCTGAAAAGGTTTCACACTTTGACATATACAATCATAAAAAATTCTGTCTGCTCGCGATCCTTTAAAGATGCATTATGTAAGCGCTAAATCCACCTATTACAGTTCTTTATTTTGACTTCAAATGCTATATAACCTATTAATCAGACATTTATTCACATCACAGGCCTATAATCAACTCTCTAGCTCATCGATCGGATGGCTTAGTTCAAATGGGTTAGAAGACCAGCGAGATTTAAAAATTTAACGATAAATTGGATAATCGAGACTAAGACTCAATACTGTTGCTACGATAATGCACAATCTTCCCAAACCTCACAACTTCTTTCAGAATAAAGTAACTTGAATGATATTTTCAATATATTCATATTTCATTGTCTATTTTCGAACTATTATAGCAAGAACGTCCAGCCCTATATCTAATTCTTACATAATGCATCTTTAATAAATATCTTAATATAAAAACAAGTCCGTCTGACGTCAACAATTACTGCACATTAAGTGATTGAAGCAGAAAAGGCAAGGCTACGCATTCCTAGTGGGAAGATTAAATCACGCGTTTTCACAAAGAACTGTGTTATGTATTGCAAAGTTCAACTTTCAGTTATTATAAAACACAATGAAATATCTTCTATGATGATTTTGATTGATGTTCATGACATTACACTTATTCTTTGAAATCTATTTTGGCTTCCTGGGTTTCGTACGCTTTATTTGTAAAAGCAGCTGCATTACTGAAATTCTCTGGATCATAAATATCATTGGCTACGTCTTCTTCCTGTTTCTTTAAACTCATTTTCTTTTGTTTCCTGGTTAAATATAAACAAACAATCATTATACAATAATCAACAATAGACGGATAGGTCTACTAATATTATGTTAAATGATATGACTGGACAATAGTTATGACATGAACCACACTTTAAGTAGTTAAAGTTTGAAATTTTGGACTTCTCCACAAACCCTTCAATTGACATGGTGTAGCTTACTAACATTTAATGATCCCAAAAGAGCCAATTCCAACTGCCATGGAATCTTTTAAGATTAGGCTACTACTAATTCGTCTAATCCGGATGTCAACCCCGCCTGTACCAACTTTGACAACTTAAAACCGGATTTTAAAAATCCCGTTGACCATAAAGAAATAAGATTCGGAACCTTGTCTATTGCCTTAGCAAAACAGAATTAATAACCCCGACACTAAAAGAGATATTTGACTAACCTTTTATGTATAACAACATACACCACAATACAGATTATTATTATAGCAGCTAAAATACCAGCAGCTATAGCAACATAAATCTTCCAATCATCATTCTGAAAATAAAAGTAGAAATCTGTACCATGCTATTACTAGTAATATATCTACCGTTCTCTTTAAAGGTGGGCCTATGGTTATGATGTCCGATGGAGCCAAAACATAACCTAAATTTTTTTTCTAATATATATTCGATGCCCGGGATGCTATTTGTCGGATAACGGATTTATAAATGTACTTATATTCCAGCAGTAGGATTTTCAATTTGACTTTTAGAAAATAATAATGCTAATAAGTGATACGACTATCGAGTTTCACCTCAATGTGTTTCATTCTGGGAAACACATATTTTTAAAAAATGGAACAGAACGGATCCAAAGTTACCACCTAATTTATCACACAGTCAAAATCATGTTTCAACTTACATCCTCATTTAGTTTCTTTTGTTTATCATATAGAGCTAGACCATTGTTCTTTAATGCTTCATCTAGTTGGGCTGATGTAGGATAATTAACATCTTCTATGTCACCACCATCTTGTCTTGTTATAGCATAACTAACATCTGATAACTCATTCCTGGATAAAACATACCATACTAACTAGTAACTCATTCCCAGATAAAACATTGCATAACTAACAGCTCGGATGATTCATTTCTATATATACTATTCAGAAAAAGTAGGGGATATTTGATTTTTAAGTGTTATTAAAGTCACCTAATGAAACTGACGAAGAAACAAATGACAAAATGAAATGAAGTTCACATTCATCGATTTATTCCAAATGATCGTTAGACTAAGTAAGGCACAGACTGACCATTATAAGGGTAAAATGATACCCGGGGTCAAACAGCAAAGTTACCACAGCATCACAACCAAGTCAGTAACGGGTAAATCCTCCTCTGTTTGCCAAACAAGCATTGATCCGACGTGGCATACTCCTAATGAGACGTCTAAGGTCATTTTGGTCCAGACTGTCCCATTCCTGTTGCAACGCAGCAGCAAGCTCTTGGACATTGGCAGGACGTTGTTGACGTTGACGTAACCTCTGTCCAAGCATGTCCCAGACATGCTCGATGGGGGAGAGGTCGGGACTCAGTGCTGGCCAAGGTAATGTGGTGATGTTCTGTTGTTGGAGGTAACCTGTAACGATCCTGGCCCTGTGACATCTTGCGTTGTCATCCTGGAAGATGAAACGGCGGCCATGACGTCGTGCGAACGGCATAACATGGACTGCCAAGATGTTGTCCCGGTAGTACTGGCCTGTAACACGCCCTGCAACAACATGTAAAGCCGTTCTTCCAGCAACAGTGATGCCTCCCCACACCATAACAGAACCACCCCCAAATCGATCATGTCTGATGACGTTAACGTCTTGGAAGCGCTCGTTTCGACGACGCCACACCCTCCTACGTCTGTCCAAAAAATCAACAGTGAACCTTGACTCATCTGAAAACATCACATTGCTCCAGCGTCGATTATCCCAGTGTTGACGATCCCTACACCAACGACGTCTTGCCTGAATGTGATGATCTCTCAAACAAGGGATCACGCGAGGACGTCGGGCGCGAAGGTGACCCCTATGCAGTCGATTCCGAATCGTCTGGCCACTCACTCTCACACCAGTGTCTGTTTGAAGACGAGCGCTGATCTGATTTGCTGTGATGACACGATTTCTCAAGGCCAAGGTACGGATAAATCGATCCTGGGCTTGAGTTGTCGCCCTTGGTCGACCTGAGCGTGGTCTGTCCTGTACAGATTGTGTATCACGGTATCTGGACCATAGCCTGCTTATGACAGACTGAGAAACATTCATCGTCCGCGCCACAACCGCCTGTGTTGTGCCGATCTGTAGCATGCCAAGGGCACGTAACCTTTCATTTTGGGTAAGCCGACGCATATCAAAATTTGTTTTCTGGTCACTAAAACAATTAAACTGATGTTTCCACTCTGGAATTCAATGCCACAATGACTGTAACATTCAAAGTCAGAGTCGTGCAAATCTTGGGTTGGACCCCCATGATGATCCCAAGCATCACCTGCATTCCATGCGGTAGCTATTGGTGCGTTTGGGCGTCACATGTAACTGGAAATGTTTCTTCTGTTAGGTTCTATAGTGACTTTTTTCGTAGTCATTTGCATATTTTAGTATTATGCCCCCAAAATCAAATATCCCCTACTTTTTTGGAATAGTATAGAACATACTATAGCTTTCATCTATTAACTAATGTCTAGATTAGACAAAGCATAAATAGAATTTGGTATATAAATTCTAGATTAACATAAAACAGTGTATAACAACATCTCTAGATAAAACATAGCAAAACAACCAATCCATTTCTAAATAAAGGATAGTATAACTTATTCTAAGATAAACATAACTAACGACTGATAAATCATTCGTAACATTTAATAACCCATTCCTCAATAAAACACAGCATAACTAATATCTAACGTCTTCCAAGAGTAAGCATATCATATCTAATGCATTCACATGAATATATAATACATTGCATGAAAAGTAACCAACTTACTTGTTTGCATCTTTTATGCCGCTTTGTAAACTCAATATTTCTACTGATAAATCATTTGGGGAAATATCTAGAAAATTGAAAAAAAAAAAATCATTATTAAAAATGTTTAGAAATTTTAATGGTTTTGGACTATATTCTACAATTATATATAATAAGAATTTGAAACATAAGTCATATGATATAATATGATGGATTTTGGAGACTACAATGGGAGACTGTATAATCATTTATCAATTATCTTAGTTATTTTATAATAAACAAAGAGATATTCGTTATCAACACATTTGTGGCTATGATCATTTCCCAATAACGCGGAGATCTTCTATCATGGATTTTCCGGTGGGTATATTATACATAAGGCTAATGACATTTCCACTAACCTGGGTTAGCTCTTACAACAGCTTCATATACAGCTTTCTGTACGTCATTCTTAGAGCTATCCTCTATATTACCAGCTAGTTTCAAACTTCCGGCTTTTCTTGCTACACAATTACAACCATTCAGTCCAGAGGAATCCAGATCAGCTGGACTAGGACTATCAAGAAAGATGGGATCCGGTTCTTGTCCGTCTAAGGAAAGGGTGTATTCTACTGGAGTGATTTCTTCACTACAATAAGTAATACAAACTATTTTGATATATTTTCTTGTGCGATACCTTGACAAATCACACTTCATTGTTCCCTAGAACCATGGTACCACGGTCTGTACTTCATTTAATTAACATTTAAATGATTTTACTAAACCCTTCACAGGATTTGTATTTGTTTTAAGAATACCCATTTTAATCCATTCCATATTTTAGCAAAATGTATTATTGCTTAAAAACGTATTTTGGAAATTCTTGCCACAGTTAATAGAGAAACTTTATATTATCTTTTATAGGAACTGTATAGATTAGAAATACCTACCCGTCTTTTCCTATATATTTAGTTGGGGTTGTTGTATTATCTGCTGCTCTACGTTTACGAGATGGTGTTTGTTTCACGTTAACATTCAGTAATTTATCTAAGGCGGCAGAATCTAAAATTTACAGAATAATATGCATCTAATATATCTAATGATGATAATATAAAAAAAACCACAAACACTTCAACTTACGGTGGCTGATTTAGGACACGCAAAGAAAAAAGTATATCTCGAGCGCTCGAGATACTAAGTCGAGCGCTTGAGATACTAAGTCGAGCCCTCGAGATAGTTAAGTCGTGCGCTCGAGATACTAAGTCGAGCGCTCGAGATAATGAGATAATATAACCGAACACGTCTCAACCGATGTTTTAAGCTGTATAATTTTGTGCATAATTTGATGATAAACTTGTAGAATAAAGATATTCATTTAGAACTCAAGTATAATTATCTATAACCTCTTGGAAAACATTTGCATTTGTGGTGAATTTCGTAAAATGAAAACATCCCTTTAAAAAAATATGTCCAGGATTAAAGACAACACTTACTATTGTTTTTATTCATCCAGGCCGCCTTGATAGAAGATTCAACTTGATTAAACTTGACTTCTGTAGCTGAACCTTTAACATATACTTTATGATGTTTTAGCGGCTTGCACGTGCACACTTTTCTTTCTTTACCGTTAGTTTTCTTAAAAGCTTGACTTATTTCTGTTGAATCAGGTTCCGTTTGTGTTGCATCTGAACCATTTACAGATACTGTATACTCTACTCTCGATATCTGATTCCTTTAAGCAGATATTAATAATTATATGTGTTACGTGTCCATGTGTCAATTGTATGGAAACAGAGGTTGTTGATACCCATTATTTTTATTATTTATATGGGATGTTTATGTTTTGTCGAAACACGACTATATTGTTGGTCATTTGTCCTTCATTTGCTATCTAGCCATTAAGCCACCATCTATTAATGTTGGAAATTCACCCATTAACAATTTGTTTGTTACTTTTCTAGTAGAATCTGATGTTAAAATACAACACATATGTTTTAAATAGTAATGCACATATGCATGTAACGGGTAATTCAAATTGGGCATGCAACACCCGCTCTACAGCATGTCACTTTAAATACAGTACAATATACTTACCATTGTTCATCCACAAATTTTTGTACATCAGTAACAGTAACTTTTAAATCTGTTTCATTATCTGTTAAATAATAAAAATAACGGTATAATCAAGTGACGTTATAGCTTACGTCTCCAGCTGATCAGATATGCCAGCGTCTGTTAGTGTCAATTCACAATGAATCAAACGAATTCCCACAAACTACAACAATCACAGTTATGGACGACGTATCCAGACTGTAAATGGTAGAGATAGGTAACTAAACATTCTCCACGAAGTATTCCGGAACGGCAACAACCAGAGTTATAGACAACGTATCTAGAGAGTAAAGGTTACAGAATATCATGGGGATAAGTCACTAAATATAGCCAACTGGGAGTATTTTCCTGAATTTGTCGGTTATAGATTATTATTTTCGACAGGCGATGCAGTTTCTACCTTTTTTTGTACTGGAAGATATTATATATATATCACCCGAAACAAATATTTGTCCATATTAGTACCAATCTGATTAAAACACAGATATAATTTCGTTTCGTTTTTATAGTTCAAAATTCCGTTTTACTTGTCTTTACTACACTTGGATCTGGAAGAGTTGTTATTTAACTCGTGTTCTGAATGGTGTCAGGGATAAGTCAATGAAACGGTCTGTTATGGCGAGCTTTAGGCGTGTTTTTCACGGAACTGTTGGTAATCCACTAGTAACATCAATGCTGATTGGTTAATCAAATGTCTGACGTCATAGGTCATAAGTCGGTCTTTTGACTCCTGACGTGACCTATCTCTATAACTTGTCAGATCTTCATGTAGTGTAGGCCATCGAAAGTATAAAAAACGAAACGAAATATAGATCTATATTTTAATCAGATTGTATTAGTATCATGTTAATCTACGATATTTTATAATTTTACCTTGTGACCAGGCAACTTCTAAACCTTGTACCAGAGTTTCACTACTTTCAGTCCTTGAATATCCTTCAAAGTATATAGACCGGGTAACAAACGATTCCTGGTTCCATACACTTAAACCAGATTGATTTAAAGCCATCTCTATTGATGTTGTCGTTGGTGGTGATTCCATGTAAGATTGTACGTATTTACCTGCAGACTTCACGGCATAATGTAACTGAACAACTCTAGTCTCAGATCTGTTAGAAAGAATACAAAATATACACTAAGTAATATTGCTTAACTGTCAAAAGGTGATCAATATATATATTTTTTTCATTTCAATACAATTTGATCAGAGTTGTCTTTCATTTTGTGACGGTATCATACTATCAAAACGGCTATATTAGGGCCACGTTATAATATCAATATCAAATATATTTAAAGCAATTTTTTTTACAAAGTGCATACTGGTACAATTGATTGATATGATCTCTAACCAAGTGATAATATCGCTACAAATATATTTAACAATATTCATCTTGTTGTTTGTCTTCTTGGCGGCGACGCTCTTAGAAAAAAGCCCAACACTCCGCATGAAACTTGGATAATTGAGCATCTATTTTTGACATGATGTCACAATTTCAAAATGGCGGCGATTACGTCATGTATGGTTCCCGGGCCATATTGTACTATTGGGTTGTAACACATCATCGGTAACAAAGAATTACTTACGAATTAGAATAAGCTATTCTGGTTTGCCTGTCGATAATAGATACACTACATTGTTCACATTTAACTAAAATAAAATAATAATAAAATTTAATAAATGACCATAATTCTAGATAAAATATTATTATTAAAATATTATTAAAACTCCACACAATCTTTTCTGCTATTCACAACATAAATTTTCTTTCACGCTTTCCTAGAAGCTTTCCCAATATCTCGGTTCAAACTCTTGCTCCATAAATTATAACCAAAGCATGGTATACATACATACAACTTAAAAAAAATAGTACATCAAAAAGTTAATACAAATGAGTTGTACTTTGGTATGCAATGTAAAAATGTCACGAAAATCTAAACAGTCTATAGATAAACAAATCTTTACCTTCGTTTCTTGTGGACCAAACCTTCTGTAGGGTCGTTTCAACTTGTGTTCTAGTTTGACTTGTAAACTCCATATTCGTAGAATAGGCTAAATTTATACTATAGACAACACTTAATCTATATGTATTGACACCGGTATATAGAGACCATCTATAAGATGAATTAGTTATAAACTGATTGATGATATTATCGGCTGGTTTAACATCAAATGTAGGTTCTGTTAAAAAGTTATTTAAGGTGACTGTATAAAGGTATTGGTCAATTTCAACTCTGTAATGAAGATGAATAAAATACAATTTCGCTAGATTTTGTTATAAAACAAAATGTCTTTTGTTTCGTTTCGTCTTATGGTTCTAATTTTCTACACTTTATAAGATCCGCCATATATCCAGAGCGGCTGCTGTTAGGGCGTGCGGCCGGCGTTGACTGCATTATACCGCCCAAGACTTTTCTAGACTGTAACATCAAGGTTTTACAGTAAACAAATAAGAAAACGACAGAATGTGTCAGATATTATAGAAATTGAGTCTCCCCCCCAAAAAAATGGAATGTAAATGAAAGAAACCGCGAAAACCGAATTGCAAAATACAGAATCTAAAATGAAAAGGAACTGAAATTTATCTGATTTTAATCAGATTTAAATGAGTTTTAATTATAAAAAAAAATATACTTTAAGGATTGTAACTTTTCTTACCCATAATCACCAACAAAGTTCTCAACTTTCTCGATTGATACTTCTGGTTTTTCTGAAGAGAAAAAAACAATAGCGGCTAGTTAATTATTGTACAGTCCACCCCAAATGGTTGATTCATATAGTTTTCTGTAGCGCATACAACAGTACAATATATCTAATATACTTTTGTTTCAATTCGAACCATTCAGCATAATTATGGATTTCACAACAGCATATTTTTGTGTCGGAGTGCACAAAAACCATCGAAAACAATTTATATACAAGACAGCCCAGTTATAATAAGTGCTTTTGTGGTTGGATCTGTTTACGGGTCAAACCAAAAAAAAATGTTTTTCTTAGTTTAATCAATATTTTATTCAATAAACCGAATCGAATTTAACAACAGACAAACATTTCTTAAACTATTTATGGACTCAACTGTTTTTTCCCATTTAAATTGATTAAATTTGGTTACCTCCTGTATTATACCACCAAGCTTCATGTATGACACTCTTTATTTGTGAATAGTTTAATTTCATGCTGGCTTCTTTCTTTATACTAAGACTAAAACATGATTCATATTTCACCAATTTATCTCCAGAGTATGCGGAATATTCAGTTTTCAGTGTTTCCGACATGGTCTTTGCTATCACAGCTGAATCTGGAGCACGTGTTGCATCTGGATAAGCAACGATGGAATCTTTGGTGACAAAATATAGAATCCTGGTAATAACAGCGCTGAAAAATAAATATGACAAATACAGTTGTAAATTGATAAATAAAAAAAACCTTTCATTCACTTTCAATGAATATCTGAAACATTTACATTGGAAT